TTCCTAGACTCATTGACGTAGTCTGTTTTCACCGAGCGTTTGACATGACTCGTGACGCGAGGAATGGCAAGTCAAAATATAGTCTTAGTTGTTAAGCTTGTACTGATTGTCTATTGTAGCATGGCACCAGTTGTCCAAAATTAATGGACTAAGCCGCATCCTGACAAGGTAAGCGTTACAAATATTCAATGTAGTTGATTCCAAGTCGTTGTCCGACACTTCTTCCAAGTGGTCAGGGCACAGCCGCCACCTCGGCTAATTCTCTCGATGTCTTGAAGGATCTACTAGACCTTGCAAAATATCAGGATATACGCATCGAGATTCTTCCGGGATCTGGCATCAATTCATCTACCGTCGGCGCCTTGTGCCAGGCGTTACTGCCCCATGGGCTACGTGAAGTGCATATGAGTGGTGGACATTGGACTGATGGAGCCTCGATTTGGCGTCGAGATGGAATGGGCATGGGCGTCAGCGGAGCCAGTGAATGGGGAATTTGGCGGACAAACGCAAGCGCAATCCGTGCAGTCAAAAATGTCATTGATTCCTTTGATAATTAGGTTTACTGAACGATAACTTTGTATTTTCTCGTCTACATACCCATTTAAGGTGATGCAGGGTTCAGTCAGGGTCAGTTGCTTCCCCGCGGGTTCCGCCTGGCTTTAGGCGTGATACTTCAGTGCATCCCGTTCATTGACCTCTGTCGTTGACTCATGAGCGATGCGACTCGTCATGAAAACATATCATTCTCGCATGCTGGGATCGATGGTGGTTTTGGGTATGCCACTCCAGCATATCCCGCTTATCATTTGTCCTGTGACAGCGATCTCTGACTCTACGGAGTAGAGCTGATCACGGGGCAAACTTGTCTTACATGCCATATGCGTGGAAAATAGGCCACGTCTGTGAAGGTGCGTCAACAGTTTTCCCTCAGGCCATCTTCCTTCATCTCTTCCATCTCCTCCACCCTTGGCCTTTGACAGAAACGGCAGGACGTTTTCGGATGATAAACCCTTGTCCCGCTGATCGTGAGAGTGGGAGATTGCTCTCGCCCTTTGATCAGTATTTGTGGTACACATGTTTGCATCCGTCTCTGTTTTTTGAAGTCCGGACACATACAAGGTACTGTGGCTGGGTAGAATAAGACCAAATGGCAATCTCTGAGGGAAAGTGGTGGCTGCATGCGGCAGCCAAAGTGCAGCAGCGGTGATCTCTGGCTCTACCAGATCATTTACCTTCTGAGTTCCACTTCTCAATGGTTTTGCGTCTCATGTGAGTAGGGAATCAGATAGTAAAAATATAGTGAGTAATGCCATATTCTTTGTTTCTATTCACATCGATACAGCCATGTGTCTACCTGAGACCTCCTACAACAGTTCCCAGGGACCACTGGCAACTAGCTGGTTTTGGGGGTAAAGTTTGCTGAAGTATTCCCACAGATTTTTTTTCGGGTATACCTTTTGAAGAGATCCAGTGGGTGCGTTCGTATACGATATATGGCCTAGTCACTAAGCCTGACAGTAGGTAATGCAAACTCAATGAAAATACTGTTGTGGTCTGACATTATACTTTCCTCGTGAATTCGTGCGACCTCTTTGATTTCTTCAGGTAGATCGACGGACTATGGATTAGGCTGACCCACTGGGAAGTCTAAGGGTAATCTTGTGCGTGCGCATCCTTCATGATTTGCTTAGGCGTTAGCTATCCTGACTGGTGGAGAGGGAAATTACAACTTTGCATGCACAACCGCATTTTATAAAAAATCTAATCGGCTTGCAGCATTTATGTGCCCTGTCTTTATAACATAGCACATAAGGTGTTGTCGATGCAACATGTATTCCCTCATGACTTATCGTTCTGACCCTTCACTTTTGGGACTCATAAAGAACGTTCGATGGGCTAGGCTGCAAGATATTCATGAAGCTAGACTCCACATGCACGAGAAAATCCAAAACTCACCATGTGATCACGGTGATAGTGACGGCGACGATGAATGATCAGGCCTTAGGAGGAACGGAATTACAAACAAGCTAAAGCATGTGTTGCCAAGCGGTTTACTCATTCAAGTTGACGATGGTTTTTTCGTTGACATGTTCAAGCATCCTATTGAGTACGCGATCAGATCACATATAGGAATATCATGAAGGCGTATTGACATCAAGCGATTTTCCCAGCCGGGAATAACGACTACTCACAGACGACAATGGGAAAGACGAGAGATTCTTCGTGGGCTGGTGGAGGTGGGCTGAACAACCACGGACGTGCGGGGAAACGCAAGATGCGCGAGTTGCGAGTTGGAAGAATTAGCCACAGCTTTGCGGTTAAATATTAGTGAACATCTTTATTCACCTTGAACGTGCACACTGCACAATATCTTGCGCGGGGTCCTGTAGTAACTGATCCTTCGGCATCGCGGTTCGCAACGCCGCCAGCCAATCACGTGACTCTAAAGTCCATTTTCGTCTTCGTTGAGCGTCCGAGACCCATACAAGCTGAAGTTCGTCGTTATTTCCTTCGGTATCCGGTTTTTTGTTGGCTAGAACCGACGACCACGACTGCATGGCAATGATGAAGAGAGATATTGGACATTTGTCGAATTATGACGACGCGGACGAATCTCGAACAAAGCGACAAAAGCAAGTCGGAGCATCATCTGGCCAAGCCGCCACAGGAACCACGACAAATGGAAACATTCAGATGGATACTGGAGAAGGTAGCAGTTCTGGTGTAGCTGGGTTGAAGGAGCAGGGAACAAAGTTGTGGCAGATGTTGAAGGACGTGGTCAATAAAGAGTGAGTAACAAACCCAACTTGAGCTCAGACGCAATCACAGCCGCCTCAAGTCATTTTCCTTTCTGATCTCGCTAACATTTCTTCCATGTATCACACAGAGGTTACATATGCTCTCCAGCGTTCATGCGCTTGCCCTCAAAACGCCATTATCCTGATTATTATGTCTTCATTCAACAACCAATTTGCTTGGACGATATCAAACAGAAAATAGACGATGGCTTATACAACTCTCTCGATGATATCAGACAAGATTTCGACCTCTGCTTTTCAAACGCTAAAAAATACAATCAGAAGAACAGTCAAATCTGGCTCGACGCCAAATTCATGCTGGTGAGAGTGCCCTTTGTCCTATGTTCACACTCATGTTCACCGTTTGGCAGAAATTCGTGAATAAGGAGTATACGAAGATGACGGGAAAGAAAGTCAAGAAGAATAGCGATGGAGACGACGATGAGGACAAGCCTGCTGACGGCGGAGACAACGAGAAGAAGAGCAAACAGCCCAACTTGACTCGACTCTTGAAAGCTAGATTGCAGAAGGTTGTCGATAAAGCTGACGAAGAGACGTGAGTTAACCTTCCTTTTCGACTATAACTTGCTTTTAATCCAAGTGACAGACATCGTGTGCTCTCTAACGTTTTCATGGAGATGCCGTCGAAGAAGGACTATCCAATGTATTACACACAAATCAAACGTCCAATGTGCATAGAGACCATTTTTGTAAGTTCCGCATACTTTGACTATGGAGTGTGTGTTCACGACATCACTAGAAACACCTGAAGCGCAAGGAATATCAAACCTCTCTAGATTTTGCAAATGATGTCGAGCTTGTGTTCTCTAACGCTCTCGAGTTTAATCAAGATCACAGCCAGATCTGGGAGGATGCTGTCACTCTTCGAGTGAGTATCATATACCCCAATTAGTATTCTTATTCATACTTCAACAGGATTACTTCCGTCAACTCATGTCTGACATGCCAGAGCCGCACGCGCTACCACAGTACGCGAAGCCTCCAGCAAAGATCAAACTGAAAGTTCCGGGGACGGGGGCTGCGACTGCTGGTCCTTCTACGACTGTCGCTTCGTCAGCCAAACCACAAGAGAAAGAGGGCGCTACTGGAGGATCGCTAACGTTACGCCTTCCTGCAAGTGGCGGAAATGCCAAGAGTCCAGCTCAATCCTCGATCAATCAGCTGCCACCCGGAGCTGGAGTGCCTATTCCAACGACTAAAACTGTGCAAAGCTCGAACCCCATCGCTGCACCTGTACCCAAACCCGCCCCAACACCCCAATCGTTTGTCGCTGCAGCTCCTCCTCCTCAAGTCCCTACTCCTCTACCGACACCAGCAGTGCAAGTGACACAACCAAAAGCTGCACCATCGCCACAAGTCTCGACACAGCCATTGCAATATCAACCAACAGCAACTAAACCTCAATATTATCCCAATGCCACGTATCATCAATACACCCACCCGACTCCCGCTCCTCCGGCTCCCGCAATACCATCTCCCGCAACACGAACACAGCAAGTGCCTCAGGTTCAAACATCGCAATCGGTTTCAAGATCACCCGCACCTGTATTGGCTGGACATCGAGCGCTCAAGGGCGTTTTCTTGACAACTAAGCCTCGTGGCAGACCCTTCTGGCTTGATCATCGTGATGGAGTCAAATCATGGGCGATACGACTTGGCCAGGGCGAGAAATCGATCTCTGTTGCAGAGATCAGATTCTTTGGAGATGATGATGAAACCGGAGATGAGGAAGGCGATGGGAACGATGAACAGCTAGATGAAGAAGAGGAGGAAGAGCCCAGTCCCAGGAAGCGTGGTCGTGGTCGTCCGCCCAAGAATCTGAAAGCAAAAGCAAAGGCGTCTGCACTAGCAAAGAAAGCTGAACACAAGAAAGCCCAGAATGCGCATACGCCTCAACAGGAGAGCATATTGATCAACCTGAATGGTACTCCTATGAACGAAAGCCTCGAGGATGGCGTGTGGAATATAGACCTTCAAGCTGGTTCAAATGTCTTGGAAGTTGGGGAGAAGAACGGATATGTGTGGAAAGTATACTTGGAGAGAGTTTCCGTCATATAGCCATTGTACCACTTTAGATTCCAGTCCTTTTCTACCTGTATCCTCTCTATTAATTGCGCTTGTAATACAGTACGCAGTCCGTTTCCAAAGAGTTTCCAGTGATCAACAAGAGTCCAATACTAATCATTGTAATGCAAGAGAAACCTCATCATCCGAGATTGTGTTGACCTCCCCAGATGGCTCATCGATATCCTGCTCGAACCCATCCATCTCAAAATCATGGTCACTCTCTGGAGTGTGCTCAGGTTCATACACCTGGTATCGGCCAGCCTCATTAATCCGGTCCTGCACGTATTCTTGCAACATCTGCTCCCGATTTAGAGGGCGCACCTCGTACCCCTCCGAGCCCCGACGCACCCTGACAGCTCCAGAGTGCCCCTCTTCTGAGTAATCTGTATCACTGCCAGGAGAATACGGTCGTCCAGGATGGGCGTCAACTCCAGGATCCTCGTAATCTAGATGATAGGGTGGTAAAACAGAGACAGGATCTTGCGTAGATTTGTGCCGGTTACCATTAACACCACGTAGTTGACTATTTGATGGAAGCAGATTTGGATTAACATCCCCATTTTCGTATGTCCATGGACTGTCAGGAAGCTTGAAGGGTTGCTGGTCAGCCAAAGCCGGGTCTCGAGGAGGCCAGTTATGATGTTCTATATCAACAGATCAGTTAGTGAGGCGCCACATCAAACATGATGACGCAGCTGCAATAAGCGTACTGACACGACAGAACGAGGACATAAGAGGACAATGACAGCTACCAGATGTAGCAGTCACCGTTCCAAATCGTCCACTCTCCTTCGGCGACTCTGTGCTGCAGCCTGTTCATTCCACTTACCATCAGCAACTGAAAGCTGGTATTTAAGACCAGTTCCAGGAGGGACGGTTGGACAACACCACAAAAGTGGATTGTTGCCGAGAATTGAGGCAATGTTGCGCCTCCCGCCGAGGTTCTGCGTTAGCATCAGTAAATCGTTTGTCGACATGAATGAGATACTTGCATATGGGAACTTGACCTGTAGGTGACACAGTTAATTCGCTATAGCTTACTTTGAGGAAAGGTTCACCTCTTCAATTTTGCCATGTCTTCGTAACATTGCAGCTTTATCTTTCTCCCAGCCTTCAATAGTTGTGGTATTGCCCAACAGACTGTTGAAATGGTAAATGCTGTGTAGTCACAGTGAGCACACTATAACTCTGCATGTAAAGCAGTACACAATACCTGAAGGCTCCAACTACAAGGATCACGGGGACGACGAAAACGTAGTTTAATATGACAAAGATAAGTTCGGCACCCGTTGGCTGGTCCTGAGTTGCTTTGTGTTTAGGAACAGCTTCAATATTCCGTGAAACAGCTCACATAGTACCGTCTCCCAGATACGGCCATCACTCGGTATGAGACCATAGCGAGGTGATACGAGCAAGTGACGTCCACGTAAAATAGAAAACGAATAAAGTGTCCATAATTGAAATGGCCGATGCAGTTATTCGTCCAAGGACAATGGTGGTCTGTGACAGTCAGAATGAGAAGAAAAAGATGCCTGAAAATGCTTACCCATTCTCAGCACACATCTATTGAGCAGTCAGCACCATAGTAATTTGTCGACAGCTTCTACTCACCTGTTGCATTGTCTGCAATGATGTGACCTTGGAGGCTTGAACTTCTGGCAGGTACGGCAAAAGCGAGGGGAACCTGTCAGTCTTTTAACCTCGTACCCTTCGCTTGATTGCGTGTCTGGTTTCTGGAGGATGGTGACATCAATCAGAATGACTGCGGCTGAGCTTTGGACGTACCCAACCATCCGGAACCTCCCCAGGATCAGTAATTATGCATAGGTAGTAGTTCCATAGTAACGATATAGCAAAAACACTATTGGAGCGTAAATTTCAAAGCATATCCGGACTGATGAAGCTCACTTGAATGGCAAGAGAAGAGTTATGAGCTCTACGGACAGCTCACGTCCATACCATGGCCATATGATGTAGACCTGGCAGGTTAAGACAGGGAAAAGAATAAGAAATAGCACGGAACCGATGGCAATGCGCCCCAAGATGGGGTGCATATCTTGGTGTGAGGTTGAACGAAATCCTGGTAAGACGAAGTGGGCGTGGGTTATTCGAAGCGAAGTCACGGTCAGGGTTTTCAATCCGAGAAAGGAAAATGACCATGTAGTGCAGTTTCACTGCTTTCACTCTTTCATCATGCAGCACTCCAGGGCTCTTGCTCGGCTGTACAATCCAGGACGCTGCTACAAGCAGGGAGCCCGGTTATACTCCACAAACAGTCCATTTGCATCTTTTATTTCAGATGTAAATATCCCAGAGTCAGTAACAGCTTCGGTAGAAGCATCGCGGAGTGCCCCGAGACTTAGTTCATTGGGAGACATAGAAATTCGTGCGTAACCTTACTCTATCCGTGATATGACCTCAAACAGTGATCTTAGCTTCTATCGCTCCATCATCTATCAGTTCTCTGTTTGCTGCACGTGCTGCTCAGAGGCAGAAGAGGCAGCTTGCTGAAGCTGCGCCCAAAAAGATTGAAGCTAAAGTTGTAAACACACCGAGGCCAACCTCGTTACTATCTAGAAGGTCTCAAATACAGCAGAAAGAGGAAGAGAGACGTCCCAATGATGGACCTTCGAACCCGCGGACTGACGCTCACCCTCGTTCGAGACGACCCTTTCCTACGGAGACTAGGTCAGCACCATCAGAAATGCGCACAGACCGGCGGAGGGAAATTCCAAGGGCTGCAAGACCAAGCCGTGTCTTTAAGCCCGTCAAGGATCTTAATGAAGCCGACACACCAGCTCCGCGACCATTGCATGTCAGCTTCAACAACACCAACTTGTCGGAGCTGTTCAGTTCACCGGCTCTCGTTCCCTATGTCGCTCAGCCATCAATTGCCCAGTCACGCATTGACTCCCGGGTGCAACTTTTGAAAGAACGCGCCGGCGATTACTCGCGTTATCTTCCAGGGGATATTGATCCTACAGCACAGACGCCAGGGTCAGCAGATTACGCGAAGTTAATTTTGGGTCGTAGGAGAGAAGTTGGATTAAGGCCAAAGCGCGCCGCTGTGGAACTCATGCATCAAGCAGGACTCAGTTCTACGTCAGGTACGCAAGACTTTACTATGTTCAAGGCAAAAACTTAACCAGAACTTGGCAGTCTCTGCGGTTCCATCGCGACTTTGATTAGCTTCGTTCATACTGAAATTTGTTCCATCGAAGCGAAGAAAAACATGACCACTACTAAATACATGCCCGGGGACAAAATTAGCCATAAGTTACACCAGAAAACAGTCAAAGTATATATATAAGTGCATGAAGGATCAAAAAAGCGCAGTACCATTCATCTCGGGCAGTTCTTCCGCAGTAATGACAGACTCTGCCAGTGACATGCGACCCGCTGTATATATTTGATACTGGAATTGGGGAGGGATTATCCATTCAGGAAGTTCAAAGTCTCTAAGCTCCTCAATCTCTTGTGGTACTTTTGCACCAAACGCAGTAACATGCCTATGCGTTTTACGAGCTGTTGGCGTGGATGAGGCCCGGATAGCAGCCTGCATGAGAACGCATGGTTCTGGTTTGGGGGCTAGGGCGTGGTGCGAAGGTCGTGGTGCATGATGCTCTGGAGTAGAATACGGAGAGTAAGCCTCATCCAGGTGTGACGGTCTTGTGCGTTTGCGCGGTCGGTCGGATTCGATGGACTCTGTATCAGAAGAGGCTCTAGATATTGGTTTCGCTGGAGACGCTCTGGATACCGATTTGGACTTGGATAACGAAGAAGATAATAAATAAGCTGTGGGCTTGGGTGCTGGGGTGCTAGATACTGATGGAGAAAAGCTTGACTGTTTTGGCATCTTGATTTTCAAGACAAGTGAGGTGTTGGCTTTGGTAGGCGAAACAGCGGCGGAAGCTTGTGCATTAACAATCGTCTCATCTTGCGGACGGGTGTCGGAGGGAGTAAGGATATTGACGCTACTTTGCCTGCTCGCTTTCTTCTGGTCAAAATAGCTCTTCTTGTCTGACGGTAACAGGGTGCGATACCGATCCTCCAGGATGGAAGCTACCTCAAGCATCTCCTGTCGTCGCCTCTCCCCTTCATCACACACGACTGAGCCGTCAGCGTGAATTGTCGAAAGGCTCGAGTCTTGGCCGTCTTTGACCTGAACTACACCAGACGGTAGGGGGAAAGATGTTGCAGGTAATCCAAGGAATGCACTTCCGTCCATCGCTCTCAGCTGTTCTATCCTCTCCTTGAGCTTGTACTGCTCATGCTTCAGCTTCTCCTTTTCACGGAGGCGCTGACGCTTTTCAAACGTCTCGTACTTTCGATGGCGCTTTTCATATATAGCATCAGAGGTATCTGCCGACTCAGGGAGCTAGATAGAGATCATTTCTAGTATGAGCTTATGCCAAAGTTCAAAACTTGCGTTTCAACGCACCTCTGCAGAAATTCTCGGCCTGAATCTACCCCCGACGCTGGCATCCTCTGACAAAGTAGTGAATTCAGGTGTTTGAATGATTTGTTGTTCCCGATAAGCTTGAATAACATCTGGTCTATCGAAATAGCGTTGATTTGCATGACTATTGAGTCCGAAGTCAGCCGAGGACGAGGGTTGAGGTTGGGGTACGAGGGCAGAATTTGTGGTCAACAAGAACTGCGTATTTGCGGGAATGAGCGGTTCATTTTCAACTACCAAAAGAATGTCAGTATATGAACTAGGTAGAGCAAGAATCGCAACGAACATCTTCGTCTCTGCGCGTCCAATATCATGAGGTCAACATCACAGCTTCCTATTCCAGGACCGCCACGACGTGAACGGGAGGGAAGAACGCGTTTCTGTCGAGACTTTAGGCCTGTAAATTCGGATGAATCTGCCATAGGAAGTCTTAGCTCCTAGCTGTATTGCAGCAGTCGCCAGCTCGAGAGTAGTTGTAGCAGTGTACTCAGGCTAGGTTATCGCTAGTCTAAGACTTCTAGACTTCTGCCTGTACCAAATGTTGTAGGTCTCCAACTCTTAGAGTTTATGAGAGAGGTCCGTAAAGCGATCGAGAAGAAACGGACATGTACTGACATGAACCGGGAACTTGAGAAACAAAACTTTCTTTCGTTGACCGCCGTATACAAGTGCCATCAATTTTACAGTCCACACTTTATGTTTTTATGCAAAAAATCTTCTTCAGCCTATCTAGACTATGTGTCTCGAGTATTTTCTCGGAATCTCCAGCCATCCTCTGTTAGTGCTGCAACGGCAGCGTCGGCCTTGTCTTTGGGTACCAGAACATAATCGGTATTCCTATGAAGGGATAAGCATCACACAAGTGGATCATATCTGCTACGAGCGCTAACCATGTCGAAACTGTGAACACTGGGACATTAGCATCTCTCAGCGGCGTCGTGAAATTACAAATTACGCCAGTCAACCCTGTTAGCAAGCGAAGATTAGATCGTCTTCTCGTCACCAACAAATGTAGTGAAGACACCAAATTTCATGGGCCCTGCTATCTTGATGCATTTCCATTCGCCATCGTCGTCGACAGATTCACCAACAACAGAAATCTCTTCGCCTGTTCTGGTGATGGAGAAGACCCCTGGAGTGTGTTGAGCAGCATTCAGCCCACTCGCAATTGCAGCTGGAACGCCTGCATCTACTGGGAACTGCTTAACGAAGAAAGTCTGAGCTAGTAGCTCAAGTTCCAGACTTGGGTGATTGAAGGGTGGAGGCATGTTATGACTAGATAATCTATCACCGACAATAGTACTGACAGAATGAAAGTTCGAAGGATCAAGAAGCCATGTACAATTATAGACTTTGCTTGCTACAGCAGAGCGTACTTAGTATTCTCTATTTTGCCCGTCGGTATTATCCTTCTTTGGGAAGGTACTGGATACCACTCGAGGGGCAAGAAGAATACTTAGGATTGTCTGGAAGCATGTTAACGCCAACTCTGCCACTGATATATGCAACGCACTTATTGGGACGAACTCGCCATCAATGACAGAGCCCTTGAGATTAAAGTACCAGCTGATTGATTCGAGTTTCCCAGATCGAGAGCAGCTCAAAGCTGGAGTGTACTGTAAAATAAACGTCACGATAACGTGTTTTTAATAAAACTATGAAACTTACTCCTCCAGAGGCATTTGTGAGAGCCGACAACAAAGACGAAAGCGAGTAAGTCTCGTCATATGACGGAGTGATGCCTGCCTGAGCAAGCCAATCATACGTGGGGAGGGTCTGGAAGACCTTCACCACAGTCTCAAAGAATGCCACGGCCTTGCATAATAATAGCGCTCAGGGCGAATGCTTCCATAGACAACGCCTACTTACCTCGGCACCCGTAGGGCTGTTGCTGGGAAGGCAGTTGACATCCAGTGTGCTAAAAAAAAAGGTTATTTACGTAAAACGAAAATTCTGAAGTCTGTACCTATAGCATGTGCCGTGTGTGGCCCACTCGTGCTATAATGCTCGACAATAAGAAACAAAACGGAAGCTCCGAGTCTCACGTACCTCCCAGAATTCCTCATTACTCCCATGATCGTTGAGCCAATACTGTTGCATGAATTCCAATGTAGACGATGCACCCTGGGATTCGAGTAGCTGTGGGAAGTCAGCGAGAGTGTCTTGACATCGAAGAGACCAGCTGACATCACCGATATCCGTGTAATCACGAGAGGGATCGCAGTGCTCAATGTAAGAGCCGTCGCAGCTACGATGTATTCAAATTATCTGCCCTAGTAGTCCAGCTACTGAGACTTACTTATCGGGCCACAGACCTAAATTTCTTATGTTAGAACGAAGTCAGAACGCCATTAATTACACACCATGAATGGTCCAACTGTCCTGGGGACTACCAGCGACATTTGTGTCCCAAACCTGGAAGAAGTTATTTCTGGCTCCACGTATTGAACAAGGCAAACCGAACGAACTTGTGTCTGCATGATCAGGCCCTGGAACCTGTTAGGGCAACTTATCATCGACTGATACTAAGACAGGGACGTACTCCAGGAGTCTCAAAACAGCAGGTATTGGCGGCGGGGGGCGTGTTAGCATCTTGGCACGACGTGGGACCAGAAGTCCCGCAGCCTGAGCCACTAGAGCTCTGGAAGAAGCCTGTCGGGTTAATGTAGGAAGTCCCGAGTAAGGACGACAGGACTAGTGATGAGATCGACATTTTAGACAAGGATGTAGAGAAGTGCAGCTGCCCGTATATTTATATGCCATGAAGGAAAGCTCCGGGAGCAAGTTGAACGTTGACCGGTGTCACTAGGCCTGTACAATCACAATACTGCCAATGAATGGAAGCTCCGGGAGCTAGATTAACCTTGACCGGTGCCAGGACTGTCATGTTTTCACGTCTGGGATGTTTATAAACGAAGCCGCTTAAGCGGATTGTGAGCTTCCCAGTGTTTAACTTTGACCCACGAATCACCTCCCACACGTGTGCTTCTCTTCTGAAGTTGAAGCACACGTGCGAGTTCGCCCTAGTCAAAAGGACTTGATTTGAAGATCGTCTCCGTTCTTTTTCGTTATGTCCATCCCAATTTACATGTAGCCCTCTCATTTTTTTTTTCGCAAGTTTGTCAGTGCCAGGCCTGTCAGGCACTGAAGGGCATGTGGGACCTAACTGGAATATTCCAAGCGTTGTGTGGCGCATCTTGAGATCCCAAATATTGTTGTATTGCAAGCTAGAAGGAAGTACGCACAAAGTATGCACATAGCTTAGGCCAAAGATGGACAAGCTCGACAGGCGATTTGCGTTATTCGCTGCCGGCACGATAGTGCTTTATATTAGGACGACCCAAGCAGGGCTCAGAGGTATGATTTCAGTGAAAATATATGCAATTGAACGTGCCGAACAGGAATTCCAGGATGAACTCGAACCTACTAGATCGGGGTGTATGCATCGCTCTCCGCGTTGTCGCACTCCCGTCCATGCACCAACCACTGATTCGTCCAGGGTTGAGCAGGCTGTTGTACATGATAAGAGTTGACCCGAGCTTCTTGGTTCCCAAACCATGCAGAAGGACCATTAAATCCAAATGCGGACGCAAATCGGGGATTGATGTGCGGCTGTACGGATTGTGGCTGCTGCTGTTGTTGTCCAAACGGATGACCTTGAAAGCCGCCTGGCTGATAACTCCACGTTGGTGAAGGCGAGAAAGGCTGTGAAGGATAGCTGGGGATTCCAGCTGGTTGATTTGTTCCGCGCTCTATCTCGTCAGATGTGGGCAATAGAGGGATCGAGCGGCTTGCATTGTACGGTTCCATTGAAGGAGCCGTAGGGTTTTGTTGAGACCATCTAGATTCTCCCCATGAACGTCGTCCCCGATCTGGCCGCCCACGCCCACGACCCCTTCCACCATCACGAGCCCCTCCACCTCTATCGTGACCCCTACTACGCCCCCGCCCTCGTCCTCTGCTGTCTGTGAAGTCTCTTTCGGTTTCCCTACCAGACAGACGAGTCTCAATGGAGGGCCCGTTGAATTCTTCTTCATACTTCATAATGTCCACTTTGACCTCGTTAGCATACGGGTCGTCGTATGGAATAGGCGCTGGGCGCGACGGCCCGGCAACCCGGTACCCGTCATCATATGGACCATGGGCGTCGTATGGGTTTGCCCCGTAGATGATTTCATCAGTATCACAATTGTAGTGAGACTGCGACGGCGCAGGTGTTGTTCGTCGAGATGATGATACAGACATGCTACGTCTGCCCGGAATGAATGAGAATGAGAATATTTTGAGCGCATACACGTACTTTTTCTTCCGTGCCTGCTTGAACGCGGCTTCTTGTTCGTCGTCCGAGAACTCCATTTCATCTTCACCGGTTTCCTCGTCATGAATGTTACTTGCGTCGCTGCCGCGAAGCTTTTTAAGGTATTCCATAAAAACAAAATTACTTCGTTGCGGTACATGGTAAACTTCGCGAGCGACACGAATCTTCTCAGGATCCAGTGGGTAGCTCTGGTTGAATTTTATTTGATATAAGGGTTGGGAAGTGGGCCCGAACGTTTCATACACCTGCATAAGGTCAGAAGAGATATCCTAAGAATACGAAATACGCACATGTCCGAGAACTTGTCGATCATCGAATACAAGTAATGTCTCAACATCTAGTGCCTTTTCAGACGCAGCCCTGGAGGATTCAGCAGGAAGGCCTTTCACGATTACTACGTTTCCAATAATGTTCATCACCTCGCCAACTCGTTCCAATACTTCTTCGGGTCCGACTTCTGATATAGAAGGGACAACGATATCTGTCTCGACAATCTCATTTTTGGTCTGTACATATGATGCAACAGGTGTAGCGCCTGACTCCTCGTCATCGTCGTCCACATCAATCTGTGGTTTTCGAGGGTTCAGCACATTTTTATCTCCTGCTTTATTAGCAGTTTCATCCTCGTCTACCTCGGAATCAGAATCCGAAGAATCAGAGTCTGAGCTTGAGTCTGACTCTGGTGATCCTGACCTAGTAATAGTCTCAAGATATCAGTTAATCGATGGTGTTAAGAGACTCACAAAATAGGCGTAGGATTGGCAGATTCCTCCTCTGGAACCATCAAATCAGCTTCAACCTCGTCCTCACTGTCAATCTCGCTGGACGAGCTTGCGATGGAATCATCGCTTGAGTCTGTGGACTTGTGGACATCCTTCCAGACATCTTCTTTTGGCGGAGGGATAACTCCGACAATTTCTTGAATAAGGAGTATATCCTGAGGGATCGAGTGGGGGACTTTGAACTGAAAATCCATGACGGATGACAGGAAAACGGATCTATAGCAAAGCGGCATGTCCCAAAACTAGAAATTTGGGCATCACGTGAGCGTTCCTAGTCGCGCGTCGCACAAAATTTTGCATAGAATCCTTCTTTCGATTGATATCCTTTTACGATGATAGCCCAATTTCTTCGCTCATCGAAACCGTTTCATGCGTCGAGGCTCTCGCGCGTTGGCCAGTCGTGCTATTCTACGGACTCCATCCAAGCCTTCCTTGCAGCATGTCGCGCAGCTGCGCAAACTGACGGAGGTCTCGATTTCAAAAGCACGAGAAGCCCTCAGTCAAACTAATAACGACATACAACAAGCCCTCGAATGGGTGAAAAATGATCTCGCAGCGTCGGGCTTAAAAAAGGCCGCGAACGTCCAGTCTCGGGAGACTCGGGAAGGGCTCATTAGTGTTTGCATACTCTCTGGAGGCAGCAGGGGGAAAACAGCCTTGGGGGGCGGCAGTATACGGGCGGCCATGGTTGAATTGAACTGTGAAACAGATTTTGTTGGAAGAAATGTCTTATTCGGTCAATTAGCGGCAGATATAGCTCATACCGCCGCATTTATCACGGAACCAACTGACTCTTCGACTATCATCAGATCTTGTTCTCTGGACGTTCTGAACGATGCCCCACTATTATCTCGAAACAACCCCTCGTCTCATTCGCCATCTACAGTGTCAAGCTCTATTAGAGACCTCATTGCCAAAGTGGGCGAGAAGGTTTCACTGAAGAGAGCTGTGACGGTCGTGCAAAACTCGTATTTGGGACAGTCTCCCAATCTTGGTCTGCGTATCGCGTCCTATCTGCACGGATCTGTGGGCTCCGCTCCTCAGGGTCGCATCGGGTCTTTGGCTGTGCTTGCTCTTCAATCTCCAGAGCTTGCACGCCGCCTTGAGAGCGAGACTTTCATCAAAGATCTAGAACGACTTGAACGTGCACTTGCACGGCAAATCACTGGCTTTGACACTCGCTCGATCAAGGATGGTGATGAGACGGCACTGTACAACCAACCATTCATGATGCTTGGAGGGGAGAGTGCAAATGTGCCAGTACGGTTGGCCATAGAGAACTGGAGTAAACAACAAGGTCTTGTTCAGGATGGTGAAGAGGGGGGTATTGAGGTCCTGGAGTTTGCCAAATGGAGTGTAGGCGATGTCATTGAATAGATTCATTATCATACTAGCAATATATTGGAGACTACAGATCACTTGAGAGTGATTTTGTATTTGCTCAATTATGTTTTGGACCATATCACAGGACTCCATAGCTCAGTGGTAGAGCATACGATTGCAGATCGTGCGGTCCCGTGTTCGAACCACGGTGGGGTCTGCTTTTTGCACGTGATGCGTAATTATACATACCCTCTAATAATAATATATATTCGTTCGGAGTTTCTCAACCTTTGACTTTACTCATCATGCGGAGGGCAACAACGTCGCTCGTCCGTCGCAGCAGGCGGCAATTTTCCCAGACAGTACAACCTCCATTGCAAATCACAACTCTGCCTAACAAGATCAGAGTTGCTACGGAGTCGACTCCCGGTCATTTTTCATCCGTTGGACTCTACGTAGATGCGGGATCCAGGTATGAAGACTCATCGACCTCGGGCGTTAGTCATTTCCTGGATAGAATGGCCTTCAAGGTGCGTAGCTTCAGGCAGTATTTGTGCCAGTGTTTATAGTTCTCTATTACTCAGACTACCAGTTCTCGTACAACGGAAGATATGGCGACCGCAATGGACAAGCTAGGTGGCCAAATCATGTGCTCTTCGTCACGCGAATCCATCATGTATCAATCGTCCAACTTCGACCAAGCTACCCCTCTCGCGCTTTCGCTCATATCAGACACCATCTTGAATTCCGCATTTCTACCGGATGAACTCGACGCCCAAAGAGATGCCGCTCGTTACGAAATCCGAGAAATTAGTCAGAAACCTGAGATGATTCTACCAGAGGTCTTGCATGAGGTTGCATACGGTAGAAAAACGCTTGGGAATCCTCTCTTGTGCCCAGAAGAGCGAATAGACGCAATTACGGGAGACCTACTTCGGGACTGCATTACAAACTGGTACCGCCCAGAAAGGATGGTGATTGCTGGTGCTGGGATGCATCATGAGCGACTAGTGGAGTTGGCCGATAAATATTTCTCATCCCTCAAATCTGCGCCAACACCATCAGTTTCGTCACTTCAGCCGTCAGCTACTCAAAATCTACCACCCCACTTACTCCCGTCGTCCTCGCCCTCGCTCTACAAGTCACTAACTCGTGCAGCATCAACTTACTTATACCCTACGTCCCTTTCTACCGAACCACCGCTTCCTCCACTGAACCCTCAATCTAATTATGTCGGTGGCATCCATCACATCCCGAGTACCACAGAGTTCGATCAACTCTACCTAGCCTTTGAGGGTGTAGGTATTCATGATGATGATATATACACCCTTGCCACTATGCAAGTCCTCCTTGGAGGTGGCGGAAGTTTCTCAGCCGGTGAGTAATTATTTCCTGCGCCACACGCTTTATTTAACTTCTTGCAGGTGGTCCTGGCAAGGGCATGTACTCCCGACTTTACACACACATCCTGAATCACTACACCCAAATTGACCACTGTGCTTCCTTCCATCACATTTACACGGATTCCTCGCTCTTTGGCGTTTTTGCTTCATTCGTCCCCAATGCTCCTGGCCAGAGAGGCAACACCCCTGCACAGATGCTGCCCCACCTAGCTAATCAGCTTAGCCTGCTTATACACCAATCTGTTCCCAAAGTTGAACTTGAGCGTGCCAAGAATCAGCTCAAATCGAGCCTGATGATGGCTCTCGAGAGTCGGGCGGTGGAGGTGGAGGATCTTGGACGACAGGTGCGACAAACATCTATTCTAAATATACCCGCATACTCATGTGCTAATACAGTTGCTTGTCCACGGTCGGAAGATTCCTGTGACTGACATGACTGCAGCCATAGACAAGGTGACTCCTGACTGCGTGCGCCGCGTCGCTACTAGACTATTCGCACCTTCGTCCGGAAACAAGGCCACGATTTTGACGATGGGGCGTGGTGATCTAGGAGATTGGAAGGCGACGCTTAAAAAATATGGTGTCGCAGGAGCATGAAGGTTTGAACGCTTAGATCATTGAACTTTCGGTACTTCATTTTAGCCAACGGTCATTGCAATAAACTATTTTCATCGTACGAGATGTGCCTTGACGAAGCATTTTCAAGCAGAGCAGTGTCTATAAGCGATCCTATCCGTGGCACAATCAAAGCGTTCGATCGTGATCACAACTTAAGCAGCAGTCTAATCGACGCTCGGTATCGTACTGACTTCATGGCTTACATATACATATGATGATTGAGCAAACACGCCAAGTAATAACAAAAAGTGAGTAAGTGCGTCTACCCGCAAATAGTGGGGTATTCGAGATCAGTAGGGGACCAGGGTATCCAGCCGTTTTGCAATCCAGCCAGGTATGACCACTCGTCTGCACTCTCTGTCTTCCACGTCCACATCAACCACCCGTTCGATCTCTCGTAGGAAATAACTTGTGCTTCCCAAAACTGACGAAGGAAAGTCTTATAACTCGAGCTGAAAGTAGATGCGCTCCCGGTAAGTCCGGTGCAACTTCCAACGTAAGTGGAACCAGGATAGGAACCGTCGTAACGGGCCCCATTGCCCCTGCCATTGAGGTAGGTGGCGCAGTCAGTAATAGCAGGTGACCATTCACCGACCATAAGCCAAAGGTCGAAATCAGAAAGAGTGGATTGAGTGTCACACGCAGTATCGATATGGCTCTGCCAAGACATTTGGACATCCTGCGAACAGAAGGATAAGACTTGGAAAGGGCTGCCCATCTTTGGGACATACCGCGTTGGAAAACACCTGGTAGATGTGCGTATCCATCGCCACGCCCTGGAAGTCGGGCGCGGTCTCGAATCCGTCCCAATAACTCAAAGGCTGGAAAGCATCGTGAAGTAGAACAACGGTATTGCTCTGCGTCGATGTGCCGTACGGATACCTGCATAATGCATCAACACCCTTATACAAGCAGACGATAAATGATTATTTCTACCTGATGTTTCCATAAGAATCATAGTAATATTGTCTCAAAGGTGTTAGCATAGATGATCCATAGTATCCAGCTGGCCTAAAAAAGCACATTACATTCGTTCAAGAACGCTCTCTTAGTTACACTCACTCGTTCAAAGGCGCGATGATGGGAACAACATTGGCCTGATCAGCAAACATGGAAGCAATCTCTTTGATGATCGCGTCGGTCCGGGCAATATTCGTTTGGTTTGACTGCCATGTAGGGTATGACATTCTCTGTCCAGAATTGTCGTATCTACAGTTTTGCGTGAGCTGTTAGGAGACACCAGGAAACAATATAGTACGCACCCGTTTTGGCTTCCTGGAGCCCCATGAAGATCGATGATCAACTTGAGTCCATATTGGCTAGCCCATTGTACAGCGTTCTGAAGGTAAGGCAGCTGGCCTTGTATGTATGGCTCACCAGAGCCAACTTCAAAAGCCCAGTACCCGATGGGCAATCTCACGTGGTTCAATCTGCAGCATGCCGACACGAGTCAATCGCGGTGTGTACACTTGCAAGGCCAAGCACGTACCCGGCAGCAGCGATATTTGCAAAATCATCTTGCGTAATCCAGGTGTTCCAGTGGTTCTGTAGTATGTTTGTTGCAGTGGCACGGTCATAGTATTGTCCAAATGTCCATTCATCGACAATGTTGGGATTTCCTGTGTTGTCGAATACACTGGGGGTGATCCATGGCTAGTCCAAGCATGATGATCAGTGAAGACTCTCGACTGTCGAGCGCCGGCGTTGCACATACCTCGAGTACGAGCCAACCTCCAAGGTTGACACCTCGCACCTTCTGAGAATCGTAAGGGAAGCCAGGAGAAAATTGAGAAGACACTGGGTAAAATAGAGATAGCCCGACGAGGGCCAAAAATGCAGAGAGCATCGGAAAATTAGTAGACATTTCATCTATCGAACCAGGCCCAGCCGAATTTATTGGGGCTTTAAGGTTGCTCTATCGACCCGGACATTATTTAATAGAGTTGGCAAGAACCAAAGAAGGCTGCCAATTTGCGAAAACTGCGCTCACTGCTCCTCCACACGTGTTAAGCACCATGCTAGTAGGAGCATTTTGGGCGCAGGCTGAGGATCCACTGCAGCCGCCGTTCTTGTAATGCAAATTTGGATCCCCAGTTCAGAGCACGGGATACAGAACGCCTAGACATATCAGACATAAACTAGAAGCAGAGTAATGTGATCGAATAGAGAATGCGTTCACAGAATGGCACGGGAATTGCGCTTCATGCGAGGATCATCATGCTATACGGGCCAAATCGTCCCAGGAATAAGAATGCAGTTGCAGAAAGGCTACTGCCCTCCTGGATAAGTCGATAGGGACACGCGTCTTATAGGATACGGACTCCAATTAACAATTTGTCCGAGTTGCACACTGGCCAAAATGCATCTGCTTTGCTGCTTGAGCTTGAGGAATCTCCGATCGACTCCAAAGATGAGTGCTTGGGTACCGAGTCCTGAAATGACCATCGATATGGTGATGCTGACGCCGCAGAGGCACACCACTCCTTCACCAAGCTACTGTGGTCGGTGTGCTTGGTCATTTGCGAACAAGTTAGAGTTTGTCTCGACGTAATCCAGGTCTTCTACTACAGAGTGAATGGAAGTTTGGAGTGCGGAGTTGTGCTGTATACTACATTGAAGTGTTTACTTACGTAATAGTGGGCCAATCGGTGAGCTCCCATTATAATTAGCAACACCACAGTATAGTGCCAACACATAAAACGTTAGGTCAAAGATTGTCGCATTTACCGATTAAACGAGAGACAAAGTATGGGTATATACTGGTATATGTAGGTTGCTACCATGACTCCGCTGTTAGTGATGCTAATAAATTGTTCGGCATTGCTGCCATTTTTCAATCGCAAATGTTCGGGTACTCCAAGTCAGTTGGGTTTTGTGGTATCCATCCATACTGCAACCCAGCCTGGTAACTCCAATCATCCGCATCCTCAGCTTTCCAGGTCCACTGAATCCATCCACTGCCTTTCTCGTAGGAGATCACCTGAGCTTCCCAGTATTGGCGCATAAACTGCTTGTAATCTGCGCTAAAGGTCGTCGCATTGCCTGTTTTGCCTGTACAGCTGCCGACCGCGGTTGAGCCTGACAAGGTTCCGTCATAGCGTGCTCCACGACCGCGACCATTCAACCAGGTCGCGCAGTCTGTTGATGCAGGGGTCCATTCACCGACAATTATCCACAAGTCAAAGTCGGCGAGACTGGAGCCATGACTGCACGCCTCCTGAATGTGCTCAGAATAGTTGTAGGCAACTTGCTGTTCACATCGTTAACACCTCGCGTCATGAAGGAAATGGAGGGTGCATACCTGGTTTGTAAACATCTGGTAGATGTGAGTGTCCATTGCGACGCCGTCGTACCCGTCGACCATATAGCCATCCCAATAACTGAGGTCTTGGAACGCGTCATGAATGAGCTCGACTGTGTTACTTTCTGTGGATGAACCGTCTGGATATCTAAAAATTCCGGGTGTTATTAGCCAAAATTAGGATGAAGGTCAAGTTCTTGCCTAATGCTCGTATACGAGTCTTGCCAATATTGCTTCACGACCGAGAGCATTTGACTGCCGTTATATCCTGCAGGTCTACGAATCATTAATCCCGCTGAGAGTGAGCCAGGATAGAAGGGAACTTACTCATTCAATGGTGCAATGACAGGCACTGTTTCGTACTGCGAACCGACCATAGAAACAATGGTCTCGATAATTTCATTTGTCCTATCGATGTCAGTCTGGTTGGTCTGCCACGTTGGATACTGCATTCTTTGACCAGAATTATCAAAACTGAGAGAAAGATATTAGCGTGATGCGTGATCCCGAGATGGTGTTACTGTTGGATTCACCCGTTCTGACTGCCAGGGGCACCGTGCAGGTCGATTATGAGCTTGAGGTTATGGTTTGACGCCCAGGTAATGGCCTTGTCCACATATTCTAGCTGTCCAGTTATGTACGGTTCTCCTGCACCGACCGCGAATGCCCAGTATCCGACGGGGAGACGAACATGGTTCAGGCTGTAGAATATCTTAGAGGGAATTCAATAAGCATTGATTGGACCATACCCTGCTGCTGCAATGGCTTCAAAGTCATCTTCGGTGATCCAAGAGTTCCAATGGTTTTGTAAGACGGCCAAGGCGGTGTTGTAGTCCTGATACTCGCCGAAGGTCCACTCATCGACAATAGCACTATTGCCAGTGTTCTGGAATATACTTGGGGTGATCCAAGGCTAGATACAAATTACAAAAAAGTATCACATTATGTATAGGTTACTTACCTCGAGGACAAGCCAGCCGCCTAGATTGACACCTCGCACTTTTTCGGAACCATAGTTAAAGCCCGGCTGGATAGACAACACGGATGGAACTGCGGAAACTCCGAGCACAGCAAGACTAAGTAAGCGATTCAGTAGGAGCATGGCCTCGCAGCTGGGATGAACGTGGGTGGTACATGAGGGCTTGTCTTTTATATGAGGAACCAATTGTACTAGTGGTTCAATTACACATCGGTAGTTCGCTTGTGATCCGAGTAAAATCGGTTCCGCTGCAGGAAGATCAACACAAACATATTAACCTCGAAAATCTAATCCGTACACGCTGGCGTGCGGTCAGCATCACGATTTATGTTGACCACACATATGTCTATGGGTGCTGCCAGTGGTCGACGCGATTCAAGTCTGAAGTGAATGAGGATTTATTCATATTTGTTGGTCGCGAGAAGACGTACGCTCACATAAAAGTTCCATACTTTGAATCATTGACACAGTCATGGCGACTTGAGAAGTTCAGGCTTCCGAGTCCGATGTGTTAACGTGAAATTCAGAAATTGTCACCACAGCACTGCATAGATCACTAGTGCTGCAATCCGAATCTTTACGCATCGTTGACGCGGCAGGCCTGCAAAACAATGGAAGTAATCAGTCTTCAAGTTTCTTTGGTTTAAATATATTATAGCTAATTTTACATGCATATGGGCGCACGCGCGCTTATATTTAATCCTACTATGTGTCATATTCGGGATACGGAAGAATGAAATCACATACGATGAGCTCGATTGAGACTGAGCTCGTCGAAGAGCTCGATGACCGTCATCGATATAATTTGTGTTGGAGAAGGAAAAGGGTTTTCCCCAGGGCTATGTTCAACGGAGGGGCTGTGGGTTGGGCAACCAGACGGCTAGTACCGGAATTGCCAATATTACTAGAGTCTCATCCGTAATAAATAGTAGCAAGTCTCTTCCTGACTAGCCCCACGTCCTCATCTTCTGATCCTTCATCTCATACGTTACTTAGGTCAGAATGGCCGTTGATGATATCCGTAAAAAATACCAGGCTGCTGGTCACGACCACCTATTCACTTTCTGGTCAACCCTTGAAGAATCAGAACGCAATTCCCTCTCCCGCCAACTCGAAAACCTTGACGTCGATCGTGTGAACAGGATCTACAAGAAGGCTATCGCATCTGAGAAGGAAGCCGCCAACCCCCAGCCTATTGAACCCCTTCCTGTTGGGGCTTGCGAGTCTGTCGTTAATGATCCTGCGAGCGAGAAGAGATGGCGTAGTGAGGGCCTCCAGGCCATCGCCCGTGGGGAAGTGGGAGTCCTCCTTATGGCGGGTGGTCAAGGTACCCGTCTGGGCAGTTCAGCGCCCAAGGGTTGTTATGACATCGGCCTGCCTTCACACAAAAGTCTCTTCCAGTACCAGGCTGAGCGTATCGCTTGCCTTCAAGTTGTTGCCGAGAAGGAATACAACAAAGCTGCAGGTTCAGTCATTGTGCCGTGGTATGTCATGACCAGCGGTCCGACGCGTCGTGAGACCGAGGCATTCTTCACGAAGAACAATTTCTTTGGATTGAGTTCCAGGAACGTTGTCTTCTTTGAACAAGGTAACGATATTTTTTCATTATAACACAATTTTGTTGACCGGCATCTTCAGGCACTCTCCCATGCTTGACTGCGGAGGGCAAGATCATGCTCGAGAACACATCACGTGTTGCGGTTGCCCCTGACGGTAACGGCGGGCTGTATGCCGCTACACGCACACCTCTATCCGAGTCTAGCAATTCAACGGTTCTTTCTGACTTGACTGATCGCGGAATCCTCTACGTTCATGCATACTGCGTCGACAACTGCCTCGTCAAAGTCGCCGACCCCGTTTTCCTCGGCTACTGCATATCCAAGCAGGCTGATTGTGCTGCCAAAGTAGTTCCCAAGGCCTCTCCTTCGGAGTCAGTTGGCGTTGTTGCTCGTAGGGGGGAAAAGTTCAGCGTTGTCGAGTACTCGGAGATCTCCCAGGAACAAGCCGAACTTCGTAACTCCAAGACTGGAGAGCTAGCTTTCAATGCCGCCAACATCGCCAATCATTTCTACACGACGAGCTATCTCAAATCTGTTCAATCGTTCGAAGATGACCTTGCATTCCACATCGCTCGCAAGAAGATTCCCACAGTTGATCTGAAGACTGGCGAAGCAGTCAAGCCGAGCAAACCTAATGGCATGAAGCTTGAACTGTTTGTGTTTGACGTCTTCCCCTTCACGAAGCGCTTTTCAGTTTTGGAAGTTGCACGTAATGAGGAGTTCAGTCCGCTCAAAAACGCGCCTGGAACTGGTGCAGATGACCCAGAGACTAGTCGCCGTGACCTACTTGCGCAGCACAAACGGTTCCTGGAGAGGGCTGGTGCCCAGGTCAAAGATGGTGTGGAGATTGAGCTCTCGCCATGTGTTAGCTATGCTGGCGAGGGCCTGGAGTTCGTGAAGGGCAAGACCTTCACAAAGTCAGGTTACGTTGAAAACCCCGAGGAGCTCGATGCCCTTCTCTAGTCGGGATAGCATATAGACCTCTAATTGAGTTTGGATGGGATGGGACGCTGTGGAACTTTTGTACGACTACTCTTTTGCATGGACATCCTCTTTCAGTTTTTCAATCAACATGCCTTACTTGTACACCCGATCATTTGATATCAGTAGTGATTCGCGTCCCTTAGAAACAAGCTGAACAATAAATATAATGACGTTCAACCTCCTACAGGGCCGCCATCTGCAAGTTTGGCTCCCCGCTTTTCCAACTCATCTCGAAGAGAAGCAAATAAGCGTTGGGTCCGCTCGGCATTTGGCTGTGTATCAGTACGTCAAATCGAAGACGCACTGCTGCATGGCATAGATGCACACACCTCCTTGCAGCAGGTAATGAGCTTATCGATCAACATTGTTTGTCCGTTCTGCGCATCTTCCAACTCCTTTCGGAGATTCTGATTCTGGATTGATGTTGAAAAAAGCTGAGGGGCATGTGCTGAAAATATGGATAGAATGTGAATTACCTCGTCGTCCATTTTGTCGGCACGGGATTTCTCCCCCTCAGCCAGCTGTTTCTGCTCAGCTGCTCGAGCACGAGATAGGAGAACCTCGAGCTCTTTTGAACGGATGACGCATTCAAAATGTCGTTCGCGAAGCTCATACTGTCGGAGGACTTCCTTCAGTCGTTCTCGTACGCTATAGTCGCAGCTTAGTGGGTGAGCATTCTCAACAATGGGGTACGCACACGCCATCAAAGATCTCTTCCAATGACCGTCGAGCGCTAATTAGTGTCAGTGGGGCAAATCAAGAGAACGAGGGAACCCACTCTCGTGGATCATCCGTCCAGTTCTTTCTGAGGCGCTGACGACGAGATTCTGGAAGGTCTTCCTGTATAGGTATATCTTTTAACTTCATTTTCCAACACGATTCGTGTCATCACTCACGAAGTCATCCAGTCCGGGTCCTTCGGTGAGGTCCATAAGCTCCACAGCAAGAATCTCATCTCCGTCTTCTACTCCTTGCTCTTCTGGTGTCTGGTCCGCATCTATTGTCCGACCATTGTGGGAGAAGATGAATTGGATGGAAGATGACGCATTGGAGCCGACACTGTGCGTGCTGGCGGCTTCCGACTTGGCAGTGCCATTCATCGGCTTCCCGCTCCCGCTCACCGATGTTTTCCCCTCATCCTTCTTCCCACCGGTCGCCTCCATTCGATCTGTCCACGCATTGAAAAGTCGGGAGAACTTGGTCTTGCGTGAGATTTTGAAGAATAGTTCAGCTCGATATCGGCAGACCACTTTCACGACAATGTCAGGCATTTCGCGGTATTTGACGTCTTGCGTTTTGGCTTTGTCCACTCGTTTTGCCATGTCGGATTTCATTTGCATGATCTGAAGGCAGTATCAGTTGAGCTACAAGTTGAAGAAATGACACACACCTCTTCTTGTGCCTCTTCTATGCATTGTGCTAGACGTTTACTGTCCTCCTAGGTCGGTGTAAGCATACTGGATGAACCTCGTTGCGCAGTAATGCGTACCCGTAGTCTCTTGTTGTCCTACACGAAAGTTGGTTAGGAATATAGAAACAGGTCATGAATCTGCTGACCTTTTGGAGCTCGCGTGCCAAATTCTCCATTTTGACTTTAGTCTGATTAGCTTTCGTCAGTTGACCCTTTGCTTTATGAATACAGTGGAGTATGAGTATGTTAGAACGGAGTGGGTCAATCGTACGTACCAGCATCTTTGTCCTTGACCAATTTCTGTTTTTCCTTTGCATGGTCGCGTTCCAATCGCTTTAGTTCTGCGAACTGCAAATCCGTGATTCAGAAATGCATACATCGGACATGCGAATGATAACGTACGAGTTCAATGTACTTGGCGTGAACTGCGTTCTCCTCCATGCCCTTGACCGACTTTACAGCCTCCTCAGCTGATGAACGGATGAGTGGTGTATAAATTTGAGAGGCAGGACGCACGCACCGAATATCTTCTCCTCCTCTTCCTCAAGCACCTCCTCCTCTTCCAGAGCAGCGATCCTGCTCTTCAGAGACTCGTACATTGCAGCAGGATCGACAGGTGTATCGTTCTTTTTCTTTCCTTTCTGATTGTGAGTATAAGTGCCATTAACAACGGCGTTATTGGAATGGGGTGGTAGTGTTCGATTTGGAATGGGTGAATTCGGATGATTAGGAAGAAGGGGAGGCGCGACGGAAGGCGCAGAAGGAGCGAGACCGGTTGGGGGAGGTTTGGCTGGCCGCGAACCTATTGCATTCTGACTGGGAATGATGTTTGTACCGTTCATAGGTATTTGATCCCCAGACGTCGTGCTGGTGGACCTGCGCGGTCGGCGAGGGATACAAGGTATGAAGAACTTTAAGAAAGCAATGTTTTGAAAGCGTGAAGGTTAGCTGAATGCTTTTTATTTGGCCAGACCAGATTGCCAGTGATTAACAAAATTTCAAAGACGGAACACACGGAATGTCATGGATTAGACTGGCGACGGTCGACGGGCGTTAGTAGCTAAGAGGACGATCAATATTGAGTTTCAACTATATATGCGTATACTGGTAGGCCTACTAGAGCCCAGACTAATCTCAATAAAATCAATTTTATTGTTCAAAAATTCTACGGAGATTCTATAAAAACATATAGCCCGGTATCAACCTTAGATCAATGGCTGTCCACAGTGGAACAACTGAGGCTGATGTAATGCCACACGTGATCAATTTTCAAGACGCGTCGCGTACTCTGAGATGGCAAACAACCTTGTAACTTGTAACAAAAATGTATAATCTAGGTGAGACACTTCAAGTATCTTCTTTTCAGGCTTTACATGAGACTTTTAGACTCTTCTCCTAGTCCGCCCAGGAAGAAAATGAGAATGTCTTCTCCAACCTATGACGAACAAGTCGATGACATGAGTCAAGACGATATAAGCGCTTTCGATGCCATAGAGGCACGCCTTTCTCAGCCAGCCCCTCCACTTCAAGAAGTGCTCCTACAAAAAAACTCACATCGCAGGCTTAGCCCTGGTGAAGCTGCAGATCGTAGCACTTCGTCCGATCAGGACCTCCTTTCCTCACAGGACATAGTTTCTCATAGCGACAACAATCCTTTTGTTTCTGACCCATTCACTGATTCGAACGTCACAAAGCCAGCAGTATATGCATCTTTTACCAAAGCATCTGCCGTTCTCCCTCCAGTAGGCTTCAAGTCTGCATCGGCTTTGCCCATCCAGAATGTTGATGACTCATACCGTTCGCCTTCGCCCGAGGCACCCCCGGAAGTCGATTACTCTTCCTGGTTTACTTTGGCTCCTCCTGCAACTTTTGTCGGCTTTCAATCTGCTACGTCCCGTCTTGATCAAACCAAAGAGAATGTTCCCGAGGCGACCGCCAGTCCCAGCACACTCATAGGTTTTAAATCCGTCGGAAAAGGGAATCTTATCATTCCATCAACCACTGCATTGCGGAAGGCCGAGGAAAAAATCAAGGTGTGGCAGGAAGAAGTTGATGATTCGAGTTCCTCCCAAAATCCTGGAGGTTTGGTGCCCTCTACTTCAGCACGACCATCCTCGCCTCAGCGTACCATTTTGGGAGCAGTGCACAATTCCTTGTTGCCTCAAGTTCCAGATACACCGACTCCTGCAATGGCTACTCGCAGGTCATTCGAAGCTGCAGCACGATCGACACTTGACGCACCAACGTTTCGTGCCAGCGACTTCAAGGGAAAGCAGAAACCTTTCAAATCTCCTTTGATCACTTCCGTACCATCACAACAGCCTATCGCGGGGATAGCCAGCTCTACATACGTCAACTCTCCCCTCAATCCTCATCGTCAGGGCTTCGCGTCCGCATCTTCACATATGACTCCATCCAGTTCTGTTGTACCAGGAACACCTGTCCGTGCCTCAGCATCGGTTAATTCCAGTGTCGCATTTCGACCACTGGGCCTTACGCCGCGAAATTTACGTGGTGGTCTGGTCAAGAACAAGTTTGTGACGCCTTTCAAACCAGGCGTCAAACCTCCAGAATTGAACAGTGCAGCATCAGCTACACCGTGGTCTGCTGCCTCAAGTCCCAGCTTACAGCGACCTATGTATCCGGCCTCAGCAACCCAGTCTCCAAGGCCAGAAAAGAAAGCTCCCGAGAAGGGTACAGACAAAGTGTTTAACCTTGGTAAGTGTTTCACTGAAGTAATCCATCGCTCAACTTATCACTCCTGTTACAGTCCCTCCTGCAGGAAGAATGACGCTTGCCAATTCCAGTCTTACACCTCAGACCTACACTACTGCAGAGCTTGAGGATCGGGGAATGTCAGTTAGTCAGTTTAGCTGCAATACTAATTACTGACACGCTTCCACATAGAAATGTTACGGAGCTATCCCAGATAACACCAGCTACCGCTCTCTTTTACTCGTTTTATACGCCATCTGCTACGCCGAGCGAAAGTGTTCAACCCTCTGACGTGACGCCTCTCGGACCTGCTGCCGCCCTAGAAGAACTCCACGCAAGGGGGTGCTCGTTAGCCACGAAGGAATGGGTCAATAATCATTGGCCACTTGTCCTTTGGAAGCTCGCTGGAATGGTCTCACTCGAACCAGAAGCAGAATCGGATCCCGATCGCAAACGGTGGCGCTGGCCTGAAGTGATCCGCCAGCTACTGTACAGGTTTGTGCCGTCTACCTATCTGGTTTTTTACCTGACCAATCACTGGGGCAGATACGAACGAGACTTGAACGGGTCAACACGACCACCCCTACGACTGATTACTACAAGAGATGCGCCCGCTGCATCTCCGATGGTACTCTGCGTGTCAAATGTGACCTGGTCACCAGCTGGAGAAACTGATGACGGTTTTCCCATTCCCTCGCATCCCGAGTTAGAGGTGACAGACGGATGGTACAGACTGCGCGCGAGAGTTGACAAGCCACTTGCGAGAGCCATCCGTAAGGGTCATATCAAGATTGGGAGGAAGATCGCTGTTGCTGGAGCCAGGGTAAGTGACTGATACTACCCTACATTGTGATATTAGACGACTTTTCGTGCAGCTCTCTGCAGAGCGTAAAGATGGACAAGAAGTCCTCGAGGCATATGATTCGAGTGTCCTGGTGCTGACAGGTAACTCGTCCCATATGGCCCCCTGGCACGCAAAGCTTGGCTTCCAGCGAAGTCCATTCATTGCAACCCTCAACAGCCTGACGGCGGACGGTGGCAACGTTGCTGTTGCAGCTGTCGAAGTTATCAAGGTAGGATGAGCGTGCAACACCCAGACATAGCTTACTCTACTTGAAAGATTCATCCCATCGCATACATTGAATTTTTCGAAGACGAAAACGGAAAGCGGATGGAGGGTCCCCGCAGTGCCAAGGAGGAAAGTGCCTCGAGTGAACAATGGAAGGTGAGATGAAGAGTTCTGCACCAAGTCTAGCGCTTATATTCTATATCAGAGAAAGCGCGAACTCGCTGCCTCAAAAATTTGGTCGGATCTTGAAAGACGAGCGGCGTTGATGATAAAGTTTGCAGATAGGCTTGAACAACGTGTGGGTCCGGACTTCAATATCAAAAACGAAGGTGAGAAGGCCGTAACCAAGGTTGTGTATTGCTCACGCACTATTTCAGAAATACCGGATAATCTTGACGATTTATATGAATCCTTGGAGGAGAGTGATCATCATCAAGCCCAAGCGATACTCTCACGGCTTAGCCGCCTTGAAGCAGGCAGTCTTGCTGCATACATCAGAGAAAAGCTTCTCCGGGATCGCGAAGCTGTCGCAGGAGACATCGAGCGAGAATTGCAGGTGAGTTTGTAAGTTTGACACTTGCATGAATTTTTTCGCCGAGCGCTCCCCCAGGACAAATGTCCTGCTCGGGAAGTACGCAGTTTCCGTGTTATCATCGTGAAGGATGCATATGCACCCACAAGAGGCGGCGGCAGTATCCGCAAAGCTCAGCTAACCGTCTGGGATGTACTCAACTTATCGATTGCTGAAGGATCCCAAGCGGGGGAGTTTAAATTAGGCCAGAAGTTCCTCGTGAGTATTGTGTTTTTAGAGCAGTACGATTCTCATCTTGCGATTACGCCAGGTAACAAATTTGATGCCCAAGCAACCATCTGCTTGGATGGACCGAGGCCCTGGATCGGAAGTGTATCTTGTCACCACAAAAAATTCTAGGTGGAAAAGGTTGGGATGAGCAGACGTTACTGAGGATAACGCGAGAGTGAGCTTGTAATGTGTAGGTTGGGGTGTAATGATATTATATGTTCAAGGCAAACTGCTTGACACTGAGACTTGTAACACTCTAGGCACAGCTTTGCTACTCGGATATGGTGTAAAGGTAACATATCCGCCTCTCATATGCCCTGCATAAGGGCGCGCGGTTGCTCGGGGTTCGATTCCCCGTATCCGAATCATTTTTCCTTCACGATGGTCCAAACCCATTAACGAGGAACCTACATATTTATATACTTTGAAAACTCGAGATAAAATTGATTTCGGGGTAGGATCCGACGGATCTACTGACATTCATAGAGATATAATTACTAGCCAGAGCTAAACACCACTGCGTCCTTCAACCCTCACGATTTGCCGTTGACGGTACCGTCTGTACAGTGAGTCAGTGACAGAGCCAACAACTCAGAATCGTTCAACTCGAAGTCCCGGTAGCACTTACTATCAATCATTTGAGATCATGTATTCCATGAACCCGTGGCGCAGTGGTAGCGCGTATGATTCCAGCGGAACTTCAAGTTCTCGGCATCCATAAGGTCATCCGTTCAATCCGGGTCGGGTTCACTTTTTTTGTGTGAAAAACGCGTGGCTCACCTTGTCCAGATTTGGCATGTACCAGCATGTGGTGGCCTGTGGTGGCTGCGTTTTTTTTTTTTTGGCTTTGCCATGATGGCCCATCTGCCAGTTGGCGGTGTGTGTTCCTTCCACAGAATTTGAGTAGTGCTACTTCTTGTGCCTACGCTGATATGTTCCGCCAGCGCACGTCCACCTACGGACTCGGAATATGAACAGGTCCTCGGATGTGCCTTTGCTGATTCGACCACGAGTCTGCCTCGTGACAGTGCCAGTTATTCACAAATGATTGTGAACGGCACGGGAGTCAATCAGCCCACCGTCTGCCAGAAAATGGTTGGACAGTGGCAGGTAGCCGGTAATTTCATTCAGCGTTAGTTGGTATCAGAATTCGAATTTTCTACATGACGGGCGTTGTTGAATCTATCTATGGATGCCGGCCAGCACAGCCTTTCATGGGGAAACATATATGCTCTCGAGTCTTTGCCTTTTTACAAGGTAGCTGCCTACGCTCGACCATCCAAAGATCCTCACATTAGCTTGTGTCTCCGTGCACGAAAATCGCCATCTAAATTTGACTCGACTGGTTTAGTGGCACGACCCGAGATCATGACCATACCTATGGACACAGCTGCTTTGTTAGGTTTATTTCTCGATACCTTGCTGTATGGTGCGTAGCCGACCACTAGCGGAAAGGTCATGATGCCAAACTTTGCTTATCCTCAACAGGCGTGTTCTTCACTTTATACTGTTTCACGTTAATCATCCTGCTCAAGAAGACCGGCATTAAACGACAACTCCTTCTCCCAGTAGCAACCTTGCTGCTCTGCATTGCAACGGCCGTAAGTCGATAGTCAAACCTCCTTGGGGAATAACTCAACGCGATCACTTTCAGCATTTAATCATTGATTTTGTTCGAGCATTAGATGCATTCATATTCAAGGTGGATACGATTGGTGCAAGCGACTACTATTCCAACTTTTCTTCACCATTATTTGTTGCATCAACGGCACTTTTGATCACCCAAACCATTCTCGCCGATGCGATAGTTGTAAGTTTCTCCACATGGCATGTTTGCTTTCCGCTCTGAGTAGGGCCATAGGTTTGGCGATGTTATATGCTCAATGACAGAAGTTTGTTCGTTGCCATTCCTGGCTGTATCATGCTCTTAGCTAGCATGGGTGAGTATCTGGTACTATCAGAGCATTATCTTACCCCGAAACATTCACAGCCACCGGATACTATGGTATCGGGTCCCTTTCTCTGGCCCATCCGCTTTCTAATGTCACCCCCGCTGATTATGGGTGTATCGCCACATTCGATGCATTAACCATGGTTCTCAGTGTTGCCAGTACCAGTATGTCGATTGGATCTAATCTGCAGGCTCTGATGATAGTGACTGCAGGTTTGAATGCTTGGCGCATCTATCGTACTCGCTCTTTCATGCCAGAGGGGTCTGCCGTTTTTCTACCCGTTTTTGTCGTCATCATCGAGAGCGGCGCTTTTTATTCCACGAGTATCTTTGTGCTTCTTTTAACATTCTTCATTGGATCCAACGGCCAATATACCATGCTGGACATAATCACTCCCATTGTAGTGAGTTTACAGAGCTTAAAATTTAAGAGATTCACAGCAATTTTGTTCAGGGGATCACATTCTGCCTCATCATTCTGCAAGTACACTTCAATGTGGGCGGCAACTTGCCGGCCGAAAACCCAATGAAGCCAGGCGTACTGTCACAAGCCTTCCGGGAGAGCGAGGTGTAGGGGAGGGATTCAACATGGAACCAGTAATTGTGCACGTCACGGAGGAACCGGCTTTCTCTGAATAATACCTTAGAATTTGAGGACGGTGTTCAGTTTATAGCCCCTTCGATCTATTGATGAGTCTCTGAAATTATCGTAAACCGAACCCGTCAATATAGTACATAGTTCGTTTGGTTTAACTTTCGTTCAAACTTAATTACCATGTTAGGAAACACCGTCTATGAGATACATTTACTGCGCTTTTTCTTGTTTTTTTTTGATATCAATTACCAGGGTAAGTCATAGTCTACGGTACTTGCAGTACTAGCGCTTACCGACACTGTGCAGGACTTACAAAGTCCTTATCTTTTTGGGTACCTGATTCTTTAGACTTGACTGGGGACTTACAAAACTTTATTGGACGTCTTTCGTCTTTCAGAAAGCACAAACAAGATTTCTTAGGTCTCCATAATTTACAGTAATCAAGATGTTTTCCTTTGCCGGGGGTACCGGTGATTACTTGATTGTGCGCAGTTCACGCTAAGTGTGTACATATGTCATGTCATCATAATGGTCCTCGGGTACTACTCTCTGATCTACTCCTCTTCTTCTTCATCACCATATATCCATTCCCTTGGCCATGTAGGCGGTATCTCCCTCCAGTACGTGAAGTAGGCCTCCAATCTCTCACGTCGTCCCTGCTCCGCGCGCACTATATCCCTCACATTCTTCGCCTGCTCCCTCAACATTTTCGCTCTCTTGCGCAGAGCGGCAGCCTGAGCGAGAATACGCTGATCGTCGGATGTGATGTGGTTCATAACCATCACTGATCGGTTGAGCATCTGTGGTGTTTCGGCCGGAGGGGTCCCTGAACGCGAGCTGCAGGGAGAGCTATGCTGATCCGCGTAGGACAAATAGGAATCAGCATCGCTGGTATCATCGTCCGGAGCCGGGTGCCCAGTGTTTTCCAGTAACGGTGAAGGGCCTTGTAACATTTCTGCTGAAATCACAGCGGCAATGTTGGCAGTATCTCTGGCTGCTGCAGTCGGAGCACTTTCTTCTCGACGGAGCGCAGATTTCTGAGAACCTTCCTGGGCGGCAGGATGATCAACTAGATACATGTCAGATTTTGCACTACGACATGGTACATGACACTCACGATTTGTGTCCACAGGTACGTCCATGATTTGTGTTGATGCACCAGCGACTGGAGGAATTTCCTCGCAAGCTCCTCTTGTTGGCCCAGAAGGAGGCTGGTCTTGCACGCTAAGTCTTAACTTCTTCCTCGGAGTCTCTTCACTTCCTTCATCTTGACTGATCCACCATTAGAACGATTCATTGAATTGATCATGAAGGGGAACATACAGTGGTCGAACAACCTTGCAGAGCTTTAGGAGCTCTTGGATAATCGTCTCGCTCTTCATGTTAGCCTTGATCTTATTTTCCTATTTCCTAGTCATTTACTGGGGCATTCGAAAAAAAACATGCAATACGCACCTTTGCGAGCTTCTGCAGCTTTGCACGGGTGAGCTTACGGAGTGTAGCTTCATCCATGTCAAGTGTCCCCGGGCATGTAGCCAGGATCGGGTGCTCAGATGTGTTGGGTACGCTGTTCATCCTGCGTAGTGTTATCAGAGATAGAGATAGAGAAAATGATAGTGATGGTTGTTGAGAGTGATGAGGTTTTATGAAAGAAAGGTAGAAAACAGGTGACGCGCTTTTTAAAGTCATGGGTGGCATGTGGCATGTAAACATCTACAATTTTAATCCACAGTGGACTTGTACCACAAGCTGACAAGGGAACCGGCTTCAGTACTCCGGTAGAATTACTGTGGAGTTCATTGACCCATATAACTTCCAGCACTCAGCTCGTACATTTAGCACTCCCTTGTGCTCCCACCATACTCTCGCTCTCTGCGATTGACATATAATTCCAGTTGCGGACTGTAGACTTGCGGTTCTCGGACGGAAAAGCTCATCGAGAGGTGAGCGATCAATATATCAGATCCAAGGACACTTTGCAGTAGGATGTTCTCAAGAAACAGGAGTGCAACAAAGCAAATTTATTTCCTGTTCCAGATTTTGTGACCTACACTGTACCGGAGTCAGTCACAATATTAGTTCGAAACAAACCACAAGTCTTCTTCCACATTAGACCCTTGCGTCGACTACTATGCGATGCACTCAGTCACCTGTAGGCTTTCGCTCAGTATGAAAAGGTATCAGGTTATCATGATCTACGATTACGAATATCCTTATACAAACCTAAGATTATATCGTTCACAGTAAGGGTAACAATCCTATAAGTGACAGTCAGAACGGCGCGAATCCCGCAAGCCAAGAACGACTCACGTATGAGGCGCAACACGAAGAAACTGTGCAGTTGAACCTAGACGGATATTCTCAGTAAGACTTGTGGCGGTATGCATGCCGCTACATACCCTTGTACCACCCAAGCACGCCCTCGGTCTTAAAAGTCTTCCAGAGACAGTCGATGGGATTCCTATACAGTGTCCCTGATAAACGACCATCAGGTGTGCGTATTGTTGGTTGGTTGTATACTCGAGTGAGGGCCTGGAGGTGAATATATGAGGCCAAAATTCTCGCTTCGAGCAGGGAGTCAACTAACCGTGTCAGCAGGCTGCATGACAATGCACTACGAGGTGTCAGACTACGGTTATTAGCTATTTGATACGAGTAAAAACACACCACGCAAACTCCAGACACGGACGAACTAGCAAGGTAAGTTAATATGCTGTTCGAAGGAAGTAATCCATGCGAGCCAAGTTGGTTCTTAGTCCATTTGTACGTAGGAAGCTGAACCGAAGATCCCATAGCTGTCCGCAGAATAGCTGCATCCATACCACGCAATAGACCCAAAAACTTTTCCGTCCTAAAGATAGTGGCCAATGCGTCAAACGAGCTCTTGTAGTAATGTTGTGTGCCAACTGGCAATATAGGAGAGTATGCCTGTTGACACCGTAATTAATATCATCAAGTGCCACAAGGCCTTGTCGCACGTACTTGCATTCGCGCTTTAATTAGGAAGAGTGGGTTCCCGAACGAAGCTGATACACGTGAATCAAGAAATGGTAATCATGTCGCACTGTTACTATACCTCCTATTATACCACTTGCGGCACCAGCTGCAGCAGAAGTCAATGGTATCTGGTCGGTGATAGATCTACCTATTGAACGGTTTATTGCTCGACGGAACGGCTCGTAGAACCCTATGTCATAACTAAGAAAAGGTCTGGACAGCAGGGCTAAATTGGTCACTTACCTAGACGTGACCCATTCAAAAGTGTCTGGGGATATCAATATCAAGAGAGCGTCCCTGAAGTTTATAATATCAATATCTGACCTGGTAAACGTACTAGAAGGCTATCAGGCATCAAAAAATGAGTTTAAAACATATTTACATACCGCGGGTCCAAGTCCTCTTTGCAAACCTCGGATGCCCTCGTTTCTCCAAGTTTTTGCCAAAACATCAAAAGCATCCTTATAGACTCTTTTTTGTCCACCTTTGACAAGCTCACCTGCCCGCGTGTCAATATAACATATTGTATCGCTGACGCCATCGCATTGAACGTACCTTGGAGTTGCAAACGCGTCTTGGCTACTTCCGCAGGATTGCTGACAGTGACAGCTATGCATCCTGCCAGTCCACCGCAAAGAAAAGTTTCAAGCGTAGAGAGAGGTGATGTAGTAGAAGCCATACCCTGCCAGAACGGCGCGTTGCGCGAGTGCACTGTGCAGCTTAATTAGACTTGTCGCCGTGGATATTTAAAAATGTGCATGCGTACGGTTATGTACTATGGTATACGTAGCAGGTTGAGCCAATCATAGTCCGACTCCGAACCCCGGCACACTTCCTTACACGGAACTCACTGACTCGGAGTACTAAAGGGTTTCACGTTGAGCTCTATAGTCCAACATCGTGGAGTTCGACTCGGAGCTGAATTCAAAGAGTGGTGATGCTGGATATGGCAAGTGTTGCTCAAGTCCTCTGAGCGAACGGTCGGTGACTTGATCGCTGCGCATCTCAACATGACTCTGACGAGTAGTGTACTCTAGCTGACAGTGATGTACCAAATTCGCCGTGACATGCACTCATTCATTAGTGCTAGGTCTGCTCTCGCTGTCGCCTTTCTCGCCGTTGTATTTCCTGTCGTCGCACGCGCCTTCTCGTCTCCGATATACCTCATCCTCCTTTCTCCTGTGATCATACTGTTCGTGGCGGTCTCGTGTTTCATCGTGACCATTCTTGTTGGAGTTGCCCTGGACAAGAAACTGGTTCATAGGAATGCGCTCACATATGCAGCTAGACCTCTTGCATTCTCAACTCCCGCAGCATGGCAGGCAGTCCTCACTCGTTCGAACTGGTCTCAGAAAACTCCACAATCATTATCACCTTTGTATCCTGAACTACCTGTTGTGTCTTCTACCCTCAACGATATCATGATTTTTGTCGTACGCGATTTCGTACTCACCTGGTACAAGGACATATCATCATCCCCTTCTTTTCCTACGGCAGTTTCTTCGATGCTCCATGACTCCCTTGAGCGGCTTCTGCAGACAAGCACAACTGTCGACCTTTCCGCTCTCCTAGTGAAGCGAATTTTGCCCAAAGTCACTACGCATATCGAGCAATTCCGCCAATCAGAGGTCGCACTTCGCGGTGCAGCCCTAGAACGCCGTCTCACGCAGTCCGAGGAGTTGGATATGTTGTTGGCAAGTAGATATGCAGGAAAGGGTGGAAAACTACATCCTGCAGTGGAGAATCTCTCTTCTACGTTTACGAAACAGAATGAAGAAATACATCTCAGAACAATTGCGGAGCGAATACTCTCGCATGTTCTTCCGGAACAGGAAGCCCATAGTAAGGCTCTGAGAATAGTTGTCCGAGAAATCTTGGTGTGCACAGTGCTGTATCCGATTATGGATATGGTAAGCGACCCTGATTTCTGGAATCGGATGATTGAGCAAGTGGTATGTTACTATGTCCTCAACTAAGTGTGAGCACAGTCATTGACTTCAAAACAGGCAGGCGCCGCAATACACCAGCAGTAGGTGGCAAAGGTGCTCGACTGTTTTCTGTACTTTTAACAATGCATATACAGGAAACTCATATCTCAAGTGAGAAATGTTTTAGAAGCACAATCACCCCGCCGGCACAGCCGCCTTCCTTCAGCAATTTCAACTGGGGACACTATCACGGTTAGAACCGATATGCGGCAGTTTGAGTCGTTCCTCCGGAGTATCAATCGTTGTTCATCACTTCTGGATGCTCGTCGCCTGAAGAATGATATCATGGGAGAAATTCGGAGGACGAGGTTACTTCTTGGTTAGTTTATTCAAATAGTTTACTACATTTTATATTGATACTCCCACAGCTAATCACGAGAAGGAGGATTGGATAAGTGGCGAGAAGACAGAAGACGTAGTAGCTTTCCTTGACAGACTTTATACTGCCAAGCGGACTGTCGAACAGCGAATAGTAGTCCTGGGCGGCGAAGATTCGGTGAGCTGCTCTACGAGATCCATGACTTCTACTTATTACAGAGAATCGCAGAAGTCAGCTGCTTCGCCAGAGTCTGGTTCGCGGACCCAAGTCACTCTACGTGACATCTTAAGCAACCCGACATCACTTTCATACTTCATGGAGTTTATGGATCGTCGGCACCGCTCGCTCTTGGTTCAGTTTTGGTTAACAGTAGAAAGCTTTAAAAATCCATTGGAGTCAATAGACTCGAGCTCATCTGGGGATGAAGACGAACCCTTACAAGGTCCTTCAACCTCCTCGACTCTTAAAGAGGACATTTCAATGATTAACGATCTTTATTTCTCCGTCATGCCACCCCATCCTGCATTGTCATCTATCTCTAAGAGGCACATCGATAGCATACGCTCTTATGCACAAAGTGATTTTCTTCTGGGGCCCTTGGAGGACAAGAAAGTCCGTCGTAGCGTCATGTTGGCGCAGAGACAGGTTCAACAGGCGATGGAACAAGACTTTGAGGACCTTCAGAGATCAGAGCTGTGGTTCCGAATAGTCGAAGATTTCAATCGGGCTAGTGCCAAATTGCTGGAGCCCCCTGCAGGTCGTATCTCGGGACGTTCAATGTCACCCCAGCCACTGCCACTGCCAGCGTCACGTTCTCTTGGCATTGGATCTGTCCATATCTTCCGCTCTGAATCCTCCCCTTCATTGAGCTCTGTGGTTCAGCGCGTAGAAAACCCACGAACCAGTTCAACCACTGCCTCACGGACCAACATTGATGTGCTCATGTCCCCGGTCTCAGATACATCATCAACTACATCCAGAGCTCCTCTCTTCGATGATCCAGATGATGCCCAGGGCGCAGATGAAGCAGAAAGAATGAGAGCCATACAGGCCGCGCTGACGGACATCATTGCCACAGAGCAACTTCCCCACAGTTTCCTCCCTCGAGGTCAGGACAGAGGCGGGAATCGTCACCTCAGCGCAACTTCACTCGACAACAAGAAGGGCATCTTTGGTGATGATGAAGATATGATCGATGAAGAAGATGACGACAGAGCTGAAGGTTCTGTAGACACAAAGCAAGGAACATTTCAGCTAGCTGGACCTGGAGACCTTCAGCTCTCATACGAGATTGAACGCCTTGGTGACAAGATCGCCAAGCTGGAGGCCCACGATGTCATGCTCGACACGCTTATCAAGAAAGCGGAGCTAACAGGCGACGCTCAAGAACTGCGTTTGCTTCAAAAATCAAAGTCATCCATGACCCGCGAACTTCGAGAGTTGCGTTTCCAGAAGATACAATATGAACAGCAAGAATCCGCAAACCGTCTTATCTCCCATCGAACGAAGGTTTCTATTGTTAGTTCGACAGTGGGAGAAGAAGAGGGGAAATCCGTAGTGCGATACCTCGTTGAGGTCCAGCAGCTTGCACCTGACGGAACGTTCGCCTCTGGGTGGGTTGTTGCAAGGAGATACAACGAATTCCTTAGGATGCATAACAAATTGCGCGATCGGTACGCGCTTGTCAAGGGCCTCGATTTCCCAGGCAAGAGACTTGTTGCTTCACTGACCGGCAGTTTCGTAGACACAAGGAGACAAGCCCTTGAGAAATATTTGCAGGTGAGGAACCCACCGGAGTCTGCTTCCTTCGCACATACTTACAGTAACAGAATCTGATTGCCATACATGTCGTCTGCGAAAGCAATGACCTTCGCGCATTTCTGTCTCGCGATTCCCCATTCATTGCGTCCGAAGTCCAAGACGATGTTCCCAAAGGAACCGCCGGCTTTTCAGGGAAAAACCTAGTTCGATCTGTTTATCGCTCAGTGGCAGAGAGCATTGATGATATGTTCTTTGGCCCGTCAATGTTGGATGTTATGATACAAAGGCTTACCCGACAGGCCGCAGAATTTGCTGGTATAGTCGGATCTGCGGTCCACGATGAAGACCTCGTCGCTCAGGCACTGAAAGCGTTTGGGAAGTCCACGTCGGAGGACACGTTCATGCACATGTCTAGTGACCTCCGTCCTTTGGAAGGAGAAACTAGCACATCAACATTCTCTGCTCCTATATGTGACCTTGTCCTTGCTATATTTGAGCTCAACAAGAAGGACAACTGGCTCCGGCGACAAGCGATTGTGATCATTCTCCAGCAAGTACTGGGTGGCACCATTGAGCGGTGAGCCTAAATCTTGCGGTATCTTTGCCCTCCTGACGTGATTAAAGGCAAATCCGCCAAAGCATCAAGTCGTTGTTTGAAGAAAGCCGCATTATGCCTATTTTGACCTTTTTCAAAGATTCTCTTTGGCCAGGTGGTAAGTTGAAACCGCCTGGTCAACCACGGTCAACCGAGGAGATAACACGTAGTCGTGATGGGGCAAACCGTAAGCTCTCCGCATTAGTACCAGGTTTGTGAGGTTTCCTCCCCTACAAATATAGAGTTAACACCGCGATCTACAGATCTTGCTGCCAACATGATAGGTCGGTCAAACGCTCGGCGAGGAGCAAGACGAATATTTGCTGTCCTGCAGAACAAGCGCTTGAACCAGCACATTGCCTACACCATCGTCGACGAGGTGCGTTTCTATTGAACTACAGAAGATGTTGTTCACGAACCTGTTTCAGGTTGTTGCCGCAATGTTTCCTGAGCCTGATATATGAGGGGTCATAACAATGAGCAGTTTTTGTTTGATATCAATTATTATGGGAGGTACACTACTTTGTTACCTATTGTACCACTGCTGTACTATCAGCTGACCCAGCACCAAAAGGCTAGCCTGTTGGTTCTATCTCATTGGTTAGGCTAGCTTGGTCAGTGACTGTTGCGGTTTTTCCCTCAAGCTCCGTAGTTTTATATGATTCTAGGGTTCGAGTCACTATCAAATCTCCTTCGTCAGCTTCCTTCTTCCGTCGTTTAGATTGGCGATGAGATGACACTTTGGAAGCATTCGGGTCATCATATCTAGCAAGCAATGTGTAAGCGTTCGTTTGTGAGTTGACCTATCATTATTACACGTACACTTTGATTGCGTGTAATAAGAAACCTCCTGACCCTGACGTGTTCATTGTCGGGTGTGTGCGACCTGGTAGAACTTGATAGCGTCGCAGCCACGATTCCGTAAGTGATGGTGCAAGATAGCTTGGGTCAAGACGCAATTTCGATTGTAGTTCTGTGAGAGGCTAATATCCGGTTATCCAGCTGACTTTGTTCATTAAATGGAAAGCGCAACATACCTGGCTGAATGGGCTCTGAACGACTATGGATCCTGATCCCGCTACATATATTATTAAATTTTGTAGGATTTCCAGTGGATCGTAATCGCTAGCGATTAAAAGCCTGCCAGGCGTCGGAAAATATTTGACGTCATTTAATTGCACTCACGCATCAAATTCACCAGCAAATAATTCCTCTCTTGCATTGAAAAGAGAGTCTGCCGCATTCTTCCGTTTATCAAGGCGAATCCTATGACGCTCTGATTTTCCCACTTCTGACAATGACTCTTGTGCTATAGCTGCCACTCAATAGGAAGTATGGCGTATCTGCAAATAGTCTAGTCAGGCTCACTAACCTGGTGTGTAGTCTTCCTGAGCAGTTGCCCAGTTTAATGATGAGTGTATTTTTGTAACAACTTCCTTGCGAAAATTCATCAGGGCCATGACAGGATATGCGGGTGGTGAATCAACATCGCAGATGGAAATCAGTTGTCCATCCCCTGTAAGAATCAGATCCTCTACTCACAGAGTTAATAACTCAGCCACTCACCTCCCAGTCTCTCAAGGATTGCCGATACAAGAAGGCCAGATGCTTCGTCAACAGCAATGTACTTGCCGCCCGGGCGAACATTCGCCAGATTCAACATTTGAGACAGCGTATCAGGTCTGATATCACGAATCCTGTTCTGGTCTTTTTTGAACCAGTGGTCACAAACATTGTAAATTGTCGGTTCAACCGTACTGAAGGCCTTGGAGTACCTGCTCGGCAAATCAATCTAACTGTCAAAAAATCAGGGATAACATACTTGGCTTCCTTGCGTTGCTTATATTTCTCCTTGCTATATTCAGTTTTCAGGGAATAATTGGCGTGTTGTTCGATCTGGGCCTTTATGATGTCCTGGCGAAATAGATTATGCTACGATACTGCATGAAATAAGGTCCAGGACGCACGGAAGCATGTACGCCAGACTTTTTCAACCCTTCTATCTCGCCGAGAGTAAGTGGCTGCACAAATTCACCATCGTTGATAAGCTCGTTTGTAGCATCCGTTTCCTCTTCATAATTACTAGTCATGCATAGAAATTTTGAGAGTGTTTGTCAGATTCCTTACCTACTTCTTGTAGAGTATGGGGCGGCTGGACGGTGAGTTCTTTGCCACTAATTTCATACGTCAATCCGTATGGATGGCCGATCAGCTCGTTTGCGCGAAAGGAGCCGACTCTGCCTATAGAGATAGTGCTTCTCGACTCAGTTCAGAGATGGTAGGAATCGAGACAAAAACCACTCACGCATCCTTTTCTACCTTGAAGCCTTTGGTCTCGCCACTAGGTAGTCTGAGCAGAACTGTATGTCCTGACTGGATGGTAGTCGCCTTAAATGAATTCAGGGTGCTTGTTGCATCTTCGCGGTCAGGGATATCCATGGGACTTCGCTGTCCCAATGGCCCACTGACGAATTTTGATAGTGGTGTTGCGAAAGAAATGATCCGTGTTCGGAAGCTTCCTCAGGTTACTGCTGTGACCGACTCCCGTCAAGTTTCAACTCCTCACTTCACTCAAAGTCTACTAGTACACTACTCCATCGCTTACTGCAATGAACGCTCAGAGTGGAGACCTCAGCTTAGATTTATTGATGAGGAGATCTCAGGATGCTGCTACCTTCCTTCCTGATGAACTCTCTTACCTCGTAGAAGCTTTCGCGCCTTCTCAGCTAGAATCATCGCGCTCGAAAGCGTATCTCGTGCTCTCTGCGTTCTGTCAAGGAACGCGGTCGCAAAACCCTCAGGAGTCTGGATCCAAAAACTCTGCCACGGAGATCCTGGAGAAAGTTTTCCAGCATCTTATCATCTCCCGTATTTCCAATCATCAAGAACAGGATGCTATAGTTATTGGACTCTCTTTCTTCTCTGCGTTATTCCACGTCGACTGGCAGTCCGCTTCTCGTGTTTTCGTGCAAGATGGCGTGGTCGAATATGTGACGGATGCCCTTGATTTATTTCCATCATCAGCTTCAGTTGCTTTAGAGGTTGCTCGTATGATCGGCCAGGCTAGTGGCCACAAGGCATGCCGGGCTCTGATACCCGAGGAAATCATCACTTGGCTTCGGAACAAGTCACGTCAGGCTACCGACAAGAACTTGCGCGCAGCAGCAGCTATCGCCCTCGTAAAATTATCTCGAGGAGCGGCAACGGATGCCTCAGAAGGCGCAGATGCGTCCCAGGCAGCGCAATCTACCTCCAAGGATATGGAGCTAGCCAATTTGCTGAAAGGAATGGTCATCAGTGACAAGGACTCTCTATCCTCCCTCAACGATGTCGTTGAAGGCCTTGCATACCTCAGTGTTGACCCAGACGTCAAACATGCTCTGGCGAATGATCCCAAGTTTTTGCAGCAGCTCTTTACACTTGTTCCTAGACGTAAACCACTGCCAACATCTACCAGTAATTCTAGCCTCCTCTTTGGCATCCTTCTCATCATATCCAATCTCTGTGCCTACCGTCCTCGCTTCAGCCAGGAGGACGCGCAAGTTGCCAAGCTGAAACGCATGGCTAAAGCTGGAAATGGATCTAACAAAACGATGTCCGAGGAACCGCTGAACGCATTGGAAGATGATGTTACAGTTAGGTCCAGATGTCGTCAAGTTCTTGCAAGTGGCGCCCTTGATGTCTTGTCTGTGGCTTCTGGTGTAGAGAGCCAAGGCATCAGGCTTGCATTGAGCAAAATCTACCTAAGCATCGTGGAGGACAAAGATAACAGAGGCAAGGTCCTCCAGAGTGGAGGTGCACGAAGTCTTTCTCGTGTTATACAGTCCTCGTACTCCACATCGTCATCCACACCAATTGATACCTCCCTTCTTCCTGCGATCCAAGCTTTAGCGAAGTTGACTATCACGTCTTCTCCCCTTCAAGTCTTCGGGCCCAATGATGGCGCTATGCTTGATGCAATACGGCCCCTGTCACAACTACTGCTCCATTCATCTTCAAACCTCCTACAACAATTCGAAGCCATAATGGCCTTGACAAATATTGCTTCACAGAGCACAGGGTGTGCCGATCGCATCTTCAGCACCCCTCACCTTCTCAACAAAGTTGAGCTTCTCATGCTTGAGGACCATACGCTCATCCGTCGGGCAGCCACCGAGCTGATATGTAATCTTATTGGAGGTTCGGAGGCGGCGTTTTCCAGGTATGGTGGTTCTCCGGATGTTCATGCAACGAAGTCCAAGTTACAAGTACTTCTTGCGATGTCGGACATGGATGACCTTCCAACGAGACTCGCTGCGTCGGGTGCTTTGGCAACTGTGACCAGCGCATCTACTGCTTGTCAGGCAGTATTTGAGCTTCAGTTGGATCGTCACCGAGCGTTTTCAATTATTGCACGTCTTATTGACCCATCTGTTACTCTGGAGGACGACGACCCTAATGACGGCGAAGCAGCCGGAAATACAGGGCTTGCGCACCGTGGAGTGGTATGTCTTCGTCATATTCTGGATCCTCAGTGTGCCCTCCCTCGTATATCGCTCGCAGAGGAAGTAGAGAAGGCTAGTCTGGTGAACGTCATGACTAGGTTGTTGAAAGGCGAACTTGGACCATTTGACACTGCTGTAACTACTCCTGCTACTGAAGTCTTGAAGCATCTGATTGAGCTTAGAAAACCAGCTAACAGCTAGTACGCTGTCTAGTAATAAACCGAGTTGCTTTTTGTACTGATAAACATATGTGAATTGATAAGTAATGAGGTAAAATATAGATTTTATGGAGGCGGTGCCGGTTGTCCGAATTCATGTGGTAATCTCTCGATTGGGAGTTCACTTTAACCACCGGGTTATAGTACTGCCGCGGGCATTGCCGTTCTCCGTTGCGCCTGCGGACTTCTCCCAGCTTCAACTACATTCTCTCATTCAAGCCAAGGCGCGTCGGCCATGGTGAGACTTAAGTTGCCTTGAAACGTTGAATGATTGATCGGCATGTGCATGTAGGCTATATCTAAGAAAGCGGGCAAGAAGAATGCCTTGAAGTCAGGCGGGACGACTAAAGTTGCCAAGGTGCGCTCTCAGACATCGTTACACCTATGAACAACCGTGATATGGTACAAACAGGCAGATTGGAAAGAAGGATTCAAAAAGAAACAAGTCGGAGTATCCGATATGACACTTCTGACAACTATTGACGAGAATAGCATCAACGACAACCTTAAGAAGCGTTGGACCGACGGAGAGATCTACACTTACATCGGCGGCGTATTAATATCTGTAAACCCCTTTAAAGGTGAGGCCTTATGTGTTCAAATCTGTTTTCTAACGTTGGGGTAAAATGCCTTTCAGATCTAGGAATCTATACGGATGAAACCCTCCAGAAGTACAAGGGCAAGAATCGACTCGAAGTTCCTCCGCATGTATTCAGCATCGCAGAATCTGCATACTATAACATGAATGCATACCACGAAAACCAATGTGTTATCATATCTGGCGAGTCTGGTGCTGGAAAGACCGAGGCTGCCAAACGCATCATGCAATACATCGCAGCCGTGTCAGGAGGGGAGGATAGCAGTATACAGGAGATCAAAGAAATGGTGTTGGCTACCAATCCTCTATTGGAGAGCTTTGGTTGTGCAAAGACTCTTCGCAATAATAATTCAAGTCGTCACGTACGTGAACGATTGTTTTACATGTGTGCCTTGATCTTGATTTTATGGCCTCACAGGGTAAATATCTGGAGATCATGTTCAATACCCACGGCGAGCCGATCGGGGCTCAGATAACGAATTATCTCCTTGAGAAAGGCCGAGTGGTAGGGCAGTTAGAGAACGAGCGCAACTTCCACATCTTCTATCAGTTCACAAAGGCTGCTTCAGATGAGCAGCGAGGTGTGTCTTACCTGTCTATTCATGCTGAGTCCTCATGACTATTTGTAGAGGAATTCGGGTTGCAGGGCCCAGATGCATATAATTATACCAGCAGGAGCAAATGCTTAGAGGTTCAGGGCATCGACGATTCAAACGACTATGCAGATACACTAGTGAGTATTTGTGTGTTGTTTTATACCATTACTTAAACATGTTCAGAACGCCATGAGGATCATTGGCCTCAGTAATCAAGAGCAGAACGAAATTTTTCGGTTGATCGCAGTTATTCTATGGTTGGGGAATGTCGAGTTTCAGGAGATGGATGATGGAAATTCGGCCATCTTTGACACCGGAATAACAGATTTTATTGCGCATCTCATAGAAGCAGACTCGGCGATGGTCCAGAAGGTTCTGACGTCAAGAGTCGTTGAAACTCAGCGAGGGGGACGACGAGGTTCTGTTTACGACGTTCCCCTGAATCCCGCACAAGCAAACGCTGGAAGGGACGCACTCGCAAAAGCGATTTACAACAATCTCTTTGAGTGGATTGTTGCGAGAATCAATGTGTCGATGAAGGCTCGAAGTGCCTCGGCACAAGTCATTGGTATCCTGGTAGGTGATGTTTTTGCTATTGGTTTGACCGACGATTGAAGCGATGACAGGACATCTTTGGTTTCGAAATTTTCGAGGTATTCCCATATTGTATCCGTCAAATTGTTTCATTTACGGAACTCCGCAGGATAACTCTTTCGAGCAATTATGCATCAACTATGTCAACGAGAAACTTCAGCAGATTTTTATCGAATTGACACTTAAGACTGAACAGGAGGAGTACGTCAGGGAGCAGATCAAGTGGAATCCCATCAAATACTTCAACAACAAGATTGTCTGCGACCTCATTGAGGAGCGCAAACCCCCTGGAATATTTGCCGCTTTAAACGACGCTTGCGCAACAGCGCACGCCGATCCAGCTGCAGCAGATAACAGTTTCGTCCAGCGGACGGCCATGCTATCTTCTAATGCCCACTTTGAAGCTCGCGGATCTCAGTTTCTGGTTCGTCACTACGCCGGAGATGTCATGTATAATATCGCTGGCATGACAGACAAGAACAAGGACGCACTAGTGAAGGATCTTTTCGATTTGGTTGGTAGCAGCGGCAACCAGTTCCTTCAGACACTGTTCTCCGACAGACCCGATCCCTCAAGCAAGAAGAGACCGCCCACTGCTGGTGACAGGATCAAGGTATCTCACATTGCTCTTTTATTGGTCAGAATAAATCATTCATATTCTGGAAAGGCGTCGGCAGGTGCTCTTGTGGATAATTTGATGAAAGCTCAGCCTTCTTACATTCGAACAATCAAACCAAACCAGAACCGTAGCTCGAAAGAATATGATACGAAAGCCATCTTGCATCAAATCAAATACCTTGGATTACAGGAAAATATTCGTGTACGTCGCGCAGGATTTGCGTACCGGAACACCTTCGAGAAAATGGTGGAACGCTTCTACCTTTTGTCGCCTTCGACATCGTACGCTGGTGAATACACATGGCAGGGGGACGCGAAATCTGGTTGCGAAAAAATTCTCAAGGATACAGGGATAGCCAAGGACGAATGGCAGATGGGGGTTACAAAGGCTTTTATCAAGAATCCCGAAACAGTGAGTACGCAGTGCAATGGCACAAAAAATGGAATTGACGTCGTCAATACAGCTATTTGCCTTAGAGACTATGCGTGACCGTTACTGGCATAACATGGCAGCACGTATTCAGCGAGCCTGGAGAAACTACTGGCGCTATAAGAATGAGTGCGCTAGACGCATTCAGAAGTTCTGGAAGAACAACAAAGAAGCCCTTGAATATGCCAAAGTCCGCGACTATGGTCATCAGGTATTGGCAGGAAGAAAAGAACGCAGACGTTACAGTCTTCTAAGCTATCGCCGTTTTCTGGGTGACTATCTTGATGTTAATGGCCAGAACATTGTTGGATCTGACCTGCGCTCCGCCTGTGGCCTTGGTGGTGAGCCTCTAGTTTTTTTATGTGATTTTGTCGTCTCACGTGTCGCACAGCGGAGCAGGCCACGTTCAGCTCGAAAGTGCAGATCTTGGTGTCCAAATTTGGTCGGTCCAGCAAACTTAGCCCACGTTTCCTTATAGTGGTATGCATCAATGTACCTCATGATAATACTTCATCTGACATGCGTTATGGCAGACTGCAAGAGCTGTGTACATTGCGGTAACTTCTGAGAAGAATGGTCAGATACAAACCTCGCTTGAACGCAAGATTCCCTTGGTAACTATCAAGAGTATATCGATGTCTAATTTAAGGGATGATTGGCTGGTTGGTTCTCCTATCCGTCCTCGGCGTGTCGCTAACTCCATATTAGGTATTGAATTGTAATGCCTCTGAAGAGGGTGATCCGATTCTTCATTGTTATTTCAAGACGGAGTTGACCGCGAATCTTCTTACGCTCACGCAAGCTAGTATCAACGTCTTGATTGGCCCGTCGTGCGTGTTTGATCGATTTTTCTTTACCTGTGTCTCACTTGCTCGGAAGGATCGAATATGCGAAAAAGAAGGACAAGAAGGCACAGATCCAATTTGTCAGAGACGAAACGATCACAAAAGATGATGTATACAAGAGCCACGTTGTGCACGTCCCATCTGGCGAGCCTCCATCGAGCACATCTCGACCTGCTGCAAAAAGGAAACCCGGTATTGTTAGACCCATCACCCAAGGAAAGCTCCTTCGCGCTGGCGGCCCTTCAGATGTGAGTCTTGTGTCGGGTTGTGATTTCTGTCTTCTCACGATCGATTTCAGAAGGGAAAGACTTCCAGGCCGAAGCCAGCCGCCCAACCACTGCCAGGGAAACCTACACAATTTGCTGCCGTCAGGCCAACACCAGTGGTGCCTAAATCAGCCCCTACGCCTCCTACTAATATTCCAGTTCCGCCGCCGCCGCCACACAAAGAGCCTGAGGCAGAGTTATACAAGGCAAAGTTCGCTTTCGAGGGTCAAGAAGGCGAGATATCTTTGAAGAAGGATGATACCGTAGAACTGATTGAGAAGGATGATAATGGGTGGTGGCTTGTAAGGAAGGACGGGCAAGAGGGCTGGGCTCCAAATAATTACTTAGAACTTATACCGCCAAAACCTAAAGCGGCACCTGCAGCACGCTCCCCTCCACCTCGACCGCCACCACCACCTTCAGCTCCACTAGCAGCCATTGCCGCTCCTATCCCTGCTTCAGCTTCCAAACCAGCTGTTTCGACCATGTCTGTGAAGTCATTGACAGCAGACGCATCAAATAAGCCCGTGGCTGTTTTCCCTGGCCTTGCACCATCGAATGGCTCCGCAGCGCCTTGGAAGAAGCCTGCAGCTGTATCAACTAATGGGTCATCAAGCAGTACACCTACAAGCTCTCGCCCTTCGAGTTCATTAGGAGCAAAACCCCCTCCACCAGTTGCCCCCAAACCCAAACCTGTGCCACCACCTGTCGCATCGAAGCCAAGCGGCGGCAAGCTATCTCCTAAGCCACCTATACCCATGGCCCCGCGACCAGGTGCCGGCGCTGCGCCACCGAAGATTCATAAGCCTAGTGCACCTGCTGGTCAGATGGACTTGGCTGCTGCGGTAAGTAGCATTAGCTGCCCTAAGGATAATATATCTAATATATAAAACCATCCAGCTCGCGAAGCGTGCACAGAAGATAGCCGGTGAATGATCTAATGAATTATTTGACTTCGTACAATACCATTTCAAGGACTTTTTACTGGAAACGTGAAATTCAGCATTTAAAGGAACATATTGGATAATGCGATATGGACGCGAGATGTTAGTGAAATGCTTGTGGGGTATCAAGAAATGATTTCCGAGGTCTACATAATGAAGCATTGTAATAAGACGTAGAGTGTTATAAACGTGACACCATAAACTTAAGAAAGAGCGACCCTGACTGGAGGCAAATGAGAGGGTGGTGGCGTATCTGGTTTCAAGGTTAGCTGTTCGACCTCGTCATCCGAGAGGTCATCATGATCACTGTCAGGCACAGCAATGTGTGAGGGAGAGAGGTGAACTGTAACCTGGATCTCCCTATTGTCCCTTGTGCTGTGGTCATCAAGGACGGTATCAGATTCCTGCCCTGAATCTCTCCATGAGCGGACTTCATCGGCATTCAGGACTTTGGCAGAGAGGCGCTGCCGGAAATCGTCAGGAGTCTCTACCAAGGCTTTCCTGCCTGATTCTAGAAGGCCCTCTAGCATACCCCTCACCCTCGCATAAGCTTCATCGGGTTCATTCTCACCCTCTTCACTATCATCATCATCGTCATCATCCCCTTCTTCATCTTCTTCTTCGTGAGCAAGGGACTCAACGGCCCTGAATGCTCTAGGGGGAAGAATAAGTCGAGATTCACGAAGTTTCCGCTTGAGGTCTCGAATTTCTTTGGCTTGACGGTTCTTCGTAGTTTCAAGTGATGCATTGATAAGAAGGAGGGATTTATTCGTTATTTCCAAGTCGGCAATCTGAAATACAAGTTAGCTTAGTACTAATGACATAGTGAGTAGGTATGACCTTTCGATTAGACTTGGCTGCAGCCCTGGCCTTGTGCTCCGAGCTTTCAGAGTCAAGATCGTTATCCTGATCTTGGCTAGATTGTTGTGCACTGGTCGTAGGCGAAATTGTGTCGTCATGATCGCTCTGAAGGGAACGGCCATTATTGGCTCGAACAGATTCAGTATCTGAACGCTCGTTTATGTGAGAGCTAAGCGTTGGTGCACTTGCATGAGAGGAATCCAAAGACAACGAGCTTCTAGATACGGACGACTTGGAAGATAATGATAATGCAGATATTGGTGGTGAATGTGGAGGAAGAGGAATGGAAGCAGGGTTGACCTTCGCTTTCAGGACCTGCCTAGCTGCTTTTAAAGGTCCTTCAGGTGGAGTGAATGTTTGATATGGATAGGGTGTAGGTGAGGGGCCGCGTCGCGGCGAGGGGTATCTGTGGGGATTAGCAGCAGGAGCTGCGGTCGTTATGGGATAGAAATTTGGCACCGTAGTCGAATTAGGAGGACTTGGAGGCGCGTTTAACGGGAGACTTGAGGACAGCGAAGGTATAGGTGGTCTCGTATGAGTAGGCCTGGTGGTTACCCACGGGGATGTTGACGAGCGAGCGGGATCTGTTTCGATACTATTAGATTTGGCTAACCCAGAAACCTTGGATTTAATCCTGATGGGAGGTGATGGTGATACACGGCCTTGGTCGACGCGTACGAGTGGAAGTTCGGAAGAAAGCAGAGTTCGGGGCGATGGTGAATTTCTCCGTGATGCTGAGGTAGACTGTGCATGATGTAGGGCAACGCTATCGCTACGTGGTCGGTCTTCTTTGGGCGGAGGTCGTAGCCTTGACGCAACAGTAGTAGATGATCGCTGACGCGACTCTAGAGGAGATGGACTGGACACAGGAGATGTGGTAGTGGACTTGGATGCAGGCCGCGCCGTAACGCGAGCTTTAACGGGATTCGTGACTATGGAAGGACCGGGACTTCGGGCTGGTTTCGAAGGCGACCCAGGTCTAGAGTGTGTTGCTTTGTTGATGTTATTCAATGAAACTGAACCCGACAGTCTCCGGACACTGGTAGCTTTTGAGCTGACCTTGGCTGTCGGACGGAATCCTGGCGGCGAGAGAGATGACTGCATCGGTTGTTTTGTTGGTGATGCTGGCCTAGATGGTGAATTGAAGCGAAGAGGTGCATGACCGCCATTGTAGTCGAGTTTCGCGGTGATCTGTCCACCGTGTAAGTTTCATGGACTGTCGCGTTATGTGAGCGCATCGCTCACTTTTCTATTAAACGGTGGCTCCTTCATGAAACACGCAATGAAGATGAACCTGGTAGGTTGTTAGGCCTTTGATGGACTACCGCGCGTATTGGAGCTTTGCAGATGATGGTTAAAAGAATGAACCACTAAGTAGCACTTGGACTGTATCCACAAAATAGCCACTGTAGTCTATCGGACATTGACTGTCGGATGTATTTGCTATAGCCGAGCATTTGGCTTCCACACTAGCAGTTATTGTAAGTCGAAAAATAACGCACATGCTGGCTTCGTCTAACTACTGAATATCATTGGAGACTGCAGAAGGTAGAATTCCCTTGTTGACGAGCGTTTCCTCCACAATTCTCTGGACGAAGGTTCGCATGGCTTCTCCACCACCACCCCCCAAAGCAGCCAATACGCTCTTTTCTACATACTTTCCCACCATGTCAACCTCGATGTTCACTCTCTCGCCGTTGGCCTTTTTTGCCAAGGTGATCTTCTGCTGCGTATGTTGGATAAGCATAACACCGAACGTCCTTTCGGCATCATCAACAGAAGTAACGGTCAGGGAAGCACCGTCTATAGTGACATAACCCTTTGGGATGATATAAGGAAGAAGGCAAGGTCTTTCTGCGGTTGGTTCTGGAAGTTGGAACCAAAGACGTAACGAATCCCCATCAAGAGCTCTCTTGAGAATGGTCGCAGTTACATCAACATGAGCCTGATATGATAAGCAACTAATTAAGGATGATTTGTACATCGTCAGAAAGAGCGCACCTGCACGAAGTGACCACCGAATCGAACATGCGCACCCATGGCACGCTCAAGGTTCACCTGATCACCGACCTTGCGATCGCCTCGATTACCTATGAGCGACTGCATTAGTTTACCTCTGGTCACTCACCCAGATCAGTCCTGCTGAGGGTCTCGTTGGCTAGCCATATTTTGAAATATCCTCCATCACGCTCGACATCGAATTCGACAACTGTCAAACAGGCCCCATTGACAGCTATGGAGTCACCGATATGACAGTCCACCAAGATAGGTGCGGACTGTGATATGGTTAAAGCACAACCGCCATCATCCCGGTGGATAGCAGACACTGTTCCAAGGTGTTCAATCTGAAGCAGTCAAGTTCCAGGGAACGAGTAGCTGCATAAGATTAAAGTAGTACTTGCCAGACCAGTAAACATGTCCGAGTTGCAACGTTATAGTCAGATCTGAGAAAGACTGACGATTACCAAACTTGTCCAATTCGGATTCCCTCAGAAATTTGGGAGACATTTTTTTTTTTTTCGTTGTACTGTTTCTCCAGACAATCGTACTGTCATGGCTCGCAAGCAATCATCACCATCTGCGGAGCCGGTGGTCGCTAGATCGTTGTGGCAATCATACAAAGGTGTGTAAGCTTAGTTCTACGTAGGTCTGCTCAGACAACTCTCTCAAGCTCTTCCAGCCCGAACACGACTATATGTCTCCATGGCTGTATGCTCTGTGGGCGCAGTAGGAATGTATGTGTCCGACTACTTGGAAAAGAAGTATCCAGTGGTGCTGCCAAGTGTCGCGCCCCCATCGTCCCGGAACGCGGCAGGTCCAGCATGAGCAGTTATACAGAACGATTGGGTAGATATTGAATGTGACAGTCACTGACCGTAGCGTGAGTTGGATAGGGAAAAAATATGGAAAATGGGTGGTGTTAGGGCAGGGTGTGGCATGCAGGCAAATTCCACGCTCTATGTGTCTCCAAGTCCGTGGCGACCGCTGCGTGCGGAAAGCTGACGATGAAGAGTGCACTTATGGAGATTTTCGGCATTCCAAGGAAGCTCTCGAGTGTCTGATGGGGAGGCGACTCTATGTAACGAAGGTGGCACTGCGACAAGCAGGGTAGTGACAGTGTGGTCCGCGGAGTTTCTCATCGTATGCATCTCTCTCTCCTTCACATGATGTGCTCCCGTATCAGACCGAAACGATGCTCGCTGTCTATAATCACGCTCTTTTGATCCTAGTTTGACTTCCCAGGTCTGCTTCTCCCAGTCAGGGACGAACTGTTCGATGCCACTGTCCCTTCGACCCTTGCAGCACAAGATCTCTTGCGCAATTTTACACCATCGATCGAAGAACATGCTGGATGTAATGGCTATTGCTATGATCAAGATTGCGATGAAGACGATCCCAATGATTTTCCAGGTTTTGTTGTCAGCCGACGGGTTTTCGGACATGGCTGCTGATGAGGGATTTGGATCACTCGCTAACCTTGTTGTTGATGTAGATGATATTTGTTCCGGAGATGGCTTTAGAGAGCCTGCGGGCGACGTAACACCGAGGCTTGTGGGAGTCGCTGTATCGACCTTTCCCACTGAGGATGCCGTGGGGAGTACCGGATCTGTAAACAAGCTACCCAGATCTTTCAAAGCGGGATGGATAGGAGATGAAGGTGAGCTAAGATGGAACGTGTCTGATGTTGTAGGCGAGTCCGTGTCACTGCCAGCAGTGTTTGGGAGTATACCGAGTAAGTCTCTTCCGGAATGCACGCTCAAGCCATTATCCGCAGTTGGCAGTGCGATCGCGATTACCCCAGAGATCTGGAATAGAAGTAAAAGAGCGTGCTGATACCTCATGGAAATTATTGGGTTCTAGGGAGAGACATGTATGAGCCTTTTACTAAATGTGAAACGTGTGTTCGCGTCCTCGGTCACGTGGCAAAGAAATCAGCTCCCTCAATGCAGCGCTCATCCTACACTGTTTCAGCTTTCGTGTGAAATAACGTAATGGCTCATTCTTCTAAAGCTTGAATTCCCTACACGATCGGCGGCAACTTCTTCTGAATCCGCGACTTTTAAGGCGTTTGATCTTTACTTCGTGGTTAAGAATTATGCACTCTGCTCAGGTAGACATCAACTTATTATTTTACCTCGACCACCACTGACCGCTCTACAGGAACAGTGGTTCACCGCGCAACTCCCTAACATTCCGTTTGGAACGTGGTGCCCAGCTGTTATCATTATCCTAGCAATCGTTATCGACTTCCTAGCGCGCAGCCAGCTTCCAAAAATTATCCAAGTTGCTTGGAGTGTGTTGAGCGCACCTTTTCGTAACTTTATCACTTTAGACGATGTTGAGGGTCCTTTCGACGATAACTTTCCCCAGCGGGTTTGGATAAATCGAATGCTTGTCTCTGTCGCGCTCATTTGCTCATTTGGCTGGCTTGCATATTTTGGCTATATCGTCGTCTTGCACGAACCTTGGACCAACGCCTTAGTGGCATCAATTTCATGGGTAGGATCATCGTTCAATATTTTTATTACATGTCAAATTCACGTTCTCATTTGTCATGGCAGTTTTATACGACCCTGAGACTCCTGTTGAGAGCACCGTCTACCCCTCCGTATACGCTTATTCTACTTGCAATTTTACAAATTGATGTTGCCTGCATTGACTACGTTTCATTACCGGATTATGCTGCCGGTCCCATGATCGCTATTCTAATTCGGACGATAGTTTCAGCAACATTCGTCTATGTGGCTGGCCTTTTGCCACTGCAGGCTGTGCGACCCGCGCTCAACGTCGCCAGCTCAACTAACGTCTGTTCGTTCAACTATGTCCCCGACCCATATACTGACCCTGGTCACTAGATTCCGTCATCCAATTTTTCCTCTCCCGAAGATGACGCAAACCTTTGGTCATGGTGTACCGTATCATTTGTAGAACCCATATTGGACCTGGCGTGGAAGCGAACATTAAATGATGCCGATGTCTGGTGCTTGTCGCCGTTCTTCCGGCACAAAAACTTGTTCAACAAATGTCTCGATTACCGTTCCCGGTAGGCAAACACTATTTTCTACATAGGTCAGTATCTCATACGCAGTTAGCTATCCGACGCATTCTCTACTGCGCTTTTTGCTGGTATCTAACTCTCTCGACCTAATTTTGGACCTCGCATTGGAAATGTGGGGTGCCGTTGTCGGTGCGTGTATTATGCTCAGATATAGATTGATCCGAGTAGATTAATATCATATTTACCCTCAGGGTTCGTGCCGGCTTACGCACTTCAGATGATTCTATCATCGTTGGATAATCCTACTCCCGACTCAGTAGCGAATGCCAAATACTGGGCTTTCCTTACATTTTTAGCACATCTGTCTTTTGCGCAAGTCGATCTCTTCAAAAATTGGCATACTCGCCGATGTTATGAACGAACTCGCGGCCAACTCTTCTGTGCTTTGCACTATAAAGCACTGCGCCGCAGGGACATCAGCGGAAAAACTTCTAGTGATGAAGAAGGAAGTGCTGACCTTGGTAAAATTGTGAATCTTATGCAGTGCGTTTCCCCAGGGCTATAGTCTTCTGTGAATAACTCACTCCACCCTAAAGAGGCGATGCGTATGCTGTCGCTCAGCGATTTTGGGATTTTGCCGCAATCTTCTCGTCTCCTCTACGGCTTGTGATAGCACTGGTCTTCCTTTACAAGTAAGTTATATTTTCTCTGGGGTATCAAACTAAACAATACATTAGGATATTGGGATGGAGCGCGATGTCAGGCGTCGCTGTGATTCTTTTTGCCTATATTCTGAACTACCCATTGGCGACATACAATATCAAGGTTTGGAGTCTCGGCTGTTTGATCTACCTGGCTGATATGGTATAGATTACCCGAGCATCATGGAAGGCCAAGGACAAAAGGATGAATGTTGTGAACGAACTACTCCAAAATATCAGATTTTTGAAGTTTTATGGTTGGGGTGGGTGAACAGAAGCTGGCACATGATATACTTGACTAGCGTTTCATAGAAAATCAATGGTCACGTACTGCTCATCAGGCACGAGAAGAGGAACTCGACTGGCGGGTTAAAGAGAATGTTGTCGACACTATCATCTCATTTATATGGTAAGCAGCTCTTTGTAAAAACTTCTTGCATACCCATGACATTTTATAGGACATGGATACCTTCAGCGACAGCTCTTGCAACATTCTCCTGGTACACTTTGGGCGAACAAGAGCAACTCACAGTATCCAAGGCATTTACCGCAGTCGCTCTATTCTCACAGCTACAGGAACCGATGACCGCTCTTCCTGAGCAGTTCTTTGCAATGCTTCACGGTTTGTCATGCGACACTAGAACTGAATATTCAATTCTTATCTTCTATAGCTTACGTATCGATGCAGCGTATTGAGGGGCTCCTTGCGGAGCAAGAGGTTCCTGAATGGGCTTCATCTCTGTCGACAGTGGATACCGGCTCTGAAGCGGATCATTCGGATATCGGCTTTAATAATGCGACCTTTGAATGGCACGGAGTTCACAAAGAATCGACGATTGAAACTCGCTTCCAACTTGGACCTCTGAACATCAAGTTTCCAAAAGGCCAGTTGAGCCTTATCAGCGGTGCCACTGGTGCCGGAAAAAGTGCTATGCTTACAGCGTTGCTTGGCGGTCAGTGCATACTTTGCGGTCACAACTCGGCCCTTAAATGTGTTCATTCTAGAAATGCATTGTTTGTCTGGTGATGTATCCATAAACAAGAGGAAGCATCAAGTGGCTTACTGCGCCCAAACTCCCTGCAAGTGATGTCATCATAGCGCAGCTTAGCCGCTCAATCAAATTGATATGCAGGGCTTGAACACGCAACCATAAAGGACAACATCATCTTCGGCTCCAAGCTCGGCTTCGATGAGGCAAGATACCATACAGTCGTCGACGCGTGTGCTCTTGAACGTGATCTTGTTGTATTCGAAGCGGGCGACATGACCGGTAAGAGTTTTTTTTCTATTCATCATTGGCAAGGCATTACTTTGAACCCCAGAAATCGGCGAGAAAGGCATCACACTATCTGGTGGACAGAGAGCTCGTATTGCTTTGGCACGCGCTATGTACTCGGAAGCTAGTGTGAGTCTTCTGCGAGACTATTGTTCCATTATCTTAACCGACCTCGTTACTGGATAGTGCATTCTACTTGATGATCCGTAGGCATTTTCCGTCAAGGCAACTATTTTCTCTGAATGTTTTTCAGACTCGCCGCCGTTGATATGCATACTGCACAACACATTGTGCAGCACTGTTTGTCTGGGGAATTGGCTCGTGATCGGACAATTATCCTGGTAACCCATCATATCAGTCTGTGTTTACCGATTGCATCTTACGTGGTTGAGCTGTCTCGCGGCAGCATTGCCCGTGCTGGTGATAAAGAGGAGTTCCAAGATATCGGAGAGCTTGATGTTCTCAACGAGATTGACGATGAAGAAACAGAAATCGCCACTTCGGGAACTCAAACCCCGGACGACAACATAGCCGAGGATGTTCTTCCCAAACAACGGCCGTCTCGAATTGTTAGAAAATTAGTGGAAGCGGAAGTTCGGGCGGAAGGCCGGGTTCCTTTCAGAACGTATTGGGTTTACATCAAGGCAGCAGGTTTAATGTCCTGGGCACTGACTCTCGTCTTGATGCTCATGATCCGCATGATTAACATCGGGAATCAGGTACTGTTGCAGCTCTTGACCCCATACATATTGCCAATCTTTTTTCAAGGTGTTCTTGGCCAAATGGGGTGAATCTTACGACGTCTCTGCTTCAATTTTCCTTCCAAATGTCAAATATCCTTGGGATGACTTACCCCCTCCTGATGTCAACGTCAAACCATGGCTTTTGATTTATCTCTATATCTCGATCGCAGGAGCATTTTCAGTACTGGCTTACATCTCATTGGGCTATTACGCAAGTCTTCAGGCCTCCCGCTTCCTGTTCCTCAGACTGCTCCAAAGGCTTACAAGAGCGCCGGCCCGGTTCTTCGATACCACACCTATCGGAAGGATTCTCAACCGTTTCACGACAGACATCAACACCATTGATGGAGCTCTGCAAAGTTCCGCCCGCGCCGCATTATCAGGCATCCTTAATTTCTTGGCTTCTTTCACTGTCATAATTGTGGTTATACCCGCGTTCGCGCCCTTCGCATTGGTAATAGCATGGTTGTATATCCGCATCGCTCCTCGTTTTGTACAAGCCCAACGAGACCTGCGTCGCCTTGAGAGTGTCGCCTTGTCGCCTGCATTCGCCGGTTTCGATGAGCTTCTACGTGGCTTGTCGCATGTTCGTGCATTTGCAATGGAGTCGAGATATCAAGATAGATTCTATGAAAAAGTGGATAAATTTCAATCGTATGACCACGTATACGTAAGAAGATGCACTCCTCACCCTGCATTATCTCGCACTAACTAACCCCTTCGCCAGTGGCTTGTCAACGGCTGGCTCCGCTGGAGATATGACTGTATGTGGCTTGTCTCTCTTCCGTCATGTTTGACTCGAACATCTTGCAGGTCTTGGCTCAGTTGTGGTGTATCTCACGACTCTCTTCGCTCTTTCGCAAGGAGTTTCCAATGGCTCTGCTGCGGTCGTAATCGTGCAAGCTGGCATCTTTGCTGAGGCATCCCGCCAACTAGTGCGGGTTCTTGCACAGCTCGAGCTTGACTTTAATGCGGTCGAACGTGTGGTTGAGTATCTTGGTGTACCACAGGAGGCACCTGCCATTATCGAGAAGAACAGACCTCCAGCATACTGGCCATCAAGTGACGGTCAGTTGGTTGTCGAGAACCTTGTTGTCAGATACAGCCCTGACCTACCGGATGTGCTCAAAAATATATCATTTGTTGTCCAGCCGTCTGAAAAAATTGGGGTGGTTCGTCGCATATCCTTGGAATGTCTAACATTCCCAATTGTTCATTATGATCGACAGGTCGGACGGACGGGCTCTGGGAAATCAAGCTTGGCTTTGTCCTTGTTGCGCATGATAGAGGCCAGTGCTGGAAGAATAATGTATGTTGTTGTGGGTGTCTTGCTCCACGTTCCGGCGTCTGAACACTTGTAGCATTGACGGAATAGACATCTCAACAATTGGCCTAGAAGACCTTCGGTCACGGATAGTGGGTCGATTATTTAATTCCTTCGAAAATCGCTGATTTGTTTCCAGACCATTGTTAGTCAGGACGTTTCGTTATTTTCTGGCACACTCAGAAGCAACTTGGACCCATTTGAGGAGCATACCGACCAGGAATGCTGGGATGTGCTCGAGCGATGTCATTTGACGAGGTTGCTCAGTCGGGCGATTGACAAAGGTGGCTTCGCACTCGAGATGCCGATAAGCCAAGGTGGCTCGCTCAGCGCCGGAGAGAGGCAGCTGGTCGCACTCGCTCGGGCAGTTCTACGAAAAACCAATATCATCATTATGGATGAAGCAACGTCTCAGATAGATTCGCGTTTGGATGACCAGGTCAGTTGACACCTTACTTCAGTCCTGTGTCTCACCAATGTACACCAATAGATCCAAACAACAATTCGTGAAGAACTTTCCGGTGCACTTGTTATCACTATCGCGCATCGTCTCAAGACAATCATCGATTATGATCGCATTTTAGTGTTAGATGCTGGGGAGATTATTGAATTTGATGAGCCAAAAGTACTTTTGGCAAAGGTTGGAGGTGCTTTCCGGGAGATGTGTAGAAAGAGTGCGGATTGGTCACAACTGTCTGCTTCCATAGAACGTCAAGATCGTACACTATCATGAGGATAATTATTGTTTGCACATGGGTTTCTGCAGGGTATGGGACTTTTGTTTGAGACGACAGCGTGGTTAACCTGAACAAAAGATGGGATTTGAGTCGGTTCGACATTAATTCAAATCATGGCTAAAACGTTCAGGAAAACCCGGGTATTGATCTCAAGAAGAGCGTTCGTATAATAGGGAACCAGAATGTTCATCATAGTTGAAGAGGATGGTATCAGGCTCACCTTGAATCATTGTTCTCGAGGACGTGAGAGGAAGAAACTAGAAACTCCGGCGGACTTTGTAACTGGTGTACCACATTGGGCGGATTTCCCGGCTCGCTGGCGGGCTGTGGCATGCTGTGGCGTCATTACAACGCTGCTCCGAGACCTGCTTGCATTTCCACCACCCATCCACTTGCTCAGCACTCAAAGCTCAGGCTTTTGCTACCATGTCTTCCAGAGAGCCGATGTGGTATTGTCACGAAGTTTGTCTTAGAGAATAACTTGCACATGCCATACTAACATAACATTGCAATAGTGTCATGCTGAGATGAGACCACTCATGGTTAGTAGATCCTCAGCTGATTTCCGATGTTAACGTATGACGATGTGAACTATTAGCAACCGGATCCAATCTGTGCATCATGTCAGGGAACGTTCGTCGAGAAGGTGCGCACCCCGATCTTCCTACTTGATGATAACGATGTATCATAATCTCGTGCAGATAGAGGATCCAAGCGATGATCCTCGGGCATACCAGCAACACGCCCCGAGAGGAGGCTTCGATGACGAAATTCCCCCGAATTTAGGTGGTTTTCTAGGTGCGCATTCATGCGTGCATGGAGTAAGGCCTTAACATGGAAGAAAACGCCCACAGCTGCAATAACGGGAAATCCCCGATCTCGTTCACCCACCTTCCCTCGTAGCCCTGAGGGAGTACCGGTCTGTCACCCCCTGTACATGCTGTGAGAAAGCTCATAATTCGATTAGGGTGGTATCCGTCTTGAGTTTCATAGTACTGGACCTAGTCACGGTGCCACAAGAACCTTGTTTCTTGGAGGTCCCAATACGCTTAATCGTCCACGCTCTCCGGAGCAGCAGCGCGATGGTGAACTCCCTACAATGTCCGAGTACGTCCACTACTATGGTCTCGAAACTTTATACGCATAATTGGGTATAGGTTCCTGCGTCGTGAGAATCAAAGTGGTCCACGACAACCTGGAGATATCACTGGTCCAATGATGGCGCAATATTTATTGGCTTTACTGGGACAAGGTCAGACAGGTAGAGGTTTAGACCCTTTTGCTGAAATGTTCTCCCTTGGTCCTGAAGGAGGGCCGGGCGGACGATGGGGCGACTATGTTTTCAATCAAGAGGGTGAGTATCACCTTGAAACGTTATACAAAGCCTGACGAGAATTGGGTAGCATTGGACCAAGTAATAACGCAGATAATGGAAAATTCTGCTTCGCGGCCTGTTCCAGCAACAGACGAAATCATTAACAATCTCCCACGAGAAGTTCTTATGGAACGATGTTTGTCATTATCTATCGTATCCTCTATTCTCAGCTCACTTTTATGTATTTCTAGCTCCATTATTAGATAAAGATTGTGCCGTATGCAAAGACCAGTTCCAACTTGGGACCGACGACCCGGAAGAGCAGGTTATTGTAACTCTACCATGCAAGCACCCATTTCACCAGCCTTGTATTTTGCCATGGTTAAAATCTAGCGGAACGTGTCCTGTTTGCCGGTGTGTCATTTTTTTCATGTTCATCTCCATCATCGTCTTACGCTGAGTACAAGGTATGCTCTTATAGAACAAGCACAACAATCACGCCCACCAGGCAGCCCCCCGGGACCAGGAAGTGGACCCAGTAGCCGCTCGACAAGCCCATCATCAGCCCCACCACGTCCACGATCGCCTGGGAACTCGGGTCGTAGCGGTGGAGGATTGTTCCAGTCATTATTTGGGGGAAGTATGGGTAGCTCGAGAGCGGCTGGCAGTTCATCATCTCAGGGTAGGAATTCAAGTTCAAGAGGGGCACGTCGCGCGGGAACGTCCAATGTATCTCCTAGCAGTACACCACCTTTTCCTGGGCGCTGGGACGAAGAGACAGACTAATCGAGGGTTGTCTTCGTTTCGGCTTCGTTTCTTAGACCACCTGCAGAACAATTTGCGGGCGGTCTATTGTAGATATGTATATCTTTTCTGATGCATTCTGAGTCTTCTGACCTCACTTTCCTTCTTGCAAGTTGTAAAGATAAATAATGTTATATGAACTTTCCGAGGTGCGGAGTCTTTTGACGTTCCCTTCGCTCCGTGGCAAGTGATTTCAGCAAGCCGAATGATCTATCTATTATTGATGGAGAAACCGCTGACAAGTTCTTCCTTTACTGTGGACAGATATAAGATACAAGCTCCGCAGCGTCATCGTCAAAGAGCCAGTGGGTGACTTCCTGGGCGCGCAAGGTTTTACCAGTGATTTCAGTTACCTTGACCAAGTAGCTGGGCTGCATTAAGATGGATGTACCGGGTACATGTCTGTCAACGGCACCGCCTGGTTACCGGTCCGACGACCTTATTTGGATGATCGAGGTTTGTCAGCTTGCGCCTGCGTTTGTCATCTTGGTTCTTCGTTAGCCTGCCTCCAGTGTCGCTCGTGATTTCAGATCACGGGCTTGCAGACGATGGGACGTTGTTGTGTCATCGTGTGTTTCGCGCAAATTTTGGGGTTTTTTTGGTGAGTCCTGCGAGCGTCTGCCTATATGTATAACCAATATCCTGTTGACATGTTGTTCGGCCAACGTGGCAGATGGCAGAATCATGTGTTGTTTTCATGTGCGCTAGAGGTACCGGCCAGAGTAACCAACTATACACTCGTCAGCAAATATTCAAAAGTCTCACCTTCGTGTCGAATGTTCTCCCTTTCCATCCTCATCCCACCGTATCCATCATTCTTTCTGCATTACGAATATCTTCGAGTCGAACTTTGAGCTCCTTGGCAACCTCTGCGTCACTATCACTGCCTCGAAGTTCGTTTGTTTGCATGTGAGCGCGGCGGCACCCGACACTACGTTGGCTTGCCATCAGCAGTATTCTTAGGGTGGACATGACAGTACCAAAGGTTAGAATGCAAGGTGTTCCTCGGACAAGGTTATTATTGTGACTGTAGTCCACCAAAGCGTGTTCAGAGGCTGGTCTGCAGACTTCGTAGCCGTTGTAGAGAGTCTTGAAGCGCCTCGATTGACGCTATCATACACTGGACTTGGAGGATTTCTGACACATGTTCTGCCTGGGAGGTACTGCCATCTGCTTGCCATCAGGATCTTTACCTCCATTTCTTCCTATCCCGAGTCTCTCACGCTTACCTGTACACGTCTGTCTACTAGAATTCCTCTGTGTTGGCCTATTTCAATTTTTCTACCCGCCCGCCAACACCACGTCGTTGTCTGCAGATCCCGGTTGCCATGTCCTCCCTCCAGATGACTAGAGCCGTGACGGCAAGTTGACAAGGATGTCGAGATTGACATGACGGTTGACAGTGATGACGTTGACCGCCCGGAACTTTCCAATCACAGACTCTCATGTCTCCAGACGTTGCCTATACGTGTCCTGAGTCCCGGCACGGAGCTCTTCTGCACAGACTTCATACAGACTGGCCATTTCCTACATGACCTCCTTCTAAGATGTCTTGCTCTCGGACCTCTCGTCTGGATCATTTGTGTTTTTTTTTTCGTTATCGATGCGGATGTATCACGACCAACCAGACCACATTTGACAGCCTCTTCTCAAACTCAATAGCGCGTCCGTTTTTACCGGTGTGTCACTTCTCAACCCTACCAGGCTCCACAGTGTCAAAAAGTATGACTTCAACCATTTTGTTTCAAGTTCTCCATATAAAACCTGCCCCCTTTCCCTCAAGTTCCTTTCTCCGCTATCTCGTCTCTTCTAGCAATCCCACTTTGCATGCGCATAGTTTCACGCCCGATTGCTAACGACGTTGGTTTTGTCTAGTACTTGGTTTAACGCTGGCGTGACGACAACGTAAAACCGCTCTTGACACCACTGCTCTACGATTCTGTTTTCGAAAACATTTCGAAGTTCTCCATGTGCACTCTGCTTCCCTTCGACTGCATCGATATCTACGATAGCCTGTCTTCGTCCCTTACAATATGTGACAACTGTGGTCGCGCGGGTGGCAGCGATATCGAGGATGTTGACCTAACCGCTTGTTAGGATCTGGCATTGCATTACCACTGAGTTACGTTTGCACCTTTGTGGGAGGGCAATGGTTCCAAGACTCAGAGTTGTCAAGAGGATCATGGCATGCTCTGAGATGTATATCAGATGTATAGTAATTCCAGAAGCATGTTATCACACTATAAACACAGAGTATTTCCCCATTTGAGACAACCTGACTAGATACGACACTCTTGCTAATCATACACGAAACCCGACCGAGGAATATGACCTCCATAGCGCACAACCTTCAACTCAAATTCGTATACTGCTTTACAAAGCTACACGTCATGTACTTTGTCAGTCCACTTTAGTTGGTGGTGGCATCAGTGTACAAGGTTGTGGCAAAACCGACGCGAGAGTTGTCGGTATCGAACACGGAGTAGAAGCGCTCGAGGAATGTGTAGCCGTCAATAAAGTCAAGCCCTGAGCCACTCGCACTACCAATATCAGTAACGACAAGATATATGGCGGTGCTGCTACCACCAAGGTAAGAGTTGAGAGAACGAGGCCAGATTTGGGCGTTGGGAGTGAGAGTGTAGGTTCCCTGTGCAAACGGTAAACAAAGGGCGTGAGGGCTGACAGAAATGGCGTACGCTGCCAATTTTGAAGCTCAAGTTCTTGAGGGCATTGTATTGGGTGGAGGAAATGGAGAGAAGACCAGTCACCCCATCCAGAGTAGCACCAGTTGCAGACTGATACTTGGAGTAGGCATCTGTTGAACGCTAATTAGAGAATGATAACTTGCTGCACTCTAGATACACACCACTGGCAATGTAAATAAGGGTGGTTCCAGTATCGACGATACCAGCAGTGGAGGATAAGAGCGTCGCGGAGCCGTAGGTGATGCTCTCATTGATACCCCAATAGCTCGATGCAGTTGTGGTGGTAGTAAGAGGACTGAAACAAAACAATTACTATCAGCCTGGGTTGATCTAGGAGCTGAGATGGCTTACGTGTACGCAATGGACCCAGTGTGCTTGGTAGTGTCAGTTCCACCGAAGGTGAGCTCTCCATTGGTAACTGACGTCGAAGTGGTGGGCTCAAAAGAGACACTAACAACCTTCTGAGAAATTTTGCCTTGGCTATGCAGGTTGTCAGTGACAGTCGGTATCGCCGTTGTCTGTTTATTTGTCAGGGTACCCTCTGTCAAATTTACAGGCCCAATGCCAAGAATGCCGTCGACACCAGTGAAGCCCGACGAAGTAGAAGCAACACCAATCGACTGCGCGGTAATGGTGAGTCCACTACCGAGCGTGACGGTATCAGTGTACTCAGTTCCTGTAGATAATTGTAGGTATTTTCAACGTATGATATTGTTATATGTCATACCAGAGAAGAAGCCAGAACCGTAGCCGACCGACACAGGCTCACCGGTGTCGACGCTGGTGCTAGTATTGACGTACGCAGTGCTGGCGCCAACCCATGTGTTCGAGCTACCAGTGTCGACAATTAAGTTATCTTCAATGATGCATTAGCAACCCCATATTTCTCAATGTTAAACTTACAGGTTGTGGCGGGGCTACCAACACCAACTGCTATAAGGTACATTATACCAACGTTGGTCACAGGAGTGCTAGCAGCACGGCTGCCGTGCTTGCTCAAGTAGCGGTCCTTAATGGCATCCACGCGAGCTTTATCCTGCTGCAGGAGGTTAATAGGACCGTTTGAGACATTTAGCCTCCTGATAATGGGGAGGGTGATGGGGGAATTGCCAACTTTAACGGGCGATCCTACGATTGACAAAGCCAGAAGGAGAATCGTCAACAAGGATGCTGCGGGGAACATGGCTGACTCGAAAGTAATATCATACTCAGTGGTCCATTATATACGCGTTGGCGAATAATAGGCACCCATATATGAAACAACTCCTCTCGCAAATGCGATGACGAGATAGTTGCGGTCCGAGTTATCACGAGTGCAAGGATTCGACTTCCTGATAAAAGAATAGCGACAAGAAGCTTTTGTTTGATACAAGGGGACAGGAGGTTGCCCCTGGTTGTCGCGAGTCTGCCAAGGATGGAGTTGTTGAACTGATGTCATTTGCCAACTCGGCCCGAAACTATGGAATAGAATGATGGAATCAACAAGATGAATGAATGACGAAGCTCGCCGTTTTTTGAAGCACATTTACCCATGGTGCAATGGTTCATTTATGCAAGTGAGAAAATTTTGCTGGAGGTTCGCATGACTACAGAGTCAGTCCCTCGACCACGAAAGAGATCAGTGCACACTGCAAATGTTATCCCGTGATGTGTGCATCAGTCTCAGATTTCCATCGGGAATCAACATAGGCCACTTACACAGGTATCGTCTAAGGGTCAAGAAGTCTCAAAATAATTCATGCTATCATGGTCCAGGGGTTGTCGATACGCCATGTGCGAGCACCTCATGGAAGAGTCTTTTCCTGGGAACTGGAACTCCACTGGCAGATTGATTGTCGATATTGGTTTGACCCAGGTGGTGGACAAGAAGTAACCAGTTTGTACCCCTGCCGATGGGGCGGACGTCGATGATAAGTAATTGATCAAGTCCCTCAGTGCTACTGCTCTTCGAGCGATAAGCGATGGGAGTTGTTTACTTCATACTTGAAGTTGACGTGAATCTGAGATTGTGTGCCGAGTCGCCGAAGTGCAAAGATTACAAGCAAAAACACACCAATATTGAGTGTAGGGCACTGTCAGAGCTTGCTTCATGCGGACCACTGTGGCGACTGTGTCGTCGGCGGCGGCCATGGCGACTAATCGAGTCAGCGAGTACGCAATTGTGAGAGTTTCGTTGTGGATTCTCTCTTGCCGCTCCTTCAGCGCTGTCGTTGTCGATGCACTGACATGATGAGTATGGGTATCGGCAAATCGTTCGGCTCTCGTGTTTCACTCTCCGAACAAACCGTCCAGTTTTTCGCAGTTTTTTTTTCGACCTGTAGGCACAAAGAATAGAGTAGGGTTATAGTGCCAGCAAGATGGATAGACGCAAACGTTGCGAAGCAGATGTAGTAGAAGATACGTGCATTTTGAAATAGAGAGCCAAGAACATGTAGATCGCCAAAACGGGTCTAGAAGAGCAACATCACAACACCGCATCAACGAACAACCTGACTCGGAATTAGAACAGTACGAAGATGTTGCCCTCAGTGCATCGTATACCGTCATATAGCGCCATGTACTAAAAGCACCGTATTAGTTCACTCGAGCGGTGCTTGCAGCTCTGCGGCTATACCATGCCACATCATGCATCAAATTAGTAGTTATAGCCGATTCTCCTGCTCCTGTTGCTCACTCATTCAAACTTCCTCAGCCACGCCCCTGCCGGTCATTCCCAATTGACCGAAGCTTGTGCTTGGCTTGCCCACACGGGCAAATTCGCCCTTGCTGAGGGGCCCATTGCATCTAATTTCGAGGTGATGCTCCAACTTCAATGCATGTTCAACTGCACTTGATAAGCTGGCGACCACGCGGTAGCTTGGTCGTGTGATGTTAAAGTTCTCTCTAATGCACCCGCAAAGAATGCAATATCTTACCCCGGTAACCGCACACATATCATCAACTTCTCTGTGAGTAGCTTTCCTTCTCTTCAGCTTGAAATTGGGCAACAACGCGGTCTGTAACTATAGTAACTACAGTCGAGTACACATCATTCTCATGGAAGAGCTTGAACAATTGTAAGTGTCTGCAAGATTAGTATTGACTATTAGAATATCATCCGTCCCTTGCTGTAGCCCTTTGTGAATCTAAATGCTTAGAGATTTGCATCAGTCTTTGCTAGGTGGTCTCGCGATCTGCGGCAAGTGGAGCTGGGGTGTCGTCGTGGAACAGCAATAGCTAACGTTCGAACGGCCCCAGTCATGAGATACTATAGGTTGTGAGAAATGTTACATCATGACGTATAAATACCTAATACCCAACAAAAAAATTGCATCAGTTGGTGGTGGCATCCGTGTATGTGGTTGTGGCAAAACCGACTCGGGAGTTAGTGGTATCGAACACGGAGTAGAAGCGCTCAAGGAAAGTGTAGCCATTGATGAAGTCGAGACCTTCACCACTGGGGGTGCCAAGGTCGCTGACGACGAGGTAGATGTAGTTGGTGGTACCACCAATATAGGTGTTTAGGGTACGAGGCCAGATCTGGCCGTTAGGCGTGAGAGCGTAGGTGTTCTGCAAAACGGTGAACAAGGGGCATCAACGCTTGAAACAGAAATGACGTACGCTGCCAATATTGAAGTTCAGGTTCTGGAGGGCACTGTATTGGGTGGAGGTAATGCGGAGAAGACCAGTCGTGTCGTCCAGAGTGGCACCGGTCTCAGACACGTACTTGTCGTAGGCATCTATCGAAAACTGATTAGACTATGATTACTCGTTGTACCGGAGATACGCACTGCTGGCAAGGAGGATGAGGGTAGTGCCAGTGTCAACGATACCAGCCGTCTCAGCCAAGATGGTCGTGCTGCCGTAAGTGATGCTCTCGTTGATACCCCAGTAGTAGGATGCAGGGTAGGTTGTGGTGAGAGGACTGGAATAACCAATTACTGTTAGTCAGGATTACTATTTGAGTTGCAGAAACTTACGTGTATGCAAGGGTGCCAGTGTACTTGGTAGCGTCGGTTCCACCGAAAGTGAGCTCTCCATTGGCGTCTGACTCAGTAGTGGTGGGCTCGAAGGAGATACCAACAACAATCTCGGAGATGATGCCTTGACTGTACAGGTTGTCAGTGACAGTCGGGATCGTCGTGTCCGGTTCATTCGTCAGGGTACCCTCTGTCAGGTCTAGGGGCCCGATGCCAACGATACCGTCAACGCCGGTAAAACCCGTCGAAGTAGAAGCAACACCAATTGACTGCGCGGTAATGGTGAGCCCACTACCGAGAGTGACGGTGTCGGTGTACTCAGTTCCTGTGGATAATCGTAAATATTTTCAACGTATGATATCGTTGTATGTCATACCGGAGAAAGACCCAGAACCGTAGTCGACCGCTACAGGCTCGCCAGTGTCGACGCTGGTGCTGGTCTTCACGTACGGAGTGCTGGCACCAACCCATGTGTTTGAACTACCGGTGTCGACGATCAGTTGGTCTACGATAAAACATTAGCACCCACACAGGCATGTTTTTCGGTATTGAACTTACAGGTTGTGGCAGGGCTGCCAACGCCAACCGCTGCGATGTAGCCTACCGCATCATTTGTGACAGTAATGCTACCAGTACGACGGCTGAGAGTGCTATCTCCTTTGAGATTTTTGAGGGCGGCTGCGCGAGATTGGTCGTGCTGCACGAGGTTGATGGTACCACCAGAGGTGTTGAGCCTCCTGGCGATAGGGAGGGTGACGGGGGAGTTGCGAACTTCAACAGGCGATGCCGCGATGGACAAGGCCAGGAGGAGAGTCGTCAACAGGGATGCAGCTGGGAACATGGCTGAGCTGTACTGGAGTGTAATGATCATACCACATTTTCGAGGCCCATTATATATGTGCTGGTAAGCATGTAAAAACGGTGCTGGAAGGTGAGCACATGGTTAATCTCATTCTAAGGCTGAACCGTATGGAACGCACCTCCTCACCGACAATAGGAATAACTAAACAACCGACTCGTTACGCGTACACCTTGTATAAAAAGCGACATAGCGGGATAGGTAGCCTGTTTTAAACGTGAGTAAGAGGGGCTGTCCATGAGGACCATCTAGTTTATTCATGGACCGATAGTTGGCGAATGCTTACCTTACACGGTAAAGTACACGCATGATGAGTCCTTCGCAGTGCACCATCGCCGGGTGCGTCACTTTCGAGACTCCACCATGCATACTACTGCAGAGGCTGAATGAATGGCGCCCGAGCTTGATGATATCACATTGAAAAAATTTGCACACTGATGTGAACACAATTAATACCCACCAACTCCAGTCGTGAGCATTCCTGTGTGATAGAACTCGCGACAACCAACAGAGGCCATTGTTTCTGAAGAAAAAAGAAATTTGATGCAAATGGAAAATAATGAACAAGATAGCGATCTAATTTTTCGTGGCGAATGGTGAGCATGATGATACCGATATCTTGCCTTGATCTGCCGTTTGGAGATGGGAAGATTAGAGCCGAATGACTTTGCATGAATGATACCTAGCAGCTACTAGTAGTGGCCAGGGCCTAGCAGTATCCTGGCCGCACTTGTTCTTTGTCGGGACCACGACCTCTTTCCCGTAATGAGCCCGGCAGGAACATGTGCCATAGTCTGAATCACATAGTCTCCAGATATTATATACTAGGCCATCCGTGTGCTTGTGAAGTAGTGAGTCGCAGCCATCTCCTGATTCTTCCTCATCGCGAAGAACGCCCATAGTGAGTGTGATGGTGATTACATGATCATGATTTATTAATAATTTCTTCCTTTCATGGTTCCGGCCGAGGCAGTTTAATTATAGGTGTGGGCCATTAGCATCTATGTTTAGAGAGTTTGTAGTACCCTGTTATGACTCCGAGCTCGCTCGATTCCCTCAACTCCCTCTGCAAAAAGTCCGAACACCCTCACGGCATTCACAGGGTTCAAGACCCCAGTAGCCCCCCAGGATGTTCACTTCAAGAAACATTTGATGGCATCCATGTATATATACCCTAGCCACACCCGTCCCTGCACATCATATTTTCCCCCCATTCTTTCTGTGTCTTCATCACTGTTGTTGGCAATGTGGGACTTCCTTCAATGATCTCCCTGCTCTTCTCTCATCATGTTGCCCCTTTCCTCTGTGCCATAATTTATCACTTGGTCCACAGTCATCTTTACTTGTCCTCCGGTCTGTGTTAGACTTCGTATTACCTTGTATCAGCTTGATGGCATGTACCCGTTGCATGCAATATATTGCTTTGTTTGTTCCTACTATGACTTCATGCGCTCTTCAGATGCTTACATCAGTAAACCAGCAAGAAGAAGGTTTTCTTAGATATATATGACAGAATCAGGTTCAAAGTCAATAAATAGATATATATTTATATTCCAAGATGAAGTGATACTGTAGAGATATGCGCTTAGCTTCGACGTCATCTGGGTGTGACCAACTGAACCTTAGCTTCGAAGATTCGAAGATGGGTGTGACCTGTGACATGTCAAAAATAGCTTCAAATCAGCACCACTACCAGCTGCTGTCAGCAAGAGCTCACAGCTGATGGTGATGAAGAAAATTTTGGTCATGTAAAGCGAGATGCATGGCAAATAATCAGTACAAGAATTTTTGAGAACATTTTTGCATTTTTTTTCATGTTTTACCGTGTGTCACAATTTACCTTCGATGACTTCAATCTTGTGTGATGGTCACACGAAATAGCTTTGATTCATTGGATGTGTGACACTGTGACAAAGCTAAGTGTGTATCTCTACAGTATATAATTGGGAGCACTATGACTTTGAATGACAAGCAATTACCAAAAAATTACAAGTCTGATGTTGGTATGTAAGATGTCGCAACTGTGATCCATGGTAGATAAATGTCGATAGATGATTGCTGGAATTGCAATATTATGTAATATCAAGCTGTGCTGCTCAGAATGCTGACTAAGGTATGCACCTGTGGGAGTTGAGGGTTTGACAATTTTCACTCATCTTTGAGCTCACTCTTTTACTCTAAACATCTCCATTCCTCAAAAGTCAAGACCTTTATTTTTGGCAGTTCTTCATGGACCCTCCTTCCAGTTCCCTCTCCTTGGTGGTCCCTCCTCTCTGGCCTTCTTTTGGGGATCCTCCTTAGCTCCTTGGTGGACCCTTCTTTGGTGGATCCTCCTTCCTGGCCTTTGGTGGGCCCTCCTTCCTGGCTCCTTCATGGACCTTCCTCCCCGGCCTTTGGTGGACCCTCCTCCCTGGCTCCTTCGTGGACCTTCCTCCTGGCCTTCTTTGATGGACCTTCCTCTCTGGCCTCCATGGCTCCCATCCCTGGCTTCTTTGGTGGTCCCTCTTTCATGGTCCCTTCAATTGGTGGATATTTTCCAACTTGATAGGTAATTGCAAAGTGACTGTCAAGATTGTACTGTTGGTACATTAGTAAACTACAACTTTTCCCACAGCGAGCACAAAATCTGGGGTCTTATGCAGCCAGCCACAGACTTCCACAGTTCTCCCAATGTCTCAGCTCACTCAGACCACAAGGTATCCAGTTATACAGTTCTATATGGCCTGCAGCACTTTGCAGCACATTTCAAATTATATACTGTATATCCCAGTAGTAGTAGTACTTCAATATGATTCAATTTCAATGCTCAAAATTTTCGCTAAGTCCAAACAACTTGAGTTGGAGCAATTTAATTCAAATGCACACCAAGTGTGCATGCAAGATCATCATATTACAATAAAACAACAGAGCTATCCCACATTACATTTGAAGTTGTATCTATGTACATATAGGTGGTATAATGGTAGTAAATAGATGCGATTCAAGGTCAATCTAGCTGGACCATGATGTGATGGCATCCCAATGATTCTAAACATGTAATATTAGCAGTGCTGTGAGGTATAGTATGTAATTGGAAGAACTTACCTTGCAAACTTGGCATGGGTCCATGATGAGAAAACCCATGTTTTTTTAAATGCGATCCGCATGTGGCCTATTCCTATGTCTGCCTTGGTGAGTTTTTGCTTTGAAATGTCGGATTTGTGCTTCGAGAGATTTGCCATGACTTCATGTTCACAGACCATGCAGTCAGCAAGCACCTTCTCCACATTGAATACATCCCATCTGGCCCTTGCGAGGTCCATGACGAGGTTCACTTCAAGATCATCGACATCATTGATCACCTGTAAAAATGTTAACGAGTATTGTTCACCATGGAAGGTATGTGTTACTCACCATTGACCTGATAGCATCTACTACTTCATACAAGTCAGAAATGCCATGACCAGATTGACACAGAGTATTAGTGTTTGCATGTAAGTGAAGAGGGCAATGTGAAGTTGATGGGATATCACTAATATTGAGATGGACTGCACTGGTTGACATGGCGTGTTGAAAAGCACTTTATTGATTCTGAGAATGTAACTTGACATTCTAACAATTGTATGCATACCTGACAGTACTAATACTATGTCATACCAGTGTCCTTTGTGCAGCAAAGACAGCTTCAAAGACCACGGTGCTGTTGCTCGACATATGAGCCAGCCTTGCTCTGGTTGTAACACCTGGCTACAGGATCTCATACGCTTGTGCTCAGCATCCATTCATACTACCAACCCCGTGGATATCAACAATGCACCAAATATTCCTGATGTTGACATGGAGCCTCAAGATGACAGGCCTGGATTCGCAGGCTGGGATGAGGTATTTCAAGGTAGTGATGAGGGTGATGGTCAAGTCCATGGGGAGGAAATGCTGACTCACTTGGACTTCATTGACTGGCATCCCCAACCCTCTCAAACACATGGCAGGGGACGCACTTTCCTCGACTTGTTTCATTCCGACCAGAACAATGTGTATTATGTAACAAACCATTATTACCCATTTAGTGGCCGAAAAGACTGGGAGGTTGCCTCCTGGCTGCTATGTTCGCGGTTGAGCATGGCAAAGATCAATAGTTTTCTTTCACTCGAGATGGTCAGTTTTAATTCTTTTATTCCATTCACAGTTCTGACAATTGTCTTATTCAGATCAAGAGTCTCCCCTTGTCTTTTTGCTCAGCCAAGGAACTACGTGGTCGAGCGGAAATGCTGCCCAGCGGTCCTCCCTGGTTGTCCCAAGTAATCCCTACTGCGCATCCCACAAAATCACCTGTCATCTTGTATTGGTGCGATCCCCTGGACTGTCTCGCAAGCATTCTAAATCACCCTTTCTTTCATGATCAGATAGATTTTACACCTTGCAGGGTGTATGCTACTGTGCAGCGACTGTGCTGCATGTACTCTGAATAGATGACTGCTGATGACGCATGGAACATGTATGTGCGTTTTTCTTTATTTCTGTGAGTCGCTGTACTTACTCATTTTCAAACAGTCAGCCCTGCCAAGAGGTGAATGCTCCTTGGGACAATCTCGTCATCTGACAAGACCAATATCTCTATGATGGTAGGTGACAGAGTCACACATCCCCTCCTCATCAGCCTCACCAATATTCACATGTCCACCCAGCTCAAATCATCATCTAATGCCTTCGTTCTTACCGCCCTCCTCCCTGTTTCAAAATTTATGTATAAAAAAAAATGTATGTGAGGCGTGCTTGAGGATTGCCTTATTCATGAATGCCTAAATATTGTACTGCTTCCCCTCAAGCAGGCCACTTGCAAAGGAGTTATGTTGTCTGATCCTGTTGGGCACAGTCGATACTGCTTCACGCTGCTCATAAGCTATATCATCGACACTCCAGAGGCCATGATGCTGGCTACTGTTGGTGGGAAAACCTCCCCAGTCACTATGGCGATGTACAAGCAATTTGGAGACCTTTCCACCACAAGCCTCATACCAAATCAACTACACTTGCCCAGCTGCATGTCATCCAAACAAAGGCTGATCCTGACAATATTGAAGTATTTTTTCGTGAAGCTCAGAAGTTTCGCTTAAACAGCATATCTGAACCATTCTTTGAGGATTGGGTCCTTTCTGAACCATCCCATTTTTTCACTCCCAAGACTCTTCACCACATCCATCGGGAGTTCTATGACCATGATGTGAAGTGGCTCATTTGCACAGTCGGGGACACAGAGCTCAATTTTTGCTTTTCTGTGTTACAGCCCATTTGGGAATCTATTATGTAACGAGGCACGAATGAAAGAATAGAGTAAGGTCTTCGAGCGAATGAAAGGTGCGGCACCACTTCTTGTTTCCGTGCCGCGACCATCGTTCATCGCTGTGTAATTCATTCTCCTCCTCGTATTTCTTTTTCTATATCAAAACCCTCCATAAAAACTTTAAGAACTAAATCACTCTATACCTACCCAATAACTATCATGGTCGACCCAACAACTGAAACATGCCCGGACTACGCGGGCCCACTCTACACTGGTATCTGCACCGACTTAATAACAGCTACGGGATGAACAGAACAGGAGGTCATAGACCGCCTCGTAGACACCTGGAACGCAGGCCACGAAGAGAGAATCCTCGCTTGGGAACAACAGCAAGAGAATGAAGCAGCTAGCGGTTGCCAATGCCTGAAAGAGCTCGCGAAGCACAGGAAGAAGCAGAACGTGTCATACGAGAGGAAGAAGCACAGAAGGAACGTGCAGAAGCAGAGAAGAAAAAACCGAAAATGAATGGATTCGAGGAAACCTCGACAGTAGGAGACTTCCTAGCTCCCCGCCCCTCCCAATACGCAGTTCAAAAGCTCACAAATTTTGAATACATAGAATTATGGTACTTTTCTCCGGATGGATGCAAGGAAGCCCTAAAAACCTCGAGATCTATCGCAGACGACTACGGTCTGACCAAGGTGGACGATCAGCTCACCATTCGCCCAGCTTCAGCCTTCAAAGCCTCGAGGGCAGCGTTAGCAGACCACGATTTGCCTTTCTCAGTATTCTTACGAGCAAAGAACATGTTCCTCGTCCAAATCAGCCAGGCCAAATGGCCCCAAACCCACATTGATTCCCTCTCGCTTTTCTTCTGGCGCCTCGAAAACCATGCGATTCGCAACCACAGCGACATTGGTGACATGGTTATCCTTAACTATGCTTCGAGAGTACGCCACGATTGGCACGACTACTTGAAGCGAGATGAAGGTTTCAACATTGGAAACCTTAATGAGACTCTCTTACGCACGATCAATGAAGAACTCTGGGACAAAGTGCGATCCCGAACCCTGCCCTTGGTATGTATCGAACTCCCCATAAAAACACCAGCTAACCACACAACTGTTCTACCTACATACCTACTTCTACTCCCACCCACAACCCACGTACGTGGATGCCCGCGATGTCACTCCCGCGGATGCCTATGATGTCACTCCCGTGGATGCCTGCACACATGCTCACGTGGATGGTGTATTCACTCAACACACAGCCTTAGAGCAAGGACTCATCCTACCAAAGCAATTCCCGAAAATCGAGCTACCGTGACACACGTAGCAACAATCACCGGAACCGTAACTCACGCTCACGCTCACCTGTTCGCAGGAGGAGAGGCCCAGAAAGGCAGATCATCCTCACCAGACAATACCCGGGACAAGCAACGTCGCGAGGGTTTTTCTCGCAGCGCAGGCTCCTGCGGCCGTTCAGCCTGCGCTGTATGTCTGGGCCGTTTCGCACACGACATCCGTCACTGCAACTCCAGCAACCTCTGGGATGGGTCCAGTGCCCACTGCCGTCGAGCACAAGACGGTTGCATTGTCAACCCCCAAGGACTCCCACTATGCTACAAATGGCAACGTCCCGAGAGCTGTGCAGCCCAAAACCACGAATCATCTCACGAATGTTCAGGCTGCGGAGAAAAAGACCATGGAGCGCAGAAATGCTCTCAAGTCGAGAAAGCATGAGGCATGCACCCCTTACAATGCCAATGAATGGCAACGTCTCCTCAAAGAGACAAATCTCCTTAGTAGATACCCATCTATACCTAGATGCCTCGTCAGTGGTTTTTCGGGAGGCATTCCTCCAATCACATGTACATACGCACCCGCTAACAGCTCCACCCTTGACGAGAATGTGGACGCATTCTGGAACATCATCGATCGTGAATTCTCCAAAGGCCGATTCATCGGCCCGTTCAGCGCTGAAGAACTCAAGTCCATCATCGGCGAATTTCAAACATCTCCCTTATCCCTTGTTCTCAAACCAGGCAAACCAGGCAAATTCCGCCTGGTACAAAACCTTTCATTCCCTATTCGTCCATTACCTTCCATCAGATCAATTAATTCTAGGGTCGACTCTGACCTATTCCCATGTACCTACGGGACTTTTCCCATTATTTGTCAAGCAATCTGGAGCCTACCTCCTGGCTCGCAAGGAGCCGTTCTTGACGTTGCGGAGGCATACCGAACGATTCCCCTCCACCACTCACAATGGCCTGGCCTGGCCATACGCCTACCGGGTGACGACACATTTGCAATTGATACTGCCCTCTGCTTCAGATTCAGCCCCTCTGCAGGAATTTACGGAAATGTGGCAGATGCGGGTGCTGACATCCTACGTGGCAAAGGTATTGGCCCCATATCTAAATGGGTTGATGACCACTTGTTTTTTCGTATTAGGACAGAGTACATCGAAGAATTCAATAGACATCGCTTACGTTCAGCACATGAAATTGAGAAGAACGGAGGAGTCATCATTGATGGCGGCCGCAAATGGTATAAAGGGGCAACCCTGCCAAATGACAACATCGAAGAATTCGATGAAGACATGCTGTTCCCCCTTCAGGACTTATCTGATCGATCCCCACGATCCTTCGAGGACTCGCAATATACATACTGCTTCGACGACATTGATTTCTATTCTTCCTTACTGGGAATCATCTGGGAAATATCAAAAGACCATCCTTTTAGCTCCAAGCCGCTTTTCATTGGATTTGTTTGGGACATTACCAAACATACCGTGGCGTTGTCAAGCCAGAAGCAGACAAAATACCTCGAAGCTATCACCATATGGCAATTGAAGCGGACACACACCCTCCACGAGGTCCAAAAGCTGTACAGGAAGCTATCACACGCATGCCTCATTATTCCGATTGGACGAGCTTACCTCACCAGCTTGGAAAGCATGCTGGGCATATTTAAAGACCACCCACACATGCCCCGAACCTCCCCTCGTAACACACCGGAAGACATTGAGTGGTGGAAATCAGCTCTTAGTCCCAGCTACATTGCCCGCCCAATACCAGGACCCTGCATTGTCCATGATCCCCTTGCCTATTCGGATGCTAGCTCTGGCCACGGAGTCGGAATTGTCATCAACGGGCGATGGCAGGCATGGAAACTCTCATCCAGTTGGCAGAGAGATGGGCGTGACATCGGTTGGGCAGAGAGCATTGGGTTTCGAACTCCTCGTTCGGACCATCACCAAGGTTGCTCCCCCTGGAACTCATTTCAAGGTCTACGGTGACAATCGGGGTGTTGTCGAAGGGTGGTGGAAAGGATGCAGTAGAAATCGGGCCTGCAATGAAGTCTTCAAGCAGATTCATGCACTCGCTGCCAGTGCCGAGTGTACAATACTTACTCGATATGTCCCAAGCAAAGAAAATCCTGCCGACAGCCCCTCGTGCGGGATATATCCCCCCGCATCTGAAAGGCTCCCCCAAATTCCAATCCCAAGAGAATTGCAAGCATTTATTTCCAATGTCTCCACCAGTGATCTCACCTCCCACGTCATCCATGGAGCCAGTGCCTTCGGCACGCACCAACCGTTTCCGACAATGGTCGAAAAGCTCGGAAACGACGAGTACGAGCACCGTGCATCCATCAACCGTGAACTCGAGCGAAGAGGGGAAGCACTCTTCCAAACATCGCAAAGCTTGTAAGTCAATCCCCACGCCAAAGTGGGACAATTAACCTCCAACACACACCGTCGCAGCCTATAACAGCGACCTAAGTCCAATACCATCACCTCTACGCCCACACTGTGCAGCAAAGGACAGGCTGTATCTATGGCAACCCGTATCCCCGCGATCAACAAGAGATGCGCAGGGACAGATCCTACCTCTAACCCCATCCGACATCGAACATATTCGAGAGGTCATGGTCCACGGATACGCAGAAGGAACCCGCGAGTCGTATGGATCTGGACTACTCATCTTCCACGTCTTCTGCGACAGCAAAAGCATCCCAGAGAACCAGAGAGCCCCAGCAAACCACATCCTAATTTCGTCATTTATATCATGCATGGCAGGACACTATTCTGGGAAGACTATATCCAACTACGTTTATGGTGTCCGTGCATGGCACGTTTTACACGGGGTATTATGGGCACTAAACGACATGGAAATTGACACCCTTCTCAAAGCAAGCTTATCCATGACCCCCTCGACAGCCAAGCGCAGCAAGCGAGAACCTTACACAGTCGAACTCATCATAGCCATTCGAGAACAACTCAATCTATCAGACCACCTGGATGCCGCCGTCTTCGCCTGTCTAACCACGGCGTTCTACGCTACAGCGAGGGCCGGAGAGTTCACTGTCCCACGCCTAGATGCCTTTGACCCCAAGCTGCACATAACTCCTGCCAACATGACAGACGTCCGTGATCGACAGAACCTTCTCACCAAGAACTTTCACTTGCCTCGCACAAAGACATCATTAGAAGGAGAGGATGTGCACTGGGCCAAGCAATCAGGACACTCGGACCCTGAAGCAGCTTTTCTGAATCACATGGCCGTCAACGAGCCCCCCGCCAACTGCGCTCTTTTTTCGTACTGCCACAAGAACTCACATAGGCCGCTGACAAAGACGAAACTCACGCAAAGGCTAGCGGCGGCAACCAGAGCAGCAGGGCGAGAACCATTACAGGGACATGGCATCCGCATAGGATCCACCCTCGAATATCTCCTTCGAAACATCCCTTTCGATGTCGTCAAAGTCAAAGGACGCTGGGCAAGCGACACTTTTCTCAAGTATCTTCGCCGCTATGCCCAAATACTGGCGCCCTACATGCAGGCTGTCCCATCCTTGCAGGACCAGTTTCTTCGCTACACCTTACCCCCAGTTCGTGGAGGTTAAGCACCGGAAGTAACCAAAAGACGAAACATGTGAGTATTTCACGCCCGTCTCCTAAAATGTGGGGTATCCAAGGCAACTGTGAGTTTCGCTGGATGCATCAACGAACTCCTAACGTTTGGGAATCGCAGCTCACCTCCTTTTTCTCTTAGGTTGCACTCCTCGGGGCCGGAAAGCGCTGCGCGCTCTCGCCCAAAAGCTCACACTCAGTCTCGCCATCAGAATCTATCCAAGCACGTTCTATTCCTCCAAGTATACCAGTAGTACAAAATCTATCCATTTGTCGTGTCGGAATGAACCTCGAAGACACAGGATTTCGCCATTTTCACAGTGGCATTTCAAAGCTCAAACAGGTTATCGGCCGTGCTCAGTGTGACATCTAACACTTGATTATTGCAGTTAGTGCAGACGCAGCACCTTGTGCTGTGATCACTGCCATCCGAGCTCTGTTGGACTTTCGTTATCTCGTGCAGTCACATCACCAAAAGTCCACAAACCAGAAATTACCTGATTTGGGTTGTGGCTGCGCCACAGCGCTTCTCAGACATGCCACATCATGATCGTTGACTCTGTGTCATGCTAAACTACATAGCATTTGCACAATGTCATATTAAGCTGTATGTTAACCTGACAGCGAGTAGCTAATGTTTATCTTGGTCTGCTATGACATTATCTATCCCATGTGTAGTATATTGTTGAGTAATATAATTAAAGTGCACCATAACCCTCTCGTGCAAGCACATCATCGTCAAGTTCCTCATCTGAATCAGCCTCTACTCTATCGTCTGGGTCATCTTCATCTTCCCCATCTTCCTCGTCATCACCTTCATCTAATTCACTCTCCTCTTCCTCACTGTCGGCCTCACTATCTTCCTTGCTATCCTCCCTAGCATCCATATCAACATCATCCCATTCTTCCTCGTTGGCAGGGACATTCACAGGGGCTCCGTCGCTCTGCAAAAATTGATCCCATTCCCATGTGACTTTATGGCCAACATCTCCACCACAAAACCGCATAAACATATCTCTGTCTACAAACCTTGTACAGTAGTTAGAATTTTGAGTAGATAGAAGTAAAAAAGACATACATATTGACATAAAAATACCGCCAGTCTGTGTCACCATCCTCCTCGCGACAGACAAATGAGGGTCCCATGTGGTGATCTGTGTGATTATGTGCAAATGCAGGAATGAGATGGACCCCACGAATCACTTGATTGGGATCTAGAAATCCAAAACATCCAGGATCCTCGCTCATGAAAAATCCAAGCCTATGCAAGCGCTTGGCAGACCAGCCACCCTTGAATGTAACATTACGCCCAAACCAGCGTACAAAAAGCACATGCATCTGCTGTGGTTTCGATGTCGACATGTTCTTGTTGCCATAATACCAAACATCTAAGTGAAAAATTTGAATGACCCGTGCATACCAATATGGGTGGCGTTCATCATCATTTTCATGAGAGAGGACCATGATGTCAGCACGAGTTCGAGGGTTGATAGTATCTTGTTCTCTTCGAAGGTCGTATGTCGTATAGTTCACCTGTAGCACTCCATGTTCATGCAGTCAGTTGTTTGCAAATATGACCTGGTCCCGATCTTCATCAGTAAACTTGTGTTCATCACCTGAGTATTTGATCCCTCGCAGGCGGCCTAGAATATGGTCTTTCAATCATGGAATAAAATTCTACCACAGTAGATTAGAAATGATATTAGCATAATAAGAGCACATACCTCCGTCGCTGGGTCATCGTCGAGCTCACTCAGCCATGCAGTGAGGTCATATGATGCCTTCGGGTAGTGTGAGATATGATAGTGGTCAGATGGTGAAGTGCATTGATGTTTTCTTCTATGCCAGCCAGCTGCTTCTGCCAGCTGCTCACATCATTTTAAAATCTTCTTCATAAGTCGGTGTCATGCCTCCTGATGAGCCATGTGTTTGGCTGTGGTTTTCTTGTTCTTTGGAGTCCTAGGGTACTGTTACGACTTGGATGGTATCTGTTGGCGACGCTCAAACAGAGCGTGTGTCGTCAACGGTCGAGGACGTCCTTGGGCTAGCCCAAGGTTAGGGGTCTTACTTGGCGAAGCTTCGGCAAGTAAGATTTGATGCCTATGTCCAAATTGGGTAGCTTATGTCAAGCGGATGCTCGACAATAAGCTATATCGGCCTAGGCTTACGACACCCAAAGGTTAATCGTAAGATCGTCGTTAATTAGAAGGACGGAAGTCTGACTAGTTAACAGGGGCTCTGCTCGTCGATGAAGTCGATGAGTAAAGATCGAGACTATAGGCTTATCCGCGAAGAGCAGATAAGAAGATAGAATATAGACTGCTGGCTAGGCAGAAGGGATCACTCTGGTGAGAGTAGGAGGTCAAGAACCAAGTAGATTCAAGTTAGGGAATATAGTACATGGTAGCGAGTTTATATAGAGGACAGGAGGCGTATTAGTGGGTGATAACTCGTACTACCAAGAGAGGCAATCGGTAAAGGGTATAACCATAAGAGGAAGGCACGTTCGGGTTGAGACATGGGTGAGCCAGAACGTGCTTGATAAGAAAGTGAGTCAAAGGTTGAAATAAGAAGTGAAACGCGCAGGGGCACGACCATGCAGCTGCGGAGCTAAGTATAAGTCGCATGTGCGACTGCGCACTGAGTCAGAGATCAAGAAAGGGAAAAGGGCACAGGGGATGCGTCGTGCATCATATCATAGGTTACCGTCCGGACGGTAAGGGCAAGGGGACTGTCCACAGGATCAGTCAGGTGGTGGAACGGAGCATGGGTATGCTTCGTCAGCAAAAGGATCCGGCCAGATGTACTGGCTCTGCTGAAGTGACAGGTAGAGGGCGAAAGGGAATGCGAGGATGACAAGGATAACAAGGGTGAGGTCGGGGTAAGGGTATGATGCGAGGGCTGATACCAGAAGGATGAGGAGAAAAATGGTAGGGGCCCAAGTGTCTAGATGTTCTTGTAACAGGTACCAACACTTAAGAGACCGATGCTCCAATTTGCCCTACCAATGTGTGTCAGCATGTAAAACCTCTCTTTTCTAAAAAAATATACCGGCTGAGTAGAGAAATTATCAGTGGTTCCCATGCGCCATATCGTGTTAGGATAATCTCCGAGCGCATGATACTTATAGGTCTCAAGGTTGAGCTTCTTAAACTTTGGCCCAGTCGCCACTGAGTTTGTGGCCTTTTTCTTTTCATCCTTGATGTTCTGCTGACTTGCCAAGGCTGCAGCTCATTGTCCACGGGCAGCATATTCGTGAGGGAGCTCAGTGGTGTGATAGTGCGCACATGCCGTCTTGAGAAACTTTCGTACAGACTGACCTAGGACCACAGTCACAGTGTCAAAGAAAGCTAGAGTGTCTTCAGTATGCAACCGGAGTTTCGCATACCCATGCCATACAGCTAAGTCAAAGAGAAGGTTGAGGACAATCGAATTATGCTCTTTGGGTAGAAGGTCCTCAAATACAGGGAGGGCGCACTGCACGATTATATTATAGCATATTTTACAAGCATCCAATAAGACGTACCTGAAGGAGATCTTCAAAGTCTCTTGCAGCAAGTTTCTTCATAGACGACGCATTACTGTGGAAATGCTGGATAGTGCCACACCCGAAAGTTGGAACCATCCGATACCTAGCAATGGGTTGGTCAGAGTAGATATGTCAGTATATCATTACTCACCGTTCATTAAGGTCTTGAACTGAATTCCCTACTGCGGCATGCAGAATTCGCATGAGATGAGTAAAGATTGCTTTCCAGACTCCAATTTCAAACTCATGAAGAAGGTCCACGACAAACAGGACAAACAGGTTGAATCCAAACTTGGCGAGTTTCTCTGAGAATGTGTTCTAGGATGTGATTAGGCCTAGTAATAAGATCGGGTGAATGTACTTACTCGAGTAGGCACCAGTGATTCATTGTTCAAAAGGTTGTTCACCCAGGTGCCAGAAACTGGAGCCCCCTTTTTGAATATGAGTGACCGAGCCCTTGCAATGATATGGTGTCATGGATGGTCATCGATACGCTGCAACTTGTCTCGGCGTCTCAAATCGGACTTCATTCCCAGCTTTGGAACGTCGGCCTTCTTCACCAGACAGCACGGACATGGGCACTGGCCCAGAAATTTTATACTTGCAAGTAGAATTCTAGAAAATACTGTCAGAATCAATGACAAGGTTAGCGCCTGATACCTACTTTTCTGGATAGTCAGCTGAATATGTAAAAAACCGAGGGAAAACCCGACGAGTGATGCCGTCTGAACATTTGATAACAATACCATGTTCATAAGCATCCATGAACTTGTCATTGAGGAGGAGTGTCCAGATAGCATGCATTAACTCCCGCTTGCAGAAGGTATAAGTCTGGTCTGTCGAGGGTTCCCCAAACATGCCAATATAGATGTCTTGGAATTCACTCGGGAGCCATCTCAATATATTCAGCTCCAATGTTCAGTAGTAGTAGTAGTAGTAGTAGTAGAGATGACATACAGTTGGTATATAGGCAACATGGTGACATGCACCGGACGTCGGCTTCCCTCAAGTATATTTAGACTGATTTCCAAAAAACAAATAAAATGGCCACATTGAAGCGTCCCCAAAATTAGTTAGATGAGTCGCATTGGACCACAACATGAGGGAGGCGACCACACGTTCAAGACCGTTGTCAGGTTCATGTGGCAATGCATTGATTTCTTCATACGCCTCGAGCATGGTAGGGGAACTGTGAGCCTCTGAGAAGACCTGGATGGTCTTTTCCTCTGAGACCTTCCAGTACTGAGTGAAAGGTGTCATATTGAATGTCCAGGAAACATCGTCCTCAAAAACAGCTGTGATGATGTCAACGAGTGAGCGATGATATATGCCAGGTATCTCCAACTCAGGAGCATCATCCTCTGATGCCCATTTCTGCTTCTCCTTCAGTAGCTGAATCCTGACTGTGGACTCGCGCCAACCATATTCCTCCTGGAAAGGATTGGACTTGTCATCCAAGTATTTGTCGAGCAGCTTCGACTCACGGGTGTGCGTGATTCCAACTGCATCTTTCTGGCAGAAGAGAGGATCATCAAGAAACGTACCAAGGCGATCAAAGTGCGCAGCAGAGTTCAAACCTGTCCCAGAATACTGCCATGCCATCAAAAGGCCACACATTGGATTGGTGAATGCATTGAACAGTTCATCTATCCCCACATCCATAGACGCAAGTCCAGCAAGAAGCTTGGTGCACTTTGGGCCCAGTTGACCGCAGTCAAGAGTAGGGGCATCGGTCACAGTGTCAAGAGTGGTGCCATCTGTGGGAACTAGTGTAGGAAGGGTGGGATAAATATGATATAAACCCATATTGTCAGGCTCAGTCTCGAAAGGCACAAGGGTCGGTGCTAGGCTAGGACTGGGGCTTGGTGACTGAGGGTGATTGGCAACACTACTGATGATGGCCACTGGCTGTGAGGCTGCAGCTCAAGGCTGGTCCCTACGCCACTGGCGATTGGTGCCCAGCATATGAGCAAGATGCATGGCTGAACCAGGAAGGTAATCAACATAGCAGCGTGGCATTCAAATTGTGCGCCCAGAGTGTTGTGAGACAACCGGAGGGGGTGGGTCCACAGCCTGCAATAATATACATATCAACAACATTACAATGTAGTCGACGAGAAGGAAATGCTCACATTGTGTTCGGGGAGTAGAACATCATCATCAGCTATGTGTGATGGCCCAGCAACAGCATTATCCTGCTACAGCATTATGTGAATTGTATTAAAGGTTATAAATGAAATACACACAAGTATGTCATCATCAGGCGCATCAGCCCAGCCATCAGCGAAAACACGGTGGATTGCATCCTGAATGATCTCATCTGAGTCTTCAATGCAAAGCTGTTTTGTCTTCTTGCTGTGCTTATCCGACCTGCATTTTTTCGGCTTTTCATATATAGAGTCGGTCAGCTTAATAGACATATTATGCCCGCACTGCGCAGCATGCGATGATAGCTGCCTTGTCGATTTAAACTGCCTCCCACAACCAAGGCATGTTGGACAGTCTGACATATTTAAGAATTAGAACGAGATAAGATACAAAGCAGTGAGGGAAGTGATAAGTTACCTAGCCATGACACAGTCTTTATAAACACCAAAACTCAGTGTTGACTGTCGCCGGATCTAATCCTGGGGGAAGATAAGCTCAAGAATCATACGGTGATCCACTGTTCATAGGTGCCAAGCTTATTGAATCACACTGCAACACCAATCATTTAGAAATTGATATTGGATATAGCGTACAGTACACAGGGGAGGAGTGGAGACTGACGTCAGAAGCCATTTCCAGCAATTGGCATGAGTGATGTGGTTGATCATGTGACAGAAGATTTGCAGATTCATCTGAGTGTCGTATCTTTCACATGGAGATTCTCATTGTTCACCATGCTGATCAGGAGGGGAAGCACCCAGCAGGTCCTGAAATTTGCGGTGCCTTGGAGCGAATGGTAGAGGTCAAATATATATGTATAAGAAACAAAAATAGTTATCAGTACCTATAGTAAATAGTAAGATATTCAAATATGCTGCGTATGAGCGTTGTGTCGGTGTCGCAGCAGAAGAATGCGGTGGTGCTGCAACCAAGGACAGCGTAGACAAAGCAGAAGCCAAAGACAATGTGGAAAGAGCGGCAACATACTGAGTTGGCGTTTGCAGTAGTACTGGTGCTGTTGTTAGTAACATTGCTGGCAGTACTGGAATTTGGTGACGTGTTAGATGAAGACGCATTGGAACCCACTTCCCCATCGATGCTGTCGACTCCAGAGAACAGTAAAGCCTTGTTGGTGCCACTACTCATGCCAGCCATACTGGGTGGTACCCAATTCTGGCTGAGATAGTCTGGGTGGTATGGGCCAGGGAAGGGGTTATACACTGCATAGGTATCACCCAGCGCGCCCATTAACTCGCTGCTGCCTCCCATACCCATACCCACCATGAGGCAATGGGTTGAGTCATGCTATCCGGTGCTAGAATTGGCGATGGCGATGGCGTAGGGCAACGTGAGATGCCTGGAGACGCAGAGGGCATCTGAGTATGAGAAGGCATCTCGGAGGGAGTGCCTGGTGTGTTAGAAGTGCTTGAGGTCTCAGTGAGAGAGGAACACTGCACACGAGCGTCATGTCGAGAGCGCTTGTGGTTCTCCAGTCTCGCAAAGCTTCACTTAGGGCAAGTGCGAGGGCATCAGCCTTTGCAGGATACCTTGTGAGCATCCTGACGCACCGAGCACCCGTTGACCCCCACATGAAGCCTCGACACAGACTGAGGGAGATACTGAGACCTGAGGGCATGTGAGAAGGCACGCATAATTCAAAGACAACCTATAATAAAAGATACAATTAGCATAAAATAAATTTTGAGCCTTCCCAGGGCACCCTTGGTGCTCAGGGACCAAGCCTCACAAGTTAACAGCTGACGTTCACAGGTCAGCGCCTGAGCAGCCGACAGTGTCCACATAATGTGGAGCTGCACGTAATGCATGTATCGGTGGCAGGTGTGAGCGGACGCCCAGTGGTACTAACTGGAGAAGCAAAAAGAACAAGTTTGAAATTGTGGTTTCAAACATCACGTGACTTTTCAAAGTCAGCCGGCAAATACTGGTGATGCAACGCGACTTGAATTCCACGCGTATTCAATGCGTATTTATCTTTCTATTACTACCATTATTTTCTATAATCGTATACTATGGCATCTGAGTACGTTATCGTTAATGGTGCTGACAAGGTCATTATCCATGACAATGTCATTGTCATGGATATCGAGAACCTCCTGACTGGCTGTCCGACTTATGAGATTAATTTTACCCCCGAGAACCTGGGCCCATTGGTATGTAATCTCTATCTTTTCATGTTACTTACTGACAGTTTGATCTAGAAACTTATTATCTGCCTCAAAGATCCTGTGAAGATGGTTCACATTAAAGATAAAGAGTCTTCAGATAGCGAGGCAGAGTTGTTGATTGCAGGCAATCAGAAAAGGAAAAAGTGAGTATCATTTGGTTCTCCTCTCGCAATAAGATCGCTAACTTAATCTGCAGGACCTCGTTGACCAATCACGAGAACAAGAGGACAAAAATGTGATAACTTTGGTAGTGTTCTAGTGAGTTGTACTAACATCAAAATTTACAGGTTCGCAACCGATACCATCAAGCTCGCCGAAGATCTCACAGGCCTCAAAATCACGTCTCAGAGTCCTGGGTAAGGTTTTTTCATATTTGTCTGATCATAACACTGATGCAACTTGATCTATAGGACTAACACCATCAAGGCAAAACCAGTGCGCCTAGTCGGAGTCCACAAAAACCCCCCACCACGTAAAAATAAATTCAACGGTAGCATTGCTTGGCCACCTGTCCGTCACCACCATTTCAGGGATGTGGAGGATAAAGATTCCATTGCTGGTCTAGATATCTTGCAAGCTCTCCCTGCTCCTGTTACTGCAGACTCTACTTAGTTTAGATTTTGCTATACCATTCTTTTTGCTCTCGCATTGCTTTCATAGTATTTCAGTTTGCAGTCTGTACACAAGAATCATGTAATTGTAGAATTAATCATTGTACTTGACGCGTCAACATAGATTTTGAGATATCGCATAGACGCGATCACATGTAATTTTAGAATAAATCATTGATGCGTCAACATGACCAAATAAAAGACTATGTGATATCGCATATCGCGAATGTGGCATCTGATATTCCCTTACCTACTGCTATCATCATGGCTCGTTGACATCGTTCACTGTCCTCATCCAGTAGTTCTTCATCTGGTAGCGACTCCTCAATTTTGATCGAGTCCATGCATGGGCCATCCACTTCACCGCCTAGGACTTCTCCAACACCCAAAGAACTGAAATCCAAGAAGTCACATCTCAAGTGCAAACGAGGATCATCAGATGCTGGTACTGAAGAGAAGAAACCTTGGAAACATACAAAGTAAGTTGGATTTACATTATTGACGCGCATACATTGACATGCAACTCCCGTCTTAGGAAGCAACAATGTAAAAACTCAAACTCGGACAACAAAAACAAAAAGTAAGTACATAAGCCCGATTCATGCTTGTTTCCTAATGTTATTTACAGGAAAGGTATGACCCCACAGGAACAATGCCTGCAAGCTGCACGTTGGATTCCATGGGGGGTAGACCTGTTCTGCAATTTAGCAGATGTCTTTCAAATTGCTCCCCTCATCGAGCAACGCAATGCAGCGGAAAAGGGTGACCATGTAGAGGATGAAGAAACGAAGATTGATTGCGAGGCAATCTTGTCAAACGTGTACATATGGCATATTATCATGATTGTCTTTGCTGATAATACCATTGTAGCCCAAAGGATGTAGAAGAACGGACAATGCACACCTACAAGAAGATCACTGCCGCAGCCCCTTACTTGCTAACCTTGGTGAATGGCAACAGGAAGAAGCAACACGAACTCGAGGGACTTCTTGCTGAGGTGAGTAATATAGCATATATGTGCTCATTTGTGCACTAATATCATCTATAGATGCAAGTTGTCATCGGACAAGTTCGTTCAGAGGATGCCAGTCATCTGAAACCTGTCATCGGAAAATACACAGCGCCCGACCCTGACGACAAAGACCTGGTACTTTCCATTTCTGCTAACAGTCACAAGTCACATGCAAGGATGGGTCTTAACCACCCACAACTCACCAGGATGCTCTGTCCGGTGAAGTACCTGGCTGAATATTCAAAAGATCCTCAGGGATATGTACTTAGCACTTCCAGTTTGATTGCTGACAATGGTTGTTAGTACACGCAATAAATTACAAAGCGGTGAGATCAAGATGCACACTTTGGTATGGCCATCTATGGTATACTCTGGTAACATCCCGGGAGAAGACTTCGACCCAAAGCAAGTTCAAAAGGGGCTACTTGAAGGTTACCTTATTGAGCGAGTGAGTTCTTTTGTTACTTTGATTGTCGTCAGATCATTCATGATGTGTGCATATCTTAGGTCATGAAGCATCTTTTCACAGGCCCTTCCACCGCTCTTAGTGCAGATGGCGAATCCGTTGGAACACGTCCATGTAATGCCTGTCTTCATAGTATGACAACAGTTGAGGCAGAGAATATTGCGTATGGTGTAATTCAGGTACGTCATTCAACACCCTTAGGTTTCTTGATTTATTACTCATGCTTCTCAATGTCTTTATATAGAGCTGTTTCGTGATCAGTTCGCTTTACAAGTGGAAGGAGATTGATGGAACTTACAACTATCGTGATGCTTACTATTGCATCATTTCGACCATTCGCGACGCTCCAGACCCCAGCTGGGCAAAGGCACTGTATGAACATTGGAACCTGTATGTAATCACTTCTGTTATAAGCAGTATCTAACATTGAGCTTCGTAGCAAATTGTTCAAAAACAAGCTTGGGCTTCGTGCCTCATCTTCCATGAACACCTCTGATGCTATTGACGATGACGACTTTGCTCTGATGCGGAAGCAGTATGAGCAGAGGCTTGCAGATGAAGCTGCTGCGTGGATGGTTTCTTTGACTCCTGCGGATTCTGGTCCCAAAGAGGACCTGCCTACTCCACCAAAGAGTCCGTCTCCTCTCACTACTTCTAACGAGTTCACATCTAGCGCGGATACTTCCATTCCCCACCTGACACCTGAGCCCGAGATTCCACCTCCCACTTTGGTCCCAAACCCTTGGGAATCGCTGCCATCAGTGGCTGTCAAGGAACCGGCCACTACTGAAGAACCCAGTGATCTTAGTGAGCTTGAGGAAGTTGATGAACTCGAAGAACCCCACCCACAAAAGTCTAAAGCCAAGAGGGGTCATGCTCGGAAGACTGTAGGGTTGCCACTACCAGCACTAAAGAAGAAGGCCAGGATGAGCCGCAAGAGGAAATGAATGATCACTTATCTTTGTAGGTCACAGTATGTTTTGCTTACATTGTGCTGACTGGTATGATATTCACGTTTCAGGTATTCCATCTCATTTCAGCTTCATGTCTCTTCGCCTTGATGTGTTCGCAATGCTGTCCATCTCTTCGCCATCTTTGCTGTCTCTTCACATGAACGTTTTCACTGCAATTTCCTTCCCTACTCAATTGTTGTACTACTACCAGGATCCGGGATTACTCATGTTTGTGACCGCAATTTTCCTCTGTTTTAACTCAGCATGTGCTTTACTGTACACTTAGGACCTTACGTGTAGCTAATGCCATGTAATATGATAGCAAATTGACATCCGTTTAGCATGACATATCAGTGTGATGACCAGATAGAATAATGAAATCGGCTTAGCAGGACATATCAGCATGATATGTGGCTAGCAGCTGAGGATTGATCAGCAGTTGAGCAGCACATTAGCAAAAAAAATGAACCTAGGTATGACCAGATAAGCGGACCCTGTGACCTGATACTCCTGCCGTCCCTTAGAGGCCTTATAAGGGCTGATGTCACCTTAGCATGCCATCGCTGAAATGGGAAATTTTGGTGATGCACTTCAGATTGACAACAACGATCTCAAGCACATTTCCACAGCGCTCGATGAATTTTATGCCAACAAAGATTCAATCATAGCTGGCAGATTTCATTGCAGGCAGTGTGGTGGAGTCATTGACAACTGGTATATCCCAAAGATCGAGCTTATGCAGAGCATAGTTCCAAGTATCCGAAACAGTGGAGTTATTATTCAATGGACCGCTGACACTACAGAACATGCACACATTACCGAAATCAAGGATCCTGCATGCTCGACCAACAACAACCATTATGATTCCCAAATCTGTCGTCATCTAGACCGCACTAATAAATGCCGTCACTTCGAACTTGCCACAAGCCTGCTGGACAACATGCCAGGCTCAAAGCAGCAGGTTGATACAGATCACAATGATGCTGTTGATGACAATGTTGATGCTGTTGATGATAACATTGATTTCAATGTCGACGATGATCATGACATCCCAGCAGAGCTGCTTGTGACTATCAAATGTCCCAGCCATTCATGCTGTAGCGATGGTTGCGGTATTGGGCTCAAAACCACGTATTTCCATACTCACGTCAACACCCGAAACATATGCGCACATGTCTGACGCACTTTCGCACATGTCCAAGCCACTCCATATTGGATCTGGTGCATTGGACCTTCGGACATCGCATCGGCCAATCGCACTTCACGCACACTTGTCCATCCCGTGTCCTATCCATCCAAACTAGCCTCACTAGGTGCGTAGTCATTTCTGTGCATGTTTTCTGACATTCGGACCGCATTATTACATGTCCGCAGCACCTTGTGTCTTATTACATAGGACATTGGTCCCGAAATATATCGCTACTATCTTCGCCTGTAGTTTCTGAATTTCTATGTACTTACTTAAATACTCTGTGGTGACCCGTAGCAATCATCATCCAGTAGTTAGGAGCCGTTTCCCGACTCTGCGGATCACCCAGAATATTCTCATAGTTCTTAGTTGCATTGTGAAATATTACCATTCGTTCACCGTCATACTCCGTCATTCGTTCACCGTCATACTCCGTCATTCGTTCACCGTCATACTCCATCATTCGTTATACTCGCGCATACCGCTCGCAATCCGACACTCGTTATAAAGTTTCTGACCTATTATCGTGAAGTCCGAAAGTCCGAAATCTCGGACATCGCACTTTGGCTTCGGACATTGGATCAGTACCTTCGGACATCGTTTCGCACCATCGGACATTTTGTTATTTGTATTACTGACACATTTTTACTACTAATACCAATTAGCAACCCCTATAGGATCGAACGCACTTGCTCTGCAAGTATAGCAGCATAGGTCGTGCTAAGATCTACCTAAATAATTGTTGTCTAGGTAGTATGATTTCTGCTGAGCCCAGCAGAGATCAGCTTTCTACAACGCCCATCACCAATTACTTTGCAATCGCAAAGCTCCTCCAGGACAGGGAGGTGGGGACAGTCCCTGTGCCATTGTGCTCATTCTCTGTCGGATACACATCATTTCATCTTGCATATGACCCATCCATCAAATCCATTTCTGTTGATGACACTGCTCTCAAGTTTGGCCTTCCTGACCTGCGACCAGCCATTGCTGACTTTCTTGGTCACGAAGCTGCTCATGGGCTGGATTTTGTTCATATGATTGGGGGGGCTAAAAGAGCTGGACCCACTGCTTCACTTCCATTTGAAAAAATCCAAGTCTGGTTCAAGCTTCAATTGCAGGATACCAATTTTCATGACATTCATATCATACGGCCTGCCCAAACCTTGAATTGTTCACCACCTTCTGCTGTCTGGACATGCAGCCGATATGATCCGGTCATTGTTAACAATGATGCGAGATGCTCATGGCCTACCGATGGTCTTTGTGGTATGTTTTCCTCTCCTGCCATACTAATTAGTCTCATTATCAAATCTCAGGGCACATTGTCAGTGAAATCTGGCTGATTCTGCATCCCATTGGAAAAACTGGCACAAATTGGTCATGGAAGGACCGCTTCCTCACATACGTATATTGCTTCGACATTGTTTCACAGGGTGGACATGATTGTGAGCCGAGTACGCAACTGCACATACTCAAATGTGCAAAATGTTCAAATGGTACTTGGGTGGGTGATGTCATACCAATTACACAGCTTAGGGCACCTGTCAACATTGTCCCTCGCTTTGGTGCAAGCACAGACAATCATCTTACCCCATATAACAGTATGGAGCATGCTTCAGAATTTTGGCTGAATAAATATTGGGATAAAAACACGTTCTTCCCTCTTTCCATGTAGCTTTGCAGATCATACATCATTTTTTTGTATCCTCATGCACTATTCTGAATACTATAAATGCTATTGGATAGAGGCCATTTTATTATTAGTTCACTTGGAACACTGAGATCCATTCCTAGGCGCTATGTGGCACATAATAAGCATTGTCTCAGACGATCCCACCGTTGTCATAGTATACACCAAAAACAAATGCATTCTTTTTCAGGATGGTTGACAATGGCATCAAACTTTCCTCCTTGATGTCCATCCCCGACATCAGCGATGTCCACACCATGAACAAAATCACATCTGACAAACTCAATTGTTTGGTTATGCACAAAGGCACATCAGAGGCATTGCAACCACTAGGACACTTGCTATCTCACATTTTCAAGCCTTTCCAAATCCCCCTCCCCCATGTATCTGAACTCAAAATTACTCTCAAAAAAATTCACCATCCCAACAAACATGTCAGATTGCAATACCACAGCTTATCGCTGGATACTCTGGTGCCACTATACAACACTGAAATGAGTACTTGGAACTGGGATCTTCCAGTTGACTCCCCTGGAAACGACTTAGACTTGGGCCCCAGTGGTAGTACTAGTCCCACGAGTCAGGACCCAGAGGCTGCAGAGAGGGTGACTTACAAAGAAATTTTTGCCTTGTTTATGAATGCTCTTGCTCATTGCTTATTGGCATCACAACCCCTGCTAGAAAAGGAGTGTTATGCCACTCACACATGGAGCGCAGCCAGTGCCCACAAGGCATTGCCTGGTAGCAAGATCCAGTGCAAACCCGACCTCATTCTATCTGATGATGTCCCAGCAAAATGGGGAAATATCAGGGTGTCTGGTGAGCTGACACACAGTACTTACAAGCCCACAACGCAGCTTGGGAAGGCTGCAGACACCCATGTGTACCTCATGATGAGCGAACAGCCCTGGAGGTGCTTCGTGCTCATCTTATCACTTACCGATCAATATCGACATCTCAGAGTCCTCATGTATGATCACTCCGGTGGTGCTGTTTCTACCCATTTCAATATATACAGCCAACCAGACTTGTTCTCTCATATCATTGCTGTTATTAATTTCGGCAACCTTGAATGTGTCAGGTATGATTTGATAGTCTCATTTACAAAACATGTTTCGCTGTCCCTTTCCAAACCCATCCGCAACTATCGCCCAATCAAGAACATGCCCACCCAACATAGCACTTCAGCAGACCTTCTTGCATCCACCAAATCCCTTGTTGAACTGCCACCCGAGCCGGATGCCAAGAGCCTGTCATCTGACAATGATCTTGAATCTGAAATCTCCGATGGCTCTGACTCTGAGGAATGATTAACTAAGGACTCACCCAAAGGGAACTCAGATGAACCTACTCGAGTGTTCACACTGGAAGAAGAATCCCCCCTCCCCCTCTCCAATGCACCCCACTATGGTGTCCAGCACCCCCATTCTCAGCCTCACATCCCAAATCCCCCAGGACTTGACAGAGAGCATATGTTCCATCACGCCCCATCCATCCCAATTTCCCCACTCTGAGCACTCACCTGAACCTTGTGGCAAGATCCGTGTAGGGAACACCATGTATGTTATTAAAAGAATTTTGTTTGCGAGCCGGGGCTTCATTGGTTGTGGAACGATCTGCTATCTGACCAGTTTGGGCGAGGAAGACTATATCGTCAAGGACCACTGGGTTCTTGGCAAGAAGGACAATGTCATCTTGAATGAGATAGAGATGTTGAAACTAATGAAAGGTGTTCCTGGCGCCAAAGCTAGTTGATCATTGGCTCGTCACAATGTCAGAAGGCAATATCAACAACACTCGAAGTTATCATCAAAAGGAACATCAGAGTACCCAGGGCACCAGTCGCACACATGTCCACCTTGTCTTGAAGCCATGCACTCGCCCCCTCCACATGTTTTGAACACTGAAAGAGTTGGTGAAAGCAATAAGGGATATTGTGATAAGTAAGTGTCAAGTCAAAGTTGTGCAAGAGTGTTGAATTAATGTCTCTTCTTTTAGTTCAGAAAATGGCGATGGAGAAGCACAAGATTCTGCATTGTGATTGCAGTCTAAATAATGCAATGATCCTCGATGATTTAGACCTGAGCAAGGGGTTCCTTATTGACTGGGAATTCACACTATGTATTGCTGTGGATAATAAATATCCCATTGGTGGTACAGTAAGTTCATTCCTTTCATATTGAGTTCAAACATTGATTCATTTTCTAGGGCACAGTCCCCTTCATGTCATGCAGGCTTCTTGGCCAGATTTCGATAATGCAGCAACAGGTGAAGGCGGAAGCTGAGACAAAACAGGTGACAAAACTTAAGCGCAAATCAAAACAGACAAAGAAGGCTCCAGCCTCCAAAACACCAAAAATGTCCTCGGATTCTTTGGTGCTGCCTATTTCTCATGTTGTCCAAGATTACTCTGACGACCTCAAATCTCTTTTCTTCATATTTGCTTGGGTTTGCATCAAATTCAGCAGTCCCAATGGTACAGTCCGTGAGGAGCACATGTCCAATTCATTACTCAATCGCTGGACCCGCCTTGACCTGGCATCATGCGCTGCCTTCAAGGTCACCTTTTTCACGAACCCATTGGATGAAGAGCATCTCATGAATGAATTTCACCCATACTTCAAACCTCTCATCCCCCTCGTAAAAGATTGGTGCGCAGCATTGAAGGACAATATGGTTCACCCTGTTACATTTGACACCATTCTTCACGTACTCAACTCTCATCTCAATCAGCTTTCTGATGATGAGGAGCTCCAATCTGCCATGACCATGCTCAAGAAATCTGCTGTGATTCTTAATACCTCCAACACCTTGAAATGTGTTGCTTCACTATCTCTACCCATGCCAAAGCAGAAGAAATCAGGTGAGATCTCCGAGAAGTGTAATATGTATGATGTATTCCAGTGTATGATGTTTATTATGGTATCTTACACTAACTCGGGTGTGCGTCATGCATGTCCTGTCATGTTTTGGACTTAAGCCTACATTTTGTTCTGAGTACTGTACTTTGACTGATCAATTTACGTTTTTGTTGCTTACATAATACATTGAAAATCGTGTACTATCATTTATGATGTCTGGACTCTGGGACCGTTTGTACCTTTACCGATTGCTTTATCCACAATGCACCCTGCATACAGTCGAGGCAAATACCGTACTCCAAGAGGCCTCACAATAGCTGTCAAGACTTCATGGATTGTTCTGCCAACACATGTATAAAATGGTGAGCTTTGATTCAGTTGATTCTTCGTTATGCTGCTTTCTATATTGCAACATGTGTCACAACCCAATAACGAATTAATGTTGGGCAGAGACTAGGACTCAGACTAAGGTTATCACAACAGAGAAGAAGATGAGCAAGTACATCTTGGATTGCTACAGTGTAGATACAAGAGGTTTGAACTAAAGAACTATCGACCAAGACGTGCTACCTATATACAACTATTGAAACTGAGATTGAAACTGAGATACAACTACTAGCCAATCATAAAAAGGAAAAGGGAATCATACCATAGAACATCATAGAATATTAAAGAAGCATCACATGACCATATCTTATCTTATCATATCTAATCTAATCTATTCACAACCAAAGAACTCGTCTTCTTCATCAGTCACATTGAAGACATGTGTCGTGGGCGCTAAAGGTATTTCAGGGATGATAGATGCTTTCAGGGTAGGGTTAGGGTTTGACTTAGGCACTGTGTATTGGCGCTTAGGAAGATTTAGGAAAGAATAATGATTTGTTAAAGGTACTCATGACATTACCCCCTCTCTAAGGTGAGTGTCATCACGAACGAATGAAGGTCGGATATTCTTTTCTCTCTATCGTTTGAAATCTTCCGTAAACAGTACTGAGCCTTTGATTCTTCGGTATTTTCCGGCTGCAGCTGTGGGATTCTCCTTATGGAATTCTGCTAAAGAAATTGGGGCATTCTTCAAATTTTCTTCTGGCTCCCAAGATGACTCTTCCTTCGGGTATCCTTCCCATTTTACTAAGTATTGCAGCTTTCCTCGGAAAAATCGGCTATCTAGTACTTCTTCTACAGCAAATTCTTCCCGATCATCAATCAATTCTGGAGGTGGTCGGTTTGGAGGAGGATGAGGAATTAATTGAGATGCATGATATGAGGTAAGCAATTCTATGTGGAAAACCGGGTGAATCTGATATTTTTCCGGTAATTTCAACTTGTAGTTTACTTCGCCAATCTTCTCTAGTATTTTGAAGGGACCTAGACAACGATCTGACAGTTTTTGACTTGGACAACATTGTTTGAGATTTTTTGCATCCAGCCAGACCTTGTCTCCTATCTTATACCGAGGTGCGTCTTTTACTCCTTTGTCGTAGAATCGCTTCATGCGCTCATTGACCATTTTAAGAGTATTTTCTGCATCATCTCTTGCTTTTTTCATCTGATCAACTCTTTCATTGGCGGCGGGAATTACGGACATGGAGTTTGGGTGGAACATGAAATCTGGGTTATACCCGTAGAGAACTTTAAATGGACTGTGACCAGTTACTGTGACTGCATTTTTATGTGAAAACTCTGCTATCGGCAGCCAAGATGCCCAATCATTCTGTCTGTATGACGTGAACATGTGCAAGTATTGTTCGACTTCTTGATTTACGTGTTCAGTCTGTCCATCGGTTCTGGGATGATAGGAGGTCGATGCAGACCATTTCGTTCCTAATCTTTTTGACATTTGTCCCATGAACTTTGATATGAACTGAGTTCCTCTATCTGAAATCACTTTCTTCAGTGTTCCGTGATGTTTCCATACATTCTTCAGAAATAGCTTGGAAATACCCTTCGAGTCTATATCTTTGGTGGTGGGAATAAAGTGTGCTTGTTTCAAAAATTGATCAACGACTACAAAAATGCTATCACACCCTTCGCTCTTCGGCAGGTCCACTATCAAGTCACAGGTGATTGTTTGCCAAGGTCCTTCTGGAACTTCATTTGGCTGTAAAGGCCCCGTTGGTTTACTTGGGAGCACTTTCATTTGTCTGCACCTATCACAACCATCTATGTAATCGTGGACATACTTTGTCATTGAAGGCCACCAATAGTTTCTGGAAATCAACTCCAAGGTTTTAGCTCATCCAGGATGTCCAGCCGGTGGAGAGTCATGAAACAACTCCAGTATCTCTTGGCAGATCTCTTTGTCATTTGGAAGGTAAACTAATCCTCGGAATAACACCAATCCATCTTCCACATTCCACTCTTCGACTCCTCTATGCAGTTGGACTGGTGCTGCTTTTAGTGTTTCTAATGCTTTAGCGACTTCAGGTTCTTGTTCTGTGCATTTTCGTATCTTTTGGAGTAAATGTTTCTCTCCATGCACCAAAACTTGACCTCTTTTAGCAGCTTTTACAGTGAAGAATTCCAGTTTCAAAAGAATGTGATTTGAGTTATCATTTTCTACCCCCCCTCTATGGTCTGATCTCTGAGAAAGATGGTCTGCTTTGTCATTAACCACACCAGGCTTATGTTGGAGTGTAAATTCATACTCCACTAGGAAAAGACTCCATCTAGCTTGCCTTCTGGTCAACTTTTGACTCATCATGAAATATTCAAGGTTCTTATGATCTGTCCATATTTCAACTGGGTGAGGTGCTCCCTGCACGTAGTGCCTCCATTCCTCCAATGCTCTAATGATTGCTAATAACTCCTTGTCGTGAATGTCATAATTTCTTTCCGCATCATTCATTGACTTAGAGTAATATGCTATTGGATGCCATAATCCATCTTCCATGAGTTGAGAGAGAACTGCTCCTGTTGCATAATCTGAAGCATCGGTCTCTATTTTCTTTTTCTTCTCAACATCTGGCATGACTAGAACGGGAGCTTCTGTGAAATGTTTCTTTAATTCATCAAAAGCTTTCTGTTGTTTCTCCGTCCAGTCCCATTTGACATCCTTTCTTAGCAGATCATTCATTGGTCTGGCTATCTCCGAGAACCCAAGTATGAATCTTTGATAGAAGTTGGCAAAGCCCATGAATGCTTGGATATCTTTTACGCATTTGGGAACAGGCCATTTCAATACTCCTTCTACTTTCACAGGGTCCATTGACACATTGCCTTCTTCCACGATTAATCCGAGGAACTCGACTTTAGACTGTTCGAAGCTACATTTCTCAGGCTTCAAGAACAGGTCATTCTCCTTTAACCATTTCAGGACTTCTTGTACCACCTTTCGGTGCTGCTCCCTATTTCCATTCGTGAAGACCATTATATCATCAATGTAGACAACTACTGTTTTGCCATCTATTAAGTCTCTCAGAATTTCATTCATCATTGTTTGGAAGGTTGCAGGCGAGTTCGTGAGTCCGAAATACATCACGGTCGGTTTGTGGTGACCAAACGGCATTTTGAAGGCCGCCTTCCACTCATCTCCTTCTTTCATGTGAATATTGTTGTACCCCCATCGTACATCCATCTTAGAGTACATTGTGGCACCGGTTGAAGCATCAATTAAATCTTGAGATCTCGGTAGTGGTGTCCTGCATGATGTGGGAATCATGCATGGACATGAATACTAGGTGACCCTCAAAAAGATAAAGTCTGTTAGCTTAGTCCTCAGACTAGTCAACCCATACCTTGGTTTCAAACCATGGTTCATATTTCCAGTTTTCCCCAAGTTTCATGATCTGAATATGTTTTGACGAAAAAAGTCTAATGTGAGATGGGAATCACATTTAGACCTAGTTGATGTGAGAAGGGAAATGAAGGTTAAGGTATAGCCTTGCCTTTGGCTTATTCACTTTGGCTAGAGAAAACGATAGAGAAAAGTACAAAGCCTATAAAAAACCTATCCAAAAAGACCGTGTTTCAATTCCTGCCAACTGTCTTATTTTTGCTACCTACTTTTCTCTAGTGTTTCTTTACTTTACTTTTTCATTAGGATGCTTTGACTCACCTGACACTTCATAAAATTGTACCCATAGGGTATGATGTCATTATGATGTCATAAGACTCCACAGATACTCCTGCAGGTATTCTGTTGAAAGATATTATGTCATCAAGCTCTAGATTATTCTACTCCACAATGACTCACTCTGACTCACTCATGGAAGGTTCTGGAATCTTTTGCTCCACAATGATGTCATAGCTCCATCTTTCACTTGTATTTTATTCTTTTATTGGGTTTGACCCAATATTTTGATTGGTCCTCCTTATTTTTTATTGTTTGTGAACCTAGGTTACTTTCCCACACAAAATGTATATAAGGAGAGCCCATTCTCCCCCCAAAAAAATATGATCTCCCAATTGTAGCAATCTGCCTGTCAGATATTTCACTTGCAAAGTTAGTCCCTTTGAAGTGAGACAAGTGCAGGGAAAAGAATTCCCTTGAGATTATAAGTTTCTTACCTTAGAAACTTATTTAGTGCTATAGACCAAGCGTTCTTGGTCACATATATTGTCTTTGAGACTCCTTTGTCTCATTGCTCTGTGCCCTTTGACTAAGCGATCTTAGTCATCTATCATATTGTTGAGACCATGTCTCACTAGTTGTCCCATAGACCAAGCGATCTTGGTCAAGTTATAGTCCCCTTTGTTCAAGCGATCTTGAACATATATCGTATATTTGAGACCATTGTCTCACAGTCAGGTGTCCATAGACCAAGCGATCTTGGTCATATTTTGTATATTTGAGACCACGTCTCACTAGTTCCAGTATCCAAGTCCAGAGCCTAGAAGGAGATTTCCTAGGCAAATACGTCCCAGAAACCGAATTATGTGTCTAGAAGCTTATTCCTAGACAAGAGATTTGAGTTTTAATAAAGAAAATTAAAGCTCCGGCTAGGTTGATCTTTATAAAAAGATTAGTTTAGTGAGCCTCCCAAGAACTCACATATTATCTACCACGAAATAGGAAAAGTCATAGACTGTGTTAATCGAGGACTGGCAAGCAGTCTTATCCAAAGTGTAATTGTGGTGTCATTACATTTACACGACTTTATATAAGACCCTCGGTTATTAAGACAGTGGGTATGCATTTTTAACCGTTTTCTCATTGAGCTTTCTATAGTCCATCACCGGTCTTAACTTGCCATCTTTTTTGGCCACAAAGAAGAAAGGTGCTGCTACTGGAGATTGTGAATCTCTAATATGTCCCAGTGCGGTTTCAGTTTTTAACCATTCCTTCAGTGTATCCATCTCCTTAGGTGACAATGGGTACGGTTTTGCATTTGGCGGAAGATTGCCCTCATCTTTAAGATCTATCGCATGATCCCACTTCTTTCTTTCAGGGAAGCGTTTAGATTCTTCTCCTGAGAAAACTCCTAGGAAATCATGAAGCCAGTCAGGTACCATTTCTTCTACCGACTGCTTCTTCTTTGTAGCTTCTTCTGCTACCTTCTGCTTCGTGGCAACCGAGGCTTTATAACGAATCCATAGTCTCTCTGGACTCTCTTTGTCTTCTATTTCCTCAACCGTCACCCTCTTCATCAACATATCTTCTTCTTCCTCGTCTTCATTGTCCGTAGGAATTAGATTAGGTACATCATCTATCTTTTTTTGTTCTTTTCTTTTTCCTTTCTTTTTTTGTCTTTTTTCTTTCTTTGTTTCACATTTTACAGGGCATCTAGAAAGTGCGAATCGTCCTGCATTCCAGTCAATTTCTGGATTATGATATCTCAGCCAATCTATGCCGATAATAACATCATCGCTTCCTAAGTCTGTAACCATGAAAGCTGCTTTCTCCTCTTCATGATCACCGATCTTTAGACCTAGTTCTGCAAAATGAGTCATTGATCCAGCGGCATTTAGCGATCCATCAATGTTCCTAACTGAAATAGGTCTTAATAATTTACGACATTTCACACTGTTCTTCTCAACAAACTTCTCACTGATAAATAATGTTGATGCACCGCAGTCCACAAGTGCTTTCACATCTGCTTGTCGGTTCTTTCCCTTCAATGTTATCGGAATATAAAAATGCTCAGATTTGGATCTAATATGTACTTCTGATACATCTTGAAACGTAGAGAGAATAGAGAAACAATTGTTCGGGTCTAGGTCTGCAGACTTTGACTTCAACCCCTTTAAAAATCCTTGCCTTTGTTAGAAGCGATCCAATCTGTGAACCACTTTGGTGCGGAATTTTCTTTGACAGCAGTTGCTTTGACTTGCACTTGCGCTTTTGGCGCACCTTTACAGTTCCTCGCTATGTGGCCTTGTTCTCCACAGTGGTAGCAGGTGAAAGCGCCAGGCTTTCCTTGAGGTTTTGGCGATCCTCTCTGCTTGCCGGAGTCCACATCCATAGTGTCACTGTCTTTGCTAGGACCAGCCTGCCTTGGGTTATTTATTGAAGGTTTTGGCTTCCTTATTAGGGGTCCACCAATTACCCTTCTTCTTCTCAGCGTCTAGCTCTTTATAGTTACGTCCAATCTGTATGGAGTAATCAATGAGCTTCTTGAGGGTGTCTTTCTCGGAAGCTGAGATGTGAGCGAGTTGCTCTTTGATCCGGGTTTGAAGGCCAGATCGGAATTTAAGGCGGAGGTCGTAGTCGGAGTATTTAGTGAGTGCAGCCTTCTGTCTGAAAGCTGCTGTGTATTCGGGCACAGACGATGATCCTTGCTTCAGGGTTTCCAACTCCCTGACAGCCTTTCCTTCTCTGTCGTCTTGTCCCCACATGGTCTCGAATTCTGCTGACCAATCTTCAAAGGAAATTGGTCTTGTGTCAAGCTCCATTACATATTTCTGCGCCCATTTAGCAGCAGATCCTTTGAGGAAAGACAAGGCAGTTGTTATCTTCTGCCTGTCTGTGATCAGTGGCCACTGTGACATATATAATGCCAACTGAGTAGCATAGACTTCTATGGAGATAGAATCTTTGTCTCTGGTGAATTCTGTGGGTTTCGACAATTTGACTTGCAAAGTGTTCGGGGCTTGAGCGAATTTCTCAAGCTTCTTTTTCAGCTCCTCAATTTGGGTGTTTTGGAGTCTGATACAAAGCTCTTGAGCATTGTTTTGTGCCTTCAATGTATTATTGTGGTTTAAGAGGTTTTCCGTCCTTGTGTACAGGTCGTGTGTTGCCATGTTGATGGTGTTCTGTACGTAATTGGTGAATTCTACTGGCATATTTATGCCTTGCAGTTGTGGTGCCTGAGGTCCTTGTTCTTGGGGTTCTTGGACGTTCTCAGGTCCCATGGTAGCTTCAGCGATTTCAGCCATAGTGCCAGGTGCATTCTGGAATCCAATTCACTAATGACTGTTGAAGAGTGGGTCGTAACAGCTCTTCTGGATAGGAAAGATGATGAAAGGAGGAAGGGAAAAAGGATACGTAAATGGAAAGCTAAAGGGGTCCCCAGTACTAACTGGATCAACCTCATCCTTTAGGGTCAAAGGGTTCTTTAGTCAACCTGACTGACACTTCCCTAATTACTAACTAGAAAGGAGTACGTAAAACTACGCTTTTGTTAAGTGGGAAAAACACTGTGTGCTTTGTGTGTGCTACTTCTCAGTCACCGAAAGGGTACAGGTCTAGGACAAGTTATCACTCTTCCAGCCGAAGCTTACAAGTGCAAGTCTCACTAGAACACCGTATCTAAATCCTCGTGGTAACAATGGTAGGACTATCCACAGATGCGACAGTTCCACTAGACTTAACGAAAAGATTCTACGTGTGTATGAAGAAAGATGTAGGTATGAAATAAACTATAGTAACATTGAGCAGGCAGGGTCTTGGGCCAGCACTCAAAGTTGTAGTGAGACGCCTAATGTCGTCAACACCTCCGTATACTGGCAGCTGCAATGTAAGGCAGGGCCTGGTATAGGACTACTAACTAATAAAGGTTGTTCATAGAAAAGATCAAGCAAGCAAAAGGATGGGTTTCAGAAAGATGATCGTGGTTGTTTAGACCGGGCAAAGAAAAATGTGTAATGGCTTTCTAGGAGGTTTGTTGGCGGGCTGCTCAACGAATCACCTAGAGAGAGATGGTAGATGCGAGCAGTATGCAAGAGTTGGAGTCTCCTATAGTTCAAACCTAATGTCACAACCCAATAACGAATTAACGTTGGGCAGAGACTAGGACTCAGACTAAGGTTATCACAACAGAGAAGAAGATGAGCAAGTACATCTTGGATTGCTACAGTGTAGATACAAGAGGTTTGAACTAAAGAACTATCGACCAAGACGTGCTACCTATATACAACTATTGAAACTGAGATTGAAACTGAGATACAACTACTAGCCAATCATAAAAAGGAAAAGGGAATCATACCATAGAACATCATAGAATATTAAAGAAGCATCACATGACCATATCTTATCTTATCATATCTAATCTAATCTATTCACAACCAAAGAACTCGTCTTCTTCATCAGTCACATTGAAGACATGTGTCGTGGGCGCTAAAGGTATTTCAGGGATGATAGATGCTTTCAGGGTAGGGTTAGGGTTTGACTTAGGCACTGTGTATTGGCGCTTAGGAAGATTTAGGAAAGAATAATGATTTGTTAAAGGTACTTGTGACAACATGCCCCCTTGTGTAGCAGCCAGTCCCAAGAGGAAAAGGCCCAAGTGCAAAGCTTCTGATGCCTCAAAGGCTGGTCTACTGAAGAAGGCTCATGCTGCAAACCCCGCCGAAATTCCCAGTGTGCTGCTCATATCCCTTGGTCTTACTTGAGCTGATGCAGTGGGGGCTGCTCCTCGACGTTCTGGCCGCTCCAATGCGGGAACAGGAGGGAGGAATGTGCAGTTGGAGAAGATTGGGGTAGCGCTAGAGGCTAAGTCCCAGAATCGGAAACCCAAGGGTGCTACATCTCTTGGTACACTCAATCCTGTGAACCCCCAGGCTCCAGAACCATCTCATAAAGGCTGAAAGGACCATTCAAAGGTATGACTCACTATTTTTATTATCAGTGTGTTGATTCCACATTTAGGAGCTCCCTCCACCATACAGTCCTGATTTCTTAGACCTCAGTCCCAGTACCCAAACACCCACTTTTGTGTCACAGTAAGATGGTGGGAGGTTCAGTTTTGCGGCTTCTGGTATGAAGCCCAATCCTGAAGTCTTTACTGACCCATATCTCGCTGTGGGAATGAAGGTTGCCAAGAAGCGCAATCAGAATGCTCTCATTGATCACGCTCAGAGTTCCCAACCACCACCAAACTCTACCTTTTCAGAGTGCAACCTGGACCCGGCCCTGTGCAAGGAGGATAGCATTGTTAGGCATGCACTTCATAGGATCCAATCCAGAGGACATTGAATCTAGCAGTAGTGATACCAATATTGATATTGACAAAGAAGATCAAGGAGACGAAGGGGATGAGGGGGATGAAGGAGATGCAGGAGATGAAGGAGACAAACGAGAGAATGATGAATCACAGGAGTTTGGTTGGGGGGGAGCTCACCAATGGCAGAAAGAACATCCAGGTAAGAACTTTATGTCAAAAGTACCTTCACTGATTCAACTTTACATTTACAGGCTTTTCGGCTGAAGCACTCCCTACTCAGGCTCAAGTTGCTTGCCCTCTGACACCAGATTTTGAGTTCCAATACTCACACGATGAAGATGAAGATTCTGCCCAGGTGTGTCTCAACAACAATAACCAGGTACAATTTTCGTCACTCATTTGGATCACGCTCATGGTTTCTCACCTTTTTAAAGCCTCTGGACACCTTGCCGGGAGTACACCAGGAACAGTCAGATACTCAGGTGAGGGAGGAGTTTTGTTTTAGATGAGGCTCATGATTTTTTTGCATACTACCTCCTCAAAGCCTGACAACATATTGAAGCACCATCATGATAAGAACAGTCAGCCTCGCCTTCCCAACCCTGAATTCCTCCAGCTGCTCAATGAAGTGATGAAGTCTGTCGACCAAGCACAGGGCCGGCCACACACCAAAAAATCCAAGGGATCTGACAGTGGGCTAAGGCCTGACCAACTGGCTTGGTATGGACCATGCTGGAAAATTTTCCTCGAGGAGGCCAAAGGAGAGTGTCGCGGGCAGCATGCACTAGAAAATCCATTTCCACCTTTGGTCAAGGGGATGCCAGGAACGATCTCCAAAGTCTTACTTTCAGTTTTGGTCATGTGGGACAAGAACAGTAGACAACTTGAAGCTGGTACATGCTTTGTTTGTTCCCAAACTAATCTGTTTTATATTGTCCCACAGGGGTTTGGCCAGAGCAGCAGTATAACATGACACATTTGGTATGTATATTACTTATGTTCATACTGTGCTTCATTGACACATATCATTGGTTTTTATTGCAGTTGTACGACAACCTGTCGACTTGGCGGTCCAACCTGAAGAAGACTGTGATAAGCATTGCACCACTATCATACTCGCTTTTGCCTCTGCCATCTGTTCCTCTTCAACAACATGCAACTTGGATCGAAAATGCTGCTAAAGATTTACTTGGGGGTGGTTTATATTTACGGTTTGGAATAGACCAGAATGTAAGTGGCCTTGCACTGATTGCAATGATACTCATGTAAGATCAACAGGGGAGAACAATGACCTGCACCAAACTGGTCCGGTGCATGACCATGTGGTGTTAGTGAATATTTTTCGGAAATTTTGCATGGAATGAATTCTGTGTTATTTGGCTCGAAGATGACTCAGCTAGATTCTCACGCATCTGAAGCTTCCATGAAAAATATTTCCTGCATATGTTTGTTTGGGGGAACTTCCAGGAAACTTTAAATACACGTGTTACCTGGTTTTGCTTTATGACATGTGCTATGTCTCTAAATAACACCAAATACAAACAAGTTTCAACACATTATGTAAACCATGTTCTCTTACCACAGTCAACTGATCTATGACTAAGCCTGACAAATCATGTTCACCTACGTACGATTCACATGGATATTATGATCTATGACAAATAATGCAGTATATCTAGATACGTGAGGAAACAAAAATTGAATATACCTAGGTACGCGGGAGTAAATTAGCATAGCCACGTAGATTTGTCTATATAAGGACCTCCGTTTTGGCCTGAAATGCAATCAATCTGACTCTCAGAGTCACCCTTAATAAAATTGCGAGTGAGGTTTGTGTGTGATCAGCATCAGCAACAACCACGAAGAGTTGTTCAACATTGTCAGGTACATTGATGAGACAGTAGGAGCCATTGAGCTCACTGTGCTCAACAACCTGCAAGGCCTGGTTATTTGTTTTGAGAAGTCTCTTGTTTTTCTGAGTGTTTGTGTTTGTGTGTACGTGTCTCTGTTTCTATCTCTCTATCTCTGTTTCTCTAGGATTGGGATCTATTTCACTCTAGTCTGGGATCTATTTCTTTTAGTTTGGGATCTATTTCCTTATCTCTGTTTCACTAGTCTGGGTTCTGTTTTCACTCTATCTATTTCTTTAGCTCGGGATCTGTTTCACTCTACCTGTTTCACTCTCTCTACCCATTGAAAGCTAACAGTCTGAGTGCTCATTTATTGTTGTGTCACTAATGTGTTATATATTTTAGCGAATATATACTGAGTGTTTGTTTCTTGCTGATACTAACTTACTTTTGATTGTAGTGAATACATTCGAGCCTTACCTTTGAATTCTTCGTGTTGCCTCTACGTCCACTAAAGGCTCAGAGTAGCTTAGTGGGGAGACTTCAGAAGTTGATTATTGTCCACTTGACCTCACACATCTGAGTAGTATACTGAGCCAGGATTGTTATTTGTCAGATAGGCTTTAGCTATTGAATAGAGGACTTGGTATTGAAATCCAAGGACGTCCATTTCTGATTCTGTTTAATACTCATCGTGAGTTCCTTGGCAGCAGATTTAATATTAGGCTAAGAGTTCTACGGAAGCTTTTGACAAGTCTTGACTTTTGATCCTACCTGTTTGTGCTGTGGGAGTGACCAATACAGCTTCGCACAACTGTTTCATGGTAAGTTTAGAATATAGCACCATTGATTGTGCTTAGTCTTGGTTCTTTTTTTTCTGTTTCTTTGTTTCTTTTAGTCAACACCATATCACTAGGTTGACTAGTGTTTCTAGACTAATATCATAGAGTACCTTTGTCTGACCATAGCTTGGATATACTGACAGACCACCCATGAACGACCACGTTATCAGTCATTGGTATTTGTCTGAATCACTGACCGTGGAGATATTTGATTTTGTAGGTGTTCATCTATAGATCATCTATTTAAGAAGACAACAAGGAATTTTGCCAATCCTGCCCTCCATGATGCCTCCATTGCTTTTTTTACACAGGGCCTTACTGGATTGTGCGCAGGCAGCCAGATCAGTTCCGTACACAATTGCCCATATCATGTTTAGCCTTAGTTGCCATGGCAGTGATTTGTTCTCCTCCCCTTGCTAAATCCTATCTGAACTTCTCCTCGAAAGAATACTCACCCATCTACTGGAGAATGCTTGTGATTATCAAAGATACCCTCAAAGATGAATACCACAGCCCTAGATTGTTAGCGCAACTTTGAGAATGGGCTGAAGCTGGATGGTACGTTCTTTTCTGTTTATGATGTGTGAAAATTTTAAAATTTCATTCATATAGGGCCAAAAATCTCAAGCTCAACGGCAGTGCTGCGGAGATGAGACATGACCACCTCCAGGTCATTCTGGACTAAATATGTTGTGCTTTCATATTTCCCTGTCTGAGATTCAATAATCAATTTCATTTGTGGCTACTAGTATGCTACAGAGTCTGGTGAGTTGTTATTGTACATGTCTGCAGTCAAGTTGCTAATGACTTTAGGTGTTGTCCAGTAGTCAATAATATTTGCACCAGGTGTCAGTGCATGCTGGAGCATGCTGACATATATTGAGGGTGGCAGCATTATGACTTGTGACCTTTATGTTGCTATGATGTCATTGAGTGCACCTGCAAGGGCACAGAAATGACTTAGTGGAAGTTTGCCCTCTGCATAATGTGGCAGTGGTGGTATTGCAGCAGTCCATCTAGGCCAAAGTTCTGGTGCTCCACTTATGTCACATTGTAATGCACATTCAAGTGTATGCATTGGGCATGGAGGATATCAGACAAGGGCTCTGTGTAGCGATGGCGGTGTAGAGACTCATTCCTGACTAGGCTTGTAGATACTGTCTTTACCTTATGTTTGCTATTTTGTAGCTTACATAATCAAGTTACCTCTTCACCAGTTTTCACCACCAGTCAAAGTCTTAGTAGTTTCCCTCTCTCTCTGAGCTTTGAGCTTAGTACAGAAACCCTTTAGGGTCGAACACTGTCTTCTAGACAACGTAGCTAGGCAGCAAGACCCAACATTGTTCAGACTAACCATCTGAATTGTTGAACCTTCATCGTCTCACTTCTTTCACTGATGTGTTTAAACCTCATAGAATATCATGACTTGTATCCACTGACGCATGTATGCCAGAGTCCTGAATGCAAGAACTACTGGGATGGCAATAAAGTAGCCACTCTCACAGGTGTCAATACATTTCATGCTAGCCTCTTTACATTGTGAGATGGTTCTCTTCCAGTCCATTCAGTATCAACATATTGTCGATGTATGTTCTTTAACTTCCAGTAATGTATACTGACTATTTCATTCAGAATGTCATACCAGATATTACCACAATTATCAGACTAACAATGCCGACTCAACACGCATATACTATGCTGGTGTTCCCAGTGTCATTCAGGCCATGAGGCATTTCTATATTGAAGCTGCACTGTTAAAGTTTTTTGCAGCAATGAAAGTCTTTGGATGGTATGTCGTCTTTCTCTGATAATAGTAATGCCAACCTTTTGTTCCAGGATGTCTAGCATGAACTGTGCTCATTTGTACAACTATGCACTTGCTCAATGGCATGCCTACTGTTACAATAACATTTAGCCCTACTTATTTTTCTCTTTCTGTAACCCTAGCACCAAGTCCAGACTTGGCTATTATTTTATCAAGTGGGCCGTCCGCACTTCTTTCTTTTCTTCTTGATTGTATCTTGACTACTATCATGCGCAGCATGATTGTTTCACCTATCTTTGCTATCTTGATAGGTTGTACTATTTCCCTATCTTTGTTACCTTTCTTGACATGGCTGTGCCGCCTCTTGTTACCTATATAAACCCCATGTACAACAGTATTATTCCTTAACTTAATCTACTGGGTTTTCTCCTTGAATCCTGTTCTATAAGGTCTCCACCCTTATAGTCTGATACCTGATTCTAAGACAATCACTCATTGTCTTAGCCTGAACCTTTGATAGGCAGAAGTGCTAAAACCACTCGCCGCTGAACCTAGATAGAAGCTACAGTGCTCGTCTAGTAGGAATCTTTGAACTTGAACCCTCCTTGCACTAGGAGTTCAGAACACGCTGTCAACCAGACTGGTCTATCTTTGATCATTGACAGAAGAACTATCCCAGTCATAACACCTACATCTCGAACAACAGACACGCTTTTGACACTACACTTTCACAAGCTTTCGACAATGAATTTTCGTAGCAATATACCCTTCGAATGTGCAACACTGATGTTCTGAATGGTTTTTTTTATCTACTCACTGCTACTGGAGAAGACAGAGCACAACAGTTGCCTTGTTCTCCCCCACAACAAGCAACAACGGATCTGAATTGATGTTGCGCTAAGTGAGCGCAACAAAGAAATGGAAGGTATCGGGCAGGAAGCATATCCACATGCCTGTGACTTATGCTTCATTGTTGTTGGTGACGACCCAAAATGTAAGTGAATTATTTTTCAAGTGCGAGGTGTCACACTAAGATTGATTACATGCTGTAGTGAAGATCCAAGCAGCTGTTTGTGATGGTAATACCACCAGGCACCCTTGCTGTGTGGTGCATGACTGCAAAGTCCTGCTTATGACCAACCATCATTGTTTCTGTCCAGACCATCAAGACTTGAACCAGCGGTGCACAGTTGATGGCTGCAATGAGGTTCATGCCTCTGGATCTTGAACATGCAGCAATGTGGACCACCAGGCTCTTGAAGATGCCTACTTCAAGCCTGCAAAAGCTCTTTTTCAGCTGTGAGCGTGGCTTAAGAGGGCTGGCATTACCTTGCCCTTGGACTCTGTTCCTTCATTCTCCAATAGTGCCAGTAGCTCTAACAGTACTGATGAAGATCTCGAGGCGATTCTTGACTCAGAGTGTGACGGTAAGCCAGAGAACAGCAACAAACACCTCAGAGCATGGTTTGGTTGACGCCGAACCCATAATGAGCAACTTATTATGCGGCCTTGTGGGGTCATATTAGTGTGGGCTACATTTTTTGGGTCTGAAGCCGTCTCTACTGTTAATGTGAGTTACATACAGTCTTACTGATGCGGGCTAACATTTAAACTCAAGGAATTTGCAAAGGTGGTATTCCCTACTGCTGCATCGACACCTGAATACTTTGTCTTCAACAACAACTGCAAGCTCCATGTCCACTAAGACGCTATCAGTGATGACCACTTCGCCACGACAGGGATGCCTGTGGACGTGTTTCACTCCAACTTGAAACACAAGGAAACTGACACCTACTGTCAGCAGCACTGCAACCCTGCCGCTTTCCCAGAGCTCATTTCTAGTGGCAAGTGGCGATTCAATACATCCTTTTGCAAACAGACAAATGTCTGGCTAGGCGAGTATCAAGCAATCCTCCAGGACATGTCCGTACACCAGTATAACTTTTATCTTGATGAGATGATCAAACATCGGAACCGCTATGTTATCTCGGAGTCAGAGAGACGAGGACATTCTCCTTGGATGCTTTCCATGGACACTCTGTTTGACAGTGACTAGTGCATTGCCTCCACTCCCGGTGCTTGTTTCACATTACATAGTTTGCATTGTCTAGATTTTTGTCATTGATAATTCTATCTCTTGTTGTGCATCTTTGTTGCTTTGAAAATGTGTGATTTGGAAGAATAATACATGCAAGCTTAAGTCCTTGAAATTCTTCCTCCAGTGTTCGAGGCTAATACATGCAAGCTTAAAGTTAACACTGGGTGCCAGTCCTTGAAATTCTTCCTCCAGCATTCGAGAGCTAACTCTGATCATTGCATGATTCAAGAGAACAATACATGTAATAAGGTAAAATAGTCTAGTTGTACACTTGATATTATAGAGAAGATAGTTAATTTCTCACCTCAGTTACGAGTGACCGAAGCTCAGCACCCATCATAATTGAGCAATAAGGTCAAATTGGATGTCTGTTCGACACTCATAACTAGAGAAAGTCATCAGGGCTAGGCTGAATAAGTGAGGTCAGTATCAGGTTGATTTGTGGCCATGAGCACCTTGATATTCCCTCGTGCTTGGCTTCTTGGGATCAACAGGAATGAATTTAGTACACCATGCAACCTGTAATGGATTCTTGGGATCAACAGGAATGATTTTAGTACACCGTGCAACCTGTAAATTGATGAGCTCCCTGCGTTGTTGATCAACTGGAAGATCCCAGAGATTTGGTGGAGCAAGACCTGCATGAGACTAACAAAGTTGAATTAACTAGTAGAACTTTTCGCGGTGCTAGTGAGTCTAATTAAAAAGGCAGTAAAGGTAGTAAGACTGGAACATCAGGTTCCATAAAAGGATAATCTGCAGGAGTGATCATTTAACCAAGCGCTAAATGGATCAAATTGGGGATAAATTTTAAGATCTAATGGAAATTCAGAATTGGTGGTAGCTGTAGTATTGTGGTTCATTTCATCTATGTTCCACAATAGTGATGCAATAGCATCATCTATCTCGCCAGTTGGGTCAGTAGGGAGCGGGAATCCAGTGTTGGCAGTAGCTGGGTCTATTGGTAGACTTGGAGGCAGAATAAGACCTGAAGACAAGGATTAGACACTGTGGAAGAAGTAAATCAGATTGAGAATCTCACTGGTTAAGTCAGTAGGGAGTGTGAATCCAGTGTTAGCAGTAGATGGGTCCATTGGTAGACTCGGAGGCAGGGTAGGACCTGAAGACAAGGATTAGCTGGCCATGGAAGGAGTAAATTGGATTAAAAATCTCACCAGTTAGGTCAGTAGGGAGCAGCAATCCAGTGTCAGCAGTAGATGGGTTCATTGGTAGACTCGAAGGCAGGGTAGGGGTGAGACTCAGAGTGTTAGCTTTAATTTCAGCCAAGAGAGTGTTCCACTGGCCAGCAGGACTATATCCTGCATCAACGTGTTAAGACCATGCACAAAGGGTAGGACTGATTCTGAGGGGCTTTGCTTCAGCTCGTGCGCTGCGCCCCTTACCCAAGTATGTGCCCTTAATTTCAGATTGATGTCCGGAGAAAATCCTAGGAAGTCCAAAGGATATCCGAAAGCATGGGAAACTTCGGAAGGGCTTTTTGGACGAGTGCAAGTAACTTCCGGATGAGTGCGGGAAAGTTCTGGAGGAACTTCTGGAAATTACAATGAGGTTTCATCCTGATATGAATATGTGTAGTGGCTACTCAGGACTTGTCCTGAGTAGAAGCAAACAGAGGTAAGGCTGCAAGGACAATGTCCAAAGCAGAATAGGTCTGGAGGACTGCGGGAAAGATCCGGACAAACTTCCGGAAACTTGGAGGAATATAGGATCAGAGGATCAGAGCTCTGGCCTAGGGAATTCCTCCCTAGGCCTAAGGAAGATTTCACAAGGAAGGAACTAGTATAAGGACTTAGTTGTGAAGACTAGTGCTGTTACGACTTGGATGGTATCTGTTGGCGACGCTCAAACAGAGCGTGTGTCGTCAACGGTCGAAGATGTCCTTGGGCTAGCCCAAGGTTAGGGGTCTTACTTGGCGAGGCTTCGGCAAGTAAGATTTGACGCCTATGTCCAAATCGGGTAGCTTACGTCACGCGGTTGCGAGACGATAAGCTAAATCGGCCTAGGCTTATGACACCCGAAGGTTAATCGTAAGATCGTCGTTAATTAGAAGGACAGAAGTCCGACTAGTTAACAGGGGCTTTGCTCGTCGACAAAGTCGATGAGTAAAGATCGAGACTATAGGCTTATCCACGAAGAGCAGATAAGAAGATAGAATATAGACTGCTGGCGAGGCAGAAGGATCACTCTGGTGAGAGTAGGAGGTCAAGAACCAAGTAGATTCAAGTTAGGGAATATAGTACATGGTAGCGAGTTTATATAGAGGGCAGGAGATGTATTAGTGGGTGATAACTCGTACTACCGGGAAAGGCAATCGGTAAAGGGTGTAATCATAACAGGAAGGCACATTCGGTCGAGGTAGAACGTGCTAGATAATAAAGTGAGTCAAAGATCGAAATAAGAAGTGAAATGCGCAGGGGCACAATCGTGCAGCTGCGGATCTAAGTATAAGTTGCATGTGCGACTGCGCACTGAGTCAGAGATCAAGAAAGGGAAAAGGGCAAAGGGGATGTGTCGTGCATCAGATCATAGGTTACCGTCCGGACGGTAAGGGTAAGGGGACTATCCACAGGATCAGTCAGGTGGTGGAACGGAGCATGGGTATGCTTCGTCAGCGAAAGGGTCTGGCCAATTGTACTGGCTTTGCTGCAGCGACAGGTAGAGAGCGAAAGGGAATGCGAGGATGACAAGGATGACAAGGGTAAGGTCGGGGTAAGGGTATGATGTGAGGGCTGATACGAGGAGGATTAGGAGAAAAATGGTAGGGGCCCAAGCGTCTAGATGTTCTTGTAACAAGTGCGAGGACTAATATGATATTCAGACTGAGGAACTACAGGACATATACAAGAGTTTATATACTAAGTGACTATCGGAAAGATCAATAAGCAAGGTCCGAAGGCTATGTATGAAGCATAAGCAAAGTTTATCACAAGTCAAAATGCGAGTCAGAAATTAGCACAGGTTAACAGATCATAATGCATAGCCAGAAGTAAGTATAACCGAGAGACCAGGAACAAGGAATACCAAATAAAGGAATAGGCTGTGTTAACGTTATATGAACAGGAATTGAATTTAAGAAGCTTATTGTATATCGGATCAGACTGGACTGGACCAGATCTAGTGTCTGAGGTCCAGATGAAGTGTGGGAACATTGTTGGACATAGGTCTGGAATATGGGATATGACACAATGGCAAATTCTACCCTATCACTCAAATGCTCAATAGCTGCCCGATAAGCAGTGCAATGCTTATAAAATGTCACCTTAGTATAGACGCAATTTGGAAAGGTAGTAGTGAAGAGGGTCTGGATTGTCTGATCGTCTAATAAATTGACAAAGAGCTGAATCCGGGAAACCATATCACATGCATACTTCCAAGGAAATCGTGCTCGGGCACCTGCAGGGACAGTAGCAGAGGTGTTGGGTTGGACCATGAGCACTAATACAGGCGACATGTCCGAGCCACCAGCAGTGAGTGACAGAGGTATCACTGGTAAAGGAATGGGCAACTGGAGAGAGATGAGAGCTGGGCTCACAGGGTTGTTACTACTGGCATTCCTCTGCTGCTTCAATGGTGAGGTGATCCCATCCAATTGGGAGAGATGCATACCCACGGTGCTAAAGGATTGTTTTGATGGAGATTGGACAGTCGCAGGTGTGCGACTAAGAGATAAGACCCTCTCAGTGAATCCTAGTAGCATATTATTGTCAGTAAGGTCGATAGAACACAGGAGGATAGTCGAATTGGGGGGACTGAGAAGCGGAGTCTTGATATCCTGCTCGATCCAGGCATGCTGATCACTGCAATATACTGCAATATAGTCTCCGAGGTCGAATCTCGTCAATAGCTGATGGTCTCCTGGCACGAACTTTCCAGGTGCAGTGCACAAAAGCCTTACTAGGTGGGGATGGTTGTTGTTCTAGTGATAGCGATATTCAAGTTGGCTAGTCAGCACCAAGAAACCATCTAATAAGTGTAGAAAACTGTACCTTCAACCAGAGGACTACGTCGATCATATTGCGGATCATGATACTCATACTTTGGTCAGCTTGAAAGTGTTGTTCAGCCATCAATGTCCGCTAGTGCCCAAGAACATAGTTCCATGCGCAATTGGGGTCTAACAGCCAGGCATAGTTTTGTGAAGCAGCTGGGAGCAACTGAGTAGTAGTTAAAAAGTGTGACATGCTCACTGATGATGAATGGGATGTAGGCAAAGGACCCTCAGGTGTAGTAACTAGAGGATGGTCAAGCTGAGTAGATGTGGGATTAATAGTGGCGGGTGGTGGTACAATCAAGTTTTTGTGCTGTTGAGCAGCAACTGGAGAAAGTACAGATGCAACCCAGTGGACCCTACACCCTCCCACTACCTCACAACACTGCTTGCAGTAGCGTTGTATACAGTTCCTGTTGGCCTTCCATGGCTGCATAGCATGCTTCAAGTTGCAGCAGTCAGCCTTAGCACACAGGACCATATCAGTCATAGTAGGCTGTAGTTATAATGCAAGTTGAATGTCGAGTAGGTTAAGGACAGTGATAACTGGACTCACTGATCACCTGGGCCATGCAAACATCCATGGTAGTATACTCGATAGCATCCAGCACTGGTTGTTAGCAGGTACTATATCAATGAAAGAGCATTTATACTGAGATGGCGATTAACTTGAATATTGGAACTTAAACTAGTAGCAGATATAGGTCCAAGTGACATAGTGGTGGGGCAGACAGTGGGGCAGACAGTGAAAATGTTGGCTTGTCATTTCCAGTATATATGTCAGATGCTTCTCCAGGCAATGATCACAGCTGAGCAATGAACTACAATGCTGAAGTTGTTTGGTCGATCCACTGGAACCGAGTTGAGTCTACAAAAGTCTACAAATTGTCTACAGATTCAGCTTACTTTCCACAAAAAGAATTAGTAATGCTCCCAGACTTTCTACACATAGTCTATGGTAGAGTCTACCCACGTACTCTCAAAGTTCTGTGCAAATCTGACCATTTTTCCAGGCACATCCTGATGTGAAGCCCTTTTGCAACAAAGGCTGGAGGCACTTCAATGAGATAGATGACCTTTTGCATGCACAGATCTCACATGGTACCAATGCTTTTCATGCAGGCCAGAAAACCTTTGAATCACAACAAACTCTGAGTTACATCAGTGATGAAGGTCCCACTGTCGAGCACAAGCCAGCAGCACCCACAACAGGAGACTTGGGAGTTGAAGATAATGACAGAACAATAGCAGAGAGAGAGCCGGAAGATGATAAAGATGATCTCATTCATTGGGAAGCAACTCCTCCTTTGAAGCAAAAGTCTGCAACTGCGTCTTTGACTCCATCTCTTACCACTTCCTCATTGTGTCTCTCTTGTCCATCAGCGAAATGCCAGCGCATTGGTGGTTCAGCCACTGCACTATATGCAATAAATGATCAATTTTCTGAGTTCACTGATATCTTCCATGTCGCCTCACAATCACAACAATCAGCTATTGCCTTATCACCTCAATGCAAGCAGGCAGCAATGTGACACACGCAACTTCTTGAAACACATCTTGATGACGATAGCATAGCTGCACTTATCGAAGCTTTTCAGATGGATATCAGTGCTACTGATGCATATATGGTGATGTCTGACGATGGGCCAAGGAAGTCTTTTGTTGACCATAAGATCAAATTTATCAACAAGCAGGGTCTCTAGATAGTGTATATGTTGTTGCACACTCATCCTGTCATGTCTTGATGAGCTTTATGATAATCTCTCCACATAGCATCTGCAATATTGTCTCTGTCCTCTATCACCTTTTGCCTTTCAGCACATCCTGCTGGTCCTTCAGCAAGATTACCCCTCAACTCACCTACATCAGCATCAACAAGATCCTCAGTAGAAAATTCCTCTATTTCTGCCAGATAGAAACTTCAAATGAAGTTGTGGACAGCACAAAGTGCCAGGGGGATTTAGGCTTGAGTCAACATGCTATATTCTGGTGGATGTATGAGTATCATGAATCACTTCTTGAGAATGCCGAATATCTGCTCAATCACATTTTGAGCTTGAGCATGCCAAAGGTTTTATATTTCTTTGGCATTTTGTGGCCTATCTTGTATGAGAAGATCAATGAGTCAAGTGAGATATTGCTCACTGAACTGCAGCTCAACCCCACTCAGCCAAGTGGTACCGAACACTTCAGTATGGAATGAGAAGTGAATTGCATATTCCAAACCCAGCATCTGCAAGGTAGTATCTCCCTTGTGGAATGTACAGGTCAGTGAGATGGGCATTATTGTAGAGAGTCGAGTCTGAGGTTGATCCATCCCAATCACTGAGAACATACTGGAACCAAAGATCAAATGAACAACATGCAAGACAATTTTGGCTGGCAAAACCTTGTCGGTTTCGTGACAGCTGTCTTTCTGCCACAGATGGACAACATGCAATGTGTGTACCATCCATGGCTCCAAGTGCCCCTCAAAAGTATGAAAAGAGTTTTGAATTCCCTGATATTTCAGCTGGAATAGGTGCGCCATCCTGCAGAAGACAGAAAATTTTGTTGTAGAAGGGAGCCCAAGACAGAGCAAGCAGGACTCTCTTAAAATATCTGACGACATGTGAGAGTCGGTGAGACAACAAATATCTTGACATACTTCTATGTGGTTGTGTGCAAGTGCTGAAAATGTTCTGTGACATGATGGCTTGAAAGCCCTGTCACACATGTATATAGAAATATGGAAACTTGCTCATCAAACAGGATATATTTTGAATCATGTAGCCCACAAGCCCAAAGCTCATGTATAAGAGCAAGGAAAACATGCTTCCTCATTCTGAGCTCAGTCTTGATCTGGTCAGGATGTCCAGTGAGGAGTGAGGTACAGTGGTAGGGCTGTTTCTCAAGAAATGGAGTCATGTAGGCAATTATAAGACCCATAACAAGTTGAGCAATCATTGCAGTGGCCATCCGCAGCATGTGGAAACAATGGATTTTATTAGCTGGAGGCATTTCAGCCTTGGTGTGATGTCATATGGTGCGTGATGCGGCGACCTTGTCACAGTTGTTTGTACATATTGTTACAAACAAAATAAACTATGAAACAAACTGCGAAATAAATGCAGCTGTCCAGACCCTAAGTCTTCATGCCTCATACTTACAAATAGAATACAATCTATCTTATCAATTGTGCATTCCAGATCAGGTGATAGTACCCTTAGACAAGTATAAAGATAGTGACTTATACTGTAGTATTTCACTCAATTCGACAGTCACGTGTCACACGCCAACTTGTCTCGTCAAAATTGTAGCGTGTCACGGGTCACACCTGGGTTTGTCGAATGTTAATATTGTGACTCAAATCAAATTTTTTCACTTGAGGTGCATTAATCATATTGTATACACAGAAAATCACCTTGTAGAGTATTACAAATGAGTTCAGAGAGTATCTCAATCAGATGGTCCAGTGTTCATAGTCAATCTGGCCTGTCAAATTCTTGATGCTGTCGAAAATTCAGTGCTGTCACGTGTCGCATACTTAAATGTCGAAGTGACGAAATAATATATTGTGCCATGTGTCACATGTGGTGTCGAATCGAGTGAAACTAGCACACACCCATTGTGCCTTTGGCACAGGAAGCAAAAAGAGCGCTTCGCGCTCTTTGTTGGCTTCCTGGCCTTCGGCTTCATCCTACCTTTGGGTGTTTTAATAATCATTATTTTAGATCTTGAAATAAATTATATTGTATTCATTGAGTTGAGCATGATATATTACAATTGATGGGATTAGACATTGAACCCTCCTGTCCTCCTGTTGTTCTCTGGTTTTCTCATTCTCCTGTTTCCATGTTCTCTGTGCAGATAAGGAAAGTGAAAGTACAATTGAATGTGTTGATTTCCCCTTACCTCCCTGTTGTCCTCCTCCCGTCCTGTTGTCCTCCTCCCGTCCTGTTGTCCTCCTCCCGTCCTGTTGTCCTCCTCCTGTCCTGTTGTCCTCCTCCCGTCCTGTTGTCCTCCTCCCGTCCTCTTGTCCTCCTCCTGTCCTGTTGTCCTCCTCCCCTTTCCTGTTGTCCTCCCCCTTCCCCCTTCTCTCATTCTCCCATTCTCCTGTTTTTCCCATTCTTCTATTTTTCCCATTCTTCTATTTTCCTGTTCTGTTTTCCTGTTCTCTGTTCTCCTATTCTCCTATTTTCCCTATTTTCTCTGTTTTCCCATTTCTCTCATTCTCCTATTCTCCTTTCCCATTTCCCATTTCTCAATTGTCTTTTCTTAATATGTAGTTGAATTTATGTTTAATTTCATAAATAATAAATGTTTTTCAATGAGTGCTGCCCTAACGGGCAGCGGACGCGTGACAGCCATGCGAGTTTCCAAATCGAGCTTTAAGCGAGGTAAGCGAAAACCACATGGCGTTTAGCGAAAAACGCATGACCTTTAGCGAAACTGCACATGGCCCTACGCGAAAACCACGCGAGCGTCCGGTACTTCCCTCCCCCATCCTCCCTTACTTTATAGACTAGCACACACCCGTTGTGCCTTCGGCACAGGAAGCAAAAAGAGCGCTTCGCGCTCTTTGTTGGCTTCCTGGCCTTCGGCTTCATCCTACTTTGGGTGACTTAATAATTATTGCAGGTTTTAAAATAAATTATATTTTATTCGCTGAGTTGTGATCAAAATTTCAAAATAAGTTACATACTTTGAGCAGTATTTTGACAAAAGTAAAAGTACAATTGAATATATGTATTTTCTCATCTGCTGTTGTGTTGGTGCTCTGTGCCCCTTCCTCCCAGTCCTGCTGTCCTCCTCCCGTCCTCTTGTCCTCCTCCCATCCTCCTTGTGTCATCCTCCCATCCTCTTGTCCTCCTCCCATCCTCTTGTCATCCTCCTGTCCTTGTGTCGTCCTCCCACTCTCATCCTCCTCCTGTCGTCCTGTCATCCTCCCATCCTCTTGTCCCCTTTCCCCTTCTCCCATTTCCCCATTCTCCTGTTCTCCTGTTTTTCCCATTCTTCTATTGTCCCTTTCTCCTGTTTTCTGTTCTCTTATTCTCCAATTTTCCCCATTTCCCCTGTTCTCCCATTTCTCTCATTCTCCCACTCTCCTTTCCTGTTTCCCATTTCTCAATTGTCTATTCTTAATATGTAGTTGAATTTATTGTGTATATAATTTGAATTTCATAAATTAATAAATGTTTTTAAATGTGTGCTGCCCTAACGGGCAGCGGACGCACGTGATAGCCACGCGAGTTTCCAAATCGAGCTTTAAGCGAGGTAAGCGAAACCACATGGCCTTTGGCGAAATAAGCGAGGTAAGCGTATCTACGCGGTGCAAGCGACCCAAGCGAAAACCACGCGAGCTCCCGGTACTTCCCTCACCCATCCTCCCTTACTTTATAGATACTACAGTATTTCTTGACGGCCTTGAAGATATTGTTAAGTAATCTAAGGTGCCAAAAAGCACTCGGTGATTTTCTGATGAGTAGGGCAAGTGAAGCTGGGGTGTCTTCATGGAACAGCAATAGTTAATGTACGAACGTTCAAATACAACTCCAGTTACAGTTATTTGAAATGCTTCCACAGGCCGACTTGGTACATAGGTTGTGCATTATGACGTATAAATACCCAATACCCAACAAAAAAAATTGCATCAGTTGGTGGTGGCATCCGTGTATGCGGTTGTGGCAAAACCGACTTGAGAGTTGGTGGTATCGAACACGGAGTAGAAGCGCTCAAGGAAAGTGTAGCCGTTGATGAAGTCGAGACCTTCACCACTGGGGGTGCCAAGGTCGCTGACAACGAGGTAGATGGAGGTGGCGGTACCACCGATATAGGTGTTAAGGCTACGAGGCCAGATCTGGCCGTTAGGCGTGAGAGCGTAGGTGTTCTATGCAAAAGGGTGAAAAAGGGGCATCAACGCTTGAAACAGAAATGGCGTACGCTGCCAACATTGAAGTTCAGGTTCTGGAGGGCACTGTACTGGGTAGAGGTAATGCGGAGAAGACCAGTCGTCCTGTCCAGAGTAGCACCGGTTGCAGACACGTAAGCGTCGTAGGCATCTATCGAAACCTGATTAGACCATGATTACTCGCTGTACTGGAGATACGCACTGCTGGCAAGGAGGATGAGGGTAGTGCCAGTGTCAACGATACCAGCCGTCTCAGCCAAGATGGTCTTGCTGCCGTAAGTGATGCTCTCGTTGATACCCCAGTAGTAGGATGCAGGGTAGGTTGTGGTGAGAGGACTGGAATAACCAATTACTGTTAGTCGGGATTGATATTTGAGCTGCAGAAACTTACGTGTATGCAAGGGTACCAGTGTACTTGGTAGCGTCAGTTCCACCGAAAGTGAGCTCTCCATTGGCGTCTGAGTCAGTAGTGGTGGGCTCGAAAGAGATACCAACAACTATCTCAGAAATGACGCCTTGGCTGTACAGGTTGTCAGTGACAGTCGGGATCGTCGTGTTCGGTTCATCTGTCAGAGTACCCTCCGTCAGGTCTAGGGGTCCGATACCAACGATACCGTCAACGCCGGTAAAGCCCGTCGAAGTAGAAGCAACACCAATCGACTGCGCGGTGATGGTGAGCCCACTACCGAGAGTGACGGTGTCGGTGTACTCAGTTCCTGTAGATAATCGTAGGTATTTTCAGCGTATGATATCGTTGTGTGTCATACCAGAGAAGGAACCAGAACCGTAGTCGACCGTTACAGGCTCACCAGTGTCGACGCTGGTGCTGGTCTTCACGTACGCAGTGCCGGCACCAACCCATGTGTTCGAACTACCGGTGTCGACAATCAAGTGGTCTCCAAGAAGACATTAGCACCCACACCTGCATGTTTGTTCGGTGTTGAACTTACAGGTTGTGGCAGGGCTGCCAACGCCAACTGCTGCGATGTAACTTACACCATCGTTTGTCACGGTGATGCTACCAGTACGGCGGCTGAGAGTGCTATCTCCCTTGAAATTTTTGAGGGCGGCTGCGCGAGATTGGTCGTGCTGGACGAGGTTGATGGTACCACCAGAAGTGTTTAGCCGCCTGGCGATAGGGAGGGTGACGGGGGAGTTGCGAACTTCGACAGGCGATGCCGCAATGGACAAGGCCAGGAGGAGAGTCGTCAACAAAGATGCAGCTGGGAACATGACTGAACTGTACTGGAATGTAACGATCATACCGCATTTCGAGGCTCTTTATATGTGCTGGTAAACGTGAAAAAACGGTGCTGGAAGGTGAGCACATGCTTAATCTCATTCTAAGGCTGAACCGTATGGAACGCGCCCCCTCACCGAAAATAGGAACAACTAAACAAACGAGTCGTTATGCGCACATCTTGTATCAAAACCGACATAGCGGGACAGGTAGACTGTTTTTGGACGTGAGTAAGAGGAGCTGTCCATGAGGATCATCAAGTTTATTCATGGACCGATAGTTAGGAAATGCTTACCTTACATAGTGAAGCACACGCACAGTGACAAATACACCCTTCGCAGTACGCCATTGCCGAGCGCACCACTTTCGAGACAGCACTATGCAGCACCCGGGTTTGATGATGTCGCATGGAAAACTTTGTTACACTAATGTGAAGAATACATGCCGACTCGACACAAATTCCATCGTGGAGTCACAACTAATTCCTGGGGTACCAATCTCATGATCAAACGGGGCCATTTTTTCTGTGTAAGAAAAACATTTGATGCATATGGAAAACGATGAACAAGACAGTGATGTGACCTTTCGTGGCGAATTCTGGTGTGAGCATAATGGTACCGTTATCTTGCCTTGTGAGCCACTGCCCTTTGTACTGAGAAGATCGTGACTTTGCATGAATGATACCTAGTAGTTAGTTGCCAGGGCCTATACCGCCGCAACAGCGTCCTGGCAGTACTTGTTCCCACCCCGACCTCTTTCCAGTGATAAGCCTGGCAGATGCATACGCCATAGTGATCTGATAGTCTGGGTCACAGAGCCGCCAGAAAATATTCAAAGATACTAGGCCCATAGGCTGTGTGCTTGTGAAGTTGTGACGAACGTATGGAAAACATTGGTGATTACGTATACATACTAGGCGCTTAAGCTTCCAGTTCTGAATCCGGCCGACACTGTTTTCCTTTTATGGGAGTCTGGCTCAAAGTCAACACATCGCTGCCTACGATTAATGTACTATGTAGTTCTAATGCTAACTGCTTCATCTCCTTGCCGTGCATACAACACAGTAAAATAAGCCTGGGCAATAATTCCGGAGCTTTGCACTGCACTGGCTCTTCAGAATAACGCCGTAATTTTAACTCATGCTCGGACGCGAACGTTGGTGGGAGTCACTAAGAATACTAAAACATAAGTTGCACATATGAGTACCGGAGACAATAGACTCAAAACACAAAACGCAAGAATAGGGTTCCCTGTGCAATACAATGATTTGAATGAGTGTTACCGAGTTGCCGGTGTGACCTCATGGATAAGATCTCAAGAGCTCATGCAAAGGTACATTCATTTATTCTCGCTGAGGTGTAGCGCAAGGTGGTTTCTGCCCGATACTTTAGGTTGAATTTTTGCTTATATATATCGAATTATATACGTCCTATCGAGAGTGTAATCTATGGAGGGCATTGGATAATAGTCTATTCTAAGGACCCAGCACTGTGCCCTGAACGCACCTCTGAATCTGCGAATGCCCACCAGCCGTTTGAGACGCGCAAAGATGAAATACTAGGCTAGTACAGGAACACAACTGAATGCAGTGAATGTGATAGGGTATGATTGTCGTTAAGGCCACTTCGACTTCGCTGACCGAGTCCAAATGGGGGTGACGATCATTCCGTGTGGGTTTCTAGAGCAGCGATGATACAGGTGTTGCCGGACATTCACACTACTTGTGTGGTGTTATATTAATTAACTGCAAAGGAATGGATGCAAAGGGTCATCAGTCTACGAGCGTGGTACTTCACCGAAGGTCGCTCTCAAGGTCGCTCTCAATCTTGCAGTGGCATTCACATATCTGATGAGGTGAGCATCTGGGTCAGAGAACAGGAAGGAAATATATGTGGCTTTACACCCGAGTACACGTATCAAGGTGCGACGATCACGTTGGTAATCTGAGAAGGCGGTCAGAAAGTGGTCACTCTGTCTTGTAGGACAATGTGGGCAGTGCGGGCCATAATCCGGTGAGTCGCTTATGATAAAGGAGGTCCTGCAGAAGCTTGAGATCTACTTGGTGCACGCGATTGTGCCGTGGGGATTCACGTTAGAGACGTTCCCATCGCACACATGTTAGCTTGCGTTGGACTCCTTTGGGTGCTGAATTATAGGGTTTCATGCCGGAGATATATGATCAGCTTGATGGTTGGGCTGTTGTTCTGTCTGCTCTCCGCTCCAAAATTCGCATGCTTATCTAGCCCCTTGTTCCCATGTGCGTCTGAAAAGACTCTGAATGACCTGGTAACTATCAAACAGTTGCCGCGAATGCGTTGAACGTTAACTGCGCATACAGAAGTGAACAGCCTCTACAGTGATTATTCAGTGGATATCTCCTGTACAACATTCCACTGGCCGCCATTAGTGAAGAATTTGTTACAAGTAAGCCATGCGCAACAATGATGTATGTGTTTGACGGACTTGCCAGTGAGCGGGACGGCGGGACACTTGACTGACAAACACCTGACATACAAGTTAGAAATACAGGCGGTCTACCTATTCCCTTCGGGTGGTAGCACACAGTGAGTGCAAGTTACTGTACTATCCCTCACGGTCTATTCATGAGTGCCCGCCCTTTCGTGAGCCACGCTGTTTCGCAGGGACTTAGCACCATCACCGCATGATCAACCGTCATTTTTCCACGCCAAAAAGTGACTCACGAAACGGTGGGCACAATTAGACCGTACTAGTAGGGGATAGCAGGCTCCTTCCCACCTCCGCTTCAAGTGTAGGGGATGTTCATCATTGCAAGGATTGTCAGGTTTTCAAACTCCGCTCGCCCTAGCGTTCCCGCATGTGTCCCGCCCACCAGCTGCTGGGAGGCGGGCTCAGTGCCTGCATTTTGATAACCGGGATTCCGCCCGACGCGTGATCAAGATCACGTGACTCCATGCAAGTTTGGTTGATTGCTGGATCCGGAGAGCGCACTCAAGACTCAAGAGTCTCAGATACGCGCAACAATTGCTCGGCACATTGATTAAGATGTCAGTATTTCTTGTCTTACATCTCGAAGCGGTGAATTGACAACATATAAGTATCTTATAACAGTATACTGTAACAAAAATAGTGAGAAATATTGGGAATGCATACATTGCAGAGAACGTATCTGCCCCGACTCTACCGATAGTACTCTGCAATAAACGAGTTGAACAGCTATAGGAAGCGACAAGTAAATGCCGGCACACAGGAGAGACGGCACCCGAGACAATGATGATTTTCTACCAGGTGGAATTCACTTTATTCAAGCAAACCGCACTTTCTCACCCGGTCGACCTTCTGACAGGAGTACGACAGCCTGAATGCAGTGGACGCTCAGTACGTGGAGTCATAACTGCTGAAAGTACGCACATATTTCCCGCTGATCTTCCAGCCTGGTTCTTCCTTGTCTAACCGCTCTGCTATGGCGTCCCCATCGTCTCCTAGCCCAACAACAACGTCGCTTTTGATTGTCCGCAGACTGCAAATCTTTGGAGCTCCAGCAGCGCTGGCCATCGGTCCAATGGAAATTTCGAATGGAATGCTAGCTGGCGCAGCACAATCATAGGTCAACTTCCTGTGGTTCAGGTCGCCTTTGAAGTAGACGAGATCTGAGCGAGACAGGTGGAGGAAGAGATCTGGTGCCTCGCTGTGAAGGTCCCAGAACGTATATCCAGTGCACCAGAAAGGATGTTGCTCATATTGCCATATGCCATCTTTCTCGTATTGCTATCAAATGTGTGAGCAAAACTTCATGCGCCGACAGACTACCCTACCTTCCAGCGGGTCCCAAGTCTCCGTAGCGATTCTCGCTCAACCTCAGAGGCTTTCGGGAACAAATGACCGTATACCATGGTGTTCAGTAACCAGTCCCAGTCTTTCCGCGTCACATCAGACACGAACCACGGATAACGCTTGCCATGGAACCGAATCTGCTTTGCCAGACCAGTCTGTATGAGGAAATCGGCTGGTGAAGATTAGTCTATCTCTCCACCAAGCGTTGCTTCTTGAACTCACCGTACACGAAATCGCAATACAATTCAAACCCGGCGTTATCCAACACGAAGTCAATTCGTCCACCAGTCTTTTCGCGGAGGACCTTGACAGTCTCCCAAAGCTGGTTAAGATGGTTTCCAAGAATATTCTTTTCGGTGGAAGCAAGGTGGTCTCCTCCGGTTGACTGGAGAGATTTGATCTGTTCTTCCGTCATGTTGATCAAAAGTGAGAGGTCAGTCGAGTTGCCCCACAGACACACTTGCATACCATGTTAGCAGGGCGAACTGGGAAAACTCTTATCATTACCTTGAGTCAACTCCAAAAACATGAGTCTCTCGTTTTCTGCTTTCTCTTTGTCTGACATATTGTCTGACTGCTTAAAGGGCTCAGCAAAGCGCATAGACAACTCAAAGACAGCATCTGTGGATCTTGAAAAAGTGTCACACTAGAAGCGCTGTCAGATTGGAAAGTCAATCAAGTCTGATTCATACCTTTTGACGGTAGAAAACATCATAGTCTTTCCAGTACTTGCTCACACTGAAGCACTCATGCAGACGACGGTATTTGTAGGCTTCGGCAAACAACCAAGGTGCATTCATGAAATCCTTGCCTAGAATGTAGATTGTCAGCCAAGATGGGTGGCACATACGGCGAACATCATACCCTGGAAATACTTTGCAATTTCCTTATTCCACAGGGCCACATCACCTTCACCGTCGTCGATGATTGGTCTAAGCTTAGCATTTCCACTGAGGTCGGCCATCAGGGTGTCCATTCTCTCCAAACATTCTACAAGATCAACAATCTTATCTTCGGCATACTGCTCATTTAGAGTTCGCGACGCATCGTCTATAGCTTTTCCAAGGATAGTCGGTAAGCGAACGCCCATAGTTGCATGTGCAAAGGAGTACTCGTGGTAGCCACGGTAGGCCGGCCATGGCGGGTTGTTTGGGTCAACCTGGGAGAAGATACCACGATGCTCATCAGATGGACTCCTTGGGTGACAACTCATGTTTTTACCGACCCGTGAGGGTGTGCGCGGCCACGGAGCCTTGATATCTTTCTTGCTTGGCAAGTGGCCGAGATGAAGAGTGACGCGGGAGGGTGCACTGTAAGTAGCGGGAGAGCCATTTGCTTGGACGATGGCGGTATCACTTTTAGCAATATTCTGGATTCCGTTGGTTGGTGGTGACATCTCAGCCATAGATGGATGATTGACTGGAAGAGCGAGCATAGGAGGGAAATAATCAGCGTTCATTTCGAGGAACAGTGAAAGCTTGAAGGTGGTAGAAATGGGGTTTGTGAATGAAGAAAGAACGAAGGGACAACCTTTATATGACGCTCCGCCGACTAACTGTTATCTTTTTTTTTTGAATGGTGGTAGCGCCAAGAACATGTCGCTACTCGGTGGCGCACGGTTGTATTCGACGATATACCTTGAATTTTTGAGTGTTTTTCTCAAAGAGGAAAGTTGCGGAACGACGTCATAGCTTTGATTTCGCCACTGGCCCCATCAGCTGGCCCCATCAAATCAACGCATTCTCTTCTATCCGCGCACCTCTGCCTCGTCTGACCCGCGGCGCACTCTGTTGTAATTTCATCGACGGTCTTCCACTATTATCTGAAAGGTCAACGATTGGCAACAACGGCGTTTAGTCCGCATGACCCTACAGATCAGCCTATAACTCGAACCTGCGCTTAATCATCATGACGTCGTCGTCTCTCTGAGCTGAGGAGCTTGACTCGGAAATGGCCGAAACCTTAACACCGTGGATTCAATCTTAAATCATCGGGACAGCTACGGCACGCAACTTGATGAAGAGAAACAATATTTGCAAGAAAGGAGGTTATTACGTAATGTAGAAGTTTGACCCAAATCGGAGCCTTTGGCCCCGGGAAAGCACCTCCTTTGGGAAGTTGATCCCGAAGCTATCCCGTGACCGGTATGACTTCAACAACGTTTCTACATTCGGCACATAACTTTCATGCGCTCGCTCAACAGTTGATTCTTGGACGCCGTTACTTGTCTCGCTCATAGACACCCCAAATTTCGCAAACTTGGCATTGGAACTTCATCTCAATACTAATCTCGTGATACCGACTAGCATCATTACGAGTTGCAGACCCATCGATGTAATGCTGCTGCAACGTGTTTTGCATTCGAATCAGGCTCGCACATTACACTACCCAGACATGTGTCTCCCTTGCTCCCGGTCAGCAAGTTGCTTCCATTGATCATTACGCCTCACACTCTATCCTCTGAGTTTATCGCTGTTGATTACTACTGCCGCCGTTCACCACATCGAGCTCTCATCTATCTTATATAGCTCAGTAAGGCATTTCGAAATGCCCCAACAAATTCATTGGACCTCATTTGGTATCCCATATGTGGTGGAGTTCAACAACGTATCGTTCGCGCCTCGTAGAACGGCGTCTCCTTCAGAAGATATACTCGCGAGCTTTCCTCCACCAGAGAATCCAGCTTCTGTCTCGGAGCAATCTCTGGCATACTCATGCCCATCGGCCGCAAGCTCGACCTCTTCTTTTTGTCATATCTCGAAGTGTATGTTAGAATCCCCACTACAGACCCGCTCATCTATTTCGCGCCTTGCATCCTTATCTCGTTCGGCGCCTGGTATGCGGTCGGCATCTTCATTCTTCAAGCGGAAACAGCAGAAATCTCATCCAAGCACACGCAAACCTTGCACGACAAGCCAAAATGCATTCAGCAACCCAATCGACACGTGGTGCAGTATACCTGCCCACGTTCCGAAACCCCTTCCCCCTGTGCCTCAGCAAGAACCTGAAGGCATCCATGTGGACGGGCTCCACATACAATTTGCCACGCCCCCATATGATCCACGTGCATCATCCCGAAGTCGACTAGTGCGTCTGCAAAAGACGATTACCAGCGCAGTTGTCGAGGCAGGCATGGATACTCCCTCCTCACTTGAGGAGCAGACGGATGTCTCGACGAACGGCGTTCCTGATTATCGTAGCCGCGATACACTGTTCCGTGGGACATATGGACAGGTCATGGTCGCTCTGAAAGCAGCGGGCCTTGTTGCGACGCCATGTATGGAGGGCGAATTTGCAGGTGGTGCGCAATCACGCCAAACAATCATTTTTCTTCTGTCTCATTTATCATTAGCTACGCGTCTGGGCGCGCTTTTTGTTGCACATAGATCCTCAGAGGATAGGAATGTGCAGCTAAGAAAGCTGACACTATGGGGCTGACTGCCGGTCAGAATGCAACCCCTAAACATGCGCTATTTATGCCTCTCGCACAGTGTTAATTCTACCATCGAGGACTATCTTTGTACTGGGTAGCAAGGCAAAGTCCTTTTCGGAAATCCCACACTGACGATTCAAGTTCGTTCGTTCAAATATGGATTGTCCGTTCATCGCATACACTTTTATTTATACCCCAAGGAGCACCCATACTCCGAGTTCAGAAGCCAGGGTTATCGTCGCTACTTTATCTCCATTATCGACATCCACTACAGAAGTCATGTCTTCTGCTTCCAATTCTCACGTGCTTCTAGTCACCCTCAGAGCAAGGGTGACCAGACTTCCCTTCGCTCACCTTGCTCTTTTGATATCACGATCATCGCGAGAGATATGCCTTGGGATTAGGGATCTGAAGCCTGGGCAAGTACATTCGCTGTGTGTTCCTTTGAACATTCTTGAAGTGAGTGCTTACATCAATCTTATCTAGGGTGCGAATTGGTCTCCAATGCCATTGGGTGCCACAGACAAGTGTGTGCGAAGATAGGAGCAGACAACCTTGTTATGCGAGGTTTACGGAGTAGTGATAGGCTATGGGAATTATACCATCGGGAGTCAAGTTGATCTTGATTGCACGTATCACATGGCTGATACTTAGGGGTCATATAGATTGCCCTCTGAGGTGTTTTCAGAGACCTTGTGCGCGATGTACGTCTTTTTTTTTTGCTCGCCGTTCTTTAGACACCAAGATAAATTATAGTTCAGCTTGTCTGATTTTCAAAATCCTGCACCATATAAATTGGAAATGCTTATGATATAGTCTGCGTTAACCCATTGGAATATCTAGCATGGCTTCGATCATTGCTCGAGTCTCGCAGTGTTACTATTCTGCCGTCGATACGCAAGGAGTTTGGAAAATCGAGTTGTCGGTTAACACAACATCTCTGGGTGAGCACTCACCGGTTGTCCTCCGATAGTCGTTGACGGCCGGATTTAAAGGTCCACGCCGTCTCGCTGATCGGAGTAGAAGATAGTGCTCTTTTTCCTATCAGGGGACAATCTATTATAGTCGAAAGAAATGGCCTTGATAGAGTCAGTCTTGATATCATCCTGAGATTCCTGACTTGCAGTTGGGCCTTTGAGACATGTGACATCTATCATTTGCCCTGGAATGATCAAAGTGAATGCTGCGCTTCTAATTCGAACCTATCAAATAGGGTCATCTCCCTGGATATGTCGGTTTCAAAAGGATGTTCGAGCGATGCTCCGCGCTGGAGCCATGTCTAAAAGAAGGGAAGAAGGTTCTGAAGCACTCTGTCGGCCTTAGGCCTGACAAGGAGAGCGGTCCATGTGTGGAAATTAGACGGATATCGCTTCCTCCCAGACAAAGCTAGTGCCATATGTGTTCGAATATGCAGAAGAAGGGCAACAGGAGATACCGGCGGTTATTCGTGCATATGGAATCAGGTGAGATCACTATGGACCAAGATTTGTACGAGATCTGACTTTAGTCCCAGAGCTAGAGGCTACCAAAGATCCGAGGTTCTATCTTTACCGAAGGAGAACATGTATGACTCAGGCAGACTGCTAAGCACAATTTTGGTACTACATTTTTATCTGGACCTGTCGGAGTTCAAGTTAACACAATACTAGCCTGAGTCATCTACTAGCAGTAAGTTAGTAACTGCTACTAAGCTACTGTTACTCTTCATAAATCCCTCAGCTTCAATCTGAGCTGGGCCAATAAGATCACTGTGCCAGAGATCATGCGAAACGCATCTCCCATATCATACCACCCTAAGGATATCAATGTGATCCGGACGCACCGACGCCAGCTGCCTTGCTAACGCCGTTGTATCTTGGCCTCGGACTAATGATAGCAGCTGCGTTCCTGAGGGTCTTAGTCACGACAGAAGTCTTACCTTTACTGAGAGCCGAAAGTGCACATTGGGGTAAGTAAATACCAAGGATCCAGATTTCGCGCGGCTGCCTCTCGCTTATACGCTGGCAGTAACTCTTGCTCCAACTAGGTTGCAACTTGAACGTTCCTAGTAGCAGTGAATTGCGGTTGAAGTCAGGCTGATCACAGTGACAGTAAAGTTAAATGACCGCTTATCATGAGTACTTCCGGCCCGTCGAGACCGAGAAAAGGATAGAAACTTCCAACGGATGCCCGATGGCCAATGAAAGTATATAGGCTGTGTATACTGCCAGGCGCCGTTGTGATCATGTGTCCGAGTCAGATGCTAACTTGAAATGTCAGCGCTTCAGTACTGATTACTATACTACTATCAACGATGTCTTCCACGAAGGCAGAGCAGTCTCTCGTTGTCCTTGGAGCAGGTGTACTTGGGCTAACGATTGCGTACCTCGCTGCCTTGGACAGCGATGTCTCGTTTAATATCACGGTCATCGCTAGGGAACTACCTGAAGACATGGATTCTCAAGCTTGGGCTAGTCCATACGCTGTATGTTTTATTTAGTGTCATAAGTCTACCAGCTTCTAGAGGACAATCAGGGCGCTAATTGGTCTCCAATGGAACTTGGAGGCAGAGATAAACGAGTGAAGAAGTGGGAGGAGAAGACTTTGTACGTGCGATCTTTTACTGTAAGATGTGGTATGTTAGCTGATCCTCAATCAAGTAACAAGTTATGGGACATGATCCCAACAGGGTTGGTTAAGGTTAGTCTAAACCTTTCCAGTCGTCCTTGGTCGTGAGTAAGGAGCAACCCAGCGTTTACCTACGAGGTTTTATACTGCGCAAGGGCAAGACATTTCAGACTTGTGGTGGAAAGACCTTGTGCAAAATGTATGTAGTTTATTTCATGACTGTGGACACCGGGATTGAAACACACCGTGGGGGCAGATCAGGATGCTTGCACCCTCTGATGTCCCTGAGCCATTTAAAGCTGGAGTCGCATTCGACACGGTTTCAGTTAATCCAGTCGAATATCTTCCGTGGCTCCAATCCGAGCTGATCTCCCGCGGAGTTACCTTTGAACGCAGATATGTGAGGAAATTGGACGAGTTGAAGAGCCTGGTGGGGACTGATGGTATTCTGGTGAACGCGTCTTCGCTTGGTAAGGGTTTTTTTTTTCAGAGTCACTCTCGTAATATAGGCCCAAAGGTTCGAGATCAATTATCGGAGTGGAAGACACAACACTATACCCCATTCGCGGACAAACGATCCTCGTACATGCGCCAGGTCTGCAGGAGTGTTTGATTGTCGAGTTAGGTGCGTATTTGGAACGAGCAGTGGGAACCAGCTCCTCATTAAAGCCCTGCGATCCAGAGACTGGCTCGGAGGAGCCTACATACATCATTCCCCGTCCTGGAAAAGGTCAACCCGACACCGCAATCCTCGGTGGGACATTCCAGCCCAGGAACTGGGACACCTCTTTAGATATGCAGACTGCGAGAGGAATATTTGATCGCTGTGCCGCATTGGCTCCTTGTTTGCGGAGTGCCGAATCGACAATCCTAAAACATAACGTTGGTTTAAGACCTGGAAGAGAAGAAGGACCGCGAGTCGAGCTCGAGCGAATCGCGCTGCCCTTGCACAGCACGTATGACCTTATTTTGCGGAATGGGGGTCCCACAAGTGAACGTGATCATGAACAATCCATACTCGTTATACATGCCTATGGTTTTGGGTAAGCCATTCTATAGAAAGTTTGAATGCGATTTCCTAATAACGCACCTTCACAAGACCGGCAGGTTTCCAGAGGTCCTGGGGTGCAGCCGAAGAAGTACTGGAATTGATGAAAGCTCAAGTTTCTTTGAAACATAACATCTAGATTTCCGGTAGTGGGTTTTGTAGTGTCACATTTCCGCGCCCCCTATGAAATTTGTTCTGCAAGTCAACTTTCCTATTGAGGCCACATCATGTTTCTATTAACCATTCAGTTGGATTGCAGTCGACGTGCGCTCTGGCTGGGGTTTATAGAATAGAATTATTTGAGATTTTCATCCGAGATTGTCTTTCCGTTGGCACTAGATATATCGAACATTGAATTATCAAGGGTCGTAGAGATTCATCCTGACCACTTTGGACGAGCAATGATACGACGAGGAGTGTCAATTGTGTGATGGTAAACTGGTTCATCGTCCATCAGGTAGTGGTATCCCCTAGCCAAATCTATCGAAGGAAGATAATCATTAGGAAAATAGAACTTGAAGGTACATACTTTCGCAAATGTGCAAGTTGTGAAGGGCACAAACTTGCGCACCGAAGCACCATGACATGTTGTACTAAATAGCCTAGATGCTGTTCTGAGTAGCACAACAAAATAAGTCGGACGAATGCACAGTTAGAACAGAGGCAACAGATGGCGGAAACATGAAAGTTGTGCGAAGTGCTAATTGCTAAAACACGATCACGTGATACGACGCGTCGGTCTATTGAACTGTGTTTGGTTTCTGTGCTGGCGTGGTACTGCCACTAGAGTGCTTTCGTAGCGTTCAACCACAATAGTCATGTCCCTCAAGGACATTGGAAAGTACGATGTATCTGAAGAAGCGCAAGCTCTCAAAGATAAATTAGCAAGCCAAGGTACGTCCTTAGTATCTAATCTAACAATCTTTCCTTGACTTGCTGCTCAGACACTGAGAATGCAGGCCTGCGAAGCCGCCTAATGAAGAGAGAGGCCGAGCTAGAGGAGATAAAGGTATCGTTAAATGAAACATTGTACAAGGTCATTTTGACTTCTGTCTACTCGATCATCCAAGTCCACTTACTTTCTAGCTCAACAGCTCAGCGCCGAGGCTGACCGTGCTCTCAGGCTTGAAAGTGATCTCGCACGGCGCTCAGAAGAACTCAAGACCGAGAAAGTGGCTTCCAGGAATGGGGAAACTACACTTCTTTCTGCGCAGGATAGACTGAAAGCTGAAGAACGAGCAGTACGAGAGCTCGAGGCAACACTCGACACCATGTCTTGTCAATCTGAGTCACTCAGGACTCAGAATTCCAAACTGGAGACAGAGAAGCGAAATATGGAGTCTCGCGTGCGTGAGCTAGAGAGGATGTTGGAAAATACAAAACCCCAGCCAACAGCTAGTTCTCGATTGCCGCAGCGAAGTGGGAGGCCTCGGTCTTCATCTGTGTCTAGTTTCAGATCACCGGCATTGGAACAAGAGCTCAACGATATGAAGGTTCTCCTAGCAGATAAAGAGAAGACCTTGCGCGACATGGAAATGAAACTCACTCGAGCTCAGGATGATCTTGTCAAGACGCAAAATACGCAATTTTCTGTGGAGAAGACTATGCAGGCCCGTATCGCGGAACTCGCATCAGCAATAGAAGACAAGGATGAAGAGCTGGAGGTGCTGAAATCAGGTCAGGGCGCGGGGAACGCGATGGAGAGGGAGGAAGAGTTGTTGAAGAGGATTGACGAAGATGAAGTGAAGATGAAGACATTGGAGAGTCTCTTACGCGAGAAGCAGAGTGGACCCACGCAGGCGGCGTATGATAAGCTGCAAAGAAAGCTACGTGCTGAGTCAGAGAAGCTCGCCTGCTCAGAGAAGAGAGCGCGAGACCTCATGGAGGAGAAAAAGGAAGCACAAGACACATGTACCAATATACGTCAGGAGCTAGACAGAACGGATCGGCTGCTCCAGGACAGCAAGGAGCGTATTAGAGCTCTGACGGTCATTGAGAGGTATGCTATGCTTGGCCAACAGCCCGACAGATTGTTGACATTGAGCTAGCGGATTAAAACAAGAGCTTATGGACCTCCGGAGCAATGAAGAGTCAACGCGACGTTCGTCCGCCATCGATCAGGATCATATGGATATCGATGTTGAAGACATCCGATCCAACTTCGACGGCAGCTTCTTATACCCAAATTGCTCTACTCCGTTGCCTCCGACGAGGACCAATGGTTCTGATCACCCTGGTGAAGCAGCGCTGGCCAATTACATTGAAACATTGCTCAGCGCTGTAGACAGAATACGAAGCGAGCGAGATGACCTACGACGCACCCTCGAATTCTCTCAGACCGAGGCTCGAATCACACTGCAGACTTTGGAGAAGCGCATCCACACGCTCACCAAGGAGGCGAATGAGGCCTCAGTCCACAATCAGCAGAGCAAGCGTCTTGTCCTTTGCATCACAGCCCTGGGCGTTGTTGTGAATCATCTACGCAGTCGCCTGCATGCTGCCGAGCAAAATCAAGTCCTTGAGCACTCCAAATTAGTCACAGAACGAGATGCCACGTTACGAGACCTTCAAAGCAAGTTCGAGGCCTCGTGCCAGCAGTTGGCTGTATCGGAAGAGTCGCGTAACCACCTGCTCCTACTGGTCACAACGCTGGAAGCCAAAGTCCAATCTCTGACTGCCGAAGTACAGGCAGCGGAGTCATCTCACGAGGATACCCGAGATGCGCTCCAGCAAGCAGAGGAACAACTAGCTGACTTTACAAGAGCATACCAGAACCTCGAATCCGAACGTAATTCACTCAGCCTCCAAGTCACGAATCTCCAAACAGACTTGGAGGCTGCGCATGAAGAATTAACAAGCGCTCATAACCGCTATAGCGCTCTTCAAGCGCAACAGTTATCAACTATGTCAACAACTGGGGTAGCTCACGCGCTTCGTGAACAGATACAGGAACTTGAAGGTCGTGTCAACCGCCGCACGGAGCAGATCGGTGTTCACCAACATGACATTCGCCGCCTAGAGACCAACCTCAAACTCCAGGAGGAACGGATTTCCGAGATGATGTCGGAGCTGGAGACGATGTCGGCGCAGAAGGAGGCAATGGTCGAAGACTGTGCAGAAGCTAGAGATGCTCGCGACCAAGCTATCGGCAACCTCGAGGCAGCAGAGCTCGAGATGGAAAAGTTGCAGGAGGAGAACGACAATCTCAAAGTCGCCCAGGGTGATGAGCTATCCTCTATGGTAGCCATCGTCGCCAAAGCGATGTCGAATGCTCGCCGTGCCCAAAGCATGGTTGACCAGCACCTCGCCAACGAACCGCAGGTGTTATCCAAGATAGCTGTCCTTGAGGCCCATAACTCGAAGCTCTCTGAAGATATAAGAGTGCTTGCTGGCGAGAAAGAAGTGCTTATTCGAGACTTGGCAGAGAGCGTCGCATCACTGAGTTGTCTTGAAACCCTCCGGACTGAAGAACATACCAAAATGGATCAGCTGGTGGTCTCACTCGCGACTGTGCGCGAGGAACTGAGCAACAGTGACTGCAAATTGGAAAAGTCATGTCAAGACGTTGCAGCGTTACAAGCCCAACTTTCATCTTTCCGCTGCGCACTCGAAGACAAAGCCGCCACTTTAGAAGTTCGCGATGAAAGGTTGGCCATACTTGAGCAAAAACTCGCCGAGATATCCAATGAGTCAGCCGCTGCTTCGACTCGTCGCATTTCAGAATATGAAGAACAGCTGCAGTCATTACACGACGAACTTGATGAGCTCCACACCCGCCATCAGATCACTTGCGAATCCTTGGCTAGAGCTCAGGACGACCTTCAAGAACGCATCCAGGCAACGCAAGCTGGCGAGAGTGACACCGAGCTACAGGATTTGCATGCTGTCGAGGTCGGTGACTTGCAAGAGCGCCTTGAACACACGAGCCAAGAGCTTTCACAAGCTACACAGCGTTTGCAAAGTGCCGACCTTCGCTTTGCAGAAGTGCAGCAATGCAATCAAGAATTGAAGGACCACATTGCAGCTCTCACGGATGATGCCCAGAGAAGAGCCGTGACGGAGGATTCTCTACGTGTCACACATGTTGAAGAACTTGACATTCTACAGAAGACGCTTTCCAACACCCAGAACGATCTCGCTGCTGCCAACGAGGAATGCCAGCATCTTGCGAGCCTCGTGGAACAGTCAGCTAGCGAACTCAAACTAGCAAAGCAAGCCCACATCGACGCTCTGCGACAAGCAGAGGAAGAGCTTCGCGAATTGCAGGACGATCGGGTGGAGAAAGTTGGAGTTCTCGAAGCCAATGAAAGAGATCTTCAAAACTTCCGTATTAGTCTTGACGAACGATCCCGGGAGCTGGATTTACTGCGCACACAATTACAGAATGAAATTGCCAGTCGCAAGCAAGATCAAGCAGCCTTCAATGACCAGCTCTCTTCTCATGCAGATCGTCAAGCCAAATTTGATGCTCTTGAAGTAGAAATTCGACAAGCCAATGAAGCCACGCGCTGCCAACTGGAGCAGGCTGAAGCTGAGTTATCAAGTTTGCAGGCAGAGAAACAATCGCTGCAGGTAGAAACTACCAGCTTGGAAGCAGAAATTCAGCGCTCGATGTCGTTAACAAGATATTTGGAGCAACAAGTACGGGAGAGGTAAGTAGGCTCGCCGTTTTCACAGGCACACACTTGACAAACAATGAACAGTGAAATATCCAATTCCTCCCTCAAGGAGACCCTCGAACAGGTGCAGCTTCGACTGGCTCAGTCTGAAAAGGCAGGCAAAGCGGCTGAACTCAGCCTTGCACTTCAAACAACACAACATGAGAAGGCAATGACATCCCTCCGATGGGAGTTGGACGCGGTCCGTTCGGAACCAAAAGTTCATGACATCATCGCTGAATTGGAAGAGAAAACTCGCGAAATGGATCAGCTACTGCAAAGCAAGTGTGCTGAAATTGAAGACTATGACGATCGGATATTGGAGCAAGTGAATTCACTTGCAGTTCCCTCACCTAGGCTAACATCATGATAGAGCTTTGAAGGCGAACAAAAAATTGTCAACGAAAGTGGAATCTCTGACACGCAAGGTGCAGAACCTCCAAAGCAAACTTGCTTCTGCCAAAGAGTCTGGGCAAACCCCACCGGCCAGCCTCGCTGCACCGTCTGTGCAAACAGTGCCGCCGCCGCCGCCCATTGTCCCTCTTGTGCCTCCAGTGCCTGTAATCACAGATACTAAACCAATCCTGGGGCGAGATCGAACCGTCTCAAACACCCTAGCAGTATCGGGATCACAAACACCAGAGAGGAAACCTATGCAGTCAGGTATGACGCAAACTGGAGAAACACCTGAAGAGGAGGTACCGATATCTGCAGGAAAGAAGAGGCGTGCACCAGAACATGATGACAGGGACTCTGTTCCACCCGAGGGCCGTTATACAAGTGACTCAGATATGCAGGTAGCCACTACGCCACGTCTCCGGAGAACATTACACCCAAGCCGATCCGGATTTACGCCAAAACGCTCTGCCAGAATCGTAACTAGTGTGCCTTCACCAGGAAGACGAGCCACGACTACTATCTCAGACGTGACGAACAGTCCTCGGTCCACGTCTGACCCTCAAACCTCTAGACATTCGTCTAAACGGACCTGGTTGGGGAAGATCAGAGGTGGAGTGCCGCAATCCAATAATCCAGGTGGCAGAGTTGTATCCTCGCGAGTGAATGTGTTTGAGAAGATGCCAGATATTCCGCGATCGTCATGACGGACTCCCTCTGTTCCCTAGCGTTGTAGCATCTACCTTTGCCTACTTGTGTATTTCTAGTTAGTATCCCTACATTGCATTGAAGAGTGGTCCGAGTCACAAGCACTCTAGCCAAGCGCTATTATGTTTATTCATCTCCTTTCGCACCGACTGATGCAACTCGGAGGAACATGAACCTTGTGCACCCGGGCCGGCCCGGGAAACTTGAAGTAGTAAGTGTTGCACTTGGAACTCCAACATCACCGTGACAGCAGACACTGCCGTCTAATACCATCTCTGGCCATCACCGCTGCACGGCCACTGCAGCCGCTGGCTAATCTTTGAGCAGGTTGATTGTGATATTCATGATCATAGTACAAGGCTAATTAACTCGGAGTGTCCCGACGCCGAGAAACTTGAAGACACCCCGGCAGACCGTCATGTTCAGAGAGAAACACGTTCTTGCAGATCTTTCGACTGGTCAAAGAGACCCTGATGATTGGGATATTGGCAGGCTGCGAACCGTTCAGTATTTCTTGGACACAAGAGTACTGACTTACGAACCCATATTAAGCCTTTTGGCTGTTGGTGAGTTCTCTCAACTTGAGTCATCTTTGGACTGTCCGACTCAGGCGCTACCTTCTTTTTGTTTCCAGGCACGGCAAGTGGCTTGATTTGCGTGATAGGCGGACCTGGAGTAGAAAGTTCGGTGCAGACACCAGAAGGTTCTCCCGTTAAGATCTTGCAGCTTGCCGCCTCCACGGACAAACTCCTCTCCGTCGGTAAGTCGCCCGCCAATGCGTCAACCTCTCTTAATTCTTGAAATTTCGTAAGACGAACGCGATCGACTTCATATTTGGAACTTAAAAGATTTGACCGAACCACCGAAGTCAACGAGATTTGACCATGCTATCAAGTGCGCAAGTGGCCAAATGCTATAACAATGACATCCGCTGACCCGCAGCGTCTGAACACAAGTGCTATTATGTTGTCACCTTCACATACTCATGTGGGTACTGAAACTCAAGAGTTTCTTGAACATTTCTAAGATTGCTCTTTCCAGGTCTTTCTTGCCCTGCAATCGGGGGAGATCAGAACATATGATCTTCTGTGTTTGAAGAAGTCACCCTATATCATCCCGAACTTGTGGAATATGTTTCAGACTAAGATCGCGAGCAGCGTGGTAGATCCCTTGCATGCATTGCCTGGCTGGTCTGTGCACAATACTGGCGTGTTGCCGTCGAGACTTGCTTATACTGGGCTTTAGCAACATACCTGTCGATTTAGTCGCACACCCGCGAGACCTTAACTTGATATTTGTGGCCTTCGGCGGTCAGTCATTTCTATGATCAAATACAAGTGCCTGAAAAAATATGTAGGGGGGATTGTACTGTACGATCTGGTGTGTATTTGAACTCATTGTCATTGTCGTACCTGCCAAGAGTAATTGTTCATTCCCTTTGCAGTCTTCACGCAACATTCTACGGGCGTACGAACTTGTAATCCCTGCAGGTGCACCAGGAGGTGGAGGATATCACCAATCTGTGAGTCGGAGCTTTCCGATCACAATTCATCATAGACTCATAATATCCAAGGAGGTGCTTACACATCGTCGGCCTTCCGTTACTTCTGTAGCTATTCATCCAGCTGGGCATTTCTTCGCAGTGGGTTATGCAGATGGTTGTGTCGCCTTTTGGGCAGTAGAAGACGAAGATCAGCCTCTGATGGTGCGAACATCCACAGAATTGGATGTTAATGTCATAAATGGAGGGGAGCTTGAAAAGTTTCTGCAAAGTGGGGGTCATCCAGAAGAAAAGGGGACTGATTTGTCAGAACGTCAGCCGATCTACAGGGTCGCTTGGTGTGGTTTCCCGAACTCCTTAGATCCTCGAGGAGGAGCAACTGCTCTCGTCTTTTTGGGAGGCGACAGAAGTAATGACCCTTGCCGGTTGACTGTACACACGATGCCCGCTTTCGACTCTCCGGAACCTCCTGCTCCATCTGGTTCCAAAACTGGGCTCCACGCATCTATCCGAAAGGCAATGCGGCTTTCGGTAATTCCGTTAGAAACAACCTATCACCTATCATCAGGGCCTATTTATGACTTCGTCGTCTTTCCGAAGTCTAATCCACATTTTTCTGGTTGCTGGGATCCTGCTGCCCTGCTTTTCCTTACTGCAGCCTCCCCTGATTCACGGATGGTTGAAGCTCGACAGTTCCTGCCTCCGAAAATAATGTCTCCACTGCCGGGAACAGATACCCGAGAAAACAGCGAACACGGCGATGTCATACATGATCTTTCCGCGACGCTTAAGAATACGGCACTTAGTGGAGAAGATCCACTACCAATGCATGTTCCTTCAAAATTATACAGTGGGCTTGGTGGGGTATTTTATGCACAGCTCTTGACTCTGCAACGAGGTATGCATGATGTACTTGTGGGACAACAGCCCGTGCTTGGTGGTGCAGATTTACCCATCGTTGGAGGGTCTGCGTGGATGGACGACAAAAGACTCAGTGAACTGAGGCTCTCCAGGGTACTGGATGATTGATTGCCCATAATTATCGATTATTAACAATGCGCTTCAGAGCCATCCGCGCCGAATCCTTATCACCTGTCATCGCGACTCAACTGTCCGTTTCCACGACGTCAGCCCTCAGCTTCTCATCAGCTCCAGTACATCTCCCCTTCAGAAGCATTACCCCTTCGCGATCCATGATCTCACTATAGATCTCAGTTGTCTACCACTTTCCAGTGCCCCAGAAGTCGCCACTGTTCAAGTAGCCCCCGAATCCTTGGAGTGTACCGTGCTACTAAAATCAGGCGAGCTCCTGGTATATCGATTAAACACAACTCAAGCCAGCCCTCCTGTTGAAATTGAAGGAAATACAGAGTTTCTCCTGCTGGGTAATGTCGCTTTACGACCAGGGACGAGGTACCATCCCTTCTTGATGCTGCCCCGTGGCAATGTTTCCTTGACGTGTTGCGCATTGTCGGACATAGGTATGATCTCCTTGGAACCTAGTGTTACGTGAGTTGCTTAACACAAAACAGGTTTCGTTGGTGTTGGTTATATCGATGGCTCTGTCGCAGTGATCGATATGCGTGGACCATCTCTCCTTAGACCGCGGCATCAGAAAAGGCAGTCTAAGCTTCTGGTCCGCAATCAAGATGCGGATCCTATTGTCTCTCTGACGTGGACCGTTTCTACTGTCAGCATGGGTATGCACTGATGTGCGCGATAAAGCTTTATCTGACCCCATGAATAGATCCACAGCTAGCTGTGCGGCTAATCGCCATCCACGAATCTGGCAACACGCAGGTCTTCAAGATCATCCGGGATCCCGAGTCTTCGCTGTATGATTTTGCACACGATGTTACCAGGGTTGAGGGCCTCCCAAATGTCCTGCAAGGCGGTTCATTTGTGATCGATTCGCAGAAAGGCACTACTTGGCGCGCCGATCGATCACGTTTTGCCTCTTCTCTCCAAACTAGAGATAATAATCTTGCACATTGCTTCTGGGTGGCAGCAAGTGCCAAGGGTGCTCGTTGTATGCTTGATATCTCAGGGGAGAGGATTTCCAAAGTAGAATGGAATAGCAAGAAAAATAAAGTTAGACACGTTCAGGTGGTTGAGAAGAATAGTGAGCCCAAATATTGACTTGGAATCTGACAATTAAACTAGTGCTAACAACAAAACCAGATTCTCATGTGCTCGTAGCATTTAATGACCAACCAGAGGCTATGATTTACTCTTTACCTTATCTTGAACATTTGCATACATTCTCTCTTGCAAAAGTATGCGAAAAGTACGTGCCCCTAAATTGCGTTTTGGCTGCGTTCTTGATTTTTTATTCGCCAGTGTCATATCTGTGGACGAAACGGGAGATTTCATTGCCTCGAGATGTCACGAGTCAGACGTACTTGAACAGATCATATTTGGCACACTTTTCAATACCCATCGTGTTTATGATCACCCAATTGTTGATCTGACAAGTTTACACCGCGAGATTCCCCCTTACCCGCAGCCAGTGTCCGTTGGTCCCCCTTCACTGCTGGGCTCGTGGTTCCGGTATGGGAAACCCATTATGATTGGAGAACAGCTCGATGCGCTACGTATGTTAACTCACTCGAACACCTTTGGTTGTTGATCTGGAGCGTCGATATAGTTGCCGGCCCCGACAGACCTATACCATCATCGGATCCTGTGCAAACATCACAAGATGCGACCGCTGGTTATGGATCCGGTGTCATGAAAACGATGGAGAACGCTCGCGATGGCGTTTATAACCGTCTAAACGATGCTCTTACCGAAAGGGGGTGCGTATATGATCGTCCGACCACTTCTTCGATGTTGGTGCTAAACGAGAACCTAAGGGAGATGTTAGGAAACATCGAGCAACGGATTGATTCCCTACAACAAGGAAGCAAAGATATGGTGGCGCAGGTGAATATTCGATCACTTTTCTGTCATACTAGTATTTGTCCGGGGTGCTAACCTCGATTAGGCTAAGAGACTCGCGGCTGAGCAGAGCGCTAGACGTTGGTTCGGCTTCTGAGTTGACCGACAAGATACACGTCATACTCGCCAATGACACTCGAAATTCCAAGCCCTCGATGTTCACCATTATGTATATATATCCGTGTACTATAGGAAACTCCAGCCATGTAATGATATGTGATGTAGGACATGATGTGTATGTAGTCTTATAAATGCTAGTGTTGTTCACTGCCAGTTTTCCGGAGTGCGCAATGCCTTGATCAACTCCCTCATTTTTGAATTTGGAAATAACTTTTCATCTGACCATCGGCCCTTAGCTGCTTCTACGGCGAAAAGGCCAAGGTCTTCAATTGGTGTATACATGGAGGGTAGGACGGTCTTTATAATGGGCGTCATGAGGCAATCCATAGCCCTTGCTGTTGGTGAACGAATGTTCTCTCGGTCTGATGGGTGATCTTTGGAAGGGAAGAAGTAAGCAGGTCGCATGACAGATGCTGTGATGTTGGAGGACGGAGGGAGATCAAAGAGAGCTTTTTCAGTCATACCCTAGATGCGGCGTGAGCATTCCAATGCTTGCGAGTACCGATGTATCAAGCAACAGGCGCATACCTTGATTCTCGCGAACTTGAGGTTGCTCTTGCCAGATGGATCTGCGCCCTCTCCTGAAACGAAAATAAATCTGAAAAGCTCTTTCGGTTTGTCCTTCGTCCCTGCTTCTTGCAGGGAGTTCACGAAGTGCATGGTGTAGTCGTATGTGATGCGTGTGTATTCCTCGTCTGACAGGCCTACTGAACTCTTTCCCAGCGCCCAAATGCAAGCGTCCTGCCCAGCCAGACGAGCAGGGAGATCGCTAGGGTAATCCAAGAAGTCATTCAGAACTATGACTTCTGTCTTGTCGTTTTCGGGGATGTCCATCCATGATGGGAGTGCTCTACGAGAGAGCACTATTATCTTCGTGATGGCTGTATCTAATACTGCTTGACGAAAGATCTGGATACCAGCTGACAGATAAGTAAGGATGGGCTTGGGACCTTCGGATAGAGATGGTAACATACCAGCACCAGTAACACCTGTTAAGACAAGTTTCATGATTGAAAGTGGTTAAAAGGTTGCTTTGAATAAATTGATGTAATACGTGGGTTTAAGTATCCGTTCAGGTAGTCGTAAGCGCTTACGCATCGGCAGAACGACATAGTGCGGGCTGACACAGCCAGCCGGCTAGACAGCAATGTCGCAAGGCTTAAGGGCATGTACACGCATCACGTGATAAGAGACCGTGCAAGCTTACGCGGACAAATGTAAGTATTGCCGGAGACTACGTGGCGACGGCAACATTAATCATATCCCACACGACGCCGAAGATGGCGTACGCGTCGGTTGCAGACGCAGATAACTCCTGTTGGCCATTCCTAGGAATCCATCCTGAGAGGTAGATGACTTCTTATGATCCCATTCTTCTGTATGACATGTCACACACCTCAACCTTCCTTCGTTGTCAAGAGAGAATTGACCATCATCTGCAAAGAATAATAAGATCATGATCGCGAATGCTACGTCATTACTAACCTTGAAAGAGGACGAGAAAGCATCACTATGGTACGCTAGTGACATCCTGATCTACTAGGAGAGTTCTTGAGGACGCAAAACCTTTGAATACCCGCATTCTCGAACAGTCAGAGATGGATGATCAGCAAGGTGCATTGATGAAACGGACACCACAGGGTTTATATCTCTAACAAGTTGATGGTCACCGGTGTTCCAACATGTCGTTCAGAAGCATTGTGACAAAATGTGACGGTGACATGTTACTGCCGGAGGGGCTGCGGCGGGCCTGCCTGTAACAATACTCAATTGCCACCAAGTACTATCAGGCATGGCAGATTATGAGTCTTTGCACAGGCAGTGCCGCACTCTGGAGTCTTTATTCGACACAAAACTTACGTCTTACTCCCGCCTAGCGGCAACAATGACAAGAAACCAAGATGACATCGAGGCGGGAGGCTCGCGCGAACGCTGGAAAGACGTCGAAGGCGAAGTTGAAGACCTCCTGGAGAAGGTGGGACACACAGGCGCCCCAGAATGCATACAAGTAGCTTACAAGGAAATATGTTTAGCTACGAGAAACAAATGATGAATTACTCGCGCTCTCAAACAACCCAGATACACCACCCTCACAATCCATGTCCCGAGCAATCCAGAGACATAGTGAGGTCTATCAGGACTATGCCAAGGAGCTGCGCAGGACAAAGGTCTGTCCCGTTCCAATGTTATATGAGTCCAGCTCTCGTGATACTGATACTTCACCTTCACAGACAAATGTCCAGCATGCGCTTGACAAAGTAAACTTACTTTCGGGCGTTCGAAATGACATCGAGTAAGTTCTGATCCATTCACGGAACTTCCCATTGATGACTCCCTCTTGTGTCAGGGCGTACAAATCTTCCGCGACAGACTCACTACTGGCAGAAAGAGGGAGAATTGACAGCTCCCATTCGATGACAGACCAGATTCTCGAGTACGTTTCATCCTCACTTGTTATTCTTCGCTGAACGTTATGCCGTAGCCAAGCATATGAAACTCGGGCAGAATTCTCGCGTCAAAGCGTGTCGTTGGCTAGTATAAACACGCGCATGACTGGTGTCATAAGTCAGTATCCTTCGCATAGTTGTAGTGGCATGTGCTGACAATCAACACAGGTACGATACCTGGCATTAACAATCTCCTTTCCATGATCAAGAGTCGACGGCGGAGAGACTCTATTATCCTTGGCATTCTTATTGGAGGATGCTTACTCCTGCTCATAAGCTACATGTCGCGGTGATACCATTTTCATTATTCATGGACTATTCAATAAAACTTTCCATTTCATACATTGGCAGTGATATCTGATGAACTTACATAATAGTCAACTGCTCTGAGCAAGTTACCATCATGATTCCTTGTGCCCGGTAAAAACTTTCTATTGTCACTCCCTAGTCGTTCGTTTGATGATCTTGCCAAGTTCGATATGATTTCCTTGGACAAATTCTTTCCAATTGTTTTCCAAACGTCGGACAACTCCCTGCTGGTTTTCGTCTACGACCTCTTCCCAGGACGACTCAACTGGCCATCCTTTCACTTCCGCGACTATAAGCACCATGTCCCAAGTGCGCTGCATGCAGTCTTCAATCTTGTGGCAATCCGATTCAACGAGGATACGACGTGGAGAACATGCAGCGATTAGTGCTCGGTGATTCGGCGACCGACTGTTGATGGCTGTTGAGAGAGACAAAAATACATTTGCATGGCGCTTCTGCAAAAGCCCGTTTAGCTCAACACAGGCAGATGAAACGGCCAGGTCAGGTCACAGGGTGCATACCTCGATGGACAGCCACGTTTGCGAGCTAAGGCTGCAGCTGTGAATATCAATGCTTATCTTCATCCAATGCCCCCCATGCCTATCAGCCATGCGGTCTAAGAGTTCCACAGTAGCCATTTGTGATTTAACGCTGTGCATGCTGATGTTTCGACCTAGCTCCGCCGCTAGATCAAGCTGTGCCTCAAGGATAGCTAACTGGTGCTCAAAGGGTACGGTGAAAGGCGTCAATTCTCCAGGCGATGAGAAGTAGTCGTAAGGCACCCTAAAAGCTCTGTCGATACCGACTTCTCCGAGCATTGCACTTGGAAAAGCCATCAAATTATGACGAACGTCTTGCAGGACGGTTCGTAGGGTCACTGGCTCAGGTAGATGAACAAGCATCTTTTGAAAGGCCTCCGGGTGTTCTTCCGCATCCTTAAATATGCGCTTATAATGACTTTCCTTTGATTCGTATGGTGCCAGTGCGATCCAATGCGTAAACCACGGATGGTAACCTAGCACCGAAACCAGCGGTCCTTCAGCATCACCGTGACGGTATTAATTAACCGATTAACAGCTAACCAAAGGAAGGCACGACTTTGTCTGGGAATGCAGTAGCCAAGTCTCGCACTAATCCTTGGTCCACCTGAAAAGTGGACATGGCACCGATGATGATGGGCAAGTTGTCCATTGACTTCACTGGAATCTCTGAGTCGGTGGGATGACAATGTACATCAACGACATGTCGCAGGACTGATGGGGGAGGAAGGGTGTCCCGATGAGAAATTGTATCAGAAATGTCGTGCTCGTAACACATATCGATTGTTCGGCAGTTGAGTTCGCAGATCAAACTTGAGCTTGAGGTTGCTCACAGTGTGTGATCTGACGTGATCGACATGCACAAACAACTTCCATGCTTGGACTTCAATCATGTCTAAGTTTGAGGAAACGTCCTGGATTATCTTTCTTCTCTAAAGTCATGGCGTGCAAACCAACACTCGATACATCACCTCCAGTACATCGTTGGATGGACACCACTCTTCAAAGGGATGCTTTTAAAAAGACTATCCCTGTCCTTGCCGCCAGAGTCCCTGCTTCCAAAACCGGATCCCTGCTAAAGTCTGATGTCATGAGGAAGTACGTCGCTTTGGCTGTCCAGAGACCATATCTGATATGCCTCGAAGATCTTTGATGGATTTGCCAAAAGTACGCAGCGTTCTTCGGGACCCCCACGATGACCTCCAGAGGCTGGTATTGCTGAATGTATCTGAGGACGGTACCGTGCAGCATTTCTCGATCGAATGACGCACGCTTTTCTGATGCTCCATCTGTAAACCAGTTGCCCTCTTGCCTGAGGTTCGCGACTTCTTGCAGGAACAGTCTGCTACGCTGGTCGTGCACAACCTAAACTTGACTTACGACTACTGGACAGCTGGTACGTCTGCGCGGTTCCTCATGTTGACGGTATTCATTCATGTCCAGATGAAATCTTACATTCCATATTGCCCGAGGAGCTTTGCAAGGGTTCTCCATCAGGATTCGCAATTACTGGCCATCTCGGTGAGCGTGATGGCACTTGCGTTCGATTTCCACTGATAAGTCCTTTAGCTCACATGAATCTCAATAAAGAATATCTACCCTATAAACATATTATCGGTCAGATTGTTCTAGATGAAAGTCCTAATTCTCGAATTCTGATCTCCCGCTGATGTTATTTACTACAGAAAAATCCCATGATTAAAACAGTTGTCAATAAATTAGACAGTATTGATACAAAGTACCGGTTCTTCAAAATGGAACTACTTGCTGGAGAACCTAATTATGTCGTTGAACACGTAAGTCAAACCTTTCTATGGAACGATCGGCTAAGAAATTTCCTAGCACGAGTCTAATTGTCGATTCACTTTCGACTTTACCCATGTTTATTGGAATTCGCGGCTTCACACAGAGCATGATCGGCTCGTCCAACTCTTCCAACCAACCGACGTCGTTGCAGATGTATTTGCTGGCGTGGGTCCTTTCGCAATTCCTGCTGCCAAGAAAGGATGTGCGGTGTTTGCCAACGATCTAAACCCTGAGAGTGCGAAGTACTTGAGCCAGAATATCATCGATAATAAAGTCGTGTATTTCTCTCATGTGATATATGCTTCGTTCTGATGTCGTTCCGCAGGTCACAGGTTTGGTCCGTGCTAGCTGCGAGGATGGTCGTGATTTCATTAAAGAGGTTATCGGCCGTGTGAGGGATCATCCTTTCCCCGCATACACCGGGCCGAAACTCAGCAAGATGCAAGAAAAGGAGAAACGCAGGTTGCAACTAGCAAAATCCTCTACAACTGCAACAGTCGAACTGGTTGATCAGTCAGCTGTAGAGAATCAATCTTCTCGTCAGACCATTTCGCATTTTGTAATGAATCTCCCGGACTCTGCGATAAATTTTCTCGATGCCTTCCGCGGAATTCTATTAGAAAGCGAACGGGACTTCGGGAATTACGCCAACATGCCTATGATTCATTGTCATTGCTTCACACGCGAACTCCAGCCAGAGAGGGCCGAAGCGGACATTATACAGGTAACGTTGGTGACTTAGTGCAACGGCCACGCTGACTGTGATCATTAGAGAGTTGAAAGTAAACTCGGACATAAAGTGGACACCGAGGTAGCTTTGCATATGGTTCGGTCTGTTGCTCCAAATAAAGACATGTACTGTATCAGTTTTAGATTACCTCGTGACGTGGCCTTTGCGCAGTAGTCTAGGGCGCCGACGCTGCTTCTTGATTGATGCCCTAAAGCGGTGAGGCTTATAGGAAATTCGGAATGAAGTGAAACCCGTTGCGTTTGATTGGCATCTGGCGCAAGTGCTAGTATAGGCTCGGCAATGTTATGTAATCGCCCAAGTTGTTTATCCCGCAATAGTACTGCATTGCTCTGTTGGAGCAAATTTTAGTTCTTCGCTCTTGTGCTATCAACTACATCCCTGCGGGCTACCAGTTAGTGCTGCATAAGTATTCTTCCCCCTAGACTTGCTTGCTTTCTCTCTCTTGCCATATAGACATACCTGATACCTCCTAGACACTAATTTCACCTCGGAGTCCTGACACTAGAAGAATGACGCGCGCTATTTCCACAGTTCATTGCGACGTCGATGCGGCATCCTCCTCTTTGACTGGCTCCGCCTTGAAAAGCGTTCGCAGTGTGGTTGCGGCACCTGAGAGCGAGATGAAGCGTTGGAGAAGAATATTTGAAGCCAATGCAAAGGTCGTGATCGACGGGGAGAAGTATATCATGATTCATTCTAAAGCAATCTGACCTCTTGCTGACTGCTCGGACGACAGATATCTGGACCCCGACAGCTTTGTCAATGCTATCGCTCCGAAAAGCGATTCGACTAAAATAGGTCGTGCGCAATTCGCCATCCTTTTCCGTGTAGCCGATTCCTCGAAGCGGGGTTTGGTCTCTTGGGGCGATTTCACAGTGTTTGAGACACTCCTCAAACGTCCTGATGCAGATTATTGGATAGCCTTTCAGTATTTTGATGTGTGAGTCTTTCTTTGCCATCCCATTATATATAGCAGCACTCAGACTTGGTGTGATCACATCTCAGGGATAATTCGGGTACCATAACTTTTGATGAGTTCAAAAATGTGTTCTTGGCCAACGTTGGGCCATCTGCCATTCCTTTTGACTTTGACTGGTGCGTGATGCTGTAATTCCGAATAATTTGTGTTTACTGTGGCCACAGTGATTGGGTTAAGTTATATCTTGGGCGAAAAAACGGCACACATGTTCTTGGATGTCAGTGTGATATTGTTCTAATTTTACATTTATTGACTTTTTCTTGGTAGACAACGAATTTACTCAGTTGATGAAGGGCCTTCAGGGGGAGCGTCTTCGACAGGCGTTTAAATATCTCGACAAGGATCAAGATGGGTTCATTAGACCTGAGGAGTTCAAACAAATTATTTTGGTTTGTCAAAGATCTATTCCTTATGATCTGCCCTTCATATACTTCCCTCACAACAGGAGATTGCTGGGCATAAACTATCTGATGCAGTCATTGAACGTCTACCTACGCTATGCACACTCACTCCTAGTGGGCGAATATCTTATTCCGAGGTCGTTGCATTTCAAAATGTCATTCGAGGTGAGCTTCATTGTTCTGCGACCTGGAAGTGACCCCAACTTTTGTATTGCAGAGATGGACATGGTGGAGCGGTAATTCCACCCGATTAATATAGCTATCGTTGTCTGATAAGTTGTTAGTATCTTACGTGAGGCCACCGCCAAGTCAAAGGATGGACGCATTGACCAGTCTGACTTCCTTAATCATTCTGCTGCGATCTCCCGCTACGCTCTTTTCACGCCCATGGAAGCGTCTATCATTTTCCATTTTGCGGGCCGAGGTAGCGGTGAGAAGAGGCTTGCTCTGTTGGACTTTGCTCAACTCCTGGATCCCCAGTGGAGAGCTCCTCACGAGGTCCTCGAAGCCAATGACATCCGCCCGAAGGCATCATTTCTTCAAGGAGTGTTCAAGTCTGCCTACGGCTTTGTTCAAGGAGGTACGTTATCTATTGCACAGCACTATCGCGACGCAAGTCTGACATGAATATAGGAATTGCGGGGGCTATGGGTGCCACTATTGTCTACCCTATTGACATGGGTAAGTGATTAGGAATTATGTTGTGTCGGATCTATCTAATTTGCTTATCTTGATAGTAAAGGTATGCAGTCCATCTTATCAATTATATTTCTAGTCTATAACAAGTCCCATTGGTTGACAGACTCGGTATGTGTTTGACTGGGGTTTCGTGAGTTTTGTTGCTGAACGACTCCAAGGATGCAAAATCAGCGGAGTACAGTGGTCGGTCAGATGCTGTACAAGAATAGCATTGACTGTGCCCAGAAGATATTCCGGAACGAAGGTCTCATGGGTTTCTACCGTGGCCTTGGTCCACAGTTGATCGTGCGTCATTGTTGTACTTCTATATCTCACCTCCTCAAGTTTCACTAGGGTGTTGCTCCGGAGAAAGCTATCAAGCTTACTGTCAATGACATCATCCGTGGGCGAGCCATGGATCCAGAGACAGGACGTATCAAGCTTGGTTGGGAGCTGGTAGCCGGTGGAATGGCTGGTGGTTGTCAAGTAGTATGTCTTGTCTTTTTGAACCGTATCTATGTCGCCCATAACGATGGCAGATCTTTACCAATCCCCTGGAAATTGTGTAAGTTTAAACACCCTGATCCATAGCCTTGTCCTCACTCGAGTTCTTAGTAAGATTCGTCTCCAAATACAGGGAGAAGCTGCGAAGCTAGAAGGAGTAGTTAAACAGGGTGCTGCCCACATCGTACGTCAACTGGGTGTGTTTGGTTTGTATAAAGGGGCAAGTGCCTGCTTGCTTCGTGACATCCCGTTCTCGGCCATATATTTCACGGCATATTCCCACCTTAAAAAGGATGTCTTCCATGAAGGCTACAACGGGAAGCATTTGTCGTTCCTGGAAACGTTGGGTGCAGCAGGGCATTGCGTAAAGTTTCTTGCATTCAAAAATCTTGTGACGTGTGCTGATAGAGCGAGTTCACCAGTGGCATGCCAGCAGCCTACCTAACAACTCCTGCTGGTTCGTACTCCCTTCGAGTAGTGCACGTGATGATATTCATCGCATACTTTCACAGATGTGGTGAAGACTCGCTTGCAGGTGGAAGCGCGACAAGGTCAGACCCACTACAAAGGTCTTACAGATGCATTTATCAAGATCCGTAAGTGCCGATCTTATCTAGCAAAATTGAGATGCGTGACTGGTATTTCCTCTAGATAAGGAAGAAGGTTTCAAGGCTTTGTTTAAGGGAGGACCGGCACGTGTCCTCAGAAGTAGCCCACAGTTTGGCTTCACCCTGCTTGCATATGAATACTTGCAAAAGGTACCTGCTTTCTAATTCACGCCCCAAACACGCTAACATCTAATCACCTTTGTAGTTCATTCCTGTCAGTCCATCCGTTTGGTTCATACATTCGATACCTGATCATTTTCAATAGTACCCATGGCAGGACAACAAACCCGAAATCAAGACTGCTCTGACAACATCAAAGCGGGATGAGATGTCTCAAATCCGTGCGAGGAACGCCCTCAAAATACTACTAGACGTTCATGGTGACTTCGGGAGACGTGCGGCCAGTTTCTCTCATCCCCTCGTGAAGCGAGCACCATCAACAACTTCGCCGTCGAAATCAGCATAATGCACTATTTAACTCTCATCTATTGACTTTGTTTAGACAGAACAGCACAGGAAGACAGTTCCTCGTTCTGACTTGCTTAGATCTGTCGATGTTGCTACCGACACATGCACCTTTGCTACTTCATAGACTCGATTGCTCCGGATCCATTGCAGTTATACCGTAATACGATTGGATTATTTAAGCTTGTTACGCATAGAGTATCAATTGACACGAGACGTTCTGCGTCACTGCAAGTCACACCACTACCCTTGACTCTTGATCCTTTCACAAATGACGCTTCGTGAAGTCGAATTTCCTTCGGATCCTAAAGATCTGGAACACATTAAAGAACAATTTTTGATTTTCTACTCCTCGCGCATGAACTGGGCAGCTATGGTGTCCTGTGAGTGCGAGTCTCGTGTAGACCGACAACACAATCCTGACTGGCCGCCCTGCCAGGATTGTGTAGAAGTAGATCAGACCATCCAGGATACCTTCGGTCCTGAAGACGGGCCATCTGCGGTTATTGTCTATGTTGGCCAAAAGCACGAGTAGGCAGGCACATCGCGCATCGGTGGACTGGTACTCAATTTTACGATGGTGCTCAGATGGAAAACATCCTCCAATGTTTTCAGAGGCGAGCCTTGGCAAGTCACCTCAGTTCCCACAATTATTAAGGTTGAAGACGTTAGTATTGGACCAATTGAATCTTGCTACTACATAGCAATTTCTGATAGTCTCATCGACAGTCCAAAGTAGCCGGTCGACTTGACTCCGAGATCAACACACTTCTCGCGGCTTTCATCCGAGGATAGAGTGACTGGGCTTGACACTTTTTAAGTGCCAACGATTGGACTTTTGGATTCAATGCTAGGTGTTGTGTATTAGAAACTAACTGAAGGCCAGACTTTTGAATAAATCCTCCTCGTTAACTCATGCACGACATCCACAAATTCTCTCCGGCAATGTTTGATCACAACAAGCATTGATGATCGCTCGGCCCAATACCCCGTGGAGGCTTTTTATGCACCTTCTGATAAATGGGTATCCCGATGTAGATATCCCATCATATGCACCGCGAAGTCGACATGATGCGCACGACTTCACAAATCGCTTACTATACCTGGCACGAGCGTGGAGTGCAAGAGGTATCGAAGACTGTCGATTTTTATGGGAGCGACTTTGGGAGCTTCGGTGCGCGGCAGACTGGTGCACCGTAGAAGTGAGCAAAGGTGGGCGATGATGACTGACAACGCTCAACAGCCTAAGTTATTTACCTCACGTTCGCATTACTCCATTTCTTGATCCACACCGAACTGAGGTCAAGAAAACGGCCAAATGCGAAGCTGGTTGAATCTAGCAAGCTTTCAAACGAAGCTCTTCGTCATGTCAGGAAGATGAGTTTCGTCACAAATGTTGAATTGACGGTGAGCAAGAAAGCACATGAAAGAGAAGAATTGAATATAGAGAGCGCTACTATTTCAAGTTTGGAGTGTGCGAATGACGATGACCAAGTTGTACCAAACATACTGTATCATATCGTGGCTTGACGCTACGAGATGGAGCGAGTGAAGAAGGATGAAAAAGGAGTGTTTCCAGAGCCAAAATATAGTACTCGGACGACAGGGGCTCAAGTTTGCGTTCTGGCACACGAGAATCATAAGATTGAAATTTGCCACCAAAAATTAGGATGAAATTGAGGATATATGTTGAGGACTGCTGCGTGTACATTGGTGATAAGACTAATGGTTACGGGCCTCGAGTGAAATCACCACTTTTACCACCTGTTTTATGCGTGACTATGATTTCACCGATCTTCATTTCCTTACCTGCCACGGCTTTCAGCATATCCCAAACTGTAAGGAGACCGACCGATACCGCCGTCAGTGCTTCCATTTCCACTCCGGTTTTGCCTTCGCATGCCACGGTAGCAGTACACTTTATGCTATACTCGAGGGTGCCTTCATCACCAGACTGGGAAACTGGACACACGGCACGCTCAGGCGTCAATGTGACGGATACATTGGATATCTGGATAGGATGGCATAGAGGAATGAGGTCGGAGGTTCGCTTGCACCCCATGATCGCTGCCAGTTGGGCGACTGTCATCACATCCCCTTTGCTGCGAGCCTTCTGGATCGTCTCGTCCGTGGAGTCAACATTACCCGATCCTGTGACAAGGTCATATGCAGATCTCGGGATGTATATGCGACCGCTGGCACTAGCAGTACGCTTCGTTGCGTCCTTACTACCGACATCGACCATGCATGGCCGACCATCAGAACCAATGTGAGTCAAATGGAGGCCAGATTGGCTGGATGATGAGCTCCAGCGTCGATGGATCTGAGGTAACAACATTGTATCATTGAAATGGAAAGATTGTGCAGGAAGGCGTGGCAATGGTCGCATTCTAGACTTGCGAGGCTGTATGCCTGGAAAGGTGGATTGACATCAGGACACTATATTAAACTCTTCACACACTAGTAGACTCGACCTCAAAGGAAAGTACCTAACCTCCGATGAGTATCATAGGTCGGTTGGTTATGACATCAATGTCCTCCATTCCGGCGTGCTTCTCCTGTTTTCCTCGGACAGCGCGCCCAATAACGTTTAAGAGTTCTCTATCACTAGCGCCGCGTCGCATTTCATCTCTAAGGGATACTTCCTTGGCGTCAAAGAGACAAACCTGATTCAAGGGTAAGTACGTGGGATGCTTTAGCCATGATGAACATACTTTAATTTGCCCGTCTGCTGTCAGACGTAGGCGGTTGCAGGACGAGCAAAAATGATCTGACATGCTGCTAATGAAGCCTAAACTACCAGCATGTCCTGGAATCTTCCAGGATCGTGCAGTGTCATTGAGTTCGTCGGGTGCTCGTGTTATAGAGGGGTATTCCCTTGAGATAATGTCCAAAAGCTGGCTGGAAGGGATCATCTTTGCCTTATCCCACTTGTTTCCTGTGGCGGTGTAAGCAAAGCAGATGATTATCGGGGATACAAAATACCTGTAAAGGGCATAAATTCGATAAATCGAACAGATATATTTTGGTCCGCAGTCAATTTGACAAAATCCAGGATTTCTGAATCATTGAGGCCTTTAATGACGACCACATTTAATTTCACTGATCGTAAGCTTTGACTGTTGAGGGCAGCACTGAGTGAACGAAGAACTGCATCGTGACCAGGACGCCGAGTCATAATTTCAAACTTGAAGGGGTCCAGAGTATCGAGGCTGATCACTATGAGACGCGCCATGTTGAATGCACGAATAAAGGACGGTTACCTCAGATTCAGGTGTGTTAAGCCACTTTCGATATAGAGAGGCAGGCGGCGATGTAGGGCGATTCCATTAGTGGTCATTCCGATGGACTGGAGACCGAGTGGGCGGAGCTCGTTAAGGCGACCTGCACATAATTTAACCAATATTCAGAAGCATAATGATGACAACTTGCGAATTATGCCGTCCAAGCCTTTTCGTACAGTAGGCTCTCCCCCAGTCAAACGTATCTTAGTGACGCCGCTTCTTACAAAAAGGTCTGCCAATCGGATGATCTCGTCGTCAGTTAAGACTATGATCGGCCGGTGATAGCTCTACTCCTTCGTTAGGCATGCAATAAAAGCCTACACTGCGATCAGATTGTTTTGAAGATTGAAAATGAAGAACAGACATCGAAGATTACATCTCTCTGTCAAAGAGATGCGAAGATAATCGTGTCTCCTATGAAACGAGTCGACGAGTGCAGGTGATATTTGACTTTGTGCATCGATATGTGCGATTTTTGACTAAGGACATGATGAGTTGATTCTATGCCGAATGGGTGGTCATACCTTGGCCTTTTCTCTTGTGGTCGTCCTAGTGTTCTGCGAATAGTAGCGGAGGCAGGTAGGCCCGTATCTGCGAGATATCGCGGAACATAACCAGCTTGACCGTTGATAACTCATGTATCGGAAGAAGAAATAAACATAGCTTCAAGTCGCTCCTGAGAAAGATTTAGTACTATCTCATGCCAGATTTCACCCTTGTGACTACCGGCAAGTTGTCAAAGTTGCTTCCGCATTGATCTGGTCACGTGGCATGACGTTCCTTCCTAGAAATGTATTCGGCTTCCTCGAGGCCCCATTACTTATCATTCAAGCTCCTTAACACACAAGTCTATTATACTACCCTTTTAGCTGTCCGTTCGTCTGAGCTGACTCAACCATTCCCATCTTTTTTCTTTCTTCTTTTCTTTTCTCTTCATATCATTGGGCATGGCGACCTCCAATGGTGGTGTAAAACAACCTCAAGAAACAGCTGAAACTCGTGTTCACGACGCCATGAGTTATGATGCATCAAAAGGTGCCATAATCCACTCGTTTGACCCGGATGCCCCTCCAGAACAGAAGGCAGCTGCCGCGGGGAGGCAACGCGATCAACTAAACAGTATTATCCAGCAGGACAGAGATGTGCAAGGAAAAGGCGCGCTTTGATCTCTGCTACGTCACCCAAACCTAACATTTACTCAGAGCTATCCATCGACGGAGCGCCCTTTCCCACCATTACAGTTGAAGACGCTGACGAAGCGACCAACAAAAAGCAGGAGAAATCGGGCAGTGTTACTCCATCTGCACCCATAGTGCCCGGAGAATATCCCTCTGGTCTTGCTCCAGCGATTCCACATTGGTACAAAGTCGGTTGGCGTGCTGTTGCAAATATCGATGCACCTCCACTTGAAGAAGGCGAGGAGAAAGACAGCCACATACTTCAGCTTTTCTTGGCTGAGCAATATTATGGCCAGTGGTACCATAATGCTGCTCTTATTTGCTTTGTATGTCTATGATTTTGTCATTTGTATTAAGCTCATCTACATGACGCTGTACAGGCTGTATTCGCTTCTCATTTCTTGACACGATTCAACTTCGGCTGGGGATGGCTCATTATCTTGCTGTCTATTTGCAACACCTATTATGTTACTTCAATGACTCGTGTTCGCCGTTGTGCCCGTGACGACATTCAGCGGGAGTTGATCAAGACACGTCTTGCGTCCGAGCATGAATCCGCTGATTGGATGAACAACTTCTTGGACCGTTTCTGGCTCATTTACGAGCCTGTTCTTTCTAATACTGTCGTCGCCTCTGTCGATCAAATCCTAAGCACCACTACTCCCGCCTTCTTGGACTCCTTGCGCCTCACAACTTTCACCCTTGGGACGAAGGCTCCCCGCATAGACAAAGTCAGGACATTTCCAAAGACTGCTGACGATATCGTCATGATGGATTGGGGAATTTCCTTCACTCCCAATGATATATCTGACATAACACCCCATCAAGCAGCGCAAAAAGTCAACCCCAAAATTGTTCTATCGGTTCGCCTAGGCAAAGGTCTCGCTACAGCCTCCATGCCCATCCTTCTCGAGGACATCACCTTCAGCGGTATGATGAGGATCAAGTTGAAGTTAATGGCGAACTTCCCTCACGTGCAGATCGCGGATATCAGCTTCCTTGAAAAACCGGTTATTGACTACGTGCTTAAACCGGTGGGTGGCGAGTCGCTTGGATTCGACATAGCCCACGTAAGTAACGGTATGAAGAATTATCATCGACTCGAGCTAACCCTATCATCAGATTCCTGGTCTACAGACTTTTATTCGGGATATGGTTCACGACACACTCGGTCCCATGATGTACGAGCCGAATGTGTTCACTGTCAATCTTGAACAACTTCTTTCTGGTGTTCCCCTTGATACAGCTATTGGCGTCATCCAAGTCACTGTTGAGGCTGCTCGTGGGCTCAAGGCGAGCAAGATTGGTGGAGGCTCTCCTGATCCCTATGTCAGCATCAGCATCAATAACCGCGAGGAACTCGCGAGAACCAAGTATAAGCCGAGCACGTCAGTAATCTTTATCATTTTTCTTTGTTTGGTGGCCTCACAATTACCATCAGATACAATCCAACATGGATGGAGACGAAGTTCATTTTGGTCAACTCCCTCCAAGAATCGTTGGTACTTAGTCTCCTTGACTACAACGATCACCGTAAGGACACTCCCCTTGGTGCCGCCACCTTTATGCTACAGACGCTACTGGAAGATGCAACTCAGCAAGGTTTAGAGCTACCCGTTTTAAAAGACGGGAAGGATAAAGGAATGATTCGTTTCGATGTCAATTACTTCCCTGTTTTGAAACTTGAATCTGTCAATGGAAAAGAAAATCTGCCTCAAACAAGTGCGTTCATGATTCATTTCCCAGCCAAGTCTTATCATCCTTGCTAGACGTTGGCATTGTTCGCTTGACTATACATCAGGCTAAGGAACTTGATGCTACACAATCACTGTCCGGTGACTTGAACCCCTTGTTCAAGGTCTTTCTTGGGAACAGCACTTCATACACGTACAAGTCTCGAATCATCAAGCACACGAACAATCCTATCTGGGAGTCATCGACAGAGTTCATTTGCGCAGACAAGTCGTCTTCAGTCATCACCATCAAGGTGGTTGACGAGCGAGACTTCCTCAAAGATCCTGTGGTCGGTTACATGTCTGTCCGGCTGGTTGATCTTCTCCAGACGGACCCCGCTCTTAGCAGGGAATGGTGGCCTTTAAGTGACTGCAAGAGCGGCAAGATCAGGCTCAGTTGCGAGTGGAAGCCACTGAATATGGCTGGCGCATTGAGCGGCGTGGATCAGTATGTGCCTCCCATAGGTATCATCAGACTTTGGGTTCGAAAGGCGACGGACGTCAAGTAAGTTTCATTCAGAAACTGTAATACAGCAGGTTTGACGATCACTTTTTAGGAACGTGGAAGCGACTTTGGGCGGCAAAGTGATCCACATCTGTTGTTTTTAGGAGGGTTCAGCTGACGACAGTGTTTCAGAGTGATCCGTATGTGCGAATATTAGTGAATGGCGTCACTCTTGGGAGGACTGAAGTTATTAACAACAGTGCGTAAACGATCGTGACTGAACCATCACTAACTTTACTGCAGATCTCAATCCCGAGTGGGATCAAATAATATATATACCGGGTATGTAGGTCATGTGTCTTGTTGCTATTTCTTACTCATATGTGTTGTTCTATGTCGTTAAGTCCATTCCTTGAGAGAGGCAAGATTCTCGACCACTCCTCAATTCTGATAGGCTAACTTTTGATCAGTCGATGTTCATGGAAGTCATGGATTACCAACATTTGACTAAGGTTTGTTGCTGTCGGCTGATGCATACGACTGCTGACCATGACCGCAGGATCGTTCTCTTGGATCGGTGGAATTGCGTGTTGGTGATCTCGCACGCGAGTCGCCAGCTGATTCACAGCACCGCTACGAATCAACCGGTGCTAAGGAGGTTGCCGAGCCAATCCACACCGGCGGCAGTTCATACAAAGGGCAGCTACACTACAAAGCTGAATTTCTACCAGCTCTGAAGTTGAAGCATATACATTTTGAGGCAGACGAGAACGAGATCCAGAAAGCCGCTCACAAAGCTCAGGGTAATCATGCTAATGGTGGTTTGAGTCGCACCCATAGTTCTTCCATCGATGAAGAAGAGCGACACGTGACTGTCGATCATGCAGTGACTGAGGCAGAAATGGATGGCTCACCTCATCAAACAGATTCCAGCGAGTCAGTTCGAGCCAGCGAGAATGAGGCTGCAAACACGCACGAAGAAGCTTCATCCCTGACGGAAAAAGATTCTGCAAAAGAAGGCATCGAGCTTAGCAAGGAAGAGTTGATCAAGCATCGTGAGTGAGCTAAAGTTTTTCGGCCCACACTCGTGCTCATCTGCATATTAAGAGTCGGGTATAATCATCTTCAACGTGATAGGCGGGCATTTGCATAAGAAAGCTCGTCTTGATGTTTTCTTGGATGACACATATTGGCCCGCCTTTAGCACCATGAAATCGAGAAGTACAAATGCGCAATGGGCGCATGTTGGTGAAGGTTTTGTCAAGGAGCTCGACTTTGGTCGCGTCTGGCTACGCTTGAATGAGAGTGGGGATCTCGACAAGGATGATGTCATAGCGGAATGGAAGGGTGATACTAAGGCTTTCTTAGATACTACCCTGGTGAGCTGTCTACTATTGATGTTGACGTTGATTCTTATGACCTGCAGAATCGTCGGTCATTCTTCACACTCACAGATGCAGATGATCGTTCGTCTACTGTTGAGATTGAAACCCGCTATGTACCCGTCCCAGTGAAACTCATGGCTAGAGAGAGTATTAACAGTGAGCAGTTTGTAAAGCACGTGCATTATTTACACCTCTCACCTCTTGTTACAGACCAAGGCATATTCCGAGTTGACCTTTTGGCTGGAAAAGACCTCCGTGCCGCTGACAGAACAGGTAAGCTTTACTACGTGCACGTCATGCCCGTTCTAAGATGATACTTAGGCAAATCCGATCCATTCGCCATCTTCACTCTCAACGGCACGAAGGTGTTCACATCCCAAACTAAGAAGAAAACTCTCAACCCTGATTGGTCAGAAACGTTCGAGGTTAATGTGGTATGGCCATCTGCCATTTATCAAGATGTATCTTCTACTGAACGGCATGTTAGCCATCTCGAGAGGCGGCAGACTTTTCTGTCGAAGTGTTCGATTGGAACCAACTCGAACAATCCAAGAGTTTGGGGCATGGTACCATCAATCTGCGTGATATTGAACCCTTCGAGGCTGCCGAACAGATAATTGAGCTCACCTCGGAAAAACACGGTGCAAAAGGATATATCGCAATTCGATTGGTCTTTCAACCGGAGATTATTGCCAAGAGTCGAAAGCAGACCTCGACCTTCTCTTCCGCGGGCCGCGCCATGACTCATATTGGATCATTACCCTTTGGAGCTGGCAAAGGCGTCGTTCGTGGCATCGGTCATGTCTTCAAGAAAGACTTCGGAAACAGTCATGAAAAGTTAGATGTTCCCCATGCTATACCTGAGGCCGCTGCTGGCCAGGCATCGCGACCGATAGGAGAGCACACTACAGACGAAGCTACTAGTGCCCCTACCGCCTCCCCTTTCTTCTCATTGAGTCGCACACCTTCACTTTCGGGTCCACCATCAGAGCCTGGAACGCTCAGAGTAACGATGATCAGCGCAAAAGATGTGTCCATGGCGGACGCTAAACCGTACGCAGTCATGCGTGTTGGCGACAAGGAGTTCAAGACAAAGCACGGCAATAAGACATCATCGCCAGAATGGTAAGACCTTCTTCTGTGGTTCATGGTTTCACCTCACGACCTTTATTTTAGGAATGAGTCTTTCGATTTTGCTGCTAGTGCACATATGTCAAAATTGCGTATCTGGATTTATGACCATAAGACGCTCGGAAAAGATAAGCTATTAGCTGAAGGCGAGGTTGACGTACGTCAATACTTCCTTGGCTGTGGTATGATTTTACTGATAGATATGATTAGATCTGGCGGCACATACAAGTTGGCCAGTCGACAGCTGCTGAGGTTACCGTCGAACTTCAAGGCAGCGGGCTTGCCCGCCTCCGTCTTGAATTTGACGCAGAGAATAATCCACTAGCACGACACGCGTCCGTCGTGTCCCTTGAACGATCGCAGCTACCTACATCGTCATCGAGATTCAGCATCAGGGGTCGGCGACCAGGGGAGAACTGATTTACGGCGTAAGAAATTCTTGATATCCTGCTCGGGGCTAGTACATATTCAATTCATGATCTATGGACTGCTGGTTTTATGTTTCATTATTCCTCATTGATGTCCCAAAACTTTCGTGCCATTTAATTTTTTACGACGTGCTTCCGCTGCCGGAATTAGCTAGGTGTGGTCCGTGCGAAGCGAATGATCAATAACAATTCCCTTCCCGCGCGTCGTTCGATGACAACCTAGTCATTGTGAGAGTGTGCTTAACTCGTACTGAACATGTTGAGTTTACCTGGCTGGTTAAACCAAAGTCCTGCAACATCCTGGACCGGATGCTTGGGACATTGTTTTGTTTCAAGGCAACCAAATAAAATCTACCCTGCGGTGATAAGAGACACTGAGAAGCATAGTCAACAATATTTCACAGCATTAGCAAAGAAGATACCTCAACGTCTTGTAACAAACGATTGATAATTTCCATTCCATCAGCCCCGCCTGCCCAGGACCCCGCAATACCAGCAATACCCTGAGCACTGGAAGCTTCGTCTGTATCTGTCGGCACATAAGGAGGATTAAACAAGAGTACATCAACTGCGTGATGCAATCGCGGTAAGAGAGGTCGCGCTAGCGAGCATATCACTGGATCTAGAGGTATCTACTGTGTAATTGTGAATTAAATGCAGCTAAAACGCGGCAAGGCTCAAACTGCACCTTGTTCTGTTTCCCTGTTGCGAGTGTACAACAGGTGGCGTGTTTGTTAATGTCAGTGCAGAGGTAAACTATTAAATTGCTAATCAACCCTGCACGCAGAACGATGAATACGAACTCACGACAAGATGATTGTCCTAACACCTTTCCAAGAAATGCTGACACGCATCCTGATCCAGATCTAAATAATACTCAGCATTTAATAGCATGTATAAGCTAGAACTCACCCGACCTCGAGACAAATCAGAGGACGTTCCTTCCGGAGCGCCTCAGCATCCTGTTCGAGGGCGTCCAGTAACAAGAATGTGTCCTCTGCGAGATAGATTAGACTACCATGCAATTTATATATCCGCTCACTTACCTGCTGGGTCGTACACCTGCTCAAGGTCATGCCTAGTCAAATGAGAAAGATCTGGTGTCGGTATCATGATGACGGCGACGGAGAATCAGTGAAATGATCACGTGGCGCGACGCGCCACGCGTGTGTGGCACGCCATTATTTACGTGTCCAAACTTGCCACTTGAATATCTGAATCTTGATCCAAGCCATTCTGCAAATTTTCTCGGTTTATCGACCTTCCAGAGCTCATACTTAGTTGTGGTGATTCGCAGCAAACTTGCAACATCATGGCCACGAGATCGAAGATTGATGCAGCAGCGACGAGGGCATCGACCCAAACAAAGACACTAGTTCCACCTCCGACTCCTCCGGCAGGGATAAAGGCCGTTCGAGCAAGACTTCCGAGCAAAACTACTGTACAAACTGAGGTATCAAAAACGCGAATAACTGGTCGAAAACCTCTTGCCAATCGAGCTAATTCGCCTGATGCTAAGCTTACTGCCAATAAGGTGGCCGGTACTAGACAAGCACGGGTAGACCACGGATTAGCTGCAGAGCGCGAACCCGTTATGGTGGATTATGCGTACTGACTTTTTATCATATACTGAGAACATCCTCTAGGCCTATCTGCGCATTCGTCCTCATCTTGGGGATGATGAACCCATGTCTATGCCTTACCTTGCCCCGTTATCCGACACGTCTGTACAGATGACTGACACCTCCCATGACGGTTCAGGCAGCTCCAGGCCGCACATCCGTGTTTCAACCGTCGCGCCCTCGTCAATCTACAGGTTCTCGCATGTTTTCCTACCAGAAACACAACAGGCAGAGTTCTTCGCAAAAACTACACTTCCCCTTGTACGTGATCTTCTGGATGGACAGAATGGCTTGTTGTTTGCATATGGCGTTACAAACTCGGGCAAGACATATACAATCCAAGGAGGCAATGGTCCAGATTCTGCAGGTATCCTGCCGCGGACACTAGACGTGATTTTTAACAGCGTTGAAGGACTGCACAGCGATGGCCGTGTAAGTAATGATTAAATGTACACGGCTTGATAAATTATGCTGAATTTTTCTTAGTTCAGGCCCGTTAGGCTGTACGGCGTAGAAGAAGCTGATCCTTCTGACTTCCTACCTCCCACGGACATCGACGTGCCAACTGATGAGCCACAACTTGCAGAAGTTCTTGCGGAACATCTCTCCAACACAGATGACGTCGATATCGATCCAACCATCATTAAACTTGACCGCAACTACGAGTACTCCATCTGGATATCTTACGCGGAAGTATACAATGAAAAGGTGTACGATCTTCTTGCTGAAGTGACAGAGGATACGTCGCGGTCACAGATCCCTCGCTCCAACACCAACGCACAACTCGCCCATCCGCTTTTGCTGACGCGTAAAGCCCTCACTGTTAAACCTTCACCTGCCTCTGATGCATTAGATGAGAGTGGGTCTGGAAGCGCGGGGAAGTATATTGCAGGACTGAGATATTTTCGGGTATCCGGTGCTGCGCAAGCAAAGGCACTTGTCAAACTAGGACAGCTGCACCGACGTGTCTTTGGCACGCTGGCTAATAGCCAAAGTAGCAGGAGTCATGGTATGGTGACTATCAAGATTCTAAGAGGACACCGGGGTGACCGGGATGTAAGTACGGTACGGATCTTGGAAATACGGTTTTGTTCTTCAACTTTTACAGGACCCAAGCTCCCTGCAAATATCGCGGTTGACTCTCGTGGATCTAGCAGGATCAGAGCGAACTAAGCACACGCAGACAACTGGCGATCGTCTAAAGGAGGCCGGGAACATCAACAAGTCTCTCATGGTCCTTGGACAATGTATGGAGGTAGGATAACTATTATTTTGTCTAGTACCACACCTCACCATCCGTAGGTCATGCGCTCCAACCAAAAGCGCCTCGCACAAAGCCTAGCAAACCCTGGGCGGACGGATACTCGTGATGTTAAGAGGGCATTGGCTGTTGTGCCATTTAGACATAGCAAGCTCACGGAGGTATTAATGGATTACTTTGTTGGCGATGGCCGAGTCGTAAGTCTTTGGCTTGGGCCATTATGCAAGCAGTCGATGGCGAGCTTATGATGATAGGTGATGATCGTCAACATCAATCCTTACGATACCGGCTTCGAAGAAAACACCCATGTAATGAAGTTCTCTGCGCTCGCGAGAGAAATTTCGACGACCGTAAACAACGCACCTGTGCCCCGTGTACAATCCAATCCAAGCAAGCGGAGTACAGTTGGCTCAGCTTTGCCCAGGGCTGTGACAAGACAGGTAACGATATCGAGTCTTCTCCCTAATAAGAAGGTCAGCGAAGCACATCTCGAGGTGCTCGAAGGTGCGTTATTATGTTATAAATTGTACCCTGCATCAATTTGCTCCATACAGAGGATGAGGCGATGGAAGATGGTGCGAGTGAAGAGGAAGATGATGAACCCATCAACCCGCTAGTGGATGCTTTGTTTGATGAAATAGAGGACTTACGCCTGCGGGTAAGATTCTATTCTAAAAGTTGATGTCTGTTCAACAAGAAGCCATTTTCATAGCTCTATGAGGCGGAGATGCGCTGTGTAATAGTGGAAGCGGAAACCCGCGAAGACGTTATGAAGGAAATGGAAGAAAGGATGCGCGAGATTGAGAAGACTTACAGCCAGAGGCTTATGAGCGAGGTAAGGTCTGGACCTCGGGGGAAACACATCAATTCACCACCTTTGTCAGGTGGAGCAAAACGAGCGGAAAATGGATGCCAAGATCGACATGCTGCATCAAGCTGGACTAATTGGCTCCCCTCAAAAGCGTAGAGAGATAGTGGAGGAGGGCGAAGAGTCAAGTGAGATTGAAGACGAGGTGAGTTCAAATAGGACGAAACGCCCTTGTGAATTCGGAGTTGACTCCGATTTTAGAGCGTAGAAATTATCGAGGATAGTGATGAGCTGGCTGTCTCCGAAGCAAGCCGAACTTCATCACCTCTTGACGGCAAGGGGAAGGTCAATAAACAATCAAAGCTCACCCCCAACCGAATGTTAGGCACCGATCAAGAGGAGACTAATGCAAGTGCTCAGAGCGAAATCGAACAAATAACAGAGGAAGAAGAGATCGTAGAAGATGATCCAATTACCGATGATGACGAGTTCGACGACTACGCCCCTCTAGCGAAGGCCAAGTCTAGGCCGTTTAAAGTAGCTAACAAGCCTCTGGCAAAAGGGAAAGTAGAGAATCCAGTAGTCAAAACTGGTCGGCGCTCAACTCGCTCTGTGTCTTTGTTGGAAAAGAAAATCAAAGTTCTTTCTCTCTTGGAAGACAGCACAGGTGGTGCTGACGACTCTGTCACAATTCTACCCAACCGAAAGGCACGGGAAGCTTACGGAGGTCCTGATGTTGTATTTGTGCCAGGGAAAGGCGACCTTGATACCACGAAGAAAAAGAAGAGGTGAGATCTGTGTCATGAATTGGACAAAAGATTGACGACTCCTCGAAGGCAACTGGGTAAGAAGGCTGTAGTGACTGAGGAAGAACTAGAACAAGTAGTTGATGCCGTGGAGAAAAACGCGCAAAAGGGTAGAGGAAGCAAAAACATTAGGCGGATGCGTATAAGCTAATAATCGATGATCTATTTATCTGTTGTTTTCTCTCAGTGAGAGCTTCACGGACAGTCGTGATTTGTAGATTGTAATACTTGATGCTACAGATTTTGGTCATGTATGCTCGTACGAGTTAAGTGCCTCGGTCGTAATTAAATGGCAGAAATTATGAAGATAGAGCATTTTATATGTAGTGTCGTAGAATGAACGCAGTTCTGAGTTAGCGTTGGAACAAAGGAACGCGTCTTCCATGAAGATGTCATGTGACCAGACGCGTCTAATCAGTATCACGTGAACGTGTTCAGTACAATAACCTTTGAGTTCAACATATCGTTCGACGATCACCTTTCTTGATTGACCTTTTCTCGGACGTACACAGCTTGGATATGACCACAAGAGGGTCTCCCAGCAGACGCAAATCTATCGCGGTAGCCAACCAGAATCGACCTCTTCATCCAGGCAAGAAGCGGCGAGCACACTCTATTGCACCTGGCGACAAGATCAATCTTGCTTCAAAGGCACGTAGATCACTAGTAAGTTATATGATCGACTGCACTTCTTTTTCTTACAGTCCAACAGGCTCCCAGAAAAAGTATTCTCAAACCAGCAGTCAACATCCCTGAGGATGAAGAGGATGCTACGCAATCCATGGATCTGACCCATGTTCACGAAAACACGCGAAAATCTCTTGCACGGCGCGTTAGCTTTGCAGACCGGGCACATGTACGGCTATTTGAAACACAGGAACAAAATACGAATAGCACTACTTCGCCTCAGTCCTCGCCTATGCAGGAGGCAGTTGAACGAGGCCCTACGGATGAAAATGTATATCCTGGAGCAAGCAAATTTCGTCGCCGAAGCTCGTTTCGATCCATCGCTTTTAGCGATGGTGCAGGAGAGGAGTCCATGGATGTAGACTCCGATGATACAGCATTTGGGCCAGCTGCATATCTACAAGCTCAACTAGACGATCATGACGAGGGTGGTCAGCAGCAGAATCCTGCCGACCAGTCCTATACTGAAGGTGACTCCCACCAGTCTCAGTCATTCGTATCTGAAGGCGATGTCACTGAGCCAATGGAGTTCACTGTTCCACTCGTCCGTCCACCAGCCCCGCCAAGTGAAGCCTGGCTTGCTCTTCGATCAGTGACTCACTCTGGTGAAATCCCATACGTTCCCTCATCCGACGAAGAGGACGAACATGGGGAACAAGACATGGAGATCACCGATGCTCTCACGAGACTCCAAGCAGCTCGTGAATCCCTTGGGTTTGGAAATGGAATAGATAACGAAGAATATGGACAACAGAATGACAGTTTCAGTAGTTCTGAAGATAGTTTTGCGCAGGATGATGTGGAAAACGACGGCAACCAGACTGTCAATGTCACTCAGCTTATGCGCCGGGTCAGTCTTGGTGCTGGCATCGGGGATGGAAATTCCACTATGGAGATCACGTCCACATATGACAGTCAGGAGGAGCCAAGCAATGACCAGTTTGATGTTGCAGGCACGGACATTTCATTCCCTTCCGCGCAACCAACATCTGAGGCTCATGGGGATGTTGCTCAGACCGAACCACAGGAGCGTGTTTTTGAGGAGCCAGCAGCCAGGCCTGCTGTATTCAAACCAGCCCCGCCACCTGGGGAGATCCAAAATGCACTCCCACCCGTCCCTGTTCCACGGCCTGCTGCGATTACCAAGCCATTTTCGTTTTCCTTCACGCCTCGCGGACAAACACCAGCGTCGCCAGCCCACCCTCGTCCTCTTTCACCTACTAAATCACCGAGCAAAGCCAAATTTTCCGCAGCTTTTGCCCCTCCTGTTGCTCGTCCCTCGCCCAAAAAGAGGGCCCAAGGTGTAGTCGACGATTCAGAATCAGAAGACAGACCCAGTCCCGCCAAAAAGATAGCTGGCCCCGGGAAACTAACTGCACCACCGAATGAGTTTTTCAAGGAGCAACACGTGCAATCGAGCAGGCTCCCAAGGCTCTCCCCAAGCAAGAAGGCGCAGTTCCAAGTACATACAGAGCCGTTTTCTGGCCCAAGTAAACGCCCATCTATTGGATTTCGCCGTCCCTCGGGACACTTCGCACAGAGGAAAAGCATGGGGGGAGTGGCTCCCGCTTCTTCTCCTGCTCCCACCAAGAAAGCGGCCGCGTTTATTGACAAGAGTATTTCCTTTGCAGGCGAGAAGGAGGGAGCTGCTAGACAGACGACGGAGAAAGCGAGTGTCTTGGGGTCGCAGGAGGATGACTCTAGAGCTGAGATCACAACTGAACCGCCGCACGACTCTTTAATCAGAGAGTCTCCCGTTAACGAGATTGCAGGAAAGGCTTCCCCGTTTGCTGACCTGCTCAGGGAATCGCCTGTGAGAGAGCCCCCTGCATTTCCTTCCCCTCGACCTCAAAGCCCTTCACGCAATTCACCTCGACCATCAACACCGGTCCGTGCACCCCCTCAGCCGCTCAGCCCTGAACTAGATCAAGTACCAGAAGATTTTCCAGAACCTGATTTTGAGGGGATGGAGGTAACTTCAGACTTTACGCCATTAGCCGGTATCTCCGAGGGGATTTCCAACCTCACCGAACAATGGCGTGATGATATTACTGAAGGAAACATTTCTCCTGAAGATGGCCCACAAATCTCCATAGAGCAATTCTTTGAGATGACCGGAATACGATTCATGGATGAAATTGCTGCCCCCCGTCGCTCTATCGTGCACCCATCTGCCCTTCGTCCTTCCAGACGACAGTCCACGGAAAACGAGATACCTCTATCTGAATATGTGGTCGCAATGGCGGTCGATGTGCCACAGCTTGAGTTGTACACACACGTTAGTAAAGACCTGCAACTCTGGATCGAGCGAATCAAAGGCATCTACAAAGAAGCAGAAGACGAGGCCCTCAAAATGACTCCTCAGTTATTCCAAGAATTTGTTCTGGCGGACGAGGAAGGCCAGAACGAGCTCCTCCATCAGCTCAAGCTGATCAAAGTCAACAAACATACACAGGCTAAGTCAGAATGGTACGATTGGAAGATGCAGTGGGTCGAGCAACTGTATGAGAAGGCGGATCAAGGGTTTCGAGATCTTGAGGCGGTATGTTCAGTATCCCTTGCTATTTCAACGCGTTAATACTTTTGACGACAGGATGCCAAAGTTCTCGAAAATATTATCCGACAAGCCCAGGAAGTCGTGCCTGCTCTTAACGAGGAATACGAGAATCTTCTCCGCGAGTTGGAACAAGAACAGACTGATGTCGCTGAACTCCAGACCTGCGACCAAGATTATCTGAATGAGCTGAAAGCAACCATTCAAGAACAAAGGTGAATATTTTTCGAGGATAACGGTCCTAAATTAGTCGATTGAGCGGCATTCTTGTAGTGTTGCGCTTGAAGCCTTCCGAGCAGACGTCGATGAGGGTAAAGCTAAACTGGATCGTCTACAGGAGAAGCTGGAGGAGATTGAAGTTCAGAAGCTTGAAACCACCGACGCTATCCAGGTAGCCGAACGACAAATTCAGGTACAGAAGAACAGCACACATACCGAAGTCTTCAGGTTGAAAGGTGGCAGATTTGTCTTTTCAAATATCCTCTTTCCAATGCTGAAGTGTTTCCCAGATGAGCTGGAAGCCCTTCAAAATCTCCACATGCTGCAAGTCACAAAAGTCCTACCAGAGCTTTTTGAATTCAGATATGCGTCATCTTACGATGTTTCCGTCCCATGCAAAAACTTTTGCCCAGCTGTCAAGGAGGTTTCGATCACGCGAGTCCAGAGTGCGAAGCTCAAGTACAAAGATGCATTCCCTACTCTCAGCCCGTTGATACTAAAAACGGCGACCTCGCTCATTACGCAATCCGATGGAAATCTTAGCGTTCGACAGGTAGGAGTTTTTCGAGTATTAGGCAAACCCATACTGAACTCGACAATCTAGATCGTCGAACGTCTAGGAGACTACTGGTCTGCTTGCTCTCAATTGCTGGCCCAACTAAAGTTGGTTATGATTAAGTACCCAGTCACCATCACTCACGGAGACGACGACGATGTCGGGTTTACGGCAACTGTAACAGTTGTGTTCCCCAGCAAGAAGGCGAAGGCCTTGATATCTTTCATATTTGACACTCGGACATTCTCTTCTTGGCCTATATCGATCCAATCCATGCAATGCGACGTCAAAGTTGCATATGGCCCTGTTCAGTGCGTGAATTATTTGTCGAAGGCTATTGACGCTGATTGCAGTCTTTAGACGGGATACCCTCCAAGAAGCCATCCTTGGTAGATTAAGAGAGGCTACCGTAGCAGATAATTATGGTTGCCTCCTGGATGCGTGCACAGTCGCTTTGGACTGCTACGCATAACCTTTGTTTGGCCAGATTATATCACCCATATGGTTATTGTATCTTACAGGACTTAGCTGGTTGACATGTAGTTCTACAATCTATCATAGTACATACATAATGTGCATACCTTTCCTTGGTTTTGACGGCACACTGGCGTGTGTTCTTTCTGAGGAAAAAGGAAATAACATTCCTAAATATTCGTACTTATGGCCAGATGATAGGTGACGTGTACTATGTACAGGTACACGGGCATAGATGTTAACGAGAAGAATGAGTGGTCATCGATGTAGTACAGATTAATCCAAGGAATAGATGAAGCTCATAAGCATAAATCTGTAACCCGACATTCAGAAAACTTGCTGCAGGTCAGATTCCAGTGGCACTCACGTCGTTCAAGCAAGCAGACATTGCATCTGCTTCTGGCTTTGATCCAGCATAGCCAGAAATACTTTCAGCGACTCGCGACTCGCCTGCAAAAACTCATGTTCCACCTTCGCCTGCTCTCTGACAGAGCCCCATTCTACTTTAATCTCACGAACGAGAGAACATACTTCCCATTTTTGCTGCTTCTGATTGAGAAAATCTGCCCACGACGCAGCAGCCTCTTCTTGTCCACGTGCAAAAGCAGCGTTGGATGCTTGCTTGCTAGAGGCTTCTGCGTGGCGTAACTGGTCCTGCAGGGATGCAGTGAAGGCAGAACGCTCCTCATCCAACCTTTCCCTCGCCTCAACGCTGATATGAAGCTGTTGCTCTAGGAAGGAGACTTGCTTCGCGAGTTCTTCAGTCTCCTGAACACGAGAATGTTTCGCGACGTGCAGCTGCTCCTCCAACTCCTGCAGGCGAACGAGGCGCTCCTTTGCCGTATTCTCGGCGGATGCCACTTGTAAGCGAAGTAGAGTGACTGTGCCCGAGTCCATAGGAGCGGGAAGCTCCGTAGACGTATTGAACATCTGATTGAAATGGTGCATTGCGGGCGAAGGTGTGACATCCGGTAATAAAACCTGAGATATTGACCCATAACCCCCTGGCGATGGTAGAGCAGAGAGGCAGGGACTTTCAGGGACTTCAAGTGCAAGAACACCGACGTTCGGTGAAGGGTTAATTGGCGTGAAGGGTGCCTGAATCTCTGAAAGCATTTTTTCTACCTCTTCCTGTGCAATTATCTGTGATCCATCATTTGCCAATTGTTCCCAAGACATTATCGAGCTGCGATTTGCACTATTGGCTTTGGGAGGGCGGAGGCCAGGCGTGCTCTGTGAGGTCGGAGGTACAGGTGACAAGTAGGAAAGGTTCGCTCGCGTAGGAAGGAATTGAGAGGGGCGCGAGGGGCGTTTCAGGTTCTGACGTGTTGTGTTGAAGTCGAACAGCCCGAATCCTGGGTATCGCAGGTGTGGGCGCCCCAAGAGGAGCAGCAGGTGCAAGGAGAAGTTCCACATCATCGGCTTCAACGGAATCTTCGCTGTCTTCTTCAGCAAGCTGCGAAAGTGGCGTGGGCGTTGTATTTCTGCCGAGGGCTGCAGTAGAATTTTGACGGGTATGATGAGCAAGGGGTGACTCAGGTGCAGGACGACCGGTAGAATGCAGAGGGCTTGATGCTTGGTTGTTTTTTGAGCGTCCAAACCCAAAGCCACTCTTGGAGGGTGTCTGAGGTGAACTCTGTGAGCAGACAGAGCTACGAGAGGATGAAGACGACGGAGGACGTGCGACGTTTGGCTTAGACGCAGAAGGGGTAGTAGTTGTCTTGGTGGTTTTAGCGGGTCGTGCGGACTCTATCTTGGCAGGCGAGGTCTTCTTCGGCGTTGATAACTTGCAGATCTTGGAAGGCGTCGAAGGAGGGGTAAGGTTAGGCAAGTTAACCTTAACCGTAAGTGCTCTGTGAGGGAGAGGACTGATCGAACTCTTAGGCTTCTTCTCCTCTACGTTGCCTTTGGAAGAGAGGCTATGGCCCTTGTCTTCTTCCTCTGATGAGCTCAGCCGCCTGCGAGTGCTGGAACGAGGAGGAGAAACAGGTTTCTTGGGTAGAACAGACTCTATAAGAGTGGACTTGGGCCGATATTTCGGCAATGCAGATGATGTGGGTGCAGGAGCAGTCCTTGGACGTAACGAAGACGAACGCTTCATGGAAGGACTAACACCAACGGCGTCTAGCACCTTTACCCCCATGTCGTCACAAGTAGGAGCAGGTCTGAGGAGACCAGATTGTCTCCTGGTGCTGCGTGTGATGGTCTTGGATGGAGAAGCGTCTTCCTTGGCGTGCCCCGGAGTTGGGGACTTTGACTTTGAGGATACAGTTACAGTGGCGTTAGCCTGGGGGATTGCGCTAGAATTCATGAGTGCAATAGCACTTAAACGTCTTGAAGAGTCCTTGGACTTCTTCAGGGCTTTCTCATTAGGCTTTTCGCGGTCGCGGGACTCCTTGTTGATTACATCCGCCAAAGCTTTTCCTACTGAGGTGAAATTGAGTGAGTGTCGGATGGAACTCCGAGTGATTGGTTTAGAAGGGCCGTGATGGCTGAGAACTCGTTTCTGGTGACATTAAGGGAATTGGAGCTTCGTTAAGATCTGCACTGTGAATGTATGGTATAGGTTGGCTGACGTTCTGAATCCTTTCAACTTGAACCGAACCATTCGGACGCGTGTGGTCTTGTTTGCATTAGTGGGTCCAAATATATGACCCCTGTTCGCTCGATTTATTACTCTACGTACATCACCACATGAATCTCCCAACTCCCACTCTTTCTTTGTACAAAAATACATACGTCGTCGCCATATTTATTACCATGTACCAAAGGCCCTCGACAAAAATACCGTAGGACTGGACATCCACAACTTGAGCTCTGAGCAGGATATATGGCACCAGGAAGTATCGCGGTTCCAGCAATGGCGTAGGCAGTAATGTGGGCAATATTAAAACGGGCAGGACCAACGTTTGCAATAGCGATTGGTCACGGGCTGAGGCCAGGGTTGATGTCATCGATGTATTCTGGAATCTAGAAAACGACTCACCAACACGAATCCACCACGCCCAGGCGCACGCTTGGTACCCCGGAATAAATAGGTAAGGTACTGCCGCATGCAGCATGAATACTCGACGCCAGATATAGAAGGTGAAATGACGGTTATCAGACAGGAGGAACGGGTGATGAATTCTACATCGGAATCCGTGAAGGTTAGATTGGTTATCAACCAGTAAAAGAAAGCTCACGTGAAATGCTGAATAGTGATCCCCATGAAAATCGATATAATGGTCGTCAGAAGCGCTCTGCTATCGCATACGATCCATATCAGTATCCGCGTGCCTACTTATAATTAACTCGGTCACCTTTTACTCCCAAACATGCGCGAACTGACATCGGTGACAATCTTCAACGGGCCGCCTTCACCACAAATCACCACCGGCCACCCAATTATTGTTGCAAATGCAATAAAGTAGTACAACTGTGGCACGTGAAATGAAGGAACGTGATTGGATTTGTCGCCTATACATAACATTGGCGGTTATCTCGATAATTATGACCGAGAAAAACGCACCAAGCACGATGCCATCGTTCCAAATCACAAAACCACCGAAAAGTGCGAGAACCACTGCATAAGGAGCAAACGCGGGGAGTAACTCAGGTAGTGCTTTTGGGGCACTCATGATCGATCGAATAAAGTCACCTGGAAATCGTGATATGAACACATGAGCACAGGGATGGCAACCCTGGCGTAGCTCACCTGGCCCAGCGCCCAAGGCGGGGGGATCGTATAGTTTTGCATCTCCCCGTTTGAATCGCAAACGCATGAGCTGGCTCGCTGCATACGCGTACAGTACCCAAATGACATTGTTTTGACGGAAGAGGCAGCTCACAATCCCTAGCTAAGGACCCCCTGTAGTTGTCAATATGCATTCTAGGAAACCCTAGAACAAACTGGAACACGTACCAAACCAGCAAGCCAATGCTTATTCTGCGTCGCAGCGACTACGGTACACAAAACAGAAACAAGGCTTGGGACCTCTGTGTAATATAGAAACCCAAAAAACCACGCTACTGGAAAGATAGACAGAACAAGCGCTTCGATCGAGGGTGTTAACTTTGGTGGAGAACGGCGTCGCTGATGGAACCCCAACAATCGCGTGAGGACAAGCGGTAGCGCAAAGAGGGTAAGGGTATTGGTAAGACGTAGCAAATTCAGGTTGCATTTAAACATAAAGACCCGGTGCAGCAATACACTAAGTATGTATCTGCGGGATAATTGAGTTGTCAGAGGAATAGTAGGTACTTGTGAACGACGTACAGTCCGGGTGGTGTAGTAATTTTTGGGTCCCAAGTTGACCATTCACCCCTGCAATAAGCCAATGCCTGCGGTACATGAAAGGGTTCATCCTAGATTATCATCAGAAAAGTGAATCCAGTGAGAGGCGAAGTTGAATCATGATGTAGTCACCATGTACGGTTCAGTAACCACGGCATTGAACTCCTTCAAAACGGCTACCGCGACACCGCAGTAAACTACGTATAATATTCTCCTGTCCGAAGACATGGCTTGTACGAGGATAATCCTGAGTCGAGTTGTGTGGATCGGAGATAATCCGGAAAGTATTACTTAGTAGTATTGGTGCGGATGCAGTACTAGAGGTCCAAACGTCTCAGCACTGCCACCGTTGAGTGTTTGCCAATTTTCAGATTACCACCAAGAAGTCGCATCACAGACTCAGTATGTCTTCATATTGCAGTATCATAAATCTAATGCATGCATAGTTGCAATCAAGACTGCCAGCTCTCATTCAATGTCATGTCACGATCCATTAAAGACTAGGCAGTTCAAGACCTTCCAGAGCAGGGATCGGTCTCTCTGCCTGCGAGGTGATACGTGCACCGTGACGGCGTTCATTTGACTTTCCATAGTCAACGATGGCAGACTAATGAATCGTGTTTAACATAAGTTTAGCAAGGCATATGTTAGACTTACGTGTGCAGTGACACGGTTGTCCCAGAGCACGACGGTGCCAGGCTGCCATTTCACTCGGGCTTGGAGGTCTGCACTCTTGTCGATATGGTCGTAAAGGAACTTCAATATAGTCTCTGATCGCAGGTATCCATCATAAGCTTCCGGTTGTCATTCCTGACTGTGATCGAACGCACCAGATTCCTCACGCTTCAGGCCAACGATACGCGTCGTGAACTGGCGGTTGACATACAAAGCTTCCTCTCCAGTAACCGGGTGACGCCGCACGACAGGGTGAACATGCTCCACTGGTTCACGTCTCACGATGCCGCCACGCTTGCCGGAGCGCGAGAACTGAGCCTGCTCGACCCCTGAGTGCACTGCACTGAGTGTGCGCAGGAAGGCGACAAACGACGGCGAGAGCTTCTTTAAAGTCGATATCTGGGACGTGAACAATGTGTCTCCACCCGTCGTCGGCTGCGAGAGGAGGAAGAACGTCGTGAGCCCGGGCGGCTGTAGCTCATACGAAACATCGGAGTGCCAGACAGTTGACGTGATGCTGTCCTCCCTTTCAAAGTTGTAGGACGACTTTGCATCCCTGAATCTCACAGTCAGTGTGCAATCCATGGGGATAATTTGCACTACTCACTTGTAGACAAGATGAATTTGCGGATAATCTTTGGGGTGTCCAGACGTGGGATGAATGTGCAGCCTGCACGACAAATTAGTCATTAATCGTTCTAACACCAATGAAAATTCGACGTGTGGTACAGCAGGAACATTTGCCCAATTGAGCGGACAAAGAAGAAGTATAACAAACCTTCCAAAGTGTCGTCCCCATTCTAGGTACGAATCAGGCCCTCTATCTATGAACTCGTGCTGGCCCCTGAAAACCATAAGTCCCCTTCTCGCAACCTTGCAGACAATGAGCCACGATAATAATTTCACGGAAATTGGCATACTTCGAGCGCAAGTTGGTCCCTCGCCTCGCCATCAAGGGTTGCAAGATTTACACCGTGGACCTCAGTTCCTAGATTGGGCGTCAATTCCACTACATTGGTAGCATTCTCAAGGAATGCACGTGGATCTGCGTGTTTGAGTGCGCGGAAACCTGGATCTTCGTGTCTGAAGGGTGTGAGCGGTGGATATTGCTCAGGTGAGAAATGGGGAAGCAAATTAGCATAGGGGTATGGATCTGTCTTCTGTTCTTGGTCCCCTCCGCGAAGGTCGAGTGTTGGCAGGGCCTGTGAGACTTTAGCAACGGTTTCGATAGCGGACATACTTGCGGCAGTGCACGCTAGGCTCAATGACAAGCGACAGTGAGGTAGGATCCACTCTCCCTATCTGATTTTGTAGCACCCATGTATTCGCAATCCTGAGCACGAAAGTCGCAATCAGCAGCGCGTGACGTCTTATATTTTTGGTGTTAGGAACTAAGGAATGCCTTTCCGTAGATACGTGTCCAGGTGACCGGGCAGGTAGTCATGCCTCATTTGACACGCGACTCACAGTCCAGATCAAATCCTAACAGGGAATGCGCTATAATATATATAAGCGCTCTGCTTGCCTGCGGACGGTCTCTCAGATCTATTCACGGCAGTGAGGAAGAATCAACTACATTTTTCATCTCTCTTTCTTCATTCGTGGGTGACCACTGACCACGACGTTCGAATATCGCGTACTCTCAACAGCGCTGTGCAAAGTTGACCATACGCAAATCCTTCTGTGCGAAGGTCCACCACGCGCGTCGGAGTGTCAGATCTTGCGGACCACTGCACGTCGTGACATATGCAGGTCGCAGTGGAAATGGTTCGCAGTTGACGGTCCCATGGAAAGAGTAGCACAACGTCATGACAATGAATTGTAATAAGAGAGACGTTACAATGCTAGTGTGACTGTGCGTCCTCATGTGGAGTCTGAAAGGGTGCACACGGAACACGTCAGCAAAGTGATCAGAAGTGGAGCACAGACTATGGAGCGCGCCCGTGGCAGTCCCACGAATTGCGAAGTAGAAAATGGAACCGCGTCTACATCACGTGACCGAAATCACAGCAAGTACTAAATTCGGAAGCTTTATTGTCAACCAAATTGATCCAATTGTTCCTTCGGTCACAACAATAACAGCTCTCACAAGACAATAAGCATTTCTTGAAACGCATTTCAAGTATGAGCTAACGTCACCCGATATCTTCCTAGCGCTGGTCGCGTGTTTCAATGCCTCATGGCTACGAATCCATCGCGAGTGCCACTTTGTCGTTTGACTCGCTTTGCATGATATCATATCAGCACAGAACGTTAGTGGCATCTTTCTCCAGATTTTTAATTCCAGTGGGTTGTCGGTTAAACGAGCCATGAACAATTGTGTTTGATTGCCGATCACTACCCGAGACTTCTCCCAGCTTTTTGTTTTGCAGTGGACCATATCAAATTAGGCTTATTGTATGTACGCTCGCTTCCAGGGCGGAACTCTTCCACAGATGACTCTACCTTCCAAAATAGATGGTGTCACCACGTCCACAGTGGTATTTCCGGCAAGTTGTGGACGTTCCGTCCGCCTTCAAAAGGCCGCTAGATCTCCTGCAATCATCAGGAATTTATTCTCCCCCCCTACTCGCACTACCTGTTTGCTGAGCCTTCTTTGTGCTCATTGCCAGTGCTTGCCTTCATCTCTCACAGCGCTAATCCCCCCCTATTCGGTCTCGACATGGAGACTAAACCTTACAACAGCGCGACGAACATTGTCGCTCTTCAGAACCTTCGTGCCAGAGCCGTGCCCGATGTCCCTGAGGATGTCGACTTTCTCTTGGAGCATCTCAATGACCCTAACTTTGACTACTACGCCTCACTTCCCTCTCCTACCTCATCCACCACCGAGGTGCATGAGCTTGAGCACAAAAAGATAGCGATGTCAGAGTACTCTGGCGGTGCCTCGGACTTCGATGTCGAGTCCCGAGTTGAGTCTAGGCGCTATTCTACAGCTTCAAGAACTACCACACCTTCGACTTTCGATTATGACGAGTGAGTTTTATGGTGTTTTCCTACCGCTCTGCTAACCGTCATATGACAGCGAGTCACCTTACCCTGAAGTTCGCGCCGCTGTGGCTAGCATTGATGACCCCACCATGCACGTCAATACATTTCGCATGTGGGTTTTGGGTATCTTCTATACCATTCTCATCTCGGCTCTTAACCAGTTTTTCTCTATGCGTTGTAAGTCGACATTTTTTTTTATCGCTCTTAGTTCCGTTTGCTCAAGTCACTGTTAGACCCTTCCATTATCATCACTGGTATTATTGCTCAGTTGACCGCCCTGCCCCTTGGCAAAGGTATGGAGCGAGTCCTCCCCACTACGCGCTTCAATACCATGGGATACACCTGGTCATTCAACCCAGGACCATTTAACGTCAAGGAACACGTACTCATCACTGTCATGGCGAATGTTGTAGTCAGCGGTGCCTATGCCACTGACATTATCGCAACCCAGAAAGTCTTCTACAATCAGACTCTCACTACCTCCTATCAACTCTGCCTTGTTCTTTCAACGCAGCTCATCGGTTTCTCTTTGGGCGGCCTTCTTCGCAAATTCCTTGTTTGGCCCAGTAGCATGATTTGGCCTGGTGCACTCGTCAGCTCCGCTTTATTCAACACTCTACACAAATCATATGGCAAACCAGAGGGTCGCCATATCTCTCGGGAGAAATTTTTCTGTATTGCATTGGGATGCAGTTTCGTATGGTACTGGGTGCCTGGATACTTGTGGACTGGACTGAGCATGTTCAACTGGATCTGCTGGATTGCACCTCAAAACGTGGCTGTGAACGCGCTATTTGGCACTTCCTCTGGTCTTGGGATGGGCATTTTTACTTTTGACTGGTCCATGATCTCCTATGTCGGAAGTCCCTTGGTGACGCCTTGGTGGTCTGAAGCTAATACGGTCGTTGCCCTTGTGATCTGCTTCTGGATCATCACGCCGATCATCTACTGTATGTTGCCTTCTCATTTCATTGTGTAATGTACTTAGGAGTGCCTCGCAGTCACCAACACTTGGTTCACCGCATACTTGCCAATCTCGGCCTACGTGACCTTCGACAATACTGGATTGCCGTATGACGCCGCTCAGGTGGTCACCAATGCCTCTTTCAACGTCGCGCAGTACGAGGCTTACTCACCCGTCTTCATGACGGCGACCATGGCTGTTGCATATGGTGTTGCATTTGCCGCTTTCTCCTCAGTGGTCGTGCACACATTCTGTGAGTTCTTTTGGTATCTGTGTGTTACCCCATTCTAACAGTCTTGTCGCAGTGTGGTACCGCCGCGACATCGTTCGCCGTTTCAAGAGCAGCCTCAGAGATGAGCGTGATGTTCACTCGCGCTTGATGCAGGCATACTCCGAAGTTCCTCAGTGGTGGTATGTTATCCTGGGCCTCGTAATGCTTCTCCTCCTCTTCATTACGGTGGAGATTTTCCCTACGGATCTCCCTGTCTGGGGTGTTTGCGTTGCTCTCGCTCTCGCTGCACTCCTCGCGATTCCGGTTGGCATGCTCCAAGCAATTACAAACCAGCAGATCGCCTTGAACGTCGTGTTCGAGATGATTGGTGCCTATTTGCTTCCTGGCAAACCCATCGCTGTCATGATCTTCAAAGCGAGCGCATACATGGGTACAAACCAGGCTGTTGGCTTTGCTGGCGACTTGAAGCTTGGTCATTATATGAAGGTGCCCCCGCGTCTCATGTTCACGGCACAGGTCCTCGCTGCCTTCCTAAGTTGCCTCGTTGTCACGTTTGTGCAGAACTGGATGTTCGCCAACATCGTGGACATCTGCACACCCACCCAGCCTCAGTTCTTCACCTGCCCGTCCACCAGCACCTTCGGAAGTGCGTCGCTCCTGTGGGGAAGCATTGGGCCCCATCGTCTCTTCAGTCCAGGTGCCATGTACAGCCCATTGCTCTGGTTCTTTGCCGCCGGTGCCCTACTCCCCATCCCCTTCTACTACCTTGCTCGCCGTTTCCCTCTCTCATACTGGAGATACATCAACATCCCGGTGTTCTTCGCAGGCATCGGCGCCATGCCTCCTGCCAATGGCATCAACTTTGCATCTTGGGCACTTGTCGGCTTCATATTCCAGTGGTTCATGCGCCGCTACCACTTCAGGTGGTGGATGCGCTACAACTACATCCTCTCCGCTGCTCTCGACGCAGGCGTCGCGTTCAGTATGGTCGTCATCTTCTTCCTTCTTCAGATGCCGAAAGGTGGAGTAACGCTCACATGGTGGGGTAACACCTTCTGGCAGCAAACTGCAGATGCAATGGGCACGCCCCTCTACGTAATGCCTCCTGGCCAGACATTCGGCCCTTCGACTTGGTCATAAAAATGTTACATCAGACGGTTGGCCTTTGTATTAATATCTGTAAAATCCCCCTTACTGCATGATTCACCACACCCACTTCTTTCACATGATTTGACCGACCCCCACACTGTCCTTCACGCATGATTACCCTTTGTTGCATCACATTCGCATTACCATTATTTGCTTCGGATTTTAGTGACTGTATAAACGCACTTGTATGTACTGATGACACAATGAATCGGACTACGTCGTGGAAGAAACCCAAGCCAGAACAAGTGGATCTAAGGACGGCACTATACGATGCTGGAACCTGGATACTGGTCGACAAACAGCACACCCATAGAGACCAGTGGGTGGGTCGATAAAGCAGTCGGTCAAAGCGGGAATGGCCAAATCAAATGAGTCCCCGAAGTTCTTGCCATTAAGGCCCAAGCTCTAGTTATCCGAGTGCGCTATGTTTCTTTCTTCACGCCTTTCCTGATCTCTTCCGCTAATGATAATTTGGAGTTTACATTTAACATGATAATAAAAAAATACAACTGAGTTTTTCGAGATACTATATGTACATCAGGCTAAATCTGCACCCTGTTATGCGTTGTTTTCTCCAGCTCACATCCTGTGGCCGAGGTTGACGTGGACAGACTTCACGGCAGTGTAGCTGATAACATATATGAGTTTGTGCTGATATATGATAGAGGCAACATTTACTTAGCGAGAGTATACTCTCCAAGCTCACAACCAATACCGCTCTGCTTGAAACCGCTGAATGGTACGTTCGAGTGCAACGTGTTAATACAGTTGATCCATGCAGTTCCAGCCTTGAGTCATGGCTACTACGGATGAACAACTTACCTGTACTCACAACATATTATGGCCTTATACGCCTGTACAAATATGGCAACATACGGGGCCTTTCCGTACCCCGTACCGTCACCTTGAGTATTGTGTAAGCAAAGCGGAGTTTTAATAAGGTATGGCGTGGTAGACCTTTACTTGATTCGTGTTGATCTTTTGAACTTTGAGTAAATCATCTGGAGTGGCTGCGGCAACCTATCTGTTAGCTATTTGTTATTTGGCAGAGATGTTCCCAGACCTTCTACACATCCCCACCTTAGCTTCTCACAGACTCCACGAAGCCAAGAACATTGGAGATCCCTATGAGTAAGGTGCCAATTCGGAGCCTGCCGGAGAGTCAGTACCATGCGTCCAACTGAGTGAAACACCTCTGGTTTTCCTTTGTTCTTTTTCAAATCTTGAATCATTCTCTAAGGACTTTTGAATGGACAGCTATCTTTGTTTCACTTATTCTAGTCGTTTAGCATAGTATATCTCTACATCTCATTCTTTATTGTTTTCTTCGCACTATAATCATTCTCACCCAATGACCCACCAGCATGTAGACTTACAACTCCCAGGTCCATCATCATCCTGAACCCAATCGCTAGCCTCACCTGACTTGACAGAACCCCAGGACCAGCTAAATTTGGCAGAGAATGCACTCGACAAAGCGCAGGTCACTGCCCGTGCCAAAGCTGCAGCAACGAGGCAGTTAGCAAGGATCGCCGGTATTGGTACCAACGAAGCACCAGACTCAATGAGAGCCAGGACCGTTAATGTCACACCCCTCCCAGGTGCTCCAGCAGCCAAGCAAGCAGCCAAACCAGCAGCCAAACCACCTGCTTTGAAGCAACACCAACCAGCTGTCGCGGGGCCAGCTACAAATCCCAACACAACTCCCACCCAACCTTCTCCCCAACAAGGTTTGGAGTTGGAGGCATTGCGTGCCCGCATCCTGCAGCTCAAACAAGAGCGCGCTGGAACGATCAGCCACCAACCAGGCCCAAACCCCACAACACCGACCCCTACACTATTTGCATCACCAGAAGAGGTAGAAAGGGCAAGGGCTGCTGTCACAGCATTTAAGAGAGATGAACCCAAGGTTTCACTCCCTGATATTGTACCAGGTTACAAAGCTAATCCCCTTAATGCTGGTGAGAAGTCCATCCACCTGTATCTACACCACAAGCCAGTAGCACCTCATCATGCGCATGCTAAGCTCCTGGGAGCGCACTTTTTTTTCTTGAAGCAAGCTTAAGGCTGCAATTTTGGTCATAGAGCAGTAGGCTCTGCTGCTAAAGGCAGCACATCTGTTCACTGGGTGATAGGCCAAGCCAGAAATGGCCCAAGCTGTATGTTGTATTGACCATGGAGTCCTCTGCTTGGGCTGTCCATCTCACTTTGTATTTGGTCACACTACAGAGGGCTAATGACTGTTCTTGCCCACAGGCATTCCGCTAAAGGTGGACGATGCCTTCAAAGCCTTCAAATATGTCCCTTACAGTGTGCTGACATTGTCAGCACACTGGCAAGCAATCCGGAGTGGCGATGAAGCCTTCACTATCACCGCATCTGGTGCCTTAGCTGCCAAAGGGCTTGATCACCGATACGAGCGAAACATCACCCTGTCAGATTGGATAGGAGCAGCGGAGGCAGCAGAGGAGCGCACAGGCTTATACCATGGCACCGCGCGAGCAGGAGCACTGAAAGCACATCACAGTGTAGTTTTAGGGCTAAGTCGCTCCCATTCATGGGAGGTAGCTGTTGAATATGATATCCAGCAACGTGAAATGGTAGCACTACATCCCCAACATGATTTGTCCCAGCTTGATGACAAAGCTTTAACGATCATCGCAACTCGTATGTTAATCAGGCAGCCAGCTACCATGGCGCAATCATCCAGTTCCTCGCTAACAAGACCAGCAATGCCATCATCCTTTCAGCAACTACCAAAGAAGAAGGTTAGACTCCAATGCTTTCGATGCGGAGGAGCAGACCATTTACCAGGTGATTGCACAGCGGAACCCACCATCACTGGCCAACCAATGGCCCAGATTGCATCCTCTGCCAAAAGTGCACATGCACTCATGGTTCCAGGGGGAAAGATCTTCTGCATCGGCTGGGCTTGTTTCTCCAGCTGCCGCTTTGCAAACTCTTGTGTCAACTACCATGGATGTAGCATCTGCGGAGACACTTCCCATGGCGCTGGATCCTGCAGATCAGCACAGTATAGATCCTAGACAAGTCATTACCCCCCTTATCGCATCAAAACTCAAGGAAACCCTCCGTAAATTTGGTATATATGAAGACTGGGCGCACATGTTATCTAATATCAGAAACGGCTTCGACGTAGGAGTCAATGGAACCCCTACAGCCACCTTAATTTTTCGAAAATCACACTTCATCTCAGATCAATACCGACTTCATAGACCAATATATAATCAGCGAACAGAACACAGGACATTACTCTCACGCTTACTCAGCTCCAGAGCTGGAATCTTTAATTGTCCCATTTTGAACATCTCCTCTCGGTCTCGTACCAAAGCCACACTCCACAAAATTCAGGCTCATACAAGACATGTCCTTCCCCCACAATGACCCAAATATCCCCTCCGTCAACACAGGAGTCGATCCAGACTGCTTTCCCACAGAATGGGGCACATTCGACAGCATGGTGGACCTAATCCTATCATTACCAGATGGCTGCATTGCAGCAACCTTCGACATTGCATCAGCTTACTGAATAGTACCCGTTCAGCCCAACCAACAATGGGCTCTATGCATATTCTGGCATGGTTGTGTCTACGTCGATCGGGCTCTCATGTTTGGACTGAGTTCCAGTGCTGGAGTCTTCAGCTCAGTAGCAGACATGTTAGTGGCAATATACGAGAAGGCTGGTGTAGAAAGCTGATCTCTGCTGGGCTCAGCAGAAATCGTACTACCTAGACAACAAATATTTAGGTAGATCTTTAGCATGGCCTAGTCTGCTATACTTGCAGAGCAAGTGCGTTCGATCCTAAAGGGATTGCTAATTGGTATTAGTAGTAAAAATGTGTCAGTAATGCAAATAACAAAATGTCCGATGGTGTGAAACGATGTCCGAAGGTACTTATCCAATGTCCGAAGCCAAAGTGCGATGTCCGAGATTTCGGACTTTCGGATTTCACAATAATAGGTCAGAAACTTTATAACGAGTGTCAGGTTGCGAGTGGTATGCACGAGTATAACGAGTGACAGAGTATGACGGTGAACAAATGGTAATATTTCACAATGCAACTAAGAACTACGAGAATATTCTGGGTGATCCGCAGAGTCGGGAAACGGCTCCTAACTACTGGATGATGATTGCTACGGGTCACTACAGAGTATTTAAGTAAGTACATAGAAATTCGGAAAACTACAGGCAAAGATAGTAGTGATATATTTTGGGTCCGATGTCCTATGTAATAAGACACGAGGTGCTGCGGACATGTAATAATGCGGTACAAATGTCAGAAAACGTGCATGGAAATAACTACACACCTAGTGAGGCCAGTTTGGATGGACAGGACATGGGATGGACAAGTGTGCGCGAAGTGTGATCAGCCGATGCGATGTCCGAAGGTCCGATGTGCCGGATCCGATACGGAGTGGCTCGGACATGTGCGCATATGTTTCGGGTGTTGATGTGAGTATGGAAACACATGGTTTTGAGCCCAATGCAGCGACCATCGCTACACCGGCTTTGGTCCAATTCGAAAATGGGTGGACGATTTCTTCATCATCTGCCTGCCTCACCAAAACTGGACAGAAGAAGAATTCATCTAGCTATCTGCCTTTTTCGGAGTACCATGGAGCCTAGAGAAGCTATGAGCCTTCGCCACACTCCAGCAATATATTGGATTTGACTGGAACTTGTTTTGAAGAAGCGTCTCATTGCCACAGGAGAAAATGGAGAAAATTCTGACATTGCTACAGGATTGGCTAAAGAATGGTGCACATTTCACAGCAAACAAAGCCGCAAGTTTGCATGCAAGCTAGTCCATGTGTCATCAATCTTCCCCCTCATCTGCCCTTTCCTTCATTCCACAGCAATTTTTGCCAATGGTTTCAAGTCCTTTTGAGCTTGGCTCCATGTTCCGAGTACTCTAGCGGCCGATCTTCAGTGGGTAGCACAGATTTTAGCTATTTCACCATGCGAGAAACCCCTGCGGGAACGATGACCATTCGACTTGCAGTGGTGGGGAGATGCGAGTTCTTTGTTTGGAATAGGTGTAGTCGTCAGCCAACACTGGGCAGCCTGGAAGTGGAAGGAGGGCTTCAAAGTAGGTCCTGGCCTCAAGAATGATATTGGCTGGGCCGAAGCTACCGCCGTAGAATTGGGTTTAAGATTGGTCCTTCACATTGGGCTAGTCGAGCAACAGGAACTGAAGGGTGGCATGGTTTTAGTCTGTTCTGACAATGCTGGAGTCGTAACAGCCATAAACAAGGGCCGTTCACGCAACCATGCCACAAACATGGTACTGAAAGAGATATACTTACTACGGGTAAGTTCTACTCTACACATGGCATCCTCCCCTAAAATTCTCGATCACACCACAACACACAGGCTTACCACAGCTTCCAACTCAAAGTCGAACATGTCCCTGGGGTGATCAACATATCAGACCCACTATCACGCGGCGAAATACACACATTCCTAAGCAGTCTGTCTGGCCCATCACACAACACACCTTTCCCACTTCCTTCGCATCTTATCAACAAGTTGTCATTTGTTACAACTTAACATCGATTGAAACTAGCACCACTCCCAAAGAACCTCTGGTTCTTCGCCCATCATCGCTCCGTCCAACTTGCCCAGCTGAAAGTTGCATTTTCCTCTGGTGTGGGGTTAACACACCACCACCTTCTACTATTGACCATCCGATAATTAATTTCCTGGCTGACATTTCAAGTCACGCATCACTACGAGAATCAGCAAGCTACGGCTCTGGTCTTCACAAGTTTCACTTATTTTGTGATATATTTTCGGTTCCTGAATCAAACTGCCTGCCAGCCTCATTCGAAATCCTCCACTCATTTGCTCTCTGGGCTGCGTCAGACCTATCCTTAGCTGAGCCGATTCTCAAATCACCAGCAACAGAAACAGTTCCCTTCAAGCCAGTATCAGTAACAGTCGTCAGGAAGTACCTCTCAGCAGTGCGGGCTTGGCACCTAGCCCAAGGTTGGCCACCACCATTATCATCCAAGCACCTAACACATATAAACTGGTCACTCCGGGGATTGGAAAATTTGCAAGGATCACGCTGCAAGCCACTTAGACCTCCAATAACCCTGCGCATGCTTTCAGCCAACCCTCCAGCTCAATCAACCATTCGACACATGCATATGGGCAATATTGAGCTGCACCTTTTTTGGCATGATGCGTTTTGGTGAAGTCACCGTCAACTCCCATGCAGATTTCGATGCATCAAAACACATCACTTGGAAAGACATATTTTTTGGTGTTGATCTTGTTGGAAAACTGTACACTAGACTCGACCTCCCAAGTGCCAAAACAGCCAAGCCAGGAGAATCTCAATCAGTTTTTATAGTAGAACAAGGGGAACTCTGCCCACTGGAGGCGCTATGGAACTTGGCCAGGGTAGTTCCAGCACTGCCTAATGACCCTTTGTTCTCATGGAGAGACAACAAAGGTTTGATCCACCCAATGGTCAAAATCTGGGCCATCAAAAACATAAACACAATCTTGTCTGCATGGGACTGGGGCACGACATTCGGACATTCATTTCGCATAGGCGGGGCATCTTTCTACTTAGCCAAGAAGGTAGACTCAGAAGTGGTGCAGATAGCTGGTTGGTGGAAATCCTTAGCTTATGAAACATACATCTGAGCTTTCAAGCAGATCATGACGCAGCACCTCGGTGGTCTCACTAGCGACTCCCAAAACCACTCCTAAGCCAGCTCGCTCTGTTGGGTTTGGCCACTGATATCAGCCGTGGAGAGCTCATCAGCCTTTGGGTAAGCGGCTCATTCCCTCAGCGTCCAGCCCGAGCTAATGCTCAGACCCAGCCCAACCTGACGACACCTTCATACTTGATCCATCTTCACCTCGCAACAGTCGAAGTTGGAATGAGTAAGGTGCTGATTTGGAGCCCGCCGGAGAGTCAGTACCATGCGTCCAACTGAGCGAAATACCTCTGGTTTTCCTTTGTTCTTTTTCAAATCTTGAATCATTCTCTAAGGACTTTTGAACGGACAGCTATCTTTGTTTCACTTATTCTAGTCGTTTAGCATAGTATATCTCTACATCTTATTCTTTATGCCCTCCCGCCCACTGCTTACTTGCAGTATTTACATTAAAACACTCTAATCGATTTGCCTCACACTGGCATCACCAAAAATTGCTGTTCGTTTGTTCCTGCCCACCCAGCGGCTCATTCCCTCAGCGTCCAGCCCGAGCTAACACTCGGACCCAGCCCAACCTGACAACGCCTTTGTACTCAATCCATCTTCACCTCACAACAGTCGAAGTTGGATTGATATAAATGCAGCCCATGATGCGGAGAAGACTGTCGCAAATTTCCTAGAGCCATTGCAATGGTCATGGGGATATCATTCTCACAGTATCACATGCTGTGACAATCTGTTACAATGCTCAATAATTGTTGTCATGTCTGATTTCATATTGAAATAACATTCCCATACATCATGTGCCGTTTCAACTGATTGGAACATTGTGCTGAATTGATAATGCTTACACTGTTCATACTGTTTATATCGACATCAAATTGCTGTATTCTTATTATATGAAGACTTCGAATGCCACCTGAGTGGACCTCAACCTGCAACATATGTGGTCAGACATTCAAGAGCTGAGGGCTTGCTGCCCACCAGAAGGCCTGCAGGAGGGATGCTATGCGGCTGCAGGAAGACCGGGAGAGGCAAAAAGCTCGAGCAGGTGAGTCAATTCTTTGTTTATATGGTGTACACTGAGTATATCAAGTCCTCTTGACAGCTCAAGCCCAGCCTGAATGGCTAGATACTCAACATTGGCCAGCTTCTGTACTATCTCAATGACCAGGCACATCCCTTGCCCCAGGTTTGATTCTGCTTAATGTCTGTCTGTTTTATCAAATTAATAGGCTCACATACAGCTCCTATCACTCATGAACCTGCATACAATGAGTATGTAAGGCCCGACGAAGGTGTGTTATCATTTCTTTTTATCAATACATTTAGATTTCTGAATTGGATCACATCATTTAGGTTCATTCATGCTACACAAAGAGACTCCTGAAAATGAGCGTGTCCTGCCACCTACATTTCAGCCAAACGATATCAAGACCAAATATCATCCGCGCAGTGGCATTGCCATGAAAATTGATCACATTGCTGATTTCCACCACCACGCTGCCACTTGCTCACAAGTACCTGAAAATCTCATACCTTGGGAACCCTTTTCATCACGCATCGACTTCAACTTTGTGGAACTGGTCCTGAAAACAAACCTTACTAAAGTACAGACCAATGAGCTTATTAGTCTCATCTGTCACACTGCATTTGAACAATTCTCAGTCACTGACTACAACAGCATTTGTAAGATGTGGGATGCAGCATCCCCTCGCCATGCAAAAGTAAGTCTGAAACCAATGATGCTATACCTCACTTACAATCGATTTTTAAGTACAGTTCAAAAAGGAGGTAATTTTGGTCTCGCATAGGGACCAGGAGTATACATTTGATGTTTGGCATAGGCCGCTCTGGGACTGGGCTTGTGATTTGTTGAAAGACCATCGCCTTGGTCCACATTTTGTATTTGATGCCCAACGCCTGTACAAATATGATGGACAAGACTTTGTGCATTTTTTTGATGAGCCATGGACCACTAATGCTTTTTGGGATAGTCAAGTATGTATCTGTTACTGTTTTTACTGTTCTGGTAATGTAATAAATGGTGCGCTTTATAGTCATCTTTGCTGAAGGATGAAGGAAAACCCTTCACATTTATCATATATGCTGACAAGGCGAAACTCTCATCATTTGGTTGTCAAAAGGCATATCCTGTCATTGTGCGATGTGCAAACCTACCTGTTGGGATACGCAATGGTGAAGGGTTTGGTGGTGGTCGACTCGTTGGTTGGCTTCCAATCATATGTCACTATTCAATTCAGAATGAACTTTGATGCTACAAGCTAACTCTTGCAGGTCGAAGAAGATAGGCAATATTCTGGAACGCAGTCCTGGGTCAATTTCAAAAATGTTGTCTGGCATGAATCATTTAAGTGTCTTCTCAAATCACTTGCACCACTTTCAAAAACAGGCTTTTGGGTTAAGTGTTGGGATGGTGTTGAATGTCTGTTTTACCCACTTATTCTCATCCTATCAGCTGACTATGAGGAACAGTATGTATATCACTTTTACCATTGTAGGTTTCTAACAGCTGTTCTACAGATGTGTCATGACCTTGATACGCAGAACAAATTGCAAGTTCCCTTGTCCTGTCTGTCTCGTTCCTAAAGATGAACTTGGCAATGTCCTCATGCCATATCCATTTCAAACGAGTGCAGCAGTGCAAGCCACACTTCTGGAGGCATAAAGTCAGGCTTGAAAAGAAGATAAGGAGAAAATCTTGATGTCTCAAGGCCTCTGGGATGTCGACATAAGTTCCCTATTACTGCGTCTTTGCTCCCATCTCTAATTATTCATTTAAGAACTCATTTTCAGATATTGCTCACACGGATGTCTATTCTGCGGTCTCATTTGACCGCTTGCACGTAAATAATGAAGGCAATTTCTCTGATCATCTTTGGACCCAGTTTCAAGAACACATCAAATTAGTCGGCCAGCAGGCACAGGCCAAAATTGATGAACAGTACATTTTTTTATCTTTGGGTATAGCAGATACAGTAACTTTACCATTTGAATAGCTTTGACTTGATGCCACATTGGCAAAACCTCAACCACTTCAACCACATCATGGATATATCTTTTTCTGACGGCTCAAAGTATGAAGATATTTCAAAGGTAAGCCAGTTTCATTGATTCTGAATTGTACTACTGATATTTCTGTAGATCATTGTATTTGCAGCCCATGATGTCATCAACCGAGCCTCCGAATCTCATGAGCTCCCTTATCTGCTTCTTTGTTGCATGCGTGAATATGTTTATGTTGACATGTATGCAGCTCTCGAAGTACATACATCCAAAACCATTGTTGCAGGCCATCAAGCTGTGAAAGAGTTTACACAACTGTTGGATGTAAGTTGCTTGTTGTGCCACCGTTCAAGTGTCACTTATGGTCTGGATTGTATAGCAATATAGTGAGAAGGACGACTCAGGGAAGAACTGGGCTCACCCAAAACGACATGCGCACACTCATTTGTTTGATGATATCGAGGCAAAAGGTGCTACGCACAACACAAACACCAAACCAAATGAGAAGTGTCATGGCCCGATCCGACAAACTTATCTTTGGTGCACAAATTTCAAAAACATTGCTGAACAGGTGTGTGCTCTCATTTCTTTGCAAAGTCTGACAGTTTTTCATTTGATCCTATACAGGTACTTCACCTCGACCACTGATTCCTCATCGCACATTCAATCCATTTAGATATTGAAGATAACGATGAAATTGTTGCATCTCGGTGTAGAAAGCTGATTCCCGCTGGGCTCAGCAGAAATTGTACTACCTAGACAACAAATATTTAGGTAGATCTTAGCACGACCTATGCTGCTATACTTGCAGAGCAAGTGCATTCGATCCTAAAGGGATTGCTAATTGGTATTAGTAGTAAAAATGTGTCAGTAATGCAAATAACAAAATGTCCGATGGTGCGAAACGATGTCCGAAGGTAATCCGATGATGTCCGAAGGTACTTATCCAATGTCCGAAGCCAAAGTGCGATGTCCGAGATTTCGGACTTTCGGACTTCACAATAATGAGTCGGAAACTTTATAACGAGTGTCGGGTTGCGAGCGGTATGCGCAAGTATAACGAGTGACAGAGTATGACGGTGAACAAATGGTAATATTTCACAATGCAACTAAGAACTACGAGAATATTCTGGGTGATCCGCAGAGTCGGGAAATGGCTCCTAACTACTGGATGATGATTGCTACGGGTCACTACAGAGTATTTAAGTAAGTACATAGAAATTCGGAAAACTACAGGCAAAGATAGTAGTGATATATTTTGGGTCCAATGTCCTATGTAATAAGACACAAGGTGCTGTGGACATGTAATAATGCGGTACAAATGTCAGAAAACATGCACGGGAATAACTACGCACCTAGTGAGGCCAGTTTGGATGGACAGGACACGGGATGGACAAGTGCACGCAAAGTGTGATCAGCCGATGCGATGTCCGAAGGTCCGATGTGCCGGATCCAATACGGAGTGGCTCGGACATGTGCAAAAGTGCATCGGACATGTGCGCATATGTTTTGGGTGTTGACGTGAGTATGGAAATACGTGGTTTTGAGCCCAACACCGCGACCATCGCTACATCAGAACAACCATTTAATTTCAGGCAGTGAGGACAATGAAGACGACCTCAACAGTGATCCTGACAATACTGTCCACATTAAGTTAGGTGCAGCGCAAAATGAGCAGACATTTGAAGACTTGGAGCGACTGCATGCAAATGACAATGTACTTTCTGAGCTATACAGTCTACTTCCATCGCATATCCACCCTCTTGTGGTAGATCACCACTTCACTGATGGTGTGAGTGACATTTTTTGTTTTAGTAAGTCTCCGAGCTGATAGTACTCAAGTTTGAGGATGCAATGAACAGTAGCCATGCATCTGAAATCAAGAAACTGCGCTCCAAAGCTGGGGTTATCTTCAGTCTCCCTGAACAATATTTTACTGATATCACATATGATTGAGCAAGTGTTCCTGAGATCCAGAAACTTCTTGGTATCTCAGTATCACAGCGAACTCTGAAGCCCTTCCCACCTGTCCTTTTTCCCAACCTGGTTGAAGATGCATCACTCAAAACGATCTTTGGAAACTGGCAAGTCTTCGGAAAGGTGCATCGAGTCTTGATATAAAACTTTATCTTATTTAATGTGCTTTCAGATCATCCATATAGTACCATGGGGTGAAAACGGCTTGACTGCGCTATGAGCAGGAGGACCTCCATGTAATGGTAATAAGTGGGAGATAACTTCCTTGACACCTGGTTTATTGGCATGGGCAGCAGTTGTTGTAAGTTTTGCACATATCGAAAGAGTCCATCCATTGATGCAATTTTGTCAGGTTATATTTCTGCTTAGTGCTGACAAAGAGTTTCACTATTCTGGCAAGGGTGAGACCACAAGGATCCAATATAGCTACATGTTCTCGTTGTACAAGAAGATTATCATCAAGAACTGGAATACAGAATACACGCGTGACATCATGAAGGAACTCAATAGTTTTATTTTCACCAAGGGTTCGAGAATGGTTGATTCAATGTCAGATGAAGAGGACTTCACAGCAGTAATGGATCATGCCTTGGCAGGCATAACTGAAGGTGAGGAGAACGCCGTGATACACGAACTGATACAGGATATGATGGATGAAACAGTTGCTGATGATGAGCATAGCGGAGGCAGATCTAGAGCTAATAGTGCTCTTACAGAACCTGAGGACAAAGTTATTACAAATGTTGCACCTAGACATGTCAGGGGTCACCAAAGGGGCAGGGGAAACCAGTGTTCTGTATCCAGTACCACTCGCACCACCTGCAACACTGGTACTTAGTGCTTACCTACATGTACTATATCTTTACGAGCTTTGCGAGACTTTAATTCAATGCATTGATATTATCATCCCTAATAAGGCTATAGAGTGGTCCTTCAATAGAGTTTCAGTTTCCTCATAAGAAAAGCCTTGTAGTCTAGTGGTTTTGCTTCCTGATTGTATATAATAATAGTTGTACAATAGTCTAGGTAGTCACCAGTTCGAATCAACCTAAGTGCAAGTAAAATAGTGTAATAATGTAATAGATAGATAATGTAATATGATATGATTAGATAGTAATAAATATGAAAACATTGTAGACAGTCGATAATAATAAATAGCAGATTCTCATAGTCACAATATCATTCCCACGGACTGTAGCCTCATTTTAATGCAATTGCAATAACATAAAATTCAACATTACAATGGAAATTACAATAGGCATTGGCAGCAATTGGCGCCACATTGCCACCGGCATTACCATCAGCACCTGTCAGCATTTCAAAATGGGGCTTACATTGCATTCCCATTGCCATGGCCGTGTTGTCATTGTGGCATTACAAAGTATTACAAAGCATTAAAATGAGACTCAGAAATTTCTGACAACTGTACAGGAACTGGAGCCTCTGAGCTGTAAGTCAATGTAGTTTCAGTTCACATTGTTTCAGTTTGCAATCAATTCAATTCAGGTATAATTCTAGCAGTGTCTCACATGCATATCAAAGCTGCGAAAAACAGAGCTCATGGACTGCGCACCATTCATAAGTCCTCGTTTTGGCACTGCTGTCTAGAGACTAGAGGTAGAGCGGACAAGATCTAACAGGTAAGAAAATGATCTCAGTCTCTGAAAAGAACTGAGACACTCGTGTTTTTGGGCGCTACTATTTATACGGTAAGTGTTTTCAATAATTAGGCAGGTGAAATTTTAACTTGGACCTATTGGTCCTGATGTCAACAGCTCCTTCTCTGTTCCTCCTGCCCCTGACATATCCCTTGCACTTGTACCTCCTATTTGGCATCCCAAGTCTCTCCATGCTCAGTATCATCAGTCAACATCAATATGCTGGACCCAAGGTTTACTAATCACAATGTAGATGTGATGGAAACAGTGAGACCTATTAATGTCATGACAAGATTGAATGAAATACAAGCAATGATAAATGAAAACCACATGATGTTACAAGAGACCCAAACTATGTTACAAGAGACCTGAGCTATGGTCATGAACGTCAAACTTGCAAGCCAAAATGCTAAGGTGCCACAGGAACAAGATCATTACAAACCTCTTTAAAAAACTGTGAGTCGGGTCCGTTGTTATATCTGTCCTCACATGCTAAAGTGTCCCTTCGTTATTGTCATAGAGGAGTGGTCATGGTCATGAACTAGCATTGCAAGTAGCAAGGCCAGAAAGCATCATTCACCTTCCCCTGATAATCATTATCCAGACCTCTGCATTAGGGACTGTCCCTCCCTTTTTTGACCACAATACAGATGCATGTTACAAGAACATCTAAATGCTTGGGCCCCTACCATTTTTCTCCTTATCTTCCTCGTCTCCGCCCTTGCATCACACCCTTACCCTGACCTTGCTCTTGTTATCCTCGTCATCCTCACATTCCCCTTCGCCCTCTACCTGTCGCTCCAGCAGAGCCAGTACATTTGGCCAGACCCTTTCTCTGATGAAGCATACCCATGCTCCATTCCACCCATTGACTGATCCTGTGGACAGTCCCCTTTACCCTTACCATCCAGACGGTAACCTATGATATGATGCACGCTGCATCCCCTTTGCCCTGTTTCCTTTCTTGATCTATGACTTGGTGCGCAGTCGCACAATTGTGCCCTGCTTGTTTCACTTCCTGTTTCTGTTCTTTGACTCATTTCTTATCTGCACATTCCAGTTCACCTATGACTCACCTTGAACATGCCTTCCTTTTCTAGTATCACCCTTTGACCAGTTCCCCTTCCGGTAGTACGAGTTATCATCCACTAATATGCTTCCTCTTCTCTATATAAACTCACTACCATGTATCTAGTTCCTTAACTTGAATCTACTTGGTTCTTGACCTCCTACTCCTAACAAGAGTGATTCTTTCTGCTTAGCCAGCAGCCTATATTCTACTTTCTTATCTGCTCATCACGGATAAGTCTTTAGTCTCGATCTTTACTCATCAACTTCATCAACGAGCAAAGCCCCTGTTAACTAGTTGGACTTCTGTCCTTCTATTAACACAGGCTCTTACGATTAACCTTCGGGTGTCATAAGCCTTGGCAGATACACTTATCGTTGAGCCCCACTTGACATAAGCTACCCGATTTGGACATAGGCATTAAATCTTACTTGCCGAAGCTTCACCAAGTAAGACCCCTAACCTTGGGCTAGTTCAGGGACATCCTCAACCATTGACGACACACGCTCTGTTTGAGCATTGTCAACAGATACTATCCAAGTCCATAACAATGCATATACATTAGGAACAATCAATTCTCTCATTATCTTCTACAATGATGATTTCGACATAGAGAGGGAGGATAGCTTGGAGATTAGGAAGATAAAGTTTTGTTGCTGGCTGTGTATTTGATTATCGCTGCAGTCACTCAGTTTCTGATTCATTGGTGTCTTCTAAGCCTTGTTCCTTTTATTGTTAGAAAATAAAAACTTGCCTAGGATCTGTTACAAACTTGAATAGTGTCTGTTGGCGATGCTCAAACAGAGTGTGTGTCATCAATGGTCGAGGATGTCCCTGGGCTGGCCCAAGGTTAGGAGTCTTGCTTAGTGAGGCTTCGGCAAGCAAGGTTTAACGCCTATGTCCAAATTAGGTGGCTTATGTCAAGTGGGAACTTGACAATAAGCATATCTGCCGAGGCTTACGACACCTGAAGGTTAATCGTAAGATCTGCATTAATAGAAGGACAGAAGTCTGACTAGTTAACAGGGGTTCTGCTCAACAACGAAGTTGATGAGTAGAAATCGAGACTAAAGACTTATCTGCAATGAGCAGATAAGAAGATAGAAGATAGACAGCTGGCTAGGCTGAAGGAATCACTCTGATGAGAGTAGGAGGTCAAGAACCAAGTAGATTCAAATTAGAGAACTAGTTACATGACAGCGAGTTTATATAGAGGGGAACGATGCGTATTAGTGAATGGTAACTCGTACTGCCAGAAGAAGGAGTGGTCAAAGGGTAATACTAAAAGAGGAAGCACATTCGAGGTGAGTCATTGGCGAACCGGAACATACAACTGCAGAATGAGTCAAAGAACAGAAATAGGAAGTGAAACAAGCAGGGGCACAATCTGGAGGATTAATACAATCACACGGGTCTGAAACAAGCAGACACTCTGCTTTAGATAAGTGAAAGTAAGTAAATGGAAATATAGGTATCTTACCTCAGTCGTTGCGCGCGAAGGAAAACATCTGAGGTGTTGGGATGAATCTGTAGCTAACTAAATACCTTACACGCTCTTGTGCAAGTGAGTAGGTAGTTGAGACAAATACAATGGCACTGGCCATAGCAAACAATAGTATCAGTAAGTATAATGACGAGTCAGTGTAACAAGAGCGGAATATACAGGCCACTGGGTATAACAAACAAAGGTAATAGCACATGACATTGCACCTTGGCTGTGGGCGCACTTGTTCTGTTTCCAATACAATTGTGCAACTGCACACTGAGTCATAGAACAAGAAAAGGAAACAGGGCAAAGGGATGCAGTATGCATCATGTCATAGGTTACCGTCCAGATAGTAAGGGTTAAGGGGACTGTCCACAGGATCAGTCATCGGGTGAAATGGAGCATGGATATGCTTTAGGGATCTGCATGGGTGAACCCGCGGGTGTCAGCAGGTCAACCCCCACCCGCACCCTGAGAAAAACCCACACCTGCAGCAAGGGTACGGGTTGCACAGTGGGTAGTGAAAGAAGGACCCGGGGTACAACCCATCAAGGGTGTACCCGCGGGTAACAAATACTATGGGGAAAAACTACGACATGGTGTAGTAAACTACTCAACAATAATTTGATCCCACCCGTCATTGAGCTCCTGTTCATCACCTTTGACATCAGGCAAAGAACTGATGCTGACAACGTCATCAGTCTTGACCAGGTTGAGTTTGCTCCAAAAACTGAGGCACAGCAGTGCGCACATCGATTGTGCAGATAAGCGTGAGCACACATGTGAGAGTAAGAGCCGTCCTCAGCTGAATAGTCGTTCAACGTCAACTGATGTGGCTGTTGATATTATTAGCTGTAGTATATGCAAGTTCAATCAAAAAAAACTCACCAGGAATAGTAAGGTAGTCCAGCGCCATCCGCGATAGACGAGGGTAGGTGGTACGACGTTCATGCCACCATGCGAGTGCATCAGGCACATTTTCGATGTTGGAGGTGAGATAGTGCTCGAGCTCATCACGGAGATCAGTTGATTTTGGCAGAGCGAGGGCAGGCATGTCATCAAACATGTTATTCATCTAGAATAGAATCAGTAGTCAGTAGTTACAGTTAGAAAAAAAGATGTACCTTATGCAACGTCTCTGTAGGTAAAGTCTCCATGTCCAAGTCATTGTCTTGAAGGTCGGCATCCAAGGCTGAATAAAGAGTAAATTGGTCATGGACAAGCTTTTCAGCTGTCGTGATCCAATCGTCCTCCCATAGAGCGTTCCTGAAATATACGAGCTTGTGACGCGGGTGTAGTACTATAATATGTGTGAATGTGAGCCATCAGAACAGAGACAAAAAAGAACGAACCCATGGCAATGCGATAGACTTCAGATTGATCTGTAAGTTGATAGTACCGGTTAAGTGTTACCTTTGCCAGCTGAACAGCTGAGCGGATTGAAGGATTGAAGGATGATACTGTCTGTTGCAAGAGTATGTAGTGAGCTTTTCATCAATGAGATCCATGGCTGGAATCATGGTGGCTAGATTAGGTGTCGAGCGGGAGAAAAATAGTGTTGCGTCCTTTAGAATCTACATAGACACATAGACCAAACAATTGTTAGTCCATGTGTTGTGCGGATCTTCCCGGTGCTTACCTTGAGAACACTCCTCAGTTGTTCAGCAATTGCCCACTCCTCATCATTCAGCTCAAACTTCCGCAGACCGAGATCTCAACATTGAGTCACGGTATCAACGGCCTCCCGATGCTCAATCGCATATTCCAACATATCGAATGTGGAGTTCCAGCAGGTCGAAACATCACGTGGCATGAGAGTAACAGGTGCCTGCAAGTCTTCAAGAATCTTACGCCATGCTGGGAGGACTATAGTCGTCGAATGTATAACTTTGTAGGCCAGTTTACGGAGCTAGAAGAGAGATTAGATTTGAAGGTGCGTGTTGGTGTCTTTTTGTTCTTACCTTCACAAGGGCTAACTTCACAGGAAGAATACTCTTTTCCAGCGCGAGTCGTTCATCAGGATCGAGCTCTCCGACTTCGTCAACCCAACCGTCATCATTATCCCTACCATTGTTATCCCCAACACCATATTCAGCTATCATCACTGCTTCCTCTGCATCAATCCCCTTGCTCAATACCTCCAGCTGCTCTGCTCTATCACCACTATTCTCAGGCTCATCCAAGGCTTTGTCAGCCTCTTTCTTCGTTACATCAAACTCGCGAATGAGCGATTTCACTACGAGGTTTACTGTATGGAGAAAACACCGTGTATGGCTTGTGGCCCCCCCAAACGCTGGTACCTCAGCTGCAAGGTTCTCAACCATGACATTATTATTGGAAGTGTTATTGCATGTTACACTCAAAATCTGGGCCGCACAATATCAATTTGTAAGTTGTCTCGTCTCTTTTAAAATTTACCTTGTCTGAAATGCCAAATTCCTCAAGCATCTTTGCAAACACACTCGCCAGCTCTTCACCTGTGTGGGACTAACATAGCATTAGCTGCTGCGGCTCTAACAAGGTAAGTTTCTCACCTTAGCTACTTCAATTATATCTAATGTTAGGCTTAGTGGTATGCCCTTGTGCTCGAGGTGCACCGAGAACGCCACGAATGCTCGATGGTTTGGTGAACTCCAAGCATCCGTTGTAAAATTTATCTTGCTGTCATATTCCTGGTGAGGTTTTTCATTTGAATATTTCAAAGTGCGTGATCTGAACTAACTTGTAACATTTTAGCAACTCATTGACGAGTCTGAGCGAACACAAGTCGAACATCACGCAAAATTGTGGATGGCGAAGGTATGTAATACTCTGGCCTTCCAGTCTTCATCAATGATTGAAATCCCCGATCCTTGACTATCTCGAACGGATGCAGGCTCTCCGAAACCCAACGCACCATCTCTGCCCTGGAAGAAGACAATTTAGGCTTAGGTGCCATCAGCAACAACATCAAGACCTCACCTTGTTTCTCCACATGTGTGCTGACAGTGCGAGTAAGTCAATTTCCCCTTTCCTTTCCGTTCGAAAGATGCCACGATTGACCCGTTTTTTAGGATACTTCCGACAATTTTTGCTCGCACTTCATCTGCATCTTTGGCATTGTCTGCAGCATTGAGTGCATCTTCCCCCCAGCAAGATTTTACATGTTTGCGCATGTTCCCCATCAATCACGCATCCTTTTTGTCCAGGAATCGTCGGATCGTCGCCTTGCATCCTTTTGCACAGCACTTGAATTCATGTGCACGTCGACCACCAACTTCAGTGATGCGGGGAGTTGGGTCAAAGAATGCATAAACAGGTGATACCCATTCTTTCATGAGCCTCGCTGTTGCTAATTAGTGGTGCTATGTTTGTATAGCAGGAACATACTTCGCTCGTCCTCAGCACTTTCTGGACCTGAAGCCTCGCTACCAGCCTCGTCTCCACTTTTCTCACTCATGTCATCAATGACAATGGCATTGTTATACAATGCTTCTTCCTCTTCCTCGGTGCGAACAATGACACGGTGAATCTTACGAGGCTCTGCTGCTGTTCTCACATCAGATGGAGGTGGAGAGGCCTCGGCTACCGGTCTATCTTTGGATATATCTGCAGGAGGATTTTGTTTTGCCTTCTTTGACTTGTTGGAGACTGCACTTGCACCATTTGCATCAATCATGCGCTTCTTTGACGGTCTGGAAGCTTCAAGTCTCTCTTCAAGTGCCGCTTTAGCCTTGTCCGTGAGTTTTGTGACTCGTTTTGCAGCTGCAGTAAATATGTTTGGTTGCATGGCTGGATGTGAGGTAGCAGTCTAGGACAGGTATGCTTAGGATGACAGGACCAAAAGATTTTTTCAACAGTTGTGGCTTCTTTAAAGTTTGGTTTGGTTTGACGTAGGTACTATATCTTGATTAGGTAGCAATATATTGTGTTTCGATGGTCTAACCCGTGTGCGGGTATGGGTATAGGTACGGGTGCCATAAAAGGCAACCCCCACCCATACCCCAGGTGTACCCCTACCCATGACCTGTATGGGTTACCCATACCCACGCAGTTGCCTAATATGCTTTGTCCGAGAAAGGGTCTGGCCAGATGTACTGGCTTTGCTGGAGTGAAAGGTAGAGAGCGAACAGGAATGTGAGGATGACAAGGATGACAAGAACAAGGTTGAGGTAAGGATGTGACAAGAGGGCTGAGATGAGTAAGATGAGGAGAAAAATGGTAGGGGCCCAAGCATGTAGATGTTCTTGTAACAGGATTGGCTATTCAAGGAATCGAGAGGTGGTTGACAATACTCTTGTTGATGGTCCATAATGTCCTGCTAGTACTGTGCAGCACTTAGTCGAGGCATTCTACAAAAACTTTTGCAGGGATGGCACAATGGATTCTCGAGGAGTGGCCCGAGCGCTGCACCAAGCGGTCCAGTCATTGGCTTGTGATGCGGACATACCCTTGGACCAGCGCATTAGTAGGCATATGATCAATTCCATGCATCCTCCCACCTCATTGATTAAAGCATTCTCTAATGATTTTGCATGTAGCATTCAGTCATGGCCACACCCAACCTGTTTCCAAGCACCATAATATTCTAGACTTTGAAGCTGCTTCCTATGCCGAAGGCACAACGAGTGTGCGCTAGATGAATATAAAAGCACACTTCGACCACAAGAGAAATATTGCACTGAAGATTGCAGACAGTCACGGACAGTATGAAAAGCCAACACAACGGCACAATGGAACACAGCACGAATAATATTGATGAGAACAAGAAAAGTCATACATTTAAGCAGGTAAACCCCAGATCCTGACTTCCCTTCCGCTCGTAGCCCAGATCTCCTTGCCCTGCTCTCCAAACATCATATCGGACACATCTCCCGCCTCCTCGAAACGTACAAGCTCATCCCACGACTTATGAGCAAACACACAGATGCCTTCGCTGCCTGCGACTCCTAGGTACTGTGCGCTGTAGTCGTACAATACCTTGTTGACCTTGAACCCTTCCCCGAGCGGAATGGTGTGTGCAGTTTTCATCTTCCTCAGGTCCCAGATGGCGACGGAAGAGGGGCTGTCGGGAGCGAGGAGATGGTAACCATTCTCTGAGAATGAGAGTGAATTGACGGTGAAAGGCGAGGCATCTGGTGGTGTGATAGATGCAGCTATGTTACCGGAGCGGACGTCAGATATTTGGATCTTGGATGAGGGAGTACCCAGTGCAAGGAGAGCGCCGTCAGGATGGATTGCAAGTGATGTGAAAGCATCTTCTCCGGGGGCTGACCGGTACACCTGGGTAAAGTTGGAGAGTTCATGGAGCGAATATGTTTTGTCGAGGGAAGACAATGCAAAGATAGAGTTCGTAGGATGCACGACGAGGCCAGTGAGTTCTCCCTTGTGCGTCCGAATGGTTGCTTTTGGTATGTACTCGCTAGAGGCGCTATCATGCGCCCAGATTTTGGCGATTTTGTCTGCACCGGCAGACAAAATCAAAGTCGGTTCACCCTCGTGCTCGCGGAAAGCGACGTGGTTGACTTTCTTCGTGTGACCTTTGAGGGAGGCCAATACCTTGTCTGTACTTCTATCGTACAGCTGGACAATCTTGTCGTTACCACCCGTAAGGAACTGCGACGGGTTAAGACGAGATACGGCAAGAGAAGTCATTCCAGCAGGAGAGGCTGAGTGTAACGACGGGACGGTATGTGTTGCAACGAATGTCTTCACTTCTGCAGTACTTGTGTAACCGGCTGGAGCTTTGCGCTTTTTGCGGGTAGCAGAAAGATTTTGCTGAGTCTCGTCAATCTGGTCGACGATCTCTTTGGGGAGAGCACCCTCTTGAGTACCATTTTCCTCAGCCATTTCTACGTCTTCAGCCGCACCGCTTGCTGGAGCGATTCCCATAGTCGCCTGGACATTAGCCAGAGCTCTGAAATAAGGACAGAACGCGTCAGCGTGATGTAATTAAGAGCATGCTTAGAAAGCGCGTACTCTCTGGCAGCATCGCGTTCTCTTATGAGACGCGCGATGACGCGACTGGCAGCATCCTGTGCATATAGAGCATAACTTAGCTCCTGGCGAGTGGAGTTATACTGTTGCTTCAAGGCAAACATCTCCAATACCAAAGCGTCCCACTCATTTTGAAGCATATGCAATAGAGCAGGGGTAGAAGTTGCGGCAGGAGGTCGTGGTGGCGCTGTTTTGGGGTCTGGTAGACATGGATTAGCAAGTTTGAATTGAATCTTCAGATTGTAACATTAAAGAAAAAAAAAAGAACGGTACATGCTGCTAGGAGAAAAAGCGAAAAATGAGAAAAAAAACTCACTGGCTTTGATGGTCAACAAGTCGGATTCCTCGAGTTTCTCCCCCGTCAACGGATCGGTGCCATTGTCATTGATGTATTTCAGAATCAACCGACGTTCGTAGACTTGGCCAGATTTTGTAGAAATGACCGGGTCCTGAGGAGGTTCGCCAGAGATACTACAAAAAAACATGGCTGCCTATATCAACGAAGACCTAAGTAAGTCTTCATGAGTTGCAAGCATTTGTTGATCCTTATTTGCGACATACTAGATCTTCGGATACCACTAACATGGCGGACAAGAAGCAGCAGCTCGTCCTGTCCATAATCGACTTTTTGAACCAATCCATAGATGATGGCACTGTTAAGCAAGACGACAGGGAAGGTCTTGAAGTCGCCAGTACGTTCTATGTCTTTGTTCATCTCTTTTACGTGCCGTGGCTCATCGAGTACGCGTATTCACGCAGTTCAATGCATCGGCGAGGCATTTGGTGTCGATCCGCTGGACGACAAGCAGCGGCAACGCCTGGACATTAAACCAGCGAAGCTACAGACCATATTCGATGTATTCTTGAAAACAAGAGATAAAATAACATCTTCGCCAGCATCTGCATCTACACCCTCTGCCCCTTCAGCAGAAGCAAAGGCCAAGGCTGAGAAACATAAGCAAACGGGGAATACCCATATGTCAAGTAAGAAGTATGACGAAGCCATTGACGCGTACACCAAAGCTATCGCGCTCGACTCTGCCAATCCCGTCTACTACTCTAACAGAGCAGCCGCATACGCTAGCAAAGGCGATCATGCATCCGCAATCCTCGATTCTGAAAAAGCCATCGAAGTCGATCCTAAATTCGTCAAGGCTTACTCTCGTTTAGGGTGTGTATCTACTATTGATTTCCACGTCATTCGATCTCATTCCACTCCGCTAGGCACGCGCAATACACTTTGGGAGACTACAAAGCTGCCGCTGCCGCATTCAAGAAGGGAGTCGAGCTCGACCCCACAAACGCCAACCTGAAATCTGGTTACAAAATGCTCTGGACCACATTCCTTCTGAAGAAGAAGATGATGACGATGGCCCCCCACCACTCGTACCTGAAGGAGATATTCCATCAGATGCGCCTGCTGGTTTTGGTGCGGGTGGTGCAGGCGGACTGGGTGGTATGGCAAACATGTTCCGCAACATGGGAGGAATGGGTGGGGCAGGCGGCATGCCCGATCTTGCTAGCCTCATGAACAACCCCATGATGATGCAAATGGCACAACAAATGATGGCCAACGGCGGAATGGAAAGGCTTATGTCGAATCCAAATGTTGCTAACATGGTAGGCGTTTTTCCCTCTCTTGTATACACCATTCCGACCTTTTTTTTATTAGATGAATCGTATGCAATCTGGCGGGGCCGCGCCGTCTATGGAAGAACTTATGGCAGATCCAGAGTTGAGGAATCTGTAAGTCGATCTCTACCCGTTCGTCATGTAAATTTGATCTTACCTGTATACTACAGCGCTGGCCAATTTGGAGCTGGAAGGTGATTAAACGGGGTTTTGAGATAGCGAGCTTATGCTGAACATTAATGTACGGATAATCGCTACTGAATGGATTCATGCCTTTGTTACACTCTCGCAAATGTACATGTTGCCAGCTCGAACTGTGTATAGATACAATTAGGGACGATGGGATCACCATCAAATATTACATATAGCCATTATACAAGTACGCGGTAAATATCTGCGATGCAAACGAATGGCGGGCTGATAGGAAAAAAGCCATAAAAAACCGAGCGATGTGAGGAAGAGCACAGACGAAAAGCAACTGAAAGCAATAAAGATACACCTAATAATTCAACAAGGCGAAAGATAATACCAAATCGATCAACAGGGCCAACGTATGTTGGGGGTCAGGTGGCAATTACGAGACCAGTAAAATATCGACGCGATTCAGGTCCACACTGATTTTAGTCAGGGACCCACGCATTATGCGGATTCATGTCCAGGAGAGCAGCTCTGCGAGGGGGTGGAAGCCGGAAGAGGTTTGTGCGCATGTGTTTCAGGGGGTTGTGAGCCAGTGCCATCTTTCCGCATCTTCTCAGCCAATTTGCGACTCAGGGCAGGAGGTACCAAATCCAGCTGAACCGGAAGATCCGTAGGGTGGCCCTGACATATTTAGTTAGACTTAGGTTCAGGATATTGCATAAAGTCAACCTTACATGGGTTAGATGATAACGGAGTCCACTGAGCTGCTTGTACCGATTCGGGCAGCCTTGATGCGGACAAGAATATTGCTTTTTAGTTTTACCATCACTTTCGCCAGTAGATGCCTCCACATGAGGCACAGTGAGGCCATCAATGTAAGAGGTGACGAAAGTTGACACAATAGCGTGTTGGAAATGAGCCTTTGATCTGGGTCATGGTTAGTATTTTCGGCGATGAGAGCATGCATAAGTTCGTACATTTGTAAATGGTACTGTAACCCATTAATACTCTGCCGAACAAAGCCATATTAGAACAAGCTCCCAGCACTTCGGAACCGAAATGACGTGCCTTCCAAGTTTTTCCGCAACCGTCTAAGCCACATCTATACGGTCTCTCCCCGCCAGAGTCTTCTGGATGAGAACTCTTGTTATGGTCTGAAAGACCTCGCGAAGTAGTGTAACAAGCAAGGGAACTCGGTGCGGTCACCGGCCAGCAGCTTTCATGACCGCACGCATATGGCTTTATAGAGGGGCTAAGAAATGACATCGCGTTAGTCAATTGCGTCACTTCCATGAGAAGATGACCTACTCATTTGTGGCGGGCAAGTCGGAGGATAGCCTCAGAGGAGCATTAATGTCAGCACGCTTCCGTACAAATGACTGCCGTGGCCGTGCAGTCGGGCGAGGATTTGGGTCGTCAGGGTTGGGTGACAAAGTATCCTGGGGAGGGCCGCGTTTGGCACCCAATCCGATGGTCTTAGGACTGGTAGTATTTAGATGCGCGTACGCGGATGGGTTGATAGATGCTGAAGGCAGGGCGGATGGTGCAGGATGGAAGTTGGGTGAGATGGTGGTTGGTGAACCTGTATTAGCAACAGGCATAGGAGCCCGATGCCCGTTGAGCTCGAGTTCGTTTGATAATGAATGAAATTGAGGCTGCAATTGTCCTTTGAGTTGTGGCTGATAATAGTCTCCACGAGCTTCAGGTGCTGTTGTCGTGGGTCGCGAAATTGAGCTGATGTCTTGGTGTCCAGGCACCACGTGTTCAGAGGATGGATAGTACTGGTTGCAGGGCGTCAGGTGTAATGCACTATCGATAGGTGAAACGGGGGAACAATTGTCTGATGAGGATGAAGACGAGAAATACTCGTGGGGAACGCTGCAGACGGAGGATGAATCGGGTGATGGCATCACAACATGCTCAAGCTGTTGGCGATGATGAGCCACGTAGTAGCTGTCAGTTGCCTCGTGGGTTAGGCCTAGCGCCGTAGGGACTAATGCAGCGGAAGGACCCTGAGAAGTAGTCGGATAACACGAATCTTGAGACAATTGTGGAGAAGTTTCTCCATCACGGATCAATTGATGGTGGCACTCGTTATGACGAGGCACGGGCGAATAGTATTCCGAAGCACGTTGTGGGGGAACGGGTGTATGAGATGGCACAGGTGTGGGAGCGAGGCTTCGTTGGATCTCATTATATTGATGTTTAGCAACGTGGTCCTCATACACAGGGCGATGTCCAACAGCATAGTCCGTGACTCGAGTGGCGTTGACAAGAGATGGATCGAGGACTACCCCATAGTCAAAAACCGCGGTCGCATTATCGGCCGGCGGAACGGAGGTAATAGGGTGTGGGACGGCGTGAGTTTCCCCCATTTGGTAAGAGCCGCTAGGGGCCGCGGTACTTTTATCATACCTCATTGCAAGAGTGTGCGGAGAAGACAAGGCCGAACTTAATGATGAAGACGAATAATGAAATGGGGGCGGAAGATTGTCAACGTGCTGTATCGACTGTGGATGGGAAACTGAGGTTTCTACACTGCCCAACAATCCCACGTCATTGTGAGACCTTACGTGGCTATGTTGCTGTCCAGATGCTAGGGATGGGCCTCCGTCAAACTGAGATAGATTTTCACCCCAATATTGCCTGGGATTGAGCATGGGTGGTGGTGGCCAAGGTGTGGGATCGGGGTACGTTAATATAGGGCTTGATAGGTCTGAAGACATAGTCGATGACAATTTTGAAACTGCGACACCCTGAGGCTCGGTTAAGTTGTGTCTTTTTCGCTCCAGAAGCCTCCACCTAAGGAAAAGCGGACGTGAGTTACGTGAGGGCTATCTATACGTGCGGAAGAAACAGCACCTGTTACGGCAGGCTAATCCGCTGCGCTGTAACTCCTGGCCGACTTGGCCCCATCGTCCAGCCAAACGTGAGTACGCGTCAAAGAGTTTGTCGTCCTCTTCCTTGGACCATTCGTCGCGTCTGAGGGAGGGGTCGAGTGCCTCACGATAACGTTTTGAACAAGCGTCGTCAGTGCGACCAGGAATATGCCTCGCAATCACAGACCACTTTGTTGAATGAACTTCGTAGAGTTCCAAAAGTAGATGGTCTTCCTCTGGCGTCCAGGCAGATTTCTTCACATTCGGTGATAGGGAATGGAGCCATCGCTGTTTTTGAACGTATTGGGAGAACTGAATTGGGATTTATGAGATCAACACTTGCCTTCCTGCAGGCCTTATTGGTCCTTTCCGGGACACAGTGGGCGACGGCCTTCCAGTTGTCTGACTCTCCATGAATGGCAACGGCATTGGCGAGAAGACGGTCCTCTTCAGCAGTCCATGGCCGACCGACGATGCGCTCGGTCATGATAAAGCTTAAGTAAGATAATAGGAAGAAGTTTAGAAAAAAATGAGGGGTTTAGTGCTAGGCCTCGAGGAAAGAAGGCTGCAACCCATCATCAATTAGAAAACAAATGAAAATCTCCCATCACACGGAATTACATAAAGGTTTCACTTTCGTTTTGGAAATTATTTACCACGCCTTCCTTTGCTAACTGGCACCAACTACTGACCAAGACTGTCGGTAAACGTTCAATCATGTCTGCTGCTTATTCTTCAGACGAGGACAATTTAAATGATGCATTTGGCCTGTCAAAACTTCCTATCGGCAAAAAACCGCGTACGGGCCAGGACAAACTTGGGTCTCAGGCCGCTCCACATGTCCTCGCTGAAGTGAGTCTTTAGAACTTCACTTCATTCATGCACCATGTCACTCACTATGCTTTTAGGATCCTCTGAATCAAACCTCACTAGTGACCCGGCCGACAGACACGCAGATGAATGTCAACATTCCCTACAATGAGATGATGCTGCCGCTGCAGGGTCCCGATAATCCATTTGGTGATTCAAATCGGTTTGTCAACCAGAATGCACTTGCTGGCCATGTGGAAGAACAGTCCATGTCAGACCACGCGTTCAAGGCCCAGCATTTAACACATTCCATTCTTGGCTACTCGGTCAATCCGTCGATCGATCCAAATGCACCGTCTATTCTCGGCTCACTCGAAAAGGCCCAAGAAAATGGCTTTGCGACAATCGATACTTTACGAGCTACCAGCTCTCAAAAAAAGGAATTGAAAAGAAAGAGAAAAAATAAAGGAGATCTTGATGTCGTTGAGGGTGAAGGCGCGTATGTCGGACCTTGGGCTGCATGGGATGGAGAAGAGGAGATTGGATTCTTGGATGGTGTTGAAGACACTGGTGATGAGCCGCAGGAAGAAGAGGAGCCCGAGCCCGTAATTCCGAAGAAGAAAGCGAAACCAAAGCCTGGCGCCTATGGCCAAGAAACTTCCGTCTTCCATGGAAAATCGATGACCGACTACCAAGGCCGAACATATATGCATCCGCCATTGGCGGAAGCGCCTCATCTTGTGAGTGAGGCAGGCTCGCAAGAAACGTTTATTCCAAAGACGTGCATCCATACTTGGACGGGTCATACGCAAGGTGTTTCGGTAATCCGATTATTCCCTGAAACTGGGCACCTTCTTCTTAGCGGATCTATGGACACCAAAATCAAGGTACGTTAATTGTTTTAACCTATTCGGATCTAAACCGACTCATTACCATTACCGTCAGCTGTGGGACGTGTATACTCATGGCAACTGTCTCAGGACTTTTCATGGCCACGTGCAAGCCGTTAAGGACGTCACGTTCTCTAATGATGGCCGGAAGTTCCTGTCATGTGGATACGACCGCCAGATGAAACTATGGGATACAGAGACTGGGCAGTGTCTAAAGCGGTTCAGTAACGGCAAGACTCCCTACGTTGTGCGCTTCCATCCGGATGAAGACAAACAACACATATTCCTCGCTGGTATGTCGGACAAGAAAATTATTCAGGTACGTTCTGGTGCGATGCTCGTCTCGGGCTAGATTGACCGATGATATAGTATGACATGAATTCTGGGGAGATAACTCAAGAGTATGACCAACACTTGGGTCCTGTGAATACTATTACATTCGTGGACGAGAACCGACGGTTTGTGACGACGTCTGACGACAAGACGATCCGTGCTTGGGATTACGATATCCCAGTTGTGATAAAATACATTGCAGAGCCTCACATGCACTCTATGCCGGCGGTTACGCTTCACCCATCCAGTGCGTATTTAATTTTTTATAGATATGGTTTGCTTACTGTGTTTGTAGAGAAATACTTTGCCGCACAATCATTAGACAATCAAATTCTCATCTACAGTACGGATAATTTCCGGCAGAACCGGAAGAAGAGGTTCGCGGGACATTCTGTGGCTGGGTATGCTTGCCAGGTTGGGTTTTCTCCGGATGGGAAGTGGATAAGTAGCGGGGACGGGGAGGGGAATGTTGTATTCTGGGACTGGAAAACGGGGCGAATTAAATCGAGGCTCCAGGCTCATTCTAAAGTTGTGATTGCACATGAGTGGCTACCACACGAGTCGGTAAGTTGAGTATGATTATTTTTGAATTGACTGATGAGTATGTGTACAGTCGAAAGTTGTTACGGCGTCGTGGGATGGGTTGATAAAGTTATGGGTAAGTCCTTTGTGTTTTTTTTATTCTTGTGATTGTATTGTGATGCTTGATATAGGATTGAATTGGAAGATTTGTTGGTTAAGATTTTGTAGTTAACGGGCATTAGCATTTGCAATAAGATGGAATCTCAGATTCTGTTCGCCTTAGAATTTTTGTTCCTGGTCTAAATGGGTTCGGCGGCCATAGAAGGGTCGGTTCCTGGTACCGGAAGAATCTTGACCGCGTGGATCATACACATAAAAGCAAACTCGTCACTCCTTTAAACAAATCTATACCCTCACATCATGTTCCCCTCAAAGTCTTACATCGCTATCATTCTCACTTGTCTCCTACATCTCTCTCAAGCCCTACCAGTCAGTCTTCCACTCATTCTTCTTTTTAGCGCCCGAACTGACAACAACTCGACAGATGGCTAGAAATCCTGAAGCTGTGAGAAAAATCCCATATAACGCTTAACCTGCTATAATAACCTCCACACACAGGCTGTCGCTCCAGTTCCAGATCAATTCGGTGGTGGTGGAGGCGGTGATGGTGCTGACTGGTGAACAAAGACTCTCCTGTAAGTTCCTATATCACTCTCCCTCACCGGTTTTAAATATTATTCTTCAGCATCCACGACTAACGTTTTATGTGATTAAAAGTGGGGCGTCCCATCAATCTACCGCGTAACATTACCATCTCCCGTCTGAGTTTACTCCTTCCCTACTTCTTTTTTTTGCGTTTTACACCAGTGTCCCCATTATAATCTCACACTCCTTTTATACCTAACTTGCATACTTTGATCAATAGGTGAGCGACATCATCACGCACGCCTGCCTTGTATTCAAACATGTACTCCATCTGTTTTCCTTTTTACCCTTAGTCTGTTTTAGGCTACCTACTCCACTTTGCTGATTTCTCTCTTGATTCAATGGGTTTTTCTTTCTCTTTCAATGTACACAACAAGCTTGTGTACGGACGAACATCATACGACTCTGATGAATGAACGTTCTTTGCTTGACCCTAAGCCTCTTGTGTACTCTAAGCCGATCATCATCAATGGACTCATTGTAGCCTCAAGGTACATGACCACGTGAAGGTTAAGGGCAGGCCTAGTCGCGTCAATATTCACCGTCACGCGTCAACTTTTACTTCGAATCTTTGCCTACCATGTCAATGCTCGACGAGCCCGTTCCTCAAGATGATCTTATGCGCGACAGAACCCGTAAATTCGAGGAATTCCTCATTTCAGATTCCCCAATTTATAATTACAGAGATGACATCGCTCGCATGCTTCGTACAGATCAGACCCGTCTAATAGTAAACATCGATGATCTCCGCGACTATAACAGAGAGTACGCAGATGGCTTGCTCAAGCAACCTATCGATTTCCTTCCTGCCTTTGACGATGCTCTCCTCGGTGTCGTCACTCAAGTCCATGACACAGACAAACACGAGCTCGAGGGAAAGAACTATCGCGTCGGCTTCAGTGGCTCCTTTGGTGATCATCATGTCAGCCCACGTACCCTCAAATCAGAACATCTTGGAAAGATGATCTCTCTAGAGGGCATCATCACCCGTTGCTCACTCGTCCGCCCCAAAATGCTCAAATCCGTTCACTATTGCCCCGACACCAAACTCTTTCACGCTCGCGAATACCGCGACGCGACTACGTCAACATCAAATTTACCACCGACCACCACCGTCACACCTCAGCAAGATGACGATGGTCATCCCCTCCAGATGGAATATGGTCGCTGTGTCTTCCGAGATCACCAGCGTATCAGCATCCAGGAAATGCCCGAACGCGCTCCCGCTGGACAGCTACCCCGTAGTACAGATATTATCCTTGATGATGACCTAGTAGATAAATGCAAACCCGGTGATCGTGTTCAACTGGTTGGCTTCTATCGAAGTGTGGGAGGTGGCTCGAGTGGTGCCTTCAAGTTTGTTTTTGTTTTCCCCTTGAAAACTATTACTCATCCCTCGATTGCCTTACAGATCACTCATTCTCGCAAACAACATCAATCTCCTTTCCTCCAAGATCGGAGGCGGTATTGCACAGACACCGTTAACTGATACCGATATTCGGCAAATCAACCAGCTTTCTAGACGACGCGACATCTTTAGCCTTCTTTCACAGTCTCTTGCTCCATCTATTTATGGTCATGATAAAATCAAGGAAGCTATCCTTTTACTTCTGCTAGGTGGTGGAGAAAAGAACCTACCTAATGGCACCCATATCCGTGGTGACATCAACATGCTTATGGTTGGCGACCCGTCAACCGCGAAGTCCCAACTACTTCGCTTCGTGTTGGGCACTGCCCCGCTCGCTATTGCTACCACCGGACGGGGAAGTTCTGGTGTCGGTTTAACAGCGGCTGTTACCACGGATCGCGATACCGGCGAGCGAAGGCTCGAGGCAGGTGCTATGGTTCTTGCCGATCGTGGTGTTGTTTGCATCGATGAATTTGACAAGATGTCAGATATCGATCGCGTGGCGATCCACGAAGTCATGGAACAACAGACGGTCACCATTGCCAAAGCTGGTATCCATACCAGTCTGAATGCCCGTTGCAGTGTCGTTGCCGCTGCCAACCCAATTTATGGCCAAGTGCGTGAATCTACATGCATTGTTATTAGATTTTGTAGTCTGACTACGTTATTTGCTAGTATGATATCCATAAAGATCCTCATAAGAATATTGCACTACCCGATTCCCTTCTTTCGCGTTTTGATCTTCTCTTCATTGTTACCGATGATGTCGATGAAGAACGAGACCGCAGAATTGCAGATCACGTACTGCGTATGCACCGTTATATGCCACCCGGAGTTGAAGATGGTACTCCCGTGCATGACAACCTGTCACAGCCCCTTGCCATCGACGGACCGGGCGTACAATCAGCGGAGGTAGATGGTGGGATAGAGTCCAGCCCCTTCGAGAAATACGATCCCCTGCTCCATGTCGGCTTAACGGCCGCAAAATCACGAACACGGAGAGGCAAGCAGGTGAAAACAGAAGTGTTAAGCATCGCCTTCGTCAAAAAATATATTCAGTACTCAAAGAGCAAACCTGCTCCAGTCCTTACGAAAGGCGCGGCTAACCATATTGTGAATGTTTACGCCAACCTTCGCAATGAGGACGAGGGTCAAACCAATCGGAAGAAGGTAATTGTCTTCCCGGCATCTTGATCTATGCTCCATTTTTGATGGATCATATCCAGACAGCTCCTCTAACAGCACGTACACTAGAAACTCTCATCCGTCTGTCTACCGCCCACGCTAAGGCACGTCTCTCTGTAAAAGTGGAGTCTGAGGATGCTCGTGCAGCAGAGGAGATCATGCGGTATGCACTTTACAAGGAAGTTGCCAAGCGGCAAAAAAAGAAGAAACGCAAGCTTAACCGCGTGGGAGCAGCTGGCGGGATGGATGAAGATGACTCTCAAGATAGTTCCGATGAAGACGAAAATGTTCAGGGCGAGGATGATCAACCTGAACGCATGAGTATGCCTCCTCAAGCGCCGGCCGATAAACAGCCTGCGAATGATCAAAGTAGTCAAGACACGTTGTGGAATGACAGCAGCCAAGATCTCGCGATGGAATACGTTACCAACGGCTGCCACAGGATCATCACAGGAGGGCAGTGTGCCTCCGGAAAGGTTAGCGTCTCTTCCTCACCATTTTCTCACGCCTCCGGTGCATTACTGGAGGCCTTGAAGAATGTAATTCTAACTCCCACGTGTTTTTGGTTTCATAGGTTACAACTTTTCCGTGCACGGCTAGCGAATCTTTTCTCTACACGCCTCCAAGACGAGGAACAGGTGTTCTTGGCGGAACTTGTGGAAATGGTAAATGAAGGTCTACCCACGAGTGCATTATTTGGGACTGCGGAGGCTACCGCAGCGTGTCAGGTCATGTCAGACGCTGATGAGCTCATGATTAGTGAAGGGATCGTCTACAAGGTCTAATACCCCTGATCGTGGGTTGTGTTTTCGCTTGCTTATCGTCTTATTGTTGTATTACATTCCCTCCTAGTTGTAATAATAACTCTAAAATCGGGATATATCTTTGATTAGAATGATCTCTACATACCCATCACCGGTTATGACTTGAAGTCGAAACACGTGGTGATCATAAGGTCTGAAACTGATGATCAACGTTGGAATGATATTATTATCCCGGCAAAGCAATGATCCGAACGCTAAATTCCACATGCTCCTCACCATATCTCCTCTCACGAGCGCTCGGCCCTGCAGTCGGCAACTAAACCTTTACAGATCATCTCGCAGCCGGAGTACTGTCTTTACCTCCTCTTTCCCTAACCCCCCTGATCCGAGGCTCGTTGCGGCATCTAAAGTATCCTCCCAGCCATCTCCTTGACCTCCAAGGACTTCCTTCACGGCCCTATCCACGTCCTGTCTGCCAGCGCCGAGAAGCCTGCCTGCGACTAGTAATCGTGCCCAAGGACCCTCAGCCCTGGCCCGCGAAGTTCTCAAGGCGACCTGACAAGTTTCCGCCCACAATTCGCTCTCCGCGTGAACAGAACGCGCCTGTTCCCGTGAAAGACCCGTCCGGAATTGTCCCCGGGTTAGCCCTGGCCGATAAAGGACTTCGCGCTGGAGAATGTGCTCTGAGATACGTGTTGCTATCCGCCTATATACGTGCGTCGTCACTGCAGTCGGAAGCGTATTGCGGAGGAAGGTGAGGTGAGAAGACAAGAGTGCAATAGATGGGAGAAGACTTGGGGGAACGGCGATACCATCATCTGCATTGTGGGCGCCACTTTCATCCTTGGGACTATGTGATAGTAGTCATTACGATGGACGGCTGAGTAGAAAACGAGCGACTTACGATGTGATAGCCACGAAATGTGGTTTCAAGGCAGTTTCAGTTTCACCACAAATTTGACTCACGAGCATGTCCTCCGCCCTTGACGCGAGCTTCGTGTACTGTGTAATTAGTTCCTCAAAGATAGTGCAGTCAGGGGCATCGCTCTTGCTCGACTGGTGATCTGCAGAGTGCGGCAGCGAGGGATGCATTTCCGCCCGAGAACGTAGGGCTGCCCGATGGTTAATTTCTGTCCACAGCTCCAAAAAGAACTGTCCATAACAAGTTGATTAGCTTCAATGAGGTCACGAAACACCAGCTGCCTCACCTCTTCCTCTCCCCATCGTTGCATTGCAAACTCCACATACCGCGCACTGAGCAACGCCTTGCACAACCGTTGACTGCCCTCAACACCTCCGGTCAACTTACGTGAGTCTGTCTTTGCCCCTTCAACACCTAGTGCGCCAGGGACCGCCCGCACCAGGGCAGATGAAAGTGTCTCGAAAGCATCCAAGGAAGAAGACACACGAGAATAATACTGCTCGAGAATAGGAAGCTGAACATGAATGAGGAAACGGGTGCGATGGGCGAAAGAGGGAAGGGGAAAGTAGCGATCTGTTTCACCTTCAATAAGGAACACAGCAAGGGAAATTCATAATGTACCAGTAACTTGTTCAACAAGAGCCTTTATTCGACGAGCTGAGTTCGTAGCCTTCAATTCGGAGCGGGATAACTTGTGTTCTTCAGTGTCGTTTGAATCATCGTCAACAATAATCCATGCATCTGGAGAACTGATGATTTCATGGTACTGGTCTTCAGCAACTGTTGATCAACCGGCTTAGTCTTCCTGACAGACGGACGAATGTAAAAATCAACCTACATTTTTTCTCGCCTTCTAACCATGCATCAAACCACTCCTTCTGGCCAAGGATGACAGAGCTGACGCCTCCTTTCTCCTCAGTCTTCTTTGCCTCTGTGTTAACCACAAATTCATAACCTAATTCACGCATATTGGAATCGAAAATTAATGTTTGATAAACTGTATGCGCCAACAGGGCAGGGTGAGAGAGCAAAGTCGGGACGGTGCGCCGCAGCTTGCGCTCCAGGATTGGGACAAGGAGAGTGATGTAATTTTGCTGATATATGGTCTGCTATCAGGTTGAAAAGGTTGTGTTTAAAAGTATCAGCTTACCCATGCATTAACAGATTGGTATTTTGTGCCCAAAAGTAAACGTTGTATGACGTTGTCCATGAAGGGTCGATGGTCAAGAACCACGTTCATTATATGTGAGAGATACCATTCTGGCTGTCACGAGTAATCAATACAGGTAGTTGAATACGACGAGAACCACACCTTGTCGAGGCGATTAGTGTCTCGTTCAGTTTCGAAATGGTATTTGAAACGAAGGGATATTGCATGCGCGAGTGTTTCTAGTGGGTATAAGCCCTGGGAACCTTGTTTTGTTGAACTCTCGATATCCTCGCCGCTGTGTGATTTCAGTATGGCCAGTAATGCATAATTCAGCTTCACTGACATTTCTTGCAGCAATATTAGGTCTTTGAATGCAGATTCGAAGGATTTGCGGTCATGCACGCTCGCAGCAGGGTAATCCACAGCCATTGGCCATTGGAGATTTTCCAGCGCGTCATTCAGTTTGCTTAATGAAAAGACGGTAAATTATCAGACTGTTCCAGGGTATAAATCCAGACTTACGTAGAAAACAACCCTTTTATATCTGACCATGTTTTGTCACGAATACGCCGTACAAATGTAACAAGATGCAGAGACTGCTCGGCACTCCCGATATCTTGCACACTGTCGCATTTCCGACTAACATCACTAACGAAGGCACTTAGCCTGCTGTATTCTGACGTCGTCGATTTGGAAAGTGGGGATGGTGTACCGCGCAACTGCGTCAATGCTCCTTCGCTGGAAAGAATTGTTTGTATCCATCGACAAGGGCAAATAAAATTGATAGATGGTGCACACCTCAAAGTCAATGTGCGTTCTATGACTGCTACATACACACGCACACTTTCAAGTTCCTTCAGTATGCGATGCATGGTCTCAATGTCCTCAAGGAGAGTAGGATTTGCTTTCAGATTTTGACGGAGAAAGAGATGAGACAAGCTCGTGTGAGAGGTAAGTCATCTCGTTTTCTATCGACTCTCTGTCCTCCGCTAGCCCACGAGCAGTGTCAAGGTAATCAAGTGCCGCCACGCGAGTCTTCGCTACGAGTAAGTCAATTGATTGTTGAGATGCAGAGAGCTAGCTGACAACGAATAAACTACCATGAATCATTCAAATTGAGCGACCCACCTGACGCTGGAGTTCTGAACTCCGTGTTTTTGTTTCTGAAAGAACTTTGTCAATCCCATCGAGGTCGTCGATGTGAGCAAAGTTGGAGTTAAAGAACTCTAGTGCAAAACGATGCGCAGAGGATACGTCAGGCGGTTCAAGCAGGCGCTGTATCTTTTGCGAGGACATTGCGAGGGTTTGAGCTAAACTGAATCGTAGTCACCACGAGGCGGACCACTTGAATTTCAAATTTGGATTATACCCACGTGGTTATCTAATCTAACTTGAATTCTTCCCGTAGTAAAGACACTAGGAGATTCACACTGTGAGCCTATTCAACCCGAAACTTTGTTCTTGAACTCCCATGGCCGAAGTTGACTTTAAGCAAGCAAACGAGAACTACGCTGCCAGCTTTGGTGACAATGGTAAATTAAGCATTCCACCATCCAAGCACCTTGCTGTCGGTAAGTACTTGCCAGTATATCTGTGAGAGCTCAGCTGACTCGCTGGTAGTGACGTGTATGGATGCTCGCCTTAAGTGAGTTGCAATTTATAAGGGGGCATGTCTACAAATAATATTTGATTGTCCGACAGTCCTGAGCAATTCCTCGGCTTGAACCTAGGGGAAGCCCACGTTATTCGTAATGCTGGGGGCCTTGCGTACGTCTCAAGTGTCCTGTAATTCCTATGTTATGTTGAACGAGTTCCCGCTATGTTTAGCAAAGAATCTCTTCGCTCCATCATCATTTCACAAAGACTCCTTGGAACTAGAGATGTGATCGTCATTCACCATTCCGATTGTGGAATGCTCACTTTTTCCGACGAGCAACTTCGATCCAAGATCATCAACGCACATCCAGGAGATTCCGATGTGTCCGAGGCAGTAAATGACCTGCAGTTTGGACCATTCCCTGATTTAGATAAGAGTGTGAAAGATGATGTCGCATTCTTGAAGAATCACCCGCTTGTTTTGAAAGAAGGAAAAATCACCGGATGGGTGTACGAGGTTGAGACGGGAAAGATCAGACAAGTCGCGTGATAAGACGGTGGTACAAAGATTGACATATATGTAATCTAGTACTTCATGCCTGAAAAACGAGTAGGACCTCTATCAGCGGCAGCCGATCTTAAAAATGGATGAATACCCACTGAGCTAGTGTTCATGAAGCTACAAACGGCTGCCCTTCAATTCCGTGACATATCGCACGACTTCACTCCAGTCTCTAGCCCGGCGCACCGAAAGATGTGTGTTCGCTTGCTCCAGTATTTCGTCCCCTCGCTTCGCATCCTCTTCTAAAAACTTTCCCCCTTCTCTTTTCAGACGAACTTCATAGACCATATCGTTGCACTCATCAGAAGCCGTTGATAGCCGCTTGTTCCACTCATATGAGCCGAAAAGGAGCACCGGGGGAGGCTTTGTTACTCCATCTAACGGGATATGATAGGCGCAAGCCAACGCATTTTCCATCGAGTCGTCGATTAGTAATTTAGCTCCGATGTCAATACAGACCTCTGCTTTGCTCAACTTCGTCACGAGCTCATGGTCCTTTCTTGCACCCGTCGAGGTGTCTCCACCATCTGTCGCATCCTTTCCAACATTCGCAAACTGGCCAGTGCATATCATGCTATCAAAGCATCCAGGGAACCAACGTTCGACCCAAGCCCAGCTGTCAGCGTGGGAATCTTTGCCTCTAGCCGTGACGATGATCAAGCGATAGCCCAGCGCACACAAGGCCTCTACGCCCTCGCGTGCACCAGGTACAGGATGTGCCTGCGCCATCCGACCGCTGGAATAGAATTCTCTGACCTTCGTGCGCGTGATGTAAGGCGTTCCCCAAAATGGGTTCTGGAGGAACGGGCAAATTCGGCATGAACAAACATTGCATTAGTAAAATACGCCTTTCTTGCCTTCCAGTAGTAGTAGTCTGCAGAACGTGACTATGATGGACCGAGGGAGATGTCAATTCATGACTTACAGTAAAAATCATCGGTGGTCATCTGGGTACCGTAAGTCTCATTGTGCCCTTGACATAAATGAGCTTGCACGCAGTGATTCTCATGCAGATGGGTGAAATACACGTACATTGCGCTACGATAGCATTGGTACAGCTCAACACGTCATCAAGATCAATCGCGATGATAGGTGCAGAGGAAGGGGGTATAGATTCCTTGAGCTCTGCAATTTGCTCGGCAGTAGTTTCTGCAGTGAGCTCTGGCTCATGCTCTGGGCTGGATGCTCGGTAGGTATCGTTCGCAGACATTGCGGTATCGATGGTTGCTCTAGTGATATCTAGTCAGAGAAGACGAAATTGAAGAGTCAGAGTTATTTCAATTCGCTGTCCATGGTCATGAAATTAGCCGAATAAACTCGTTATAGAAAGAACTGTTTTAGCAGGAGGCAAAAGTATATTAATACAATATCACATGCCACGGTGTAATACCCTCACTTCTTTGTAGGCGCGCTTGAAGCTTTTTATCATTGTCATTTAATTCGCAGGGTGCTAATCGCCTGCTAACTCAAAGGTTTATGGTGACCTCGAAGCTTCGCCCGTTGGATCAGCGAGTAAAACAACTCGCGCAGGTGTATGCCTCGCACCGGCCTCTGGTACAACGAGGGCTCACAGTTGGTTTCGTTCTGTACGTGCTAGTGGCTGCATATCATGGTCTTGCTGCCCGCCCGACAACAAGGATTGACAAGGAGAAGGACGCGGCAGATCGAAAGAACGGAAAGCCAGCCCGTGTTGCCGTACGCTTCTTTTGCCTTTCCCCAGACCATTCACTCATAGTAGCCCACAAGGTTGATGCCATATTTTATCAAAGGTTGGGCATCATCTTGCGTATCGTCATACCAAACATACGCTCCAAAGAGGCCCTGTTACTTTTCATGCATTCAAGTCTCCTTATTTTTCGCACTGCCATCTCGTTGTATGTTGCTACTCTAGACGGAAAGTACGTTCTCCAGACAAATTAGCATGTTTTGAAGCATCATGCATGATCCTCATAGAATTGTTGCATCTCTCGTGCGCGGACAGTCTCTCAAGTTTCTCCTCAACATAATACGATGGTTGCTGGTTGCAATTCCGGCTACTTGGACGAATAGTTGGCTTAGCTATGTCCAGAATAAGCTCGCTCTCGCATATCGTACTCGATTGACCAAGGAAGTGCTCAAGATGTATCTTGGCGATGAGGCAGATGGCCCAGAGGGCAAAGTTTATTATAAACTTTGTTAGTTTTGTCTATTCTCTCGGTGGAACATCTCACTGACCCTTGTCATCCAGGTAATCTTGACGACAGGATAAAGAACGCCGACCAGTAAGCGAACTACCGGATCAAATAATACATCGATCTCAGTTCCCAACAGGATGATAACTCACGATATACAACGGTTCTCCACCCACCTTGCCGTAATTTACGCGAACCTCGCGAAGCCAATCCTTGACGTGATACTTTACAACTACCAATTGTCACGGAATGTAGGGGCGGAGGGTCTTGTGCTTCTCACTGTTTTAGTTCAGGCATCTGCTGCGCTACGTAAGTTCAATTTCTATCGAGCGCATACAATTTGCTAACATAAATGCAGTACGTGCTCTAACTCCCTCCTTTGGGACATACACAGCTCGATCAGCTGCGTTGGCCGGCTCACTTCGGCATACACATTCTCGTCTCTCCGAGTTCGCAGAGGAGATTGCCTTTTTTGGTGGCGAAGAGACGGAGAAGCAGTTAATTGAACGTGAATATGCCGCGCTCGTTCAACATGAACAAGGAGTAATGAGTAAGAGATGGTGGTACGGGTGCGCGGAGGAAGGTATCGTCAAATGGCTGTGGGGCAGCTTTGGGGTATGTGTTCTTCAAGCATGAATTGTAACAACGTGACATTTGTTTTAGCTTGTCGTCTGTGCAATTCCTGTTTTCTTCAAGCTGCCTGGAATATCAAATCTTGACCTAGGTAGTCGCACAGAAGGTGAGTTTTAACAGTTGTCCCAATATCAAGTCGCTCGACGTTCTACAGGTTTCGTGACAAACCGAAGACTACTTCTTTCTTCATCAGGTGAAATCATTCCATACTTGATATTTTACTGCTAACATGCATTCATAGATGCCATAGGTCGCGTAATGTACTCGTATAAAGACCTGGCAGAACTTGCAGGCTACACCTCACGAGTGTCCCTTTTGCTCGACACTATGTCAGACATGCGAAAGGGTAAGTTCGAGAAGAGTCTTGTAAGTGGTGCAACTGAGGGAGAGAATGGAGAGAGTACGTGACTAGTTCACCCGTAACGCAAGTACTGACTGCAACACCCTTAGTTTTGCGGAGTCGCGGACAAGTTCTCCTTTCGGACGATATTCAATTTGAGAGTGTCCCAATCGTTACGCCAAACGGTGACATTCTTTTGAGAAGTTTAACCTTTCATGTAAAACCTGGGGTAAGATTATCTGCAACGCACATGTATGGTATTTTATACTAAATAAAATTTGAAGGAACACCTGTTGATTGTTGGTCCAAATGGTAGGCATAACTGTTTTCATGATTAATGTCACCTCACTATAGCATGTAGGTTCTGGCAAGTCTTCGTTATTCCGAATCCTGGGCGGACTTTGGCCTGTTTATGGTGAGCCCGATATACTCGGCTCAGGGAATGCATTAGTTTCATCATGACTCTAGGCGGCATTGTTCGGAAGCCCCCCGCGTCAGATTTCATGCTCATTCCCCAACGGCCCTATCTTTCGCTCGGAACCCTCCGGGACCAAGTTATTTATCCACACTCGCAACAAGATATGGAGGCCCGTGGGTGAATGGTATCGCGTTTGTAAATTTAATTTTAAGACATGTTCTAGGTGGAGTGACAGACGCGGACCTCCTTGCGGTACTTGAAAGGGTACAGATGGGGAGCATCGTTGAGCGAGAAGGGGGTTGGGATGTTACGCACGAGTGGAGAGACGCGCTTAGCGGAGGCGACAAGCAGAAGATTGCTTGGGCACGACTCTTCTATCACAGACCCAAGGTAATATTCACGCACCTCATTCTAATCACTGAATATTAATCAGCTGGCTGCAGTATGCCATTCTTGATGAAGCAACTTCACTCGTCCCTCCTGACATGGAGGGCACGATGATGGAGCAGGCAACTGCCCTCGGAATTACTCTACTCACTGTATCTCATCGTCCATCACTATGGAAGTATCACTCGACGATCTTACAACTGGATGGTCAGGGCGGATATATATTGTGTGTCTCGTTGTTCATCTCTTACCGTAAATACCCATTTGACCGTCGTCGTAGCACGCAACTGGATGCAGATAAACGTTTGGCCATTCAAGAAGAGAAGCAGGATCTGGAGACGAAATTGCTTGAAATGTGAGTGCCCTGCTTAGCCGCCAGGCTGAAAATTCTTTTGACATCCTGTCGTAGACCGAGGATGAAACTACGTCTCGCTGAACTGCGGCTTATCGTGGATGCAAATAGAATTATGTAGTAATTTTGACTGTAGAATATTATTATTATGATAAGTCCGTGCACGTGCCTATCTAATCAGTCCCTGGGAATGGACCAGATAGAGATTTTGTTCGGACGCGGAGAAGGGTGCCGAGATGCCGCGGCGTGCCGGAACCAATCGCAAATTTATCACACTAGGCTAGTGGAGGTGCACTGCCGGCAATATTGTCCTGTTTCTTCCGCACGACCACTCGACCACCCACTTCTTACCCCGTCATGCACATCTTCTCCCAGTCTTTCAAGTATGAGTGAGTATATTCCTCGTCGTCATTTTCTACAGTGTGTTCACAATATAATTTCCAGTCACTCATGGTCTCACGTCGTCATCGGAATGTGGCACAAATACCCGAATCCACATTGTACTCACGTCGTCAACGTCGATGTCCTCGATCGTACGATTGATCCAATGACTGGAATAATACGAACGGAGCGTGTTCTTGGGTGCAAGCAGAAGGCGCCCTCATGGATAGTCAAGGTCAGCCGCTCTCACATCGGCACACGACATGAGACTTATTCTTATATTCGATCGTTTTTAGCTTTTTGGAGGTTCAGAGGATGCCTTTGTTCGCGAAATATCCTTCATAGATCCCGCAACGCAAACCGCAACAATAACATCCGTCAACCTCTCGCTGTCCCAATTCGCTACTTGCTATGAGCGAATACAGTATAGACCGATATCCTCCACCCAGACATCATTCGTGCAGACAGCAGAGATACAGACGCGGATGGCCATGTGGAGGAGTATGACAGACAAGTTCGAGGGTTGGTTAGTTCAGCGCTTCGAGCAGAACGCTATTTCAGGTAAAGCTGGATTCTCGGACGTGCTCAGAACAATGTGGGAGGCCAAGGAACAGCAGACTGCACCATCATAGAGCAGTAGGATATCTGGTCCGTTTCTTCTTTTTGCGTCACTTGGAGCATGTTAGATGCGTTCCATGGAACCTCCCTAGATCACATTCAAAACGTCTGCTACTTAGACGACTTACGTTTATTTTACAATACAGAGGCACATGCATTATTCGGATTCTTGCTCGCATCTACGAACATCCAGATCCTTGACACCAGGTGAAGGATATTAGACTTCTTGTTCGTACACTTCTTCCCATCCCACATCGGTGACATGATCGTCGCCCTTTTCACTCTCATCATCCTCTCCTTCCTCACCTTGCTCTTCCCGATGTAGCCGGGGCGCTGGTCGTTGACTTCCGATGCCTCCTCCGTCTTCCTCAAGAACTATCATGCCTTCTCCGTCACTCTTATCATCCATAGTATACAAATTGTCTTTCTCATCAAAGGATGGAGTGTGTGGTCCATCAACAAAAAGGTCCTTGAGCGCATCGTAATTGATCCGTTTACTGTACTTGTAATTTTTCTTGATGAGATTCCGCACTGACTCAGCTGCTGTATTTCCAGACGGAATTGAGTCGTCGCGCGGTTTAGTGCTTGTTTTGCGACGCTGAATAATATGGAACGCATCAGCATTGAGATATAAATGGAAAGCTCACGAGAAAAACATCGAGTATGGCGTGATACGAACCTTGCGACTCTTAGGTTGATTGACATCCGCTTGTTCGCCCTTGGCTACAAACAAAGGGATCAGACATAGGGAACAAATGATCAAGAGACCATACCAGCTAATGCCTCCAAATAATCCCGATTTATCTCCACCCAGATGCGTTCCTTGATTTTTACCTCTTCTTCACTGAGAAGAAATCTGTCAAGTTCGTCTTCATCCAATCCTAGCAATTCGTCGACTTCAGCAAACTGGGCTTGTCGGCGCTGCTCAGCTTCGTCCAGGGCTTCAAGAAGAAGTGAGCCCTGAGTATTTTGCAAGAAACTAGCAACTTCATCAGCGAGGGCCTGATCAACGGTTTCATCGATGGCGGCCGCTGTTGATAAATCAAGTTCAGGGGATATCATATTTGAGGCCGGTCGTAGAGCAGGATCAATATTGGCATAAACTTCCTCGTTTTCGTCCGGGTAAAACAGCGGCGCCGGCTCAGACGTGCCAGAAAGGATACCCTGATTGAACAGAGCTGGGTCGATTATGGGTATCCGAGGTGGAATCTCCTGTGAAGGTGGTGCGAATTCCACCTGTTCCCCTTCAGATTCGCTACCTCTCCTTTTTCGTTTGCCTTTCCGTTTCTGTGTCTTGGGTTTGACTTTCGGCCGACCGAGAGCCTCTTGTCGTTCTTTCTCTTCTTTCTCCTTTCCTTTTGTGAAGGCAGGAGGGTCCATCTCTTCATCTAGCCACACCGACCTGAAGTCAGCAAGCGTGAGGCCCCCACTAGGAGTTTTCTTGAATTCATCTAATCGTTTCTTCACTGTGGTATCAGCGATCTTCACCACTTGTACAATTTCCTCGACTGAACGCCGGAAGTTATTCATGCGTGCGGCAAGGAGGAGGGCTGCACCACAGATTCCTGCTGGGCGGCGACCCCGAGTAACCCAATCACGGTCAAAACGTTGTACAAGTCGAACGGCATCGGTCGCAACCTTATGAGTTTCATCGCCAAACTCGAGCAACGCAGCAAAGCGGGAGATGTAATGAGAAGGGTCAACGAGAGGGAGTTTCAAATTTAAAGTTTGAACAAGTTGGAGGTATATGTGACCCAGCTCGAAGACATTGACCTAGAAAGAGGAGTCAGATCTAGTATCGAGAAATACACAGTTCCTTACCTGTAAAAGATCTGAGAAGTCTATGAGCATATAATTACGCGTCTCTTTTTGTCGACAGGCAACATATAGACAGACAGCCGCGACATTGTTGCTTCTGCGACCCTTGGTAAACTTGTGTTCGACGGCAAGGGTGTAAAGACGTGTTGCTGCGAGGCAAACAACTTCAGATAGATGCAAAGCGCCGGCAAAGTTCTGAATCTTTCTGCTAGCTAGAGAACCATAAGGTCTGTTGTGACTATGGTAAAAACGACGACTGACCATTTGCGATAGTTTGCTCGCGGGATTCGTTATTTCCTCTGTTACCGAATGGACCTGACATGCGAGCATGCGCTAGCAGAGGTAGACTGAGGCTTTGTCGGCAGAATATATATGACAGAGACTTACTTGAACCCTGACCGACGTATGATCCCTGGACCATCGCCGCGCCAGCAGAGGTTTCTCCAAAAGTGACCTCTGAAACTATGGTGTTCTCCTCTACCACTGTTCCGCATTTGACACAAAAGCCATTGCCGGCAGCGGCATCATACTCGATGACGGTGCCTCCGCAATCCGTGCATACAGTCTAAGTGGGGATTGATGTCAAACATCAAATATAGTGATGCGAGAACCTACCATGATGTGAATACAATGCGATATGTTATTATGAACTTCAAATTTAGGGCGGTCGAGTCTTGCTCTAGGTCAATCAAGAGTTGAAAATGTTGTCCGGATCTTAATAAAAAATGATAATGATAAGGGAATTGTCCAGCTGGCAGATTTAATGTACCATGATGCGGTTGAACGGAGGATTGAGGTAAACCGCAAGTCCGTGACCGGACTTTCAAATCAACTCTAAACTGAAATTGCTCAGAGACATACTTAAGATGTAAAACCCTGGGACTCCTTTCTTCTCCCGCACCGCAGCTTGCATCACAGGAGAGGCGTCAACGCAGACCGTTTGTGAGCACGCCAGCTAGCCCACTCTGGACAGCCTTTACTCACCCCCCCCCCCCCCCCCCCCAAGATTTCCTATGCATGCTATATTTGTCCAAGTCATAGTGTTGTCAAGGTCCTACTAATGACATCCATGAGAGCTATCATTGGCGCTTTGAGTCGTAGAAATGCTGTGTGACGGTTGTCCAACTTGGATGTCCTGCCTCTTGGCAGTGGGTCACAAAGTACTTCAAGTACCGGTTGTGAGAATATCTCTCTTTCTGACTTTCATTCTTCTTGACTCTTTGCGCCCCGGCAGGACCGTTGTAGCAGCTCGGTCAACCTTCTCTTGATTTTCTATCTTTTGCTTGTTGAACAGTTCTTCCTAATCATAACGTCCAAGTAACATCGTCGTTCATTTATCCGTGATTTCGGTATGCATTATCCAGGTTGGGAACAAAGTATCTGAAAGCAGTTTAGTTCTACAGTTGGTTGTCATGATGCGCATTAAGCAGCTATGGAAGATTATCCCTATCCCATCCAAAATAAAATTGCTGGTGAGTTGTTGTAGTGACTTCATGGTCTAAATTATCAGAGGCAGCCTGCCACTGCATGATGTGTTTTGAAGCACTATGCAAATGCTGTCTATACAACTAAACTGACTTTTCGAAAACAGTGGGATCGAATAACTCTTTCACGCACAACCACTTTTTACTTCGTATTTTCCATCCTTCATTGTGTTCTCCAGATCATCTTTCAAGGGCAGGCCTTTCGGATCAATGTTGAAGCTGCTAAATTCTTGGCTTCGATTACCACACAAGGAGACACCATCGATCCGGACGCATTCTATGTTTTGGGGAGTGACCTTCGTCTTTGCGACAGTATCCCAGCAGACTTCAGCACTAGCTCTTGCCAAGTAATCTGGAATGGTACGACAGTTGGGGACAATTCAATGATATCCGCAGATGCATTGGCTCCCGTGACTATTACTTCATATTCAACGGGAACGCCAAGTTCCACGATCTCGACCCTTGTCGCGTCCTCGGGGTCGAAGGTGCCCACTACTTCAACGAGCTCGAGCTACTCTGCGACGTCAAACTTTATCACATCTACCACAACTGTCAGTTTAACAGCAATTACGAGCCTTGTGTCTTCATCGCATACCACTACCTCATCGGCGGTGGCTTCAAGCACCACTGTTAAGCAACGTAGAGAGAGTGTTACTGAAACGGTCAGCAATCCATTCAGGGTCGAAGTCAGCTAACACGCCATTAACAGCCAAATCGATGCAACCTCGTTCGAGATATCCAAGCCGTCGCGGTCAATGGCACCGTGCAAGTCATTGTGAACGGATTTGGCTGGAACAATCAAGCAGCTGTTTTAGACCGGCAGTGCCTTTGGGCTCTGAATTATCCAGTTCAAATGTATGAAGCGTTTCTCCATAATCTTTCGCTGTATGTAACGTCATCGAAGCCTTCAGCAGACCGAGCGAGAGGATTTGACCTTCATTGCTTTTCAAATATGGGTTCTCGGAATGTCCATCGTCGCTGTAAGCAAAATATTGTTCGTTCGTCATCCATTTGTCACATCATTATACTAGGTCCTGAACGAATCTGTCCCTCACACGTGAGTGCTGCACTTTTTCTCCGTCGTGAGAGGTACTCAGAGGACCATAGCATCGCAACTCTTTTGACACATATGCTGGCTACTGGATGGGCAGGTTATCAGATATTCAACACTGCTCAATTTCATGGTGACTTTTCGAGGCTGTCCACGAATGGAGCTTGCAATCCGATCAATCTTTTACCATCATATTGGCAAAGTCGCTTTGTTGCCGAAATCGCAAGTTTGGTGCTGAATGGTGTTGCGCTGTTGGTTTCTTCTTTTTTGTCGTGGAGGCTTGCCAAGGTGATGCAGTCTCAATCTTTGTTTGCAAGTTCACAGCACTCATGTGTTCTACCTAGCTCTTTGGTTGGCAGACTTTCAAGCGCGTCGGGGCTTCAATCGTTATCAGTCGTGTCTACAAACTTGTGCTCGTGCTCTCGATCACTATCCAGTTATCGCTCTTTTTCATGGTAGTCGCTATCTCACTTTGGCTTGATCAACTTTTCAATGGCAACATCGGGCGTCTTAACTCCTCATCTGTATATAAACCATTGCTGATCATCACTCTCATCGTGAGTGAAAAAATTACGTGCCGTCAGAACTATTCACCGACTACGTTCTTGTGTAGCTCTTACTTCCGTGGTTGACTGCGGTCAGATCTCACTTTGTAATTACTTGTACAGTAACTTACACCTCTCGCAGGGTTGGCACGGTGTGCGCCGAGAACTCAAAATACCTACGCTCGTATTTCTTGCGCTCAGTGCCGGATACCTTGCAGGCTGGGCAGCAATGTTCAATTCCACTGCATTCCAGTGGACGTACATGACCTGGACATTCTTCGGAGTGATGACCTCTACTTCCGTCTTCCTGACTCTCGTCGCGTTCATTTTGGGTATCATATGTCGTATTAACTTTGGCAAGGGGCTTATACGCTATCGTGAGTCCTTACCATCTGTTGTTTTCGCCTGTGAGCTTATGCATTTGGTACAGTCAATGCAGAAGAGCCAATCCCAGATGACTTTGAACCTGTGAACTACGGAAATGACCTAGAGAAGATCGCGTTCCAAACGGATGGTAAGAGAATGTCCACTTTCTCAGGCTCCGCCACGTTCGGCGCGGGACAAGAGGTTCATCCCTCCCAAATGCTTGCACCTCCTGTATGGGAGAAGTTCTCCGTACCTGAAGCATTCTCGGCCCCGGGAACCACTCACAACGCCGTTGAGCGGCAAGTGTCCAACAGTAGCACCTATAGTTCAAGGAGTACTACTTCAAGCCGCCTCGGGAGTGACTCTGCAGCTGGACATTCTAAACGCTGGATCATCGAGTAAATGTCACTAGCGATTTGCACAGGCTCCCGGTGTATTCGATTTGTAATTGTAGAGTATTTTGGTCGCAATTCATACGGACATTCACTCTACTTTCGGCGAAAGCCACCCCAAGCACCTTCAAGCGCAACGGAGTGTCTTGGAATTGGTCGTCAATGCTCCTACGGTCTCACCAACATATCAAATCACGTCAAAAGGCCAGCGATGGGTGTCATGTTGGAAAACCAATCAAACAAAGCCCGCGCTGATGGACACACCAATGAAAACAAGAAGGAAGAAAGCGGGGGAGAAGAGGACAGCAACGTAAAGCAACCTATCGTATGTGATTTGAAGGAAGAACTTGGAAGCATTTCCTGAGGCTGCAAATCTATTTACGAATTACGTTAATTTCGAGGGGTAGGCTGACAGATAAGTATACGCACAAATCACACGAGAGGCGGTGTGTAGGGAACGAGATGATGCGAACCATGCTGATGTTAATAAACACTGGCAAGCATTGATGATTTGTTTTCGATAGCAATAAAAGATCACGTCTCGATAGCAATTCCGAATGGAGACTGGCGGTTCCACTGTCCAATGGGTTGTTAGATGGCGCAAGCAGACAAGTATATACAGCATACATGCCAGTTCTCCCGAACTGATCATAATGCAATAGGAACTTTAGTCATTGCATAGTTTGCCCCGCCATGCACTGGTTCATGATTGATCAAAGTTACACCGTACACGGCCATAGCAAGGCCCAGTTCGCTTTCCGCACCATCGACACAAATAATTCAAGAGTCGCGTGATTTCGGTAGACAACCCGCCATCTCTCGTCCGAGTCACCCTTTTGGATCCGACGAGAATTGCCGTGCCAGCTCCTCCGTTGCATCTATAAAGTTGCACAGTCCAGCAAGGGGGAATGATACAGCGGAAAATATCTGAGAAGATGAGTGATTGATATAGATGGGTGAATAACGATTCTGTAGTCGTGCCCCCGGGTATGATGACCTACTATTATAGGTCCTTGTGGAGCCCTCGACCAACACCTTGAAAATGTCTACGCAATCAACAGAAGCCTTGCATGACCTAAATGTTAAGTTGATATTCTGATGGATCAGCAGCCCTACTCAATAACAGTGTATTTCGCCAGTCTATTTTTGAGCGCTCAGGGCGAAAAGAAAACTGACAACTTTGTGTGTTGTGCTAGGCTGCTAGCACGGAGATTGAAACGTGAGTAGCCGAACGATTTGCCAACACTTTGGAGTAAAGGAACACCCACTGATACACTCATCATGGCGCGTGATAACTCAGTGCATCGACAACATCAACGCCGACGGAGCAGCAAGAGAGAATTCACAGCGAACCTCTTGCAGCTGTACCCCTCGCCGAGCCAAAAGACTCTGGGGATTAGCTCATATGTTATTTTATTCGTATTGGTGGCCTTGGAACGATGACGACGAGACGGACGCAGTGGTAGGTACGGTAGAAAATAACCTGAGGATTTCTTGGTAGAATGAGAGCTTCTGCTGTCTGATGATCTTCGTTCGGTTCAAATTTCAAAACAAAGAATGAAATAATTGAAGGAGTCATGTGATCACGTTCTTTCAGCAGGTTTACCAGTCCTTCTCATCAGTTACTATGGCTCGATTCTTTATTGAGTCCATTTCTGGATCTTGCGGTTGCCATTCATACTACATAGTATTCGGAATGGTCATTCTATTATAGTGAAACTGGCATCGAAGGTCAGAAGAAACTGCGGGAAACACTAATAGTTCGTGTGTGCATGTGGCTAGCTAGACAAATTACGAAAACAATTTGAATGAAGATGTACAAGTATGGGTAAGGCTACATTGCTAAGTGTGAATTGGAACGTTGCAGAGATTAAATGAATCACCAGCATGCGTGAGTTATCGTCATTCATATTCATATTCAGCTTCGGGTGTGGGCGTTCCTGTTGACGACAGGGTAGGCGAAGGTATCTGGATGGCCTCGACTTCTTTCTCCTGGATGATTGCAGCCTGCCTTGCGACTGTAGCCATCTCATAGTTTTCTTCTGTCGGCAGCTCTACAGGCGGACTAGTCACCAACTCAGTCTCCTCATATCCGAGGAGCGTCTCGCCGAATTGGAGCATCCAGGGGTGGTCCAGTAGTTCGACAGCCGTCGGCCTTCTCATGGCATCAATGATGAGACACTGCTTGATGAAGTTGATGCCTAGATCGCTCAGCTGTCCGGGTTCCGGTAGGGGTGGATGCTGCGTAGCTACTCCAATGTGGAACATGACAGCCCTGTTGCCCCATTCCTATCAGATCAATCTTTACATCAGAGACGAAGATGGCAGTACCATTCATTATCCAAATTACTCCATGGTTTCTTGCCAGTAGCAAACTCTAGAACCACGCATCCGAGCGACCAGACATCCATTGCCCCGTGACGACCTCTCTTATCATTCTTGATAACTTCTGGTGACATATACATGGGTGTTCCGGTCAGGCTGTTCATGCCTAAGCCTCCACCAAAGCCACCAGCTTTCGCAGGATTCCCGCCGAAGTCTCCTCTACGTGTACGTTGCATGGTGCGGTTCTTCACGAGGATTTTGGATGCTCCAAAATCGACATATTTGATGACACCACGATGATCAAGGAGAATGTCTGTTGAACGATTCAAATGATGTATAAACGCAGAATACTCAGACTTACTGTCAGGTTTGATATCTCGATGGACTATTCCTTTCGAATGCAGATATGCAAGTCCCTCCAGCATTTGCATGGTATAGAGCTGTATGATACTCTCGTCCTCGATTCGCCCATGTTCTAGAAGAGAAGCCAGGCTTCCGCCTTGGCAATACTCTTCAAAAATGTATACCTTGTCGCGGTGCACTTCGATCCCGTAATATTCTACGACGTTGGGATGATGAAGCATTTCCATGACGCTTAGCTCGTCCCTGATTTGCGAGTAGAGGTTCGGAAGCCCGGAAAGCTCTTGAAATTTGATTTCCTTGACAGCCATGAGGGAACCGGAGTCGAGGTTGACTGCGAGATAAACTGAACCGAATGCCCCAGCCCCAATGAACCTCCTTTGCTGCCATCGAATGGAGATATTGGAACTTGAAGATGCAAGGAAAACGAGAGACCGATCTTCGGGTTTCTCGTTGTCAAGAACCCGACCTACAACCCTTTGGTCTGTACCAGTCTGTGCTCGACTGCTTTCAAGTGCATGTAACGCCCTTGCCGTCTTTTCCCAATACAGACGCACGTTAGCATCTGTGTATGAGTACGTGTTCATGTTGAGGAGGTCATCATTAGAAGGCGATGAAGACCTTGGGAATCCAGGCTCTTCATCGTCAATTATCGAAGCTTGCTCGCGTAAAAGTCCCTCTTGTCTTTCCTTCTCCTTCCGTGCTTCCAAAGTGGAACGGGCACCAAGAATGTCGAAATGGCTGATGAGGAGTGTCATGCAGCTGGCAACTTTCTGCCGCAGCATTTCAAATTGATCATCTGGCATCTGCAATATATTGTTCCGTCGAGTGCGATGTAGTGCGAACTCCAATGCGTTCACGGCCCATCGAAAGGTTTTACGATCTGATGGATCGCAGTCATCGCAGATGAATGACACCCAAGAGATGGCGAGGCGTATTAGCAGACGGTTAAATTTGCTGAGAGGCGAACGTTCCATGTACTTTTGAGCATGTTGCCCGTGCTCGGAAGCAAATAGATACCAATTCTCCAGGAGTTCCTGGTATCCAACTGCATTGCGCAGTGAATATCGAACGTGGTGCACAGAATCTACTATTGATTCTGCTAATTTGTTGGTCGCACGAGCTATCTTCCGCAGCTCGCGGTTGACTGTGGGTAGATGCGCTTGTTGTTCGACGATACACTGCAGGGGAGTAAGCATCGTCTCTAAAGGCTCATCTTCCTCATCCACGAAGATCTCCGAGAATTGTTCCTTGGCTAGCACAAGCCGCCGATCGGGACCATCTGCAACAAGACGCAAGCGGTTGTCCTTCATATCAAGATCCATCCTTGGAAGTTCGAGCATGAGCACCAGACCATTCCACAGAAATTGACTTAGAGGAGATAAGAGGAGAAGATATTCGGCCTCATCATCATCCTCACTATCTATCATCTCCATGTTATCAACCCCAGGGACACCTTCGTCATTCATAGACTCGTTGGCATGGAAAGACTCAAAAAGAATGCGTCGTATGGCTTCTGGACGGTCGCGCAAAGCACTGGATGCAATGACGTAGATTCCTTCTTCTTCAAACGATTGCGTGTAGACCAAAAAATGATCTGTCGCCACAAGTGCTGCAATGACCTGTTCGATGGGGACGCCCTCCAAGTTGTACTCGGCCGAATTGCAAAATCTTTGAGTCAAGACCCTAAATATGCCCAATACCATCAGTAACAATTCCGTTCCTTCGCATGAAGGTTCAACGTACCGAGCAAAACGTTGCAGCTTTCGGTAGCGCAACCGGACGTTGTCCAAGATCTTACTATACCAGTTGACCTTCTGCTCGTCAGTCATTTGACCTGACGCATTGTTCGTGATGATATCGGTGTCGAAGATATTCGCGGACCCTCGACGTTGAGGTGGCTTTTTGTCTGCAGAAGGCAGTCGGACCTGGGTATCAAAGTAATTTGCAACCCGGACCATAAGCTTGTTTGTCAATGAGCTACAAATATGCCTTTAGTAAGAGGGAACGCGGCAGGAATACAAACTGACCAGACTTGTTCAGCGACAAGCTGCGGGCCGCCAGCAACAGTCATGCTGACATCATTGAAAGTCGCCCACTGAGACTCGATAAAATCCTGTCTCTTTAAAGTAAATCCCTTTGACTCCGCTCTTGAGCTTCCAATGTATAAGTCTGAAGAATATGGAGAGCGCTTCAAGTATCGTGGAATCATAGTCATCGCTGATGCATTGGGGCAAATTCCAATTTCCACCTGGATCGGGAGCGAGGAAGGCCTCGTATTGCCGCTTGAGCGTGCAGGCAAGACCCAGACTTATCTTTACATCTTCCGCGACTTGGTCGATGATAAGGACTTCCGGATCTTTAAGTTTCTGGACATAGTCCAACCGAAGGCGGAGACATGCCTGGGCAAGTTTGGTCGGGAAGGAAATGAGTGGGACGAGTTCGTTCTCGAAAGTGGGGAGGTTCATTTCTTCAAAAAGGGAGGATAAGTTGACTTGCGCATCTCTAGCAGTACCGATGAAAGAGTGTACAGTGGTGAGGAAGCCTCTCTCGAAGGTTTTTTGGATAGAATCTTCTTTGAGAACTCGCTCTACGAAAGTGGTCCCATCAGTCATATCCGTAGGCCCGTTAGCGTAAGAGTACAGGTTGGCAAGAGGGATGTCCGCGCTCGTCTTAGTCACGTCGAGCGTCTCGCTCTCGGTCCACTGTTGTAGTAGTGCAATATGACGCTTTAACGACAAAAGCACAGTCGACCAAGTATTAAGCGTATCGCATCGAGCCTGGAAGGATGGCTCGGATGCAACGACGTTATCAGCAATGAAAGCTTTGATGGTAGGGTAAAGGGAGTGCGCTGCATTCAATCGCAACAGTACAGCGTTGACACGCTTGAGTGCAGTAATTGCATCGCGCTCGTCATCTGCAAGCTTGAAATTATTGATCTCGTCAATGACAAGATCTACCGTGCGCAATCTCCTCTCCTCGAGACGCTTGCGCTCTTCTTCAACAGAACGACCGCTGAATTTGGCACGTAGCCCAAGCCATATACTGAGATGAATGTTGTTATGTTCCTCCGACGAAGATTCGAGTGCTACAGCAATCCGAGTCTTCTCTGATTTGAGGACATCACCGTCTAAGACGGACGCTAGCATAGTCTGCCACTCCAATCGCTGTCTATCCTCCACAGTCGCTGGATGGATTTGCTCCGATTCGAGCATCAAAGCCGTGATGCGGTCTGCACCGTCACCTCCCATGAGTGAGGTGCGCCCCAGATCTTCATCATCACTATCTCCTGCGTCTACGAGCTGCCCTAAACCTCTCTGAAAGTAGTTACTGTCTGGATCATGGCGAGGATCCTCATCAAGACCTGGTTCGGACCTGTAGCGCTTCACGAATTGAGTGTAGATATCCGAGTACTTAGAGGTGTGAGACAATGTGTTGTGATTGAAATGGGAAGATGCTGAGCCCGACGAGAATGCATTCCTTGGCCTATTCTTTCCTCTGCTACGCAGAGACGCACTTGAGGAGGAGTGCATGCTGACTGATGATGCAGGGTGTCTAGATCCGATTGGGGGTTGGGGCCAATCCGCGTCCTCGGCATCGTTTGAGTCTTGCTCTTGCAGAGCAAGCAGCGATGGCATATGCTTTCTCATAACCGGAACTGGTAGTCTAAAAGAAAGAAAGCCGCTGCCGCCAGCCGAGCTGAGAGTGGTCAGGATAGAAGCCTATACTATATATAATATATTTCCGACAATATAAATGAGGTGAAATTCAATGTAGTATAAGTATATGGCATTCACGTGACCCCTTGAAAATCAAAGATGATCATCTGAACGTTGTGGAGAACTTGTCACCGTCTTCATACTGACACGAACACTTCGTAGATCATTGTCGTAAATATCAGCTAAAAATGGGTATCGTCGAAAAGGTGAGCTACAACGTAGCGCTTTCTGGACGATGCTGACAGCCTGACACGACACATCATTATCTAGATTAAGGAGATCGAGGGTGAGCAACATACTAGACTTTGATAGCCAACTGCTGGGTTTAATCTAACGTGATAATGCAGAGGAGATGGCTAGGAGTGAGTACTTCTTTGCCCTGTCTGCTGTGTTGCACCTGAACAACATGCATCAGCCCAGAAGAACAAGGTACATATCGAAAAGACAGTACACTAGCTGCGATTGGCACACGTTCATCCCAAGTAGGCTACAGAATATCATCTGGGTCTTCTGAAAGCAAAGTTAGCTCGGTATCGGGCCCAGCTTCTTGAACCTGCCTCAAAGTCTGGCCCAGCCGGTGTCGGGTTTGATGTACAGAAATCAGGAGATGCCCGAGTTGCATTGATAGGATTTCCGTCAGTAGGGAAGGTGAGTTAATCCATAACATGCACGAATATTAGCTGAAGGCAAACTTTAGTCCACCCTCCTCAGTAAATGCACTCACACCGCGTCCGAAACAGCAGCATATGAATTCACAACCCTTACTGTCAGCAACTCTCACCCAACACGCCCATCTGATGACTGACTCGTCTTGAACACATTTAGGCTATACCTGGAGTGATCGAGTACCAAGGGGCACGTATACAATTGCTCGATCTTCCTGGAATTGTCGAAGGCGCTAGCCAAGGTTTGCTTCCAGTCCTTTCAAAATAAAATATTTCATTATTCTGTAGGCCGCGGTCGAGGACGACAGGTTGTTGCCAGTAAGTACCTTAATCTGTTAAAATGAAAAATAATAAGTATGGCGCAGCGGCCAAGACGGCCGATCTCATTCTCATCATGCTCGATGCAACGAAGTCCGAAGAGCAACGACGGCTTCTTGAGATCGAACTTGATTCAGTTGGCATCCGCCTTAACAAACGCAGACCTGATGTAGTATTCAAACGGCGGACAACTGGTGGTGTGAGTAGTGAATTCATGTATCCTGTCACATTCTCATTATACTTGCAGATAACCGTACGCTGCAGCTGCATCCATGCGCCAGTCAAACCTTTAATGCATTATTCAGTTGAATACCACCGTAAAACTCACCAAGACAGACGAGAAGACTATTCGTACCATTCTGGCAGGATGTACGCGCCCTGAGTTTGGCTTACATGTACCTTGCTGACCAGACACAGATAAATTACACAACTGCGATGTGATGATCCGAGAAGATGTATGTCAATAAATCTATTATTCGGCTATCACTTACGATGTCGTTGGAAGATTACAACCGACGAGTTCATCGATGTTCTTATTGGTATGACACCTGTGTATGTTGTGACAAATTGCTCGTTTGACTCGTAAATCCTACAGGAACTCGAAAATATATACCTTGTTTATGTATGCTCTGTTTGCTTGGTATGAGGTGCTGCTTAGATCTGACTTCGGATAGATGTTTACAACAAGATTGATGCGATTAGCCTGGAGTTGGTCCGTACAAACCGACCGACTTGATGCTGACATCTTGACGGACCCATGATGATCAGGTAGATAAACTTGCAAGAACAGAGAATACAGTCGTGATCAGTTGCGAGATGGACCTCAAGTGAGTCGACTATTTCCACATAGATCCGTTCTCGAGTCGAGTCTCACGACCAATAACTAGTCTAGACTACCTTATTGAGCGGATATGGGAAAGTTTAGAGCTTGTCAAAGTCTACACCAAGAAAAGGGGTGCACGACCTGACTTGTCGGATCCTGTGTGTTTGAGAAAAGGCGCTACTATCGAAGTGTGAATTTCAATATCATTCCAAAGACTTTTTTGACATCGCTATAGGACGTCTGTTTGGGTATTCATAAGTCACTCGTTTCGAACTTCCGCAATGGGCTTGTCTGGTGAGTAAACCGTTCGCCGGTCCACACATACACTTAGCTCTCGATAGGGTATATGTCATTTCGCTTGCATAGCGGATTGTGACCACTGACTACTCGCACAGGGTCGTTCATCCAAGTTCTCGCCCCACGCACAGAAGGTCAGTTTGAACCATCAGTTACAGGATGAAGATGTTGTTTCAAGTATGTTTCCTTCTTTGACAGTATCGCTGTTGTTGACATTTTGACCTGCATAGTTTTCACGAAATAGTCGTTGGTCCGTTACGACTGGTTTGTGCTTATAGGCACACAGAAACAAGAACAATATATTTGCTCTGTCTGCTGCCCATAAGTTGTCGCTTGCCAAATATAAGTTTGACGACCCCCGTCCAAAATTTTTGCCTGCGCATACGTGGGCTAATTGCCTATAATGTAGTACAAGACGCTATCATGTGTAGCCGGCTTGGAAGAGCTTGGAAGGTATTTGTATTGTGGATCGAGGCCACCTATTCCGCGGACTTATGAGTGATTCCACGAGGTACTACCGGTACGCGTCGATGGGGCTCCCGAGGGCAAATGGCCCCATCGGCCGATTAAAAAACCTGTTTCAAGGGGCCGATGCTTAGCTGCGCTAAACTTTGAAAAGTAAAAAATCATCACCCGTAACGCTTTTGCTAGATCCGTTATGAATTGTACATTGTACTAGGTCCGCATGCGCCTTATCAGCGGTTACACGTGCCGCCGTAAAGGACGGAAATGGGCGTCCACATACTCGACGACGGCTCATCCGGATAAGCTGAAACCGTTCGGAAATTAGGTTGAAAAACAGCTTGCCTCCCCCTCCTTTCAACTTCTCACTACGGTCCTACATTTCATGGGTTCCCTTGTCTCTCCTTCTGATACTCCTCTAGTTGAGCTTTTATTTCTTGGAACAGGCACTTCCTCCTCGATCCCTCACTTGGACTGTCTGACTGCTCCGCCCAATAGAAAGCCCTGTTTGACCTGCCTCTCTACCCTAACTCCAGAGGGAAAGAAGAATATCAGGCGGAATACATCCGCGGCTCTCCGCATATCAGGCAAGGACGGCAAGACAACGTAGGTCCACATTACTTCTCTTCCTCACCCACGAATTATGGACTTGAACTAGAACCGTGGTCATCGATGTAGGCAAAAACTTTCAAGCTGCGGCGGTGGAATGGTTCCCAAAATATGGATTGAGGGAGATTGATGCTGTTATCATCACCCATGCACATGCTGATGGTTGGATTTGGCTATTTGAGATGGATGATGGTGCTGATTGTCTTGATAGCCATGAACGGTTTGGATGATCTCCGAGGTAAGGATATGAACGACTCTGACATAGCATTGCATGTTCACCATTATGGCTAGGATGGACGCTCGGAGGTGCCGTACAAACTCACATCGATATCTATGTTTCCCAGTCCACGTTTCACGAAGTCCAAAGATCTTTCCCTTATTTGGTCTCGAGAGAATTCGCATCTGGGGGAGGTGATGTGAATTTTTCTTTTGCTAACTTGGTCATCTATTTGATATGCAATGCCCCGGAAAACAGGTGCCGGATTTTGAATGGCACATCATAGAAGAAAAAGTCCCGTTTGAAATCAAGGACACGGGTGTCCAGATTACCCCATTCATAGGTTGGTGTATGCTGCGATAGAGGTCTATTCTCGATTGACTATTCTGGTTAGTTCATCATGGCAGGTTATTTACCACGAATCCTCCGCCAGCCTTTTCACCGACACCATGCGCAATTCAGCCAATAACTCCCAACTTGTCAGGAAGGTCAACCCCCGTAAGACCCTTGTCAGGTACCTGCTGCAGCAATGCGGCGCCCAAGATTAATCCGTACTTGTGCTTTGGGTTTTTGATTCAAGACAGCATCATCTACATTTCTGACGTATCTTTGATACCCGATGATACTTGGGATCTCCTAGAGTCAGCCAAACGACCGATGCCAGTGTTGGTACTCGACTGCTTGCGACTGAGGTCCCACATGTCACATATGGGTGTTCGGGAAGCAGTAGATACGGTGCGAAGGTTGAATCCCAGCCGAACCTATTTGACTGGATTCAGTCATGACATCTCTCATGATGAATATGTAACCATTGGCAAGGCTGCGGGGGAAGACGGGCCCAACTTAGATACGACTCACATGAGCGTCATGGAGCGTCGGGGAACGGAAATGATTCGAGAAGGGAAGCCTGTGTGGATTCGGCCAGCCCATGATGGATTGAGGGTATTTGTATCTAGTGATGATTTAGTCATTGACGAGACATACGACTGAAGATTCTAGGTCCATAGCGGCCGTTGACGGAATAGGATTTACTTACGTGATGAATGAATTTACTGTCCGTTGGACCTTTACCCACACATCATCCAGCCCTGCACTAAACTGTGTTGTCCGCTCTCTCGTTCTGCCCTTCTACTGTTGTGACTTGAATTGAAACTAGCCATACCGGGATCGTTGACAATGAAGTTCTTTTCGCAATCCTTCTTGTACGAGTCAGTAGTTTTTCATCACAGTCAAGTTTGCCGCTCATATGCTCAAACAAACACACAGCGATCCCTGGTCCATTGTCTCTCTTGCTTTCTTTTTACGCTATCCTAATCCATACGCTGCCCATGTCATCTCGTGCGATGTCATCGACAGGCACCAAACAGAGTCAGGCTCCTTATTGACAACCAGACTTATCTTGAAAAGGGGAGCTTTGCCAAGATGGGCTCCTCAAGGCATTATCTCAAGGGCCGAGTCGTGGGTCATCGAGGAGAGCGAAGTGGATCCATTCGGAAAGTTTGTTCGGTGCAGGACTAAAAACCTTGATCACGTCAAGGTTATGCAAATCGAGGAAACCCAACTGTTTGAGCAAAATGAAGACGGGTACGTGTCGCTCATCTTACACATACGAGCCACCCTAACAGCTATCGAGCAGCCATACTATGCAGACAACGGAGGCATATATCACTTCCAAGTTCGGCTGGGGAATGACAAAACGGATTGAGAGTCATGGACTTGCTCGTTTCAAGGCTCACGTTCAAAGAGTTGGTTTATTTTACTCTTTTTCTTCATCACTGGACTGATCTCCTTGTAGTCTCGGCAGGGTGTCTCCCTCATTCTTGACCTAATTCGCCAGGCTCGATTGCAGCCTATGGCGTTAAGCTCGTATATAACACATCACCACTCAGAACGTTCTTTTGCTTCTACGGATACTCCGACTTCATCCCACAGCTCAGACAACACTGGCCATGCGCCAGAGGAGTATTCTTCACCCACGACTGAAAACACTTGGTTGAGCAAAATATGGAGCAGTAGGTGATCAGTCTGAAGTCCTTTCCTACTTACTTGCTTCTTGACATAATTTGGTTTTACTCTTATGTGTTGCACTCATTGTATCATTAGTGACATCTAGTACCCTCACAAACGGTTTTCACGGATATGTACGTGCTGCGTAAGCATATGTGAGTTGTGTATGTGAGGCATATATATACTTAAGGGACCGACTGTTTTTCGCATCGGCGGCAATGATGTCGTTTCAGCTTTCCGCTCGCCTAAATCATTGATCCCCTCTCTGTCCGTGTACATTTATTGATATCGTCATTCACCCACTTGGGTCAAACTTTGCGTTCGGTGATACGAGTAGAAACCAATGTACTTTCCTACCTCGGCGGCAAGGCAGTTGTTGACAGTTCCTGCCCTACCTGATGTCACCCCCGAACCTGTGCTCTGCTTCGAAGCTAGCCCGCGCAAGACCCTCTTCTGCTTACTCACAAGGAGTTCTTTGACCGTTTGGCGCGTCCGAGTATGTAGGTTTCAGTGGTCATCATATTCTGCAACTCAACGCTATCCATGTCTTGTAGCCTTCTGCTCCACTGGCCCACATCTCGAGGTCAGAAACTTCTCTTACAGAACATGGTGATAATACGGCGGTGACTTGGTCGCCAGACGGGAGTAGGATTGTTGTTCAGGTCTGCTCTTATTTTCTTACTGAGCGGTCAGACATTGACCTCGTAGATATAGACTGTGATGTCGTATTTGATCCTGGTCACGGTCGATTATGTTCCAGATGCGTCGGTGTACCGGTCATCACACCTGGGTTCGAATGTGCAGCGCAACTTCCTGCCGGGTCCAGGAGAGGGTATACCACTACAATCACTAAGCCTCTCACTGGAAGGTGTGATATGTACCGAGGGGCAGGTTCTCAGGTAAGCCGCTCGAGCAATTCACATTGGTGCTTTTGACTGAGGGTTCCTTCAGTGTTTCACCACGTAAAGACTATATCATCTTTTCAACTACTTCTCCGCCTTCTGTACAACGCATACCGTGGCCAGTATACGACGACTCGGACATTGAGGAGCAGGCAGCGCGCAGGTCGCTTATGGGTCATGACACTTGGATTTTGAATGACCTTGAGTTGCCTTGGCTGTTAGATCCCGATGGCAGGTCCCTTGTTTTCTGATGTCCTTACGTTACTTACCAAAGCTGAAGTTACCGTCACGAAGATTTTTCACTCGATGTCAGGGGTGGAAGCCTGGATCACTTCTGACGGGAGAGCATATTTTGTCCGTTTGCAAGAAAGTGGGTATTCAGACAACGTTTCAGAGCCTGACGAGGAGGATACCGACAAAGTGGGTTGGTTGTCCTGATCTATCACCATTCAATTTCTTAACATAGCTGTTGCGCCAGAGTTCAACATCGAACCTACCTAACGGAACATCAGCTGACGGTTCCAGCTCGCAGTCGCACTACCATTGGGGCGGCACATGTATCCATAACTTTGACGTGCCGCGTTGGGTGCAAAAGCAACGCAGTACTGATGACGGCAGCGGTCGATCGTCATCAACCTATGTTGAACCTCGTCGGGCGGTGGCAATAGCTGTTAACTCGAGATTTTCATTCGTTGCAGTTGGCACTCAAAGGCTTGCAGTATCCCTCTTATTTGATTCTTCCAACTAATTCTTTGGATTAGTGGTTTCATCGAATTTACAAATTTTCCGACTCCGGATGAGCCTACACCCACTCCAAAAATTGTCGAGATACCAAACCCGTATAACCGTTCGAGTGGTTCTGTGACTGCGATGGAGTGGAGTTCAGATGGATATGTGCTAGCTGTTGGGTGGACACATGGCTGGGCAATATTCAGCGTGGGCGGGCGATGTCTTGCATCCAGTCTTGGTGTCGAAGATCGCATTGATGGCGACAAGTGAGTTCGTGGTTTGACGAGATGCCAGGGCACTTACGCTTTATCATAGGTTTCAAGATACCTTCATGCATGCGGTCGAGAACCTTGTCAGCATGATCCGTCATCCACTTTGCACTGATTTTAATACTCAACAGTTCTGGGCACCAGGAAACTTCGAGCTAATTGTCCTAACTCCCTCTGGAACAAGTGAGTTTGTTCTGTCTGTGATACCAAAATCTCATGCAATAATCATAGAACCGGACGGCCAAGTTTTTGTTCTGCCATTTGCTAAAAGCGCAACGACGTGTCAACATTCTCCAGTAAGTTCACATTACTACTCGAGGATACAAGGTTGATCATATAGTGAGCAGGATAACACTCGTTACGCGTTTCTGCAAATGGATGATCGAGCGCTGGTGTACCGAGGCGCTGAGCAGCCTGATATGAGCATCATCAATCCAGAGTCAGATGTGTGGCAGCACATCAAAGTCAGTATCACGACTATCACATACATCCCATTAAAATCAGGTATGACAGATACCTCAATCATACCTGGCAACGAATTGGCCCATCAGATACTCGGCACTCAGCAGCGATGGGCGACTGATCGCCATTGCCGGGAGACGAGGTCTGGTACATTACAGCTCCACCTCCGGCAGATGGAAAATATTCTCGAACGTCGCTCAAGAGCAGGTATTTACAGTGAAAGGAGGACTTCTATGGTTCCACCATGTCCTGATTGCTGCAGTGGAAATTTCCAAGTCGTATCAGGTTTGTGCAAGTGCTCGCTTCCATGTGAAATCCAACTTACTGTACCTCATCAGATACGGCTCTACTCCAGAGACATGGAACTCAGCAACCAAAATGTGCTTCACCGCGAAGTCCTAATGTCCCCAGTAATCATCTTGTCGTTGGTTGACAATTCACTATTGGTCTATACTGCCGACAACATGCTCAACCACTATTTGATTGTACCAACTGCTGATACTATTAAGCTGCATCTGTGCGGAAGTATCACATTTGACGGAATCATTGCCTCACCTAGCGCAGTGAGGGCATTGAGCTGGATGATCCCGAATACTCAAAAACGTACGTTCATAGGTTTTCAAAGCACTGCTTACTCATGTATCGCATCCAGGACTCGGCGACCCTGTGGATGACCTCGCAGTTGCCACTGTACTAATGGTGGTTGGTGGTCAGTTAGTATTATTGCGTCCCAGAACGGTGCGCTTTGTTGAGACATCAGCGCAGCAGATTATTAACTTTGCCTTCAAGTCTGGTACCGAGGAGGTGAATTACGACATGCAAATTTTCGCAGAACGCATCGAATTTTGTTGGATACATCTCCGTGGTATTGGTGCACTCGAGAACTCGCTCTGGGGTTACGATGGACAAAACATGCGAGTTTGGCTGAATGCGCTTGCCATTAAGTCGTCCGAATCTACCGATGAACCTTCAAGCGTCAAGGAAAGTGTGAGCATACCATTAGACTTCTACCCCTTGTGTGCGTGTATATTCCTCGCATTGTTGGGGTCTTGTGGGATGCTGATGGGCAAGCAGCTGTTCTTATGGACAAAGGAATCATCATCGGCGTGGAGCATGAGGCCGCAACGAGAATGAACCTCTCATTTGTAATGTTCAGACATGCCACGAGTGTGCGTTTCTTCTCTGACAACTCATGTTTATGCTTATCTGTTTCAAGTCCCATCTTTTTCTGCATCACGTCCTCCGTTATCACTTGGAATCAGGGCAAGTGAAGGAAGCAGTGACGCTTGCCAAACACTATCAGCATCTGGTCTTCTTCGCACACGCATTAGAAATACTGCTACATACAGTCGTGGAGTCTGAGTGCACCGAAGACTCAGAAGATCTTTCGACAAGCGTGTCGCCTGAGTCTGGTACACTCGCGGCAGTGATACAGTTTCTTGATCACTTCGATGCCTCCTTAGACGTCGTCGTCGGATGCGCTCGGAAAACTGAAATGACTAGATGGAAGCGTCTCTTTAGCATTGTCGGAAACCCACACGCACTCTTTGAGGTGAGATACAGTTGAGTTTCGTAGAACGGAAGCCCGCTAACTTATCGTAACAGACGTGTTTAGCGTTCAAACGGCTGAAGACAGCAGGTTCATATTTATTGGTGCTGCATAATCTCGAGCAGCTCGATGAAAATAATAAGGATGCCGTCCGCTTGCTGAACTGTGCTGTGAAAGCGCAGGATTGGCAACTATGCCGGGAACTTTTACGCTTCTTGCATTCAATCGATGACACTGGAAAGGCACTCAGGCATGCCTTGTCGGAGACATCTCTTGTGGTCCAGAAAGGCATCATGGTACCTTAGGTTGTGATTTTCAATAGTCATGTGTAGGTCGTTCCGTAGTACCCGTGTAGCGTGTACAACCGCAGACGTTTTCAGGGATCGCACTGAAGGGTCGCAATTAGGCTACACATCATATACCCTCTGCGATTGTATCAGGCGCCGGCACCATTCCTATGGTAGTCCAAGTTAATCACGGTCTAGAATGTATACATATGGTAAAAACCGCTTCGTGATCAAGCAGTTCGGCCGCCAGCCCCATAACGGTACTTTGCTGCTGACTCAAGGCTTGAAACTCAGTGAGCGTTCTGACTTCGTTCGATGGCGAGAAGGGTACTTCTTCGCTCTATGACATCCCTGACCCATGCTTTGCAGGGATCGCGTGCCATGTCCACAGATGTCGTGTCGATCTCTTACCGAACACTTGTATCTTCACCCTTGTCCTTAGAGACATCCATCGGTGAGTCATATATATCATCGTATGCCGCTATACCAATGTCGATCCTTTTCTCTTACAAGAGGAAGCGTTTGGATCGCATCCTCAGGCTCTCGGCCTTATACTGGTGAAAGATCTTCCGCCTGTCTACTCTGCCTACAGGGAAAGATTACTCAAGCTTGCATACAATTTCGCTCATCTGGATGAGGATGTAAGGGAGAGATATGTGGACCCTGGGAGCATATACAGGTAAGTCAAGTCTGCGCTCGCTCAGGTAGCAAGGATTTTGACTCCGGCCTGAAGCTACGGATGGTCGCACGGGAAAGTCAGTGTTACGAAAGCTGAAGGGTGTTAATCAATAAACTGGACTAACTGATGTCGCTTCTCAGGAAATCATGAATGGACGACCAGGTACGAATGATCATGTATACCGCCTATTTGCTGGATACCTGCTTAACTTAAAACTAGACACGCTGAAAGGGTCTTACTACGCTAACCCCGTGGTAGATGTTCCCGACGTCAGCCCCGCTGTAAAAGCTGCGTATCCACCGATCTACGGCGATAACATTTGTATGTGTCATTCTGTTTACTACGGTATATTGAACACTGAACGTTACCAAGGGCCCGACAAGAACGAAATCGGCGTAGAAGGTTTTGAAGAAGCCTTTAAGAATCTGGGAGAGTTCGTTTTCGATGTTGGGTGTCAACTTGCGGGCGCCTGCCAGCCCTTCGGTCAGTATATGCAACAAAACGCCGCTGCGAACAGTTACTGATGAGGATCCCAGTCTCCAAATATTTGACAGACGTGTCTTTATCCGTTCCAGAACTCGTCAGCACACAAACCGCTAAAGCTCGCCTTCTGCACTACTTCCCTCCTTCAGCAAATAGCCTCACTACTGAGGATGAACCCATTGATAGCTGGTGCGGCTTTCATAAAGACCATTCACTCTTGACAGGGTTGTGTTCGGTAAGTACATGCTCGAATGCATAAACATCATGTGTGAAGTTTTGAATGCCCTGCTTTAGGCTATATTCCTCCGTGAAGAAACAGGAATGGAACCTACTATTGTTCCTTCACCTTGTCCGACGTCCGGTTTGTATATCCGAACTCGAGGTGGAGATCTGACAAAGGTTTCAATTCCTCCCGACTGCCTTGCCTTCCAAACAGGCGAGACCCTGGAGCTAGTTACTGCTGGAAAGTTACGCGCGACACCTCACTGCGTCAGGGTTGGGCAAACACAAAGTGGGGCCAAGATATCACGAGAGACGTTTGCTCTCTTCATGCAGCCCGATACCCATCAACGTATTTCTGAAAGCGATACCTTTGGGTCATTTAGCAAGAAGGTGCTGGAAGAACATTATGAAGAAGCCAGATAATACGATCCATGTATCATATCTAAATATCTAACAGCCTGAGTGTACGTTATTCAATGAGACGAGTGATACAGTAAACTAGATGAATTACAATCAGCTTAAAGTTGTGGCCCTGTAGATTGGCGATGAGGGGTGAGCGCATCTGGCAGTACAGACATAACAGCAGCCGCAAGACTGCTACGTTTGAAGGTCGAGGACCGGTCAAGCTTGCAATCGCTCACTTTGCTTGAACCGGAGGCGCGCTTGTCGTCACCATCAGAAATTACACTCCAGTCCTCGCTGACCCGGCGTGAATCCACTGAACACCGGGAACCAGAACCAGAACGCTCCAGAGTAGATTGCGATGATACGATAGTCTGCTCATTGCGGACGGCGCCTTCGACATCATGCGCAGCCTCTGATTCATTGGGGGTTCGTTTGATCAATGAGCGAGCATATTCAAGATCACGGTAAATGGCCTCGATTGCGGTTAAAACACCATTCTCCTATTTCTGGGTTAAAAACGCCGGTAAGTCTTAATCAAATCGACTTACAGCCCGTATCTGTTCTCCAACTAATTTCGCCCTCTCAATTTGTTTGATATCTGTAGTCGCAGAGACAAGCGCCTCAGTCAAGTTCTCCACAGTCAACTTGCGGACACCCGTTCCTATGCCAAGGGCTTCAACACGATCAGCGGAGAAAAACTGATCTCCAAAGAAAGGTTTGACGATGGTAGGTATACCAGCTGCAGGAAATGGATCAGACTGGCAACAACAAAGTTTTATTGCGTACGAACCCCTTAAACTTGCGCCAGTGGTTCCAGCACCACCATGATGACATGCTGCATCAATGCGCTGGAACAACCAATCATGAGGGATGGAATTAATCGGATAGATTTGTTTGGGTAATGGTTCCTCAGGTTCAGATGCATCCGAAGACTTCGTTTGCAATCTATCGGACCAGCCCTTGGAGAGAATGGCATATACGCCACTCCGCAAAACAGCCTGTATCACGGAATGGGTCATTGCCACCGGGTCTGAGACAACGATGCTGCCAAAGCCAATATAAACGACTTTCTTTCCAGCTTCATGAGCAGAATCGATAAACGAAAGGAGATCGGGTGGTGGAGTCCATTTTTTGGCACCCACTTCTGCGTCGTCGAGGAACCAATATCCTAATGGGAATTTGAGATAAACAGTTGTCATACTAGATGGACTCGAGCGTACCAGTGATGCGGATCCACTCAGGCCAATCTAAAGGAGGAGGTACAAGCGTAGGACTGAAATTGTACAGAAATGGTATCTTGTGAGTCTGCATGCGATCAAGGCTAGTATTGCCTATATGCAGAGTATTACGTCGCCAACGGTTTACTTGCCCTGAGATAGCACGCCAAAATACTTGATCGAACATAACGTAAGTCTGGCATCGCTATCGTCAGTTCAAGTGATGCAACGAATACCGTTTCAACGAACCATATAGTTATACCCACCACCCATCTGGGAGGATTATCATGAGCTCCAGCCTAGTGCAGTGGCATGTCTCACCAACCTTGTGTTCTGGAACAGCGAAAGCATGTGGGTATGCCCTGGTACGGGTCCAAGTCATCGTGAAAGCTCTAAAATAGGGTATCTTGAGTGCCTCTGCAATGTGAATTCCGGCCATGGCACTGGGACTTTCAATCAAGATGTCTGTGCCTTGACATGCTTCCCATGCAGTCTTCAAAAGGTCATCGATCCACCCGCGGAACTGGAAGGATGTAAGATTAGCGAGTACCCATACGGCATAAACACACCTTTGACAAGCCTTCCTTGAGGAATGCCACAGTAAATGTACCATTCTCAACACAGATACGCATAAGTTCTGCTGGATCTCCACCGACATAGCCAAACTCGATTCCATACTGCCAGATGTGTCAATGATGTGCCACTCGAAGAGGTGGGCGACTAACGGCTTCTATCCATTCACGGAATTCACCATGTGTTGCAATTTTTACTCGATGACCATCTTCTATGAGGCCTTTCGCTAGAGCTATGTAAGGTTGTACATCTCCTCTCGAGCCGATCGTCAGGAAAGTGAAATGTAAGGATTCTTTGGGCTTGAAGGTCAGGAATGTCGACGAGGAAGAGGTGAACATAACCGCTGGGAGTGATTCAGACATGCTTTCGGGTGGAAGAGCGGGATCTGAGTCTGAGGAATTGCCAGGCTCGAACTCCTCCAATATGAGTGCATCCTTTTTCCCCTGACTGAGAATCGGGACATCTCCTGCACTCGCGCGCTTCCTGACCTCTTCCATTTGCTGTTCCAGAATACCGATGAATGCTTTCCGGCGGTCATCGAAGCCAAATTCAAAGAATAGTTCCTCGTGGCCTTTGATAACGACTGTAAGACCGTAGTGGCCGAACCGAGTACCCTTGGTCTGCTCAACGCTCAAGATATCTCGAATAGGAAGAATCATCTAGAAAAGCGTGTTGTAAGGGGTAGACCCGGAACATTCAAGAATTGCGTACCCGTGTCTTGGAAGAAAGAGGTCCAGTTGACTTGAAACAGAAATAGTTGGTGGAGACATACAGCCGGCCAGGTACTGGTAAAAGGCGGAATATGTATCCAGCAAAATCTAAAAGCTGTTTAAGAGTGAAACATGAGATCAAAACAATAAACATACAGCCCAACAAAATCTCTTTCTCGTCAAAAGCAAATGCAGTCCTGAATTTCTCAGTAGCTTCCGGATCGACAGAAGCTTCTGGTGTCTCAAGAATACTGTATCCAAGATCACCTTGGGCACTTCCCGAGCTCCGCCGAGTTGCTGATTCTGCATTTGATGGGACAGAATATACTTCGCGTATGCCGCCTCCACTGGGAGAAGCACTGAGCGAAGACGTATTCGAGGTAGAGGTGCCGAGGCGGCCACGCGGGACCTTGAACCACGAGGGTACTCCCACGTTCCATGGAACACTTGATGGGATGGACTTCGCGGATGAACTAGAAGCCAGATCACTCACAGACGTGGAAGGAGGATAAGTGTGGTCCGTAGGACTGGCAATTGTGTGTGCCTTCGAAAGGGCGTAAAGCGCCTTACTTGAGTCTTGGGAAGGTATCGAATCAGGTGAAGACGTCACGGGCACAAGCGAAGAACCTGATCTCTTAGTTATGTGAGTGTAGCCATCAGACGCGTCGGTAGGTTCGGGAGCCCCTGGTGCACAGTTCGTGCGCCCCAAAGACATGGGAAGCGAGTCATGGAATGGTCGCAGAAGAGACGATAATCTGAAAGAGGAACCAAAACGCGTGTCGGGTGTTGGGAGACTCTTAGCGCGATCCATACCATGAGTGGCGGAAGGCTGTGGCGGGCGGGTAGAGGTGGTGTCCAAGAGCGCTAGAGGCGACCTGGTAACCAATGAACGATACGAACGCACAGCATCGCGAATATGTTCCAACGCGACCGGCAAGTCCTGGAAGTAAGCGAAAAAATACGAGTCCACTGTATAATGCTCCTGGTCCTTGTCGAAAACTTTGACTTCAATAGTCTCGCTGAAGTCTATCGCTGATGACTTCTCGACCTCCAGGACAGAGGAGTAAGGGATTGCGATCTGCGAGGGGCAACATGTTAATATGCAAACAAATGGATATTATCAACCTGCCTTGACAGTGTCACCCATATTTTGTGCCTTAAAGATGACTTTCTTTATGGCCTTTACCCATTCCTCTCGACTAGGAACTGAGTCGGCTGACATGAGAATATTCTTCTGATTGGTTCGGAGACGTATCTCCTTCTCTCCGGATGGTTCACAAGATATCGCATAACGAAGGTCCACTATACCATTTACGAAATATGGGTCCTGATGAGGTATAAGATAGCGATGTCTCAGATTTTGTTTCACCCACCGAGGAAGAGTGATACCAGGAGAGAGCATCATTCTTGAGCACGAACCAGTGCTTTGTCCACCGCTTAGTATGGTTGGCCTTCTTGCTGAGTGTCCCTGATTTGAGTATTTGATCCTACAGAGATTATCAAATCAGGTCCCAAGTGTTAGGATAGATTTCCTACCTCCCGTGTAGGCATATGTGCAAAGAAGCACAAATGAGAGTTCGTGAGGTACATATATCCCTGTAACACTGTGCGCGGTGTTAAGATCACACATTGTTGTGTAAAACAAATTGCCTTACAGACAGAGCGAAGCAACCAGCAAGGCATTTCTGAGATTGGTTGAACATCGTGAGTAGCATGAATAAATGAGATACTCACCGGCTAGAACTTCTTCGACGGCATTCAACTCAAATATCTCCTTTAATTTCTCGGCTAGGCGCGCCCTCCGGCTGACTTTGACGGTCGTGATACTCCCAGTATAACTAGCCCTGCGTCTCATGTGCATCCCAGGTCGGAAGACCGTCGGCAGTTCTGGCATAGCATGTTCTAGCTTTGGTACATCTGCGGGGCGTGGGGTAGCAGCTTCAAAGTCTTCGGTATCAGCATCCTCTTCGGAGAGTCCAGTCGCGTCCAGATCTCCGTCGGATGATTCATGTTCTTCCTCTGGCGATGGTAACGCAGTGCGTGATGATAAGGATGCTTCTGTTCTCCTCGAACGCGCCACGGGACGATAAATAGCATGAATAGAAGAAGCCATGGGCACTGCTGGAACGAAGTGTCAGAGAAAGAAGTCGATGTAGGAGATCACAAACCTCCAGAATCTTCGTCACTATCCTCACCCCCATGTGACGTTATAACGTTAGTATGATCATATGCGTCCTGATCAGAGACATCTGCCCATGGAATAGCTTGTAAAGCTTGAATCAAAGTTTGAGTTCCAGCACGCATCTGAGACACGTGATTTGTCAGTTGAATTACGCGTCACAGGAGATGGTCGTACTGAGCCTGTTCCTCGGAACGCCTGTAATGAGGGCCTATGATGGAGTGGAGAGGGTGAACGAGGTCTGATAAAAGGCGAGTCTTCTTGTGCAGCATCTAACAATTGGGCTTCTGTGTCGGTGTTTCCATCGAGAAGTACTTGTTTAGGCATCTGCGAGGTACTAGATGCAACGACTACTGGGCAGCGTCTGTCAATTTCTTTACGAGGATAGGGAACACCGATTGTTACCTTCAGTTTGATCCAACTGCTCTTTGGCCTTGCCTTTGCGACTCAGACTGAACACACGCCTGTGCTCTCCGTTGGATTTAGGCGAACTTGGTGACTGAGCTATACTACTAATGCTCTTGCCAAAATCCTTGGTTCTGAGCGCCAGACGTTTCGCGCGACTTTGTGGAGATGATGGAGAGTCCTCATCTTGCTCAACCTGGTCTAGCAAACGGGGATCTTGAGGCGGAAATTCACTTTCGTGAGGACTTGGTACTGCTGCATTACGAGCAGGGGGCTTCCAAGGGGACAATTTGGACATGGTGACTGGCTCTGCTCAAAGCGAAATAGTGAAGTGAGCTGAACGTAGATATCAGCGCCAGACCTGGCGGTCATTCCCTATTCGGATAAACAGCAGTAGTGCTCAGCTGTTCGTGGGAAAATAGAATGTAGACTTCAAGATATTAAAGTCGCGTGTATTCAATGCTGCAAGCGAAACCTGGTTCAGTGAGCCCGTCTTCGAAGTTTTACGCCCTGTTATACCTTATTTCATTCATCTCTATATAAAAGCTATTGGAACATTGAAAAATGAGAGGAGAATATTGCATTGGAGGTGCATCCTTCCTTTCGTGAGCATATTATTTCCTTCCGTTTCCGTCTTCCGACTTACCTTCAAAACAGGTTCGTTGCACTATTGCTACTAATCTTTGTTCATGCGAGTATATCTAAATCGTCGTCCTTTTCCATTTTAATCTTGCCACCTTCCGTCAGGTTGGGCAAATAAACACCTCACTTGTTCCACATGGAATTGCAATGGTGATTAATTCGCGGTCATAACTGTGGGTTCGACACCTTTCTGATCAGACCGTCCAGGCAAAAGTCAACACTTCAGGGTTCGGGTTAGCGCCCCAAATAATTTATTTGGCCAACATACTAATAAGACCACAGCCAGGCGTTTAGTAATACCACTCACGATCCGGATCAAGGCCTATACACCACCAATTATACCTCACCGCTCGGCCAGCGGAATGGCCTGAGGCAAATCTACGAGTTCGGCCTCTATTCCTATTGCGCATACGTTAACGGCTCTGCTGGAACATGCACCAATCACACTATTGCCGACAAGTTTGAGCCTTATATTGCACTAACGTCCGATATGCTTTCAAACTATTCAGGATATTGTGATGCATTGTTTGCTAACACGACGTTCATCAACTCATCCTACCTGGGTTACAATTCTCGCGTTGCATACTATTTCATGCTCATTGGGACAATACTTGCAACTGTGGCATTGTTCACGTAAGGTCCACTTTAATTCTCATATGCACCACACTGAAGGCCTGCCTACAGTGGTGTAATAAGAAACGCGCTGTTCTTCTTCATTTCAACGGCTTCATCGATAGTTGCTGCGCTGTGCATTCTCATCGGTGCTGCCATCTGGACATCGATCGTCAAAAAGTGCGAAGGTATCAATACCCTGGAACTCACTCCCCTCAATGGCGGCGTTATATCAGGGATGATTGTGTCCTACGGGAATGGAATATACCTTGCGTGGGCGGCCTTTGCCTGTTTGGCCGCAGCTGCAGTGCCGTACATGGTTAGGTATGGTTTTATTGTGCAACTGATTCGTTCAAAATGGCGTAACTCATCACTCGACCAGCTGTTGCACGTTCCGAGGATGAGTATTTGATGCTGGCCATCGCTCGCAGACGATTTTCATGATAAGCGATAATCTATCACGATCAGCGATGTGACTCCCTCGTGAGACTCATCAATGAGGACATTTAGACTACGAGTATGTATTACTATTCGATTTATGATGAAATGAAAGTGCCGAAGTTGTTCATACTCCTTTGCCTCGAGTAATGTCAATTGTAAAAGCAAATCACCTTGACGGGGCATACTGACAAAAACATTAGCCCACCGCGAGGGTCGAACTCGCAGCCTTCAGATCGCCTAGTCATAAGAGTCTGACGCTCTATCCGATTGAGCTAGGCGGGCGGTGTTATCTTTTACAAACCCATCGCCTTGAGCAGCATGCGAGCTATGCCGACGGAGGGGACAAAGATGACCACCGGGCAGCCGACAGCAACGGACTAGAGGTAAGCTGCTGTCAGGGGCAACTCAAGCTGTGCACACTGACTCGACCCGGCGTCAACTCCCACATACCTTCGGAACTTTTCGGTAGTAAACTGTGAGCCTTGAACATACCATACAACCTCCTAAAGCTTTAAAGACGCAAGTGTCCGCTTCTTCTATGAAGCAAGCGAAGGGATTCACGTAAATATAGGCTGTGCGTCCCGACGTGGCTGCGATCGTTGGTTGCATTGTCTGCACGGAGATCAAGATGCGGGCGCAAGCGCACATACTAGTGGTACTAGTCACGGTTGCGCTCCGACGGCTTGTGAGACAATTGTTTGTCATTCCTGATAGAAATTTCCTCAAATGGGCTGTGAAGGGTGAGAATGAGGCTGATGTAATGATGGGTTATAAGCCGTCGTGCTTGCGTGGTCCGCAGCAAGAATTTGCCCCCTCTTGTTTAACCTGACTCGATTGCAACTCTCGACGACTTCGCAATAAAATATTTGCGCAGTATTAGATTCTCAAATGGCAGCAGACTCACAAGCCGACGATTTCTATTCTTCCTTTGAGCCCTATGGTTCTGAATTCACAAAGCAAGGTGGTGGCCTTGACTTCGCTTCATTTCACTCGCCTTCAGACATCCTCGCACCCCATCCCGATCTATTCGAATTAGAACTTGATTCAAGCCTTGCGGCTTTCAACGAAGTCCAGCTGCAGCTCCTCACCGTAGATTCCAACGACGCTTACTCCTTTTTGAGATCCGATACTCCAACGTGTGGTCCTCCTTCCACGATCACCGTTTCCTCCGAGTCTGCATACGACACTCTCTCCACTCACTCAGAATCCCTCTATAACTACCCGGACTCTCCTTCCTTTTCTGCCAATTGCTCCTTTCCTTTAGACCTAGAGATGGATTTCCAGCGCGTTCGTGTCGGTGGTAGCGCTTGCTCAGACTATGGTATTAATTCCGCTGCGCAGTCCAACAATAATTCTCTTCCCATGACTGTCGACCCCAGCACTTTTGGGGCCTTGCCCCTTAGCCCCCGCAGTCCTTCTGTGACTGCGCCTGCCGTAGACAATTCCTATAAGCGTACAAGCTTCTCAGACTACGGTGGTGCAACTCGCATTCCTGCGGTACCAAAGTCCTCGACCGCAGAATATTTCCTCAGCTATATTTCCAACGCTGACTCCGCTGTCGCGCCATCTAACATGTCGCAATTATCCGCATCCTCCTCTCCCCCACCTCTTGCACGGTCACTCAGGGGTGTCGACGATCAATCCAAAGACGATCCCCGTAAGAGATACCAATGTCCTTCATGCCCCCGAGGTTGGTACCATATGTGCTGTCCCGGCATATTGCTGATCACTGTTATCCTCTAGCATTTGCACGGGCTTACAACTTGAAGACGCACATGGCAACCCATGACCCAAACCGTCTCAAACCCCATGTATGCCCTCACCGCTCGTGCGGGCGGTCTTTTAGCCGCAAACATGATCTTGGCCGTCATTTGGTCAGTATTCATCGTGATGAATCCGTGGCTTCCACGCCATCTGCGGCAGTGAAGTCTATAGGTGTCGACAGCGGTCACAGGAGTTGGTGTGAGAGTTGCGGGAAAGGAACTGTCGGTGCCTCGTCCCAGTGCTTGTGCGCCGACATCAAATAGTCGCAGATTCTGTTGTCCTGTTTAACACTATGCGTACGTATTGTTTCGGATTACGTTTCCATGTACTGATGCATACGCCGTTCACAGCATGGGCGAGTATTTTTCGCCACTCGCTTCGTCATAGTCGATGGTCGATTCGTCCACTGCGCGCTTCTGAAGACGTATCATTCCGCTATCTACGCTATTTCTGTTCCCGACGTGTTGCGTATCGTACCGTTCAGCCATAGTTGCTGAGCCCAGTGATGAACGTGATCTCGGGCTACCTCATTTATGCCTACCTTTGTCCACGATGGACTGGTAATATTCTATCTCATTCGGATATTTTATTTGTGTTAACTCCTATACGACGCTGTTCTGGTTCTTCTGTAACGTAAACAAACTTATATGTTGAATGACGCGTTGGCGTTGTTCAGTCACCTTCGTTATTTATGTGCCCAGTGCAGCGGAAATACTATCATATATGCATTTGTGAGCGTCTCGCTCATCATTTTCTCTAGTTCGAGAATTTATTCCGGGGCCCAGCAGTTCTCGCCCACCACAATCTTCAACCGCAACGAATGAACGTGAACTGTTACTCTGACGCTAGTGCAACTCCATACGACAAGATCAATGACCACCAAATAACTGTTAAGCGAGCTCAAGGCTTGTTTTGAAATTCAAATGGACGCGCGGTCACGTGAACCGATCGTCTTTTCGTCACCGGTGATCTCATTCAGTCTTGCCATCCGCGTCGGCGGGAAAGACTCAGGAGTATAAAAGATGGGATGGAACGTCCGACTCCTCTCTTTCCATAATCCGCCATGTCGTCTATCGCGAAATCGGTCGAAAAAGCTTTCACTACTACTATGTCCTCTAAGAAAGTCGTGGACTTGCAGCGAGACATTCAGGAACCGCAAGCCAACCAGCCTTTGACAACGGATCATGGTGTCAAGGTGGCTGACACGGACAATTGGTGAGCACGAGTGTGTGTATCTAGCAGGCGGTGTTGATCTTTAATTTCTCGTTAGGCTCAAGATCATCGGCTCCGACGAGTCAAAGAAGAATGGTCCTTCGCTCCTTGAGGATCAAATTGGGCGAGAGAAGATACACCGCTTTGACCACGAACGGATCCCAGAACGTGTAGTGCATGCCCGCGGTACCGGTGCTCATGGCCATTTCAAAGTATTTGACGATCGCGCTTCGAAATACACATTCGCCCCTGTCCTGACGGATTCCTCGAGGACGACTCCTGTCTTCGTCCGTTTCAGCACTGTTCAGGGTTCGCGTGGCAGCGCTGTACGTATATGCTTCTTTTTTCGCGCGTATAATCGGTTAAAATCTCCCGTCGCGTGCAGGACACCGTTCGCGATGTCAGAGGGTTTGCAGTCAAGTTTTATACTGAAGAAGGCAACTGGGACATCGTCGGAAATGACATTCCCGTTTTCTTCATTCAGGATGCCATTAAATTCCCTGACTTCGTCCACGCCGTGAAGCCAGAGCCACACAATGATGTGCCTCAAGGCCAAAGTGCCCATAACAACTTTTGGGACTTTGTAGGCCTGCAACCTGAGTGTTCGTCAAATTGGGCGTTCCGGGATACTTTTTGACTTTTTTTTTTTTGCAGCTGCGCATATGGTAATGTGGGTCATGTCTGATCGCGGCGTTCCACGGTCCTTCCGCATGATGCAAGGATTCGGGGTGAACACCTTCACGCTGATGAACGCAAAAGGTGAACGCCACTTTGTGAAGTTTCACTTCATCCCAGAGTTGGGGGTCCACAGCCTTCTTTGGGACGAAGCCCTCAAGATCAACGGTCAAGATCCCGATTTTCACCGTAAGGACTTGAGCGAGGCCATCGAAAGCGGTGCATACCCAAAGTGGAAGTTTGCCATTCAGACAATCCCTGAGTCCCAAGAGCACCAATTCGATTTTGACATCTTGGACGCCACCAAGCTCTGGCCGCAGGAACTTGTACCTCTTGAGGAGATTGGCGAACTAGTTCTCGACCGCGTCGTCGACGAGTTCTTCCCAGAAACTGAGCAAGTCGCATTTTGCACCAGCCATGTCGTTCCAGGAATAGGATTTAGCGATGATCCTCTTTTGCAAGGTCGAAACTTCTCGTACTTTGATACCCAGATTTCTCGTTTGGGTGTCAACTGGGAGGAGGTGAATTTTATCCGTTTTCTAAGTCTGTTGCTGCTCATTGTTACGACCGTAGCTTCCAATTAATAGACCTGTATGTCCTGTGCTCAGCCACAATCGTGACGGAAAGAGCAGGCATCGCATTGTTAAAAGCGAAGTCAACTATTGGCCGAACCGCAAGCAGATTGGATGCCCAGTTCCCGGGAAGGATGGTGGATACGTCGAGTAGGTCTACTTCATATATTTTCGCCTTCTCAGTCTCAGTGTCATAGATATGCAGAGCGTCTTGAAGGTATCAAACAGAGGGCGCGCGGGCCGAAGTTCCAGGAGCACTTCGACCAGGCTCGACTTTTCTATAACTCGCTTGCCGCGTATGAAAGAGCCCACCTCATCAGCGCTATTGGCTTCGAACTTAGTCATTGCGAGGACCCGGTCGTGTACGAGTCCTATATCGACGTTCTGAACAACATTGATTTCGAGCTGGCAAAGGCGGTCGCCATTAAGGTAAATGACAAGGTGCCGACCAAGCCCGGTTGTACCAATGATGGGAAGAAGAGCACGGGTCTTTCACAAGTCGATTTCTTGCCCAAGGAGCCTACCATCCTCTCAAGGCGCATTGCCATCCTGATCTCGGATGGTTTCAACGCCGTTGAGATGCAAGCTGTGCGGGCTGCTCTCACGAGCGCAAAGGCTATTTGCTACCTTATCGGTCCTCGTCGTAACCACATTCGTCCAATGGCCGGTCAGGATTTCGGCCTAGGAGTATTCGCCGATCACCACTTTGACAGCCAGCGTTCAACGTTATTTGATGCGCTCTATATCCCTTCCGGCGAGGAGCATGTAAAGACCCTTGCAAATAACGGTCGTGTAGTTCACTGGGTAAGGGAGGCATTTGGTCACTGCAAAGCTATCGCTGCCGTTGGTGAAGGTGTGTCCATGAGGCTGATAAGTTATCACATGACCCTTGACACATGAGATTTTTTAGGTGTTGATTTCCTCCGTGACGTTGTTAGACTCCCTGGTATTGATTTATTCACCCCCGGTCAAGGCAGCGATGAAGTTGTCACATCTTATGGCGTCGTGACTACAGGGAAGTACAGCATCTCTTCGGCTGTCACAGACACGTTCAACATCGTGCCTGACACTAGAGGCTTTGCTTCTAACTTCGCATTCCAAATTAGCCAGCACAGGTGTTATGAGCGAGAACTGGAAGGGTTGACTCATCAGGTGGCGTTCTGAGATTTGATGGGATTTCTTATCGCGTACGTAATGACACCTGTCAACGTGTATGTATCATCTCCGTAGGCCCGTTTTCAAACGAAGCTAAGATTTGGAAATAAAACACCACAATGTACAAAGTCCACAATAAAAACTACAACATATACTATTCAAACATTCTTACGTTTGTCCCATTCCAAGCATGACCACAGCATAGACGTTGGCAAGCAATATCACAACCCAGATGGCCCATGCAAGAGTTGTTACAATATATCCATTACTGAAGTCGATAATGCTGTATTCCTGTGTTTCGCATGCCTGTGTTGACGAATGCTTGATCGAACCATCATGACTTTCAATGTCTCGCTCAGCAACAGTGATGATAGTGGCTAAAGGTGAGGGGGGCCGGTGTGCGTCAGAAACAGGGGATACCGTATGTGTGGAAGGTGTCGGCGGGGTCTTGATGAGTTTTTCCTGAATCACGTTCGGCGTTCTGACAGACATCACCTTTTTTGACGACGTGAGGTAGATGAGGGGAAATGCGACGAAGGGGAGGACAACGGACAGGGCAACTTGTGATGCAATGAGGAGAGTGTTAATTCCTGCCCCCCCAGATGAAATAGCCACGATCATAGAGGGTATTAGACTGATCAGGCGTGTGAGAAGACGGCGGATAAACGGCTGTGAATAACGGGCGTTAAGGCGAACATGAACCTATCGAAATGAAATATGCGTACAGAAATGTTCCACAATATGAATCCTTCGGAGACAATCTGGCCTGCAAGCGTTGCCGTAATGCTGGCAGTTTGGCCTGAGCAGACGAGGGCGAGTGCAAAGATTAATGCCGCGGCTATTTAATAATGAGTCTAGTATTGTCGTAACATGAGCATCTCTGCTTACCTGACCCAAGGCTTTGTGATATCAAGGTATGCATAGTTTCCAGTCCGATTGAGTCGTTGTTATCGGACGAGTAGAACATAGCAGCAGCCAAAATCAATATCCTGGACCTTCTACGTCAAGTAATGAAAGCAGCAGTGTAGAAGGACGTACGCCGAATTGATTGGCACCGCAAGTCCCAATAAACTAAATACGAGATCGACAGTTCCGTGACCAAGATGAGCGCGAATAAATTCTATCGAGTTGTTCTGACGAAACTCGTGTCGAGTGGCATAGTCTTTCCCGTCATCATGTTCTGATCGTGAAAAGAACAAAATTTTCCTCCAAAACCGTTTAAATCTTTCGAAAAATGACAGTCGCCTTGCATCCGCAGGTGTGGGAAGTGGCTTGGGCGGTTGTGAAACACGATCCTGGGCTGCAAGATTCGAACCCAGAAACAGCGCATGGGGCATGACTGTAGCACCAATAATTCCAATAGCTATACTATTTTGTTCGTCATCTGGGCTACCGTTAAATATGGGTCATACCTGCATAGACTGCGTTAGGCTGTGTCTGGAGAAGACCCGCAGATGGCACAAAGCCTAAGAACACCTGTGGCCAGTCCGGGTGGACTTTGACTAGCAGCAAGATGAAACATATGAAGACCATTGCAACCTAAAATTTGAATCAGCAACTGATTGATTTCTGTTAGTATCAACACAAACCAATATTATAATCACAAGTTCAAAAAATCGCACTCGACGTCCTGTCCGCGAGGGGTCGCCTATGATGAGGAAGATGAAAACGTCGACACCGGTAAGGAGCACGGCAGACCACAAGGGGAGTTTTGGAAAAAGCAGGCAAATACCGATTGCCGAACCAAGTAATTCTGCAAGGTCCGTACTGATGATGGCTATTTCGCATAGTGCATAGAGAGGATACAGGACAAGTCGCCGGACCAACCGTGGATGCCTTGGATGGTCATGAAGAAGTAGTCTACAGTGATGAGCCAAATCTAGCAACATCGTATAAGAAGACACAGCGGCGAGATGTAAGATATTTCACCTAGACCAGTTACGCAGCCGAGTCTAGCTGCCAATACCTGTGGTGTGGTGGTGTCAGAGGTTGTACAAATGATATCAGATATACATGAACGACGTGCCTGCAAAATGATTGCAATGATTCCGGCGAGCAAAATGACGAATAGCATAGGTCGATACCCAAAGCTGACACCTGCTTGAATGTCGACGCTCCAATTACCGCTGATTAAAATCAAATATATAAGGTATACATCAAAAGCAATCATATGGCGTACGGATCGAAATAGCCCACTGCGCATATGATACCGACACCTACGTGTTTTTTGAAGTGGTGCAGTATGGTCCTTGAACGCAGAACTGACTGTAGACATCTTACTTTGCTGACCTCTGTTGCGAAGTCTGTGTAGAGGAATCATTATGCAATGACGGTGATGAGGAGGAGTTTGAATCCATCCCAGAGCTTACTTGGGACTTGGGAATTGGCTGGGAGAAACCGGCTGGTACTTATAGTATGATCTTGACGCGATATAGAGGATCACTGATAGGTCAAAGATTTCTGGTGTTGTTTTTCGGCTCGCCCATCAAATTCGATGGACAATATCTAGAAAGATATTTTTGATTTTGATTTAGTACTCCTAACATAGAGTGGGGTGCTATTGGATGAATAAGATCCGATACGAGCAGAGGTACCTCGGCGTCCCCTGGTGGCCAAGGAGTCCCACACTGTCAGGCCTGGCGTGCAGCATCAAGCGTAAGTATCATCTCGTCGTTCAATATTGACAATGGACACGTACTCTCAAGCACTCCAAGAAGATTGGCCCATCACTAAGGTTAAAGTTCGTCAAACAAATGGTTGCAAGTAGTGTGAGTCGGACTACTCCGAATCGGCTGCCGAGAGACAACGTTTCTCACGGTTCCTAAACTTGGATTAACCCTTATAGTAACTCCGTCAAGGTCACCGTGTTTCGGGTAATGTTCACCGCTGATTGAATTTATCAGAAGACCTCACTCAGCTATCAGGTCTTCAGGTTTTGATGGACTTCAACGATCTTCATCCCTCAGATGATTACAGTCACAGGTTTTTTATCTGGCACGAATGGATCCAGGTATTCAACTCGAACGCCACAAAGGTGTCAGCATGCTCACAATTAAACACTGTCAGGCGAACGGTCCTCTCACTTCGGAGAACGTATTTGATTATTTCGCTACGTCAATGTTCTATGACAAGCAGAGCAATAATCAAGTTTTGCGCATGCAGACCATGCACACGGGCGTACCCATAGCAAATGAATCCGAAGAACTCAAGTGAGTTCTATTGAAATTCAGGGCTCCTTTTGCATATTTTGTCTTGTAATCTATAGACGTTTTACGGGCATTGAATTTGCTCTTGTGCATGCTCAGCCACCTTCGCTATTCATTATTCACAAAAGAGAGCGATTATCCCCTCAGGAAGGTGCGTTGGGATTTTCCCGGTAACTCCTAAATTTGAGCATCGGACTAGTTCGCCCTCTTGCTGCTTATTTTATCATGAACAACCGAATCTATCGGTCGCCAGACGTCTACGAGGTTCTCTCCAACCGTTTGGTATATTCCCACAGATTCCCACTCCTACTTCCTACTCATTTTGGCTTATCTTCTTTTAGCTTACTTCCCTATACGCTTTGCAGTCCTCTCTAGATATACTGCGTATCAACCGACCTGACTATACCCCTCGCACGGGATTTATCTGGCCAATCACGGAACAGGCCATTTCTGACGATACTAGCAAAAAATGGGGCGCAGAGGATTCTGCAACTGCTGCAGGCGAGACGGAGATCTCTCAGACGTCACAGTCGGAGAGTCAAAAACCCACTTCAAACGCCAGTGGACCAAAAAAGCAACAGAACAATATGTTGATGTATAACGCAATGAGGTCTACTGCGTTTCACTCAAAAATTTCCTTTTCTTCCTCTGCTTCTGTCAGAGATAGGGAGAGTGTTCCCCCCGAGTCCCTGGGAATACGCTCCTCAGCTACACCTGCACCTACGGCGACCAGGGCCGCGACCCCAGCCAGCGGTCCCGTACCACAAGATACACTTCCACCGAAAGGTGCGCCTGGTGCGGGTAAAAAGAAGAAAAAACGTACGTGTCAATCGAGATCGATGTTGTTCCTCGCGCGTTTATAAACGGATGTGGTGTGATAAACTAGGTACCTTGTTAGCTGCCGGAGCAAGTTAATGGCTTCTACAAACCAGCCGCAGTCCCTGTGCCACATCTCCATGCAGGCGACAGGCTTCATTACTACTAGGTGTCATGTTGTGCCATCGTACCATGTATCTTTTAGCAAGAATAGGACTTATTAGCGCCACCATCGACGTTGGAGTTGGATTGGGAGTCGTGAAATCCTACTATCTTTATGTAACACTGTAAACCTAACATCACCCTACTACATGCGAAACCTGTTCCCAGCAGCTTATCGAGTGGCAACACCTGCCAGCCTATCAGTCAACCATCCTAGTGGAGTCTGTAGAGATCCGCTTCTCGGACCCCCGGCTCCGCCGCCTAGAGATAAAGGGTTTGAGGATGCAAATGAATTCCTTCTGGCCTTCGAAGCTAGCTTCACTATCGAGTATTCATTGTGTCAGAAAATCAGGCCATCCTTGCATATGACCGTTCCAAATGGAAAAATTATACAGACCTGAGTTGCTAATTTCATCTCCATTGGTCTCCAAGACAAGACCGCCTTGTATGATTTCCGCAAGAATATGATGGGCCTGCGCATCCGCAACCATCGGTCATCGGAGGGCATCCGTGTAAAAAGTCCACGTAACTCACTTCGTCGAAATGAAACACCAAGTCCAGCTCACAGACATTCTCAAAGTGCCGATCGAGCCCTTCCACAAAAACCTATAATAGTTCGTCAAAAACGTGGGTATGACTACAGAAGCGACGTTCACCTGTATCAAGTCTAGTATGCCCAGTTCGCTTTCTGCACCATCGACGACGAAGACAAAGTACAGAGTGGCGTAGTTTCGGTAGACGACACGCCATCTCTCGTCCGAGCCATCTTTGGGGCCAAGGAACGCCTCGAGCTCTGGTGCATCTAGAAAGTTGCAGAGTCCTGCAGGTCGAATGGATATGAGAGAGAATATTTTCTGTATCAATGTCTGAGAAGATTGGTGGAGGGGCGTGTAAAACTTTGTCAGCCTTGGAATTCCAGATGTGTTGACTGCAAAAGCAGGGTATGTCAGTGCAGAACGACACGAGACTAGAGGTCTCACGGACAGATGAGCACAGCATGGATCATGGTCACTGTTGAGTGGTCCTCTTAGTACTCGGCGTATAGCAGAAAAGCAGCCGCCGGGCCACAACAACTTGAACTTTCGGGAAGTGGCTTGGTCACTACTAGGGGTTCAGTTTTACATAGATAAGATTAGATTGGTAATAATAACTGTGGCACATGTACGAGCAGTTCAGCTACACACAACTAAATAGTACACAGTAGTGACAGTACGGGTTTCTCACAAGGTACGAAGAATAGACAGCTCAGTCGCCGTTACAACTGCTGGAAAATGCCATTGACACTTCCATAGATTTCCCTATCTCAGTTCCCAACAGTCTGCATGTAGGCGGTGCAATAAATTATGAATCATCCCTTGGAAATGTCCATCCTGGCTGCAACCGGCCAGCAAGATTTCCCACAGGTCCAGAAAGACCCCCTTGACTCTTGAAACTTTCCAAGAAATTCTTGATAAGGTTGTAGTCCATCGGCACCTCCTCCTCGCCAGAGTCAGGTTCCTCCATATCTACGCCTCCGTATTCGAGCATGGCCTTGAGCTCAGCCTCCATTTGAGCTTCGACATCTAGATCCTCCTCACCGTCTTCATCCATTAGATTCGATTTGGAGATGCCTTTTTTGCCGGGGATTTCAGGGTCGCCTGTAGGGAGGGTTGGAACCCTCTCCTTCCCTTTCTTCTTTTTCAGGGCTGTCTGGCGAGACTGATTCAATTCAGCATCCATAACTTGCATAACAGCTTCAAAGGAATCCAGATTTGGATTCACATTCGGCCTCGGGCCAGGGACGGGTTGCCGTCCCTGTGCTGGTGGCGCGAAGGAATCAGATTCATTGTTCGATGATCTTGTTGAGGTAGACATTGTGTTTTCCACCATGATGCTAGCGGGAACAAAAGCTGTGATAGTGCTCATTAGCAAGATCTTTCGGCAGATCAATTAGTAATTACCTCCTCGTCCTTTCCTATCCTTGATGATGTCTCCCCACTGTTGGTCAGATATACCCAAAGCTTGCCTTGAAAACTCCAGGAACTCCGCTTCTTCCTCATCCATGTCAACTTCGATATCGCCGACGACCTGCGGGCGGTCCTCCTCTGACTCCACATCTTCCTCATCTCCACCAGCAAGTGGATCAGAGCTAGATGATTCATCATCAGAATCTACACCCTCATACTTGTCGCGGGGCAGAATGGGTGGTCGTATAAACCGAGTGCGAGCTGGCGATGCGATTTCTAAAGCGGGTTCGCAGGCCGGAATTTGTGTTATAGCTGAATTGTCCTCGACTGTTTCAGTCTCGATAGTAACTTTGGAAACACGCTGAGTGTTGAATGAAGCGGGCATCTGTCCATACTCGGCTTCTGAAAGGGCAGGCACGAGCTTTGCCATCGCTTCTTGACGTGCAGCTTCGTCAGCAACTGGCTCATCTTCATCGTCCGAGTCTGAAAATTTCTCGTCACTGAAATTCTGTTCGTCTTCTTCGTCTGCACTACCTCCATCGTCTTCGTCGTCTGAGAAAGCCTCACTAGAAACAGAAGGATTAGTCTCTGAAAGGCTCTGGTGCATGGAAGCTTACTCTTCAAACCTAGCACCCTCTACATCACCCTCTCCTTCAACAAACTTCTGCACCTTGGTTGCAAGGTCCTGCAGTTTGTTTGCCTGTTCCTTAGCTATCCTTTCCTGTACCTCATCGCACGTGGAATCGACATCCATCTCTTGAGACTGCGGTTGGGAACGTGTCCGCTCCAGCATGTCATCAAAGTTGGCTGCATCTACGTTCATCCAGTCATCCGAGTCTTCAGTCTCGTCAGGCATCTCAGTGAGGTATTCCGGGGCGATGGACAATGCTGAGTTAAACAGTGCTGCGAATGAAGGACGAGTAGCGTCGCTGGTATGACATCAATCAGTATGGAGGCCAAAAGTGAAATTGAATAACCTACTCTTCTTGCCGAACCTGAATGAACGCATCAGCGGCTTTATTTTCCAGTTCATTCCAAAGCTGCGAGTCTTCGACTTCACCCCGGAAGTAGCCGCTTGAGAGTAGATTTGTGATATAGGCCTTATAGTCGGATGATCGGCGAAGTGCTTCTTTGCGTGCTTCTGCCTAAAGCCACGCGATTAGTATGGAAACGGGGGACTAAGTCAGGGCATACATACCGATGACTCGAGCACCTCACTGGTCTTACTTGTGATGTTAGCACGACTCTTCGATTCTTGGTAGATCATTTCGAAACCGCAAGCCTGTCACAGGATCTTTATCAATAGACATATTCCGGAATGATGAAAATTTTCAACTTGCCAGCTTCATACCTATGTCTCTCCAACGCCAGACATCGCTGCCCTCACGTTCCTTAAATTGACCGAATATCTTTGGAGGATAAAATTTTTGTCCAACAAGTTGTGCATATGCTGGTCTTGTCAACTTGACCTGTGGTGAGTACGGCAGAGTGAGGAGGGAACCGCATCATGCGATGAGCAGCCTGCAGAATAATCATCAGAACGATGTCGCGAATGGTCAATTATACTGACTCGTAGTTGGACGGCATCACGTGTGTAGAATGTCTCCACAGGCTTTTGTACCAAGGAAGGGTCTACGGATAAAGCGCGAGCGATGTCGAGCGGAATGTACGCTTTGGTGATATGCACATGACTTTTGGCAGCTGCAGGATACCTTTCCCGAAGATCATGAATTATTCCCTCGCGCACAACCAAAAGATTTGCTTACCTCGAAGTACGCTGCCATACCAGTATTCTCAACTGTGCGGGGTGCACGAGTTTCGAGAGTTGCATCGCGGACCAACTTCAGTGCGTCATCGATGGCCAAATATTCCTCGAGGTCATCACCAACAATGTCATCTTCATCATCACAGTCTTTTGACCCAGGGAATATGCGTCTTCTTTTCGGTTTACTTGGAGCAGATATGTGTTGGAGAGGTATGAGGTGCAAAATTCCACTATATATCCAGACCTATAATGTAAGAGCATCAAGCAGAAATTCAGTAAACTGTCTTACCATCTAAAGTACGGGGAGAGGGCGCACCCTATTCTCGGAGTTGGAAGGTTTGACCCATGAGGGCAGGGCTTCGGCTGCCTCAATGAGGAGAAACTCCCCGTCAGAATCTATCACACTAATACGCGCTGTTAGCCTCGAGATAAATGGCGGCGAGATCGAAATCTGACCTGATAGCAAAATCCCACTTCTTGCTGATCTCCCGTAGGATCCAGACGACGCACCACTCGTCATCGACGGAGTCCCCGACGCGCATACGCCCTTCAAGCATCCACTTGTTGTCCCTAGCTGGAGCAGAATTCACGTCCTTCACAACTTTTACCTCGAAAGGGTCTCTGTGCCAGATAAAATCTGGCAAAAGCTCGGAGACATATGCTTGTACGCATGCTGCGAGTGTCGTCACAGATGACTTTTCGCCCAATGCCGGAGGGGGATAAAGGGTGTACTGAATTGTGTCCTCTGAGATCGAAGGTGGGCGATTGAAAATATCCATCGCCATAGATAAACCCTTGTTTAAGATCGTCGTTTATTTTATGGAACCACTGACTAGGGGAGACTGAAGATTGTCAGGACTGTGTTTGTCAGCGAAAGTCGCGAACCCCGACTCATATCCTTTCTTGGTTCGCCGGAGAACACCAATGGCGTCAACCACGGCCTTCAAGGACAGAAACCTCATTGCTGTCATAGGAGATGAGGTGTGTTTGCTTCTCCTAGTTAACGTTGCTCAAAACCGGATTTGCGTCGGCAGGACTCGATAACAGGACTGCTTCTTGCAGGCATTGGTCACATTAATGAACACCAGAGGAAGAACTTCCTCGTCGTAGACTCTAGTAAGGTCTTTGGCATAATCCACATAATCTCACACTTACAAATGAGTTCAGAAACACAAATATCGGGGATTGAAGCTGCATTCCAGGAGTTCACCCAACGGAAGGACATTGCAATCATACTCATCAACCAGCATGTGAGTTCAAATATCCTATTGATAATATATTTGGCCTGAATATGACCTGTACCCTTAGATAGCAGAGAAGATACGACCGACAGTGGACCGCTATCAAGAAGCATTCCCTACGTTGCTCGAGATACCCTCCAAGGACCATCCATATGGTGAGCACCGGACACGGACACCGTCTCCATGTACGATGTACTAACATGTGAATGCAGACCCGTCGAAAGATTCGGTATTGAAGCGCGTTCAGAAGCTTTTCGGCGAATAGAGAGCGTATGCATTGCTACATCATCACTCGCATTGCTAGGGGTTGAATGTCCCTATGTACCATATAGTACAGATGTACATGACAAACAAAGTTTACTATGCCTAGAAAATGGATGATCTTCACCCCTACCTTCGAATGAGGTATTAGGGTGCAGCAATTTATGCAGAAGTGAACCGCATGATGGGCTCATTCTCCCGGACACCTGGTGCTCGTTCGACGAACACCCTCACTGGATTCCGGGCTTCTGAATCTAAAGTTGAAACATTGGCGTTAGTGGGAAATAATGGGAATCAAGAAATGGCATACGTGGTATGTCGATCAGGAGGTACCGAAAGACGAAGTAGCCGTCGTCGTTCTGTGTTTCATGAGCAGTTGCGAAATATTCTTTGAAGAATTACATACCCGGACAAGATCAGCATGTACTTCCCCCTCTGTCCACGAAACGCCTGAGTCTCCTGCACTCTCAGCTACGCCTTTCCGCCCCTTCAAACCTGAGAACAGTCCAGCAACGCTCCATATGCCCTTCTCCTGTTTTCTTTCATTCTCCCGGCTATCATTAGTCGACAGTTGCGGATGAGGTGCGGGCAATGGAGCGGCATCGCCACTCAAGTATCTAAATGCACGTTTTGCAGATTGCCTAATCGATTGCGATTTCTCCGTCGCAAGCGCTATGGTTTCATCTAGAGTCAGGGAGCTCAGGGATTCGATGTATGAAGGGCCCGCTTCTTCATCGGCTTGCTGAGCTGATTTAGCGGAGGACGACCCTTGTACGTAGAAGTTGAGAAGCATGTGTTCTCGCCCTGAAGAATCTACCGCAATCTGTGATGAAACGTGCCTATGTCTGTGCCTCGGTCGTGTAGAGGAGGGCGGGTTGTTGTGGAATATTAGAGGTGCTCGCAGGTATTTTGCAACCTGTGTATAGCAAAATCAAATATCATTTTAAACCCAAACTTGTAGGACATACCCGAGGAGATGCATTAATGCGGTCGCAGGCATCATTAAAAAGGACGGTAGGCGAGTTCCTTGAGAACAACTCTGATGTAAGGGCATATATGAGCACGGCGGAAAGCCCGGCACCCAAAAAAATAACGACAAGGTTTGAAGTGCGCTGTGTTGTTCGAATCACTATGAATAAACAAGATCAATCACAGTCTATCATTATGAATCTGCAAGAAAATATGAGAATTCATGCGCACCCTTCCCACCGGTGCTCAGCTCGGACCACTGTTTTACTTTCTTTCCTTTGAGGGATTCTTGGGATATTCCAAGTGTAAACGGGCCTACTGAGTCTTCCCGGTTAAGACGTGTCCCGCGCTGTTTCTGGTCTAGCGCGGAAGAAAGTAATGAAGACGAAGCATCTTGATGAGTCACAAGTGACCTGCGACATAATCCAAATGCATGGATTTGATGACCATGCGAGAATAAGATGTCGGTCGATGGCCGCGAACGAGTACAAAGCATATTAACTTGACGTGCAAGCCTCGCCATGGAGGTCATGGAAAGGTTAACGTTCTTGACTGCATCCGAAAGCGCATTACCCAAAATAGCCAGCGATCGGTCACCTGACATCACCTTATTTTGGCTCAAGGCTGAGCAAACTGCTCAAATTCTTGTGGACATCCGACATGCATGCTGATACCTGTCTGCATCCGCTGTATGTTTCTCACAGACGTCTGAGGTTAACAGATGTAGTCTTGGGCAGAAGAAAGATGGTATCATTCATACAGAAGCTCGCAGAACCCGATTACAAGACAAATACAACACTTTAAAATTATTACTCAGTCACTAACTTATGATCGCTCTCCACGCAGGCGTCTAGCAAGCGCAAGGTCTTTAGGTTGAATGGTGACACGCTTGGCGTGAATAGCTGCGAGATTGGTATCTTCGAACAGCGAGACGAGGTAAGCCTCAGCGGCTTCCTGGAGTGCCATGACAGCAGAGGATTGGAAACGGAGATCGGTCTGAATTGCTCGGTTAATATATGGATAAACATTCAAGAAGACGGTACTGACCTTGAAATCCTGTGCGATCTCACGCACAAGACGTTGGAATGGGAGCTTGCGGATGAGGAGCTCCGTGGATTTCTGATAACGACGAATTTCACGGAGAGCAACGGTACCAGGACGGAAGCGATGAGGTTTCTTGACACCTCCGGCGGGAACCTGTCAAGGAATCGAATTAGCGAGTCAGACATGGTAGAAAGCATGGAAGGGTTGACTAACAGCAGCGGTCTTGCGAGCTGCCTTGGATGCGAGTTGTTTACGTGGAGCTTTGCCTGTTCAACACAATTAGGAAAAGGTTTGGAAGTTGAATAGGAGAAAATATTATTACCTCCAGTCGACTTGCGGGCGGTCTGCTTGGTACGGGCCATTGGAAAATTCGGAAGGTATGCGAGGCTTAAACTTGAGGTAAGTTGATAATGGAGATGGACGTTGTCTACAAGCCACAAACTGAACAGAATTCCTTCTTATATATCTGTCCATTGCGGCACGTGCACTTACCAGTGGATCAATCAACAATGATGATGAGGTTATATTTAGCCACAAGCGCGTCGCGCATACCCACGTGATCTCTGTGGACACGATCAACGTTTACTATTTAGGACCAGAGACCCGTGGTGTAAAGTCGCCCTTTCAAAGAACTAACGATCCTGTTCAACCCTTCCTTCATGACACAATATTTTATGTTTCACTTGCCCTTGCACTCAGGCTACTCTTGTAGTGAATGCATGGCTGTTTCTTTTTCTTGTTTGCTGAGCCATCGTTAGGTTCACACCTGAGGTGCCTTTCATGAATCATCTTGGGAGTAAGCATATAGCACAGAGTCACAGACGTCCTTTACACCTATTGAAATCATATATTAACAAGCTGGATCGTGGGCTGCCAAACAGTGCATCACATCGTATGTGCGTGGCTTGACACGTTCAGCGACAATTTGCATCCCATTCTGACTGTTCGATGCGAGACGCTACGATTGGGATGCACTCCTATGTGATTAATCAAGTGAAGGACACAAGCTAAGAAAAGTCATGTGATCTACATGTACATGATTGACGTATTGTCTTGGTCAGCAGCTTTAAATACCTGGCTCGTTCTGAAACATCCGTCATCGTCACATCCGAGAATGCCGCCACACCTACATAATAGCGGGCTTGAGTCTATCATGCCTCCTGATCAAATATTATCCAATATTCTTCCAAACCACCATCGAAATCACCATGCATTCCACTGCAAGCCTCTGCTCGTCAAGGTACGCCCAACGTTGGGGGTTCGCAAATAGGTATGTTTGACTTTTAGAACATATACGTATATTTTTTCATGGCAGCCCCAGCAATTTCAACTGTAACTTGAACTCCCTCCACATTTTCGGAAACCAAAATTTGGATTTCTTGCGGAACAACTGTGAAATACGCGAAGGGAATGAAGGCGGCAGGGTGCTTTCCAACCTTTCTTGGCTGTCTCATCATACTGCTCCTGATTCGACGACCCCTTCTACCCATAATGACCCAGAAAAGACAGCCCAACATCATGTTCGTGCTTCCCGGATAGACGTGAATGGAATGTCGGATGGCATCACCGACACTACTGGGAAGAATGGATCCCTGGCTACACTCATGCCTGATGTTAGAGCTCGCCAAAAGGACAAGGCGCCGTCTGCCATATCTGGGCAAGAGAAGGTTTCTCTGGTCGAGACTATTGCTCGCTTGGAAAGGGAGGTGCCACCACCCACAGGACGTGTGTGTTTAGTATTCACGGACATACGGAATTCGACCAAACTCTGGGACAAAAATCCTGCCATGTCTACGGCGATACATTTGCACAACAATCTCCTTTTGCAACATCTTCTATATTGCGGTGGTTATATTGTCAAGACGGAAGGCGATGCATTTATATGCGCCTTTCCAACAACCATTGCCGCAGTATGGTGGAGCGTCACTGCCCAGATCCAACTTCTTCACGTACCCTGGCCTCAAGAAATACTGGATTGTGAAGAAGGCAAAGAGGTCTACGATGAACAGGGGAACCTTCTTGCACGCGGCCTTTCCGTCCGCATGGGCATCCACTCTGGAACCCCAGCGTGCGAACTAGATCCTATCACTCTCCGCATGGATTATTTCGGGTCTATGGTTAACCGATGCGCCCGTATCAGTGCCAGTGCGTTAGGTGGACAAATTATGTGCAGCGCCGATGTTGTTCGCGAAGTCAATGCGATTTTGTCCGATTCCGGTCCACCCTCGAAACCTCAGATAGCGCGGGCTATCGAGGAGATTCGGCAACTGCAGACGGTTTTCCTCCCTGTCGGTGAAATCAAATTGAAGGGACTGGAGGTTCCGGAGATAGCTTCCCTTGTCTACCCTGCAGCGCTCTTAGGACGCCAGCGCTTACTTGTGCCTGGGTCGAATCTGAGCACATTCCCGTCTTTATCCACCTCCGGGTCACAAGTATATCCTTCTGCTCATGGCACTGCTGCCCCAGTCAGCTCGGACCAAACTCCATCCGATGACGCCTGTCTAGAGACATGAACTTTGCGTCTTCCTACCTACTAGACCTGTCTATTTCCATAGCTTTGATAATCGTATTTGTGCCCTTTTGTCAGGAGCAGGATTGTATATTGCGTCGTGTCAGCGCCCGGCAAACGTTTCATATAATAAACAATCATTAAATACGATTTTCAGACGAACATAAAAAATGATGAAGCAGTTAGTAAATCATATCTCAAGAAATTTCTTTCTGAAGGCTGAAAGAGCATTGCGGGCCCTCCATCACATAGGGGCTTTAAAAATGACCCCTTACTAATTTTCCCATTAGCCGACTTGAACGACTGACCTCGTCATTACTAGTGACGCGCTCTACCAACTGAGCTAAACGGGATGCATTTTCGGGCTAATAGCAAGTGACGTTAATGTTGTCATCATTGCATTTGGTCGAAGGTATGTCTTTAATGAACTAGTATCACATACATGCTACTTCCCGAACGTTTGCATGCGCTCCGTGACAGCTTTCTTCAACTGTACAAGAAGTTGACAACCAGATCATAGAATCCAAAAAAAATAAACTTACTGGAGGGCTAATTCCGTCACCTTCGAAATATGCCAGGACAAATTCCTCTGCTACCCAATCATTTTCCACCGAACCCATATCTTTGAGTACCAGAGTACGTGGATGAGATGGGCCGCGTGATGGCGCGAGGAGTACTATGTCAAATGGTTTGCCCTTTGACATTGATGTATTTGGGAAAAGCGATTTCAATATCCTCAAAGAAGACTGGGCTGCAGGTTCCTCTGCCGGAGTGATTGTAGCACGTGTATGTGCGAGCTGCATACGCGCAGTGAGGGCACGCATGAAGCCATCACGGAGATGTGAGTAAGATGTGCCGCGAGTGGGTACTGAGTAGAAGTGAAGTTCAAAGCAACAGCGGCGTGTGCTCAATACAGTAGGGACTTGCCTATTCGGATGGCGCAAGCGGTGTTGCGGACAATGTGCTCAATTTTCTCGTCAGGAGTTGCAGTCATGGGAATCTATTGAACGTCTATCAGGAATAAGGATACGAGAGGGAAAGGAGCGATGTTACACTCAGATTTGGATTGGCCAGGTCCGCGTAAAAACCGACAGAGTACACCTTTATGCCGAGGAATGACACGGTTCTCACCCCAACGCCAACGAGTGAGAACTGAGGCAAAGAGAACTTTGATGGTATACGAAGGGTCTTAGGAAAAGCAATTGATGTTGCGGGATCAACTATACGAGGTTTTGAGTTCTCGGACTAGCTCAGTCAGGCTGCAAAACATACTCTCGAATTCAGAGTCGGGCAGAGATGGCTCGGCATCGAGATGGATGGCTGTGTTCTGAACTGCATATGCAGCTGCAAAGATGGAAACAGTAGCACCCCATAGTAATGGTTTTACGAGTGACCTAGACTGTTTGGAAGTTCTTGTTATGCATGAACGAGACCATGATGAGCTGAAAATCGCCAGTGGTCGTAAGAATTGAGACATGAAACCACGTGGGAGTATTATTATGACGCGTCAGGCGTTTAGGTACGTACCTGTTCTCATTCCGGGGACAAACGCAATCCTCCTAAACAAGTCAATCCGCAGATAGACGACGCGTCAGCTGGAAATTCATTCCAATATAAAAACACGTACGTTTTCAATCAAATCCGTTTCTTTCAGCACTTCTATCCTTCAGATATCGCTCTACCGCGGAAACTGATTGATTCTCATCATCTTTAAATTCTCTCATAACTGCTTTCTATCATAATCAGCGTCTTACTTCATGTCACTTGATATCAGTAGTCTCATTAGCGAGTTTGCAGAAGAGTATTCTTCAGGTGGTCTTTCTGTTTACATGGACGAAGAAGATACATCCGTGGACGTCCTCGAGTCACCCTCCGATGACATTGCTGCGGAACTTGTCTCTGATCGCTCAGCATACGAGAAACAAAAGGCTACTCTCCAGACCTATCTTGATTCCCTTCCTTACGAATGCGAGTCCATCGATGTCATGCAAGCTAAGCTTGAGTACATAGTCAGCAAGTTGATAGTCTGCGCTAAATCCAAGAATTGGTTGGTCCTCACCACCTGGGATGCCATCCTGCAATGGTATGTCATTGTCCTACACAATCCAAAATTACTCACCCCCGCTTCCAGCTGGCTGCAGATGCGCTATCCCATGACGACCTCCACCCGTGCTACATTGGTCCGTTTCTATTACGAACTATGCCTTCTGCCTGGCATAGAAGTGAGGGTCATCCGTAGCTGGGCAGATATGCTGTACCGCCTCTTAGGAACCAAGACCGTTAAGCGCAAACTTGAGGCCACTGACCTCCAACTCCCCTGGAAACCCCTATGGGATGCATTGTACAAAGAGTTGTTCCCCAAGAGCCGCCTCGCAGAATTTCAGTAAGTGCACCACAACCATGTCTATATGCCAGTGTCTTGATTCAATGTGGACAGTGGAAATCGTAACTTAAACAATCTATTACTGTATGTTGCGGAGAGCTGTAAGCGCTATTTCCCTGCGACTGATATTCCCGATATGCTCGAGACGTTCTTGCCTATCCTCACACCTGATGTAAGTCCTAGATCTCTTGGGATTAATTACTTGGGTTAATGCTACCCAGACTACATTGACAATGATTCCCGTTCTGACATCGTTCCTTCCGCCGACCCACACACACATCTACCTTCCTGTGATATTCAGGATTTGGGAAGCTTTCAATTCGCATATCATGGACGATAGGTTTCTCGAATTTGCTGGTATCCTCGCGGAGGAACATGTCGCTGGTAAGGAAGGACTTGCGGGAGAGGAAGGAGGTGCCGCATGGAAAGATATTGGTATCTGGACGCAAGAAGAGTGGTTGATGCTTATCAGTAAAGGAATTGAGTCGTTGTGTAGGTTTTTTTTGTACCCTTGGTCAAAGACCTACTGACTTCTTGTTACAATAGATGTTCCCGTGGGCACTTCGAACGTGAGACATTTCTTTTTCTATCTTTGTACAGCGAATCCAATTAAATTATAGCAGAATATTAGTGCTACGGCTGTTCAGGCAGACGCTTCAGCGGCACGCCAAGGATCCAAAGTCAAGAAAACAATTAGTAGGATTAGTAAGTGTCTCCGGATCTTCTGCGCCAAACTCGAGTAATCCTGATTTCTGTAGGTTTCCTGGCTAAGTTGTTTGTATACTCGATGGCCATCGACGGTTCAATACGTGGAGAGTCTGCATCCACTCCTGGGTCTCCCAATAACCAGCCGATAGGATACTTGGCTGGTTCGAAGGCGCTCGACTCGTTGGACAAACTGATTACAAGCACAGAATCCTTCTTTCATCCATCAAACTCGGGTCACTGGACGTTTACGGTACATATTGCGCTGAAATAGGCGGACTACTGCTGATATTTCCTCTAGCTCACGAATTTGCTGCAACGTCTTACCGTCGAATTTGCCGACAGATGGCTTGAAGAGCAGCAGCCATCGTGCAAAACTCCCGTTGTACGTATGACACTAGAGCTCGTTGCAGTAAACTCATATGCACAATAGGCACATCGTCTCACTCCTTCTCTTCGGCGAGCGTTCGTTGATGTTTTACGCACGCCTGCGCTCCTTGCCATGTTTTCCAAAGATTCCTTCTCTATTAGCATGGCACAAGGTGCACTGCGCACTATGGCATTGCTTGAGCCGACGCTCATCATGCCTGAGCTCCTCGAGCGTGCCTATGGTGGTCTGGAAGTGGTAAACGAGACCCACCGCACCACCGCAGTGTTGAAGATGCTGTCAGGCATATCACTTCCGCTTGTCTCAGAGATGATATGGAGGCCGGGACAAAAGCACCTGCTTCCTCTTCTTGAACTCTGCCTTCCTGGCATTGATCTGGTAAGATACTTTACATCCTCCTAGCATGTGCTGTTATTCATCATGCGATGTTTAGAACGACCCCAATAAGACTATCTGTGCTACTTTATTCATTGTCAGCGCCATGCAGCACGTGAAGGTTGGAGATCTCTCGATGCACCACTCTGGTTTCGCGTTGTCTGGAGATGCGCCAGGCGAAGAGCTGATGGAGGTTGATACCGAGGACACCTATATCCCTGAAGGTGTCGAAATGAGCCCATTCGTTTCGCTAGGCAGGCGAGAAGAGAGGACTCTTGTCCGAGAGAGCACGGCAGGCTTCGCAGGTGTGATTGTTCCCTTTCAGTAAAGGAAAGTGACTCACTCCCCAGTAGATTGGGTGACGTCCCTCTTTCGCAGAGTTTTAGCTTTATACGAGAATCTCCCTGAGGAGGGTGGGAAGAAGAAGACTACCGGCGGGAAAACGGAAGAGACCGTTTTGAAATCGATAAAGAGCATGCTTGACGTGGTCACCCTGCACCTCTCAGATCAACTATTTGATCTCGTGTTGAATCTCGTTTTCGACTACGCTGCAACAAACGCGAAGTCTAACGCCATCCGAGCGTTCGGGCAGCTCGTAGCATGCCTTGCACGCGCACAACCTCAGAAGACGTTGGATAAGTTTTTGCCGTCTTGTATCTCACGCATACAAGAAGAACTCAGGTACGGAGCTTCAAGCATTAGGACAACATCAGCACACGATCTTGTTCCGTCTGACACAACGCTACATTGGAGTGAGTTGCTAGCCTATCATTTGTCGGGCATGTAAACGATTGTCTTAACAGACATGTCGATATTACGTGGGTGTCTTGCATACGGCGCACATGCTGTGAGTGCTATCTCATTCCGTAGCATTTTTGGATTTCCGAATGTGTCATCAACTCTAGCTCCTCAAGCACAAGGAAGACATCATCAACCTTCTATTGTTACTGTTGGATAAGACGAAGAATGAGCGTGGGTACACGGGTACTGCCGCGATTGTCACCAGAGTGATGCATGCGCTGTCTGGTGTCTACCCATCTGACAACCGTTTCGTGAATGAAGACGTATGGAATCAGCCTGGTCGGTCGCATCGACGTTACTCCGCTTCTGTATCTGATTATGATTTAGAGTTTGCCGAGTCACACAACACTCAATGGGGTCACCTGTACGAAGCAAAGGATGTGAAGGTGAAATGGCACGGTGAATATGATATTGATATTGATATGTCTGACGCAATTGCTGACCATGGAACATGAAGTTCCAAGCACCGAGGAAGTGCAATTCATTCTGGACATCTTGGATCGTGTAGCAGCTCCTGCGCTCGATAAGATAGAGACCTTGGCGCGGTCGACTCGGCATTGGGATGAAGTCGTCAGGAATGATTTCTGCAGGCAAGTTGCAACGCGGCGATGATGGGACTCCATTAACATAGTTTTCACAGGTACCTCTTGTTCGTGAGGTCTGTCTGGAGCGGCCTACCGTCATTCCTGAAGGAAGGACCCAAAGACGCAGTGCACCCATGCCTCGATCTAGAAACAGAACTGGAAGGACTTATTGTTGATCATCTTGACGTCACAGCTGGATTTATTCTCACTGATCTCAACGATCCCCGTTACCAACAAGCCTTGCAGCATCGCATCCGTTTTGGCTGTGTCACGCACTTGGCCGCAATTGCCTTGCGCCAAATTCAAGGAGGTGAAGATCATTTGGATGCTGTCGTCGCCGTCGTGAAGGCCATCGACACTTACTTCTTGGATTACGGGATGAGTCGGGCAGACTTTATCACATTGCAAAAGAATTTTGCACAGTCGAGAGAGTGAGTTGTCTAGATGCAAGGGTTTTCCTCGTCTAATGCAAACCAGGGTGAACCGAGTGTCGGCAAGGCAAAAAGAGAACTCGCGAATTGCGTGGGTAAAAAGAGCACACGTCTACCACTGTGGCCGGCTCTATATCCACGCTTTGTATCGCCGAAGATCGTCCCTGGACGACACGTTACTGAAGGAAGACCTTGCGGAGCTCTGTTTGTCACCATACACGCGAGTGCGACGGTGAGTTCCCTGATGATATTATTCGTTCTTTGTCATAACCAATCTTTCAGCCTCGCTCAGAATGTGCTGCACAGCGCATGTGGTGTGAGTACAAATATATTCTGGTTTGACTGCATGGTGACCTCGGTTCAGTCGTATGTCCGCGCGACAAGATACATCCTGCCATCTATTTTCAACGCGCTGTCGAAAGGCAATGATCCTGATAGGATCAAGGGCGCTTTGTACGTCCTTGGTAATAAAGGCACAGGTATGTGGTTTTACTGTATCTTTCAGCATGATCTGATTTGAGATCCGCAAAAGCCGCGTTGACTATGTCTGGTATGTTTCAGCAGTAGTAAGTATAACTGATTTTAATCCCGCGCAGAGCCGCCGCTACGACGACAATACCTGGTTGCTTTGTTAGAATGCCAGCACGAAGAGAAAGTGAGTCAAGTCGCAATCTGTGGCTCTGAAACCTGTCTAATTCCACAATAGCCCTCGATACAGAAGCTTGTCACCACTTTCTCCACGGAGTGTTTGATACACCTCGGTGAAGAAGTCATAAGGACTTCTTCGTACACAGCCCCTACTCCTGGGGTTGAATCTGCTATTCGCACTCTTGAAGAAGTGTTCTCGCCTGCCGTCGTTGATAGCAAGCTAACAAAGGCGGCGGTAGAATGTGTTGCTAAGCGTGCACAGCGATGCCTGGAGGAGACCGACAAGACTGTGCGTATTACGCTATCGATGTGTAGGCTGATATTGATATTTTGTGGTAGGTCCGCTCTATTCTCGAGATTGCCTCTCGGCCTACCACACATGTACGTCATTTTTCATTGTCGTCCAACAAATCTGAGCAAGACTTTAGTGGAGATATGTACACATGGCCATGAAGTTTTTGACGGGCTTCCTCAGACGCGACGCAGTAGCTCCTCCGGAGTTGGTTCGCTTCTTCATGGAACAAACTCTTAGCCCACAACCAGGGATAAGGACTAGTGCTGAGCAGTACGTGCTTTTAGTAAAACATGTACCACGTCAATCCATTTACTTATTTGTTTCTTTACAGGGCAATCGTGAAGACCGCCGTTCTCATGAAGATACGAGCATACGCCAAGACTGATGATGAGCTCTGGCTCTGCAAATGGCAAAGTCCCTTTGCGAGGACTATTTCCATCGACGACCCGCCTGCTTTCCTTGCACAACTATACCAACCCGTTAATGAAGCCGAGTAAGTTGAGTTATCTATCGTGCAGAATTTGTTGCTCATACGCTCTATTAGCGGCTTTTACGTCGACCTGCTAGACACTGGCTTTTTGGCTTGGACGAAGACCATCAAATGCTATCCTGTGAATCTGACCAACTCAGTGTCATGGGACTCGGCGTCAAGGCAGTGCTTGCAGGCCATGCGTAGCTGTATCGGAAAAGGATACTTCACTCAGCTCGCAACATTATGGAGCCAAGAGTCCAGCAAGGCATCTGGCTCGCCACATCTTCACGCAGAGAACGTGATTTTTATGATTACTCTAGGTCTTCGTCGTCCACTTTTCCATCCATGAACCCGCTTGCTGACCCTGCCGTAGCGAAGTTGTTCAACGGCGAACACATGCATCTAATCCTTTCAATTGTCGAGCCATTGATGACCGATGCGGACAAGTTCAAGCAGGCGGCTGCGGCTGAGATGTTGACTGGACTGTTGCGCGGTATTCTTCCTGTTTCATACCGTTGTTTTCACATCTGATGTGCTTCATCATAGGGTCCAAACACTGGCCCAAGCAAACACGAGAAGAACTTTGGTCCTGGCTCACGCCACGTTTCGACCTTATTTTCGCTCAGGCGAAGCCGGATACTGTTTCATACTGGACTTCGTTCCTAGAGGTACATCGTTCCGCGGTTGTATCGAGAAACGTCACTTATTGACGGCCCCAAAGCATACACTACTGAACCTTGACCCACGTCGCTTCCAGCCCTTAGTCAATTGGATATTATCGCTCCATCTTGACTTCCAGGGCGACTCTGCATTTTCCAGCAAGTTTCTTTCTTGTCATCAACCCTGTTGTGCTCATTATCTTGCAGTGACGAAGGCTCTTAACGTTATCGTTGTGTTCATTGATTCTGTCGGCGTCCGGTTTAATGCAGTATCTGAGAAATATGCCTCGATTTTCTTCGACAACGCGGACTCCAACTATGCAGAGGTATTTGCTTGATACGGACATGCGGTATCAGTGTATCTCATCTTTTGATGTAGATAAGGACTTCGATATCCAATGCCCTGTGTCTGATAGCTAAGTATCAATGGAGACCAGCGTATCCCTCTGTGGATGCCCTTCTCGTGGCATGCGCAGAGAGTCCAGATCCACTCCGAATCAGGTATTTCCCCTCAAGTAGTTCTTCGGATATGGCACTCAGTTTCTATTCCTTTTCAGACAAGGGTTTTTCTCTCATCATGTACAATCGATTATCGGTAATCTGCCTAATTGGAAGGATGAACGTTTTTCTCCACCTAGAGTTTCACAGTCCCGGGTGGGTAATGATACATTTACCGGAATTCTCTTTCTTACGTTCATCTTCAGTATGACAAGGTCGGCTTGACCAGTAGGCTTCGCAATTCTTTTCATCTGAAGTCTTAACTGAGACCTGACAGTGCTACTCTGGTTATGGGTATCTCTTTATAGCCCTGAAGCTTGTCTTGTTCGTCCTCATGCCATGGCTCTGTTGTCTGTGACCCATTCATTTTACTGTATTTTGCTAAAATATTTTTAGACCTGAACTCTTGAGCATGTCAGAATTGAGCGACAATCCGGAACTCCAAAAGTACAGCAGCGCTGTGCTTCGTGTGTTTTCCTCGGTTCATCTGCCGCCTTCGCTTACGCACGTCGTCCTGGAGAACCTAGTCTCGGCCATTCAGTCATCTGAGGTATATTTGTTTTACCTAAATAAATAAAGTATTTATCTGAAATTTTTCTAGTCGTGGCGAATTCGATTGCATGCATTGCCTGCCCTGGTCACTTTCTTCTATCGAAACCTCTTGACGATTTCATCTAACGGCGTGCTCAAAATCATGGATGTATTACTCGATTGTTTATCAGATGAGAACGTCGAAGTTCGAGAAATGTCGTCCAAGACCCTGCTCTGGAGTTGTAAGATGTTCACAGCGGCAGAACATAATCCCATTGAAGGTATGTGATAGCCTCCGTAAATTTCCACTAATTAAGCTCCGTTCAATTCAGAATCGCTTCATATCATTGGCGCGCAACGTAAAGCTCCCTTCACGTACACACCATGATTATGGAGAGTCACTTCGGAAGTTACATTCTGCTATCCTTGGTCTATGTGCCCTTATTGAGAGTTTCCCGTACTCTGTCGAGCCCTGGATGCCGTCCCTCACAGAAGGTCAGTGTGGATGTTGTGAACTTTCTTGTCTGAAACTCATGTCCGCTCGCTATAACTCTCTTACTATTTTGGATCATCTTCGTCAATACAGTCCTGGCGAGACACGCAACAGATCCACCGCCGATCTCGACGACGATTCGTCACTGTGCTTCTGAGTTCAAGAAAGTAAGATCTTTTCCTATTGTATACTGATATGACCTCACGAGTATGATTTCTATCTAGACTCACCAGGTAAATTGCTTCCGCGATCAATGGCAATCTTCGTTGCGCCTTATCGTCGATTTTACAGGATACGTGGCACAAGGATCAACTAGCTTTTGACGAAGATCAATTACAGAGCCTCTCTACGATGCTTGTTGGTACTTCATATTGTGGGTTGACTGTGTTTGTTATTAGGGCTTTGGCTGATCAAGGGCCATATCTAGACGCCTAGATAATGTTTCATAAATTGGCATCGATCCGCGCCTCCGTCAGGACTCAGCATCAGCAGGACGTTTGTATTACATCGCCGTGTCAACTATGTATAAATTAGGGCACATACTTGATGTATCAGGTCTTCTTCCAAGAATATGTGTTATCGATGATTAATTCCGCCTATATCTGCGACGGTTTGGGCTGTTCAATATTGGTATTGTCCCTACTCCCGCTCGGATGCTCCTGCCGAACAGGAGCAAGGTTTGTGTACCATTAAATGTAGCTTTATCATTGTGGCTCATTGAAAAAAAAAAGAAGTTCCAAGGGATGTTGGCTTGCAATTCATCGGCTCGGAACCACATGATGGGCTAGTATATGTGACTCCTGGAGACGACCCATCAGCGCGTGTGTTGCACGTGTTCCGGTCATTTGAATTGGTGCCTTGAAATATATATCAAGTCGGCCGACGATATAATCGATGACCGAGCCCATAGTATAATCATTGAAGCCGTCAGAGATGCGCGTGCTTTGTTCATATAGCATTATACGTTTCACGACTCTGACCTGAGGGTCTTCAAACGCGACGCATAAATTATGCGGTCATAGGAAGGAGCAGCCTAGAAAGCGCTTCCCGTAACTTCTAAATATTAGCGGCATTATGTTCATATCGTGATGGAGTTATCTCTGAGCCTGGTCATCATCGATGAAAACTGATTTGAAAAGATAAATCGATAATGGTTCGACTTGACACATACTGTGCGCTTCGTGCGCACGTCTTCTAAGGCGCCACGGTGATTATCTAGCCGGATTATAGCGCTGTCAACGAGTCAGAGGAAGGTTCTGATGGGCACGGTAGGAAGTGCGTCTGATTCATTGTTGAAAGTTCTCGTGACTCGTGCCCCAGAATCTGGAGCTGATAGTATGCGAAGAGTTCGAGTGTTAGCCCCTAATAGTGAATACTACGCCTGCCTTTTTGGTGCTAAAGCTTCCGGCAGTTCCGTTGCATGCAGGTCTTGCTTTCTGACTCCAGTTCTCCAGATTTTATGTGTCGGAACGGTGGTTGTTGGGGCAGTTTAAGTGGATTTAACGGAAAACAAATAGCACCCGGTATATCGACTCACTGTCTCTGACTCGGACGCCGACACGAGAAATGGAAGTTTGAGCCCAATTCAAAGAAACACCGAGTGATATTGTGGATGGGCGCAAAGACGCAAAGGATGCAGCGATCACGGACGGTGCTTGCTTGCTGTTCGGTGAGTGCTAAAGGCGGTCCTTGGGACTATTTCACAGAGCGGCGAACCATGGAGGTGCTGCGGCTGCATGGCACGCTCGTGGGACGGCATCAACACGTGTTGGGTAAAGTGTGTTACTTTGGGGTTAGTAACCCTTGATATTTTTTACGCAAAGATTGATTTTTGGAAGGTGTTCCGAGTAATGGGTTTGCTTCGATAGAGTCTTGTCGTCGTAGGAGACGATCTGCAGCTTGATCATCGTATGATTTTCGGGTCATCAATCACGATGCACGTGTACTAGTACCCAAGATTAAATTTGAAATTTGGAGTCAAAGACTCGCCTTGAGGAACGATTTAGCGCCTTATGAGGAGCAGAGAGGAGCACAGGGATGTTGTTGTAGCTGTACTAGTAGTAGTACGGCCGCGTTGTTAGGCTTAAGCCGATAGTTACGACATCAACGATATAAACCAGTGCTTTGTGAATTATAGGCCCTTGGTCTAGTGTTCGCTTCCACCTTTTTTGCTTTTGACCACGACCGTCCACGATCCAGGTTGTTGTCTTCCACAAAGACTTACTGTTACTAACTAAATTTTGACTTATACAGTATCTAATAGTTCTCGTTTTTGAGAAAAGGGAGCGCCCAGTCACATCTCCAAACCTCATTGCACAGGGCTCATTATAATTATTGGCAATCGCCGCCGCAAGAAGGGCACGTTGCGATCAAAACCCCTTCGCAAGGTCTGTCAGGGCTCCTCCCCTTTGCCTCATTTCATTACCATAACCTCCAAGAAGATCTAAAACCCTCGACCTCCACCCACTTTGCCTCTTCAAACTCTTGACCTGGGTCCTGATCTTCAACACGCGACCCCGGTCCTCACGACCTCCTCACGCCTCGTTTTATTTCATCTCACTTTTTATACCTATCTTGTGCTTTCTCTTTAGATCTTTACTGCTTGTCTTCTTGCATCCTATCCAGCAAAACGTCGACGGCGGTCTCTATCTATCAACTCACTTAGCAAATCGTGCTCTCAACATCGCATCACCTATATCCTATACTCCATCGCATCTTTGATTATTCTCTCATACCGCAACGCACGACAAATTTTTTATCCAAGCAATCATCGGTCGCTCATCAGCTTGTTAATTAACTGGTGAGTAAATTCCCTTGCAGCGTGTTCTTGCTTCGCTGACAATTCCCATTATTTAAATCAGATTTAAATGCAAAAGGTGGTCACCGCTACTACTGCACCCACACACAATTTGTACCTTGCACGCGAATCAGGCTCAAGAAAACCCATTCCAGCTCGAAGTCCTCTTGAACATCACAACTTGAACTCAGACTTCACAGCCGAAGTAAGCCATGCGCCATCTCTCGCTAGACAGCCTTCTTACGTGTTTTCGTAGACTTGGAACGTTTCATCTGCGCAAGGCTCACCACCGTCTCTTTCATCGTACATCCCACGTCCAGCTTTGGTTCAAAAACCTTTAGCGATGCCTGTTCGTACAAACCTCGTAGACATGTCAAAGACCGAACCATCTGGTCATCCGTCTGAGCGTATCCCAAACAACGCTCAACGATGGCGGCTAAATGGTTCAGGACAGCTTATCGATCCAGACGCATCGCTCGACTGGGATCTTGCCCAGGATATTGCCAGGCTGAAGCTCGGCGTTGTAGGCGACATTGGGGACGACATACAAGGTCGACTGGGGACTTCTCCTCAGTCCAAGCTAGGTGCTGCGAACGTAGCACCATTCAACGAAGCAAGTCCGCTGGAAACGGCTTCTGACGTCAGTCTCGACTCCTCCCCCAATACCTCTGATCATCAAATTTCGCCATCCCATTCTCGCGTGTCGTCCACTGATACACTGGAATCTCACGAATCTGCCAATTCTTCGGCTAGTCATACCATGCGCGGGCACCCCCAGCTGAAGATAGCAACGGGGAATGAGGGGAAGGAGCGCCCTCACTCCTTCAGCGGTGGACTATCGACTGCTGATTTGCGTCGCCTAAAGCAAGCAGGGGAGGAGCATTTACATGCAATGCCTACTCACCCTTGGTCGTCTGCTACTTACCGGGACCGCGTTGGTGGCGGAGAAAAGCCTTTTTCGCCTGAGCAGCCCCAGTACCCATCGCTGACCAACGCATCATTTGGTCGCGGACAACAGCAATATGACTACCGTTCCGCACAAGGTAATGGGGACTTGCAGGGCGAATATGGCGCTCAGCGCGGCTATTTCCCGCAACCTTCTGCCCCTAGTGCCGCCGCACCACCTCACTTTCTTCAAGGTCGCCCAGCGAATGGGGTTCAATCTACCTATCGCCAGCCTCAGCGAGGTTACCCACAACCGTTGGTCCCAAGCCCAACGGGACTTGCTTATGGTCCAGCACACGTTCCTCACTTGTCGCTCGGTAACACTCAACAACTCTATGACATGGTTCTCCCTACTGGAGACAGCCATCACCCGGCCGTTAGTCGTGTGCAGCAACAACACAACGCGTTCCGTGGTGCTCATCAGCACTCCGCCTCGGACCCCTCTGCTCTGCGAGATGTTGCTACGCTAGCGCTCCTCAGCAACCAAGCAGTTTTCGCACAGGCGGCTCATGGAATGTATCCCCCCATCCACCCTGGCCTCTACAATCAATTTTACGGTACTCCAGAATCATACCCCTCGGATCTAGCTGTCGCGGCCATGGCCAGCCGTCTGCAAACCCATTTCACTAGTCCGTATGGAGCGTTACCAGCTCAAGGCCTGGGAGTGGACCATTCCAATTCAGGATCTGATAGTCCTTCGCAAAACACCGGTGGACCAAGTGCTAACAACCGCAAGCTCGGCTTGTACAAGACCGAGTTGTGCAGGTCATGGGAAGAGAAGGGCTCATGTCGATACGGAGCGAAGTGCCAGTTTGCCCATGGAGAAGATGAACTTCGGAATGTTGCTCGTCACCCCAAGGTAAGCACTCATCGATGCTTGCAATACAGAGTATTGATATCATCGCATCTCAGTACAAAACGGAAATCTGCAGGGTAAATTTCTTTGGGTTTTCTTTGAGAGTTTTTTTCTGATCATGGTGAATAGACGTTCTGGGTGTCAGGTGCATGTCCATACGGGAAACGTTGTTGCTTCATCCATACCGAGCTGCCTGTCTCGGGCATCGCACCGGGAGCCGAGGGTATTCCTCCGCCTTCGGTAACTGCAAGCAACCGTGAGCGCTCGAATAGCGACCCCAACGAATCATCGATATCCCTTCTTCAGCGCATCCAGCGTAAGGGTGATGCAACACCAGTGGATGCATCCCCTCCTTCGGGTAACTTCTTTAATTCTCGACCTCCTACCGGCTCGCTTCGCGTCGACACCTCTGCTCTCAATAATATTACGAAGCAGAACAAGTCAGCATACCCTACCTTTGCCAGCAATGCGTTGATGCTTTCAAGCTCCGAGCAGACGCCTATGAAGTCTCCGGTTGTTCCTCTTACAGCGGGTCCTGATTTGGGGCGGCACAACAACGCACGCCTGGATATCGTAGGATACAGCCAGGTGAGTATGTCGTGGCTGTGTAGAACCTATTTTAATTCAAGGACACTGTTAGCAACGTCTTAACAGGACGAGCGCTACGACGCCTAACGCCAGACACTCTTTCAATGGAACGGATGTAGACCTAGATTTTTCCTCGCCGTCCACACCTTCTGCTGCAACTCCCACGACGTCCTTTGCACTTACGCAAGCCGATAGGGTATCGAACAATAATGCTGTTCCACGTGCGCACGTTAGATCTGGGAGTGCTGGAAACTGGGGCAATGTTACTCGTAGTAGCAACCTAGCTGGTGCGCCCTCATACCCACAGGCCTCCGGGGCCGGGGAATCTAATTCTCCGTGGACATCAGGTAACCTCACCAGACTCGGAGATAATTGGATGTAAATGCATTGGGTGTCGTGTTCGAGAACTTCGCCGCTTGGTCGGACGCTCTTATGTGATGTTTGTCTTCATTCCCTCCCGTAGCCACAGTGGAGTTTACGAGACATTTCCTCATCTTCTACCTTACTTTGTACAAAAAGCTTTTGTATACCTCATCTTACGTCTTGTTTTCATGTGCCCCTTGTCACGCTTCTGATGATGATATGTTTCATGACTATCTCCGTGCGAACGTACACCCTCTCCATCTCCTCTGCTCATCAAATCTGCCTTTGGCTTCTCTTGCAGCGCATCGTCGATTGGTGAACTCTGCTGTCGTCTGAAAGAATTACGTGCTGAGCTAGAAGTCATCTTGCGCACGAACTAGAAGTCACATCGTCCACCAAATGGCAAAGGCAAGCTCGAAGGCACGTTGATTATGATAAGCCTAACTCCGTTGCGATCAAGCCGCATATCAGGCAGGACAACAATTGCAACACCTGAACCGTCCAACTCAGAACTTTGTAGTCAATTCAAATTCACCAAGCTTCCCCTGACACTGCAGCACTTTTCCTTATTACTTCATAAAGTTCCCCAGTCGTTGCGAAGATACCCATTTGGACGGGGAACTTCTCATCGGAATTGTATAGCAGACATGTCTTCTCTCGACCGATTCACGGTGTTCTTGTAATCGTACCCGATAGCGCGGTGTCAACATCTCTTCACGGGAATGTGAAAGTGCATCGATGCTATCCAAATATTTTTGAGAGGGTTACTTTGGTATGGTTTTTGTTGCAGAGAAATCGGTTCGTGCTCTTGCTCATCTGTTCGGCCTAGGGTCACGCGCCCATTCGGCACGTGCTTCCGAGTCCGCCGTAACTATTCTTGACCAGCTCACATCCACCCTCGACAACTTGAACGTCTGCGCCGGATCTCGATGTGACCAGTCTCTTCCTTTTAATCTATCTAGGAGGAGACTGCTCAGGCATACCACTCTACCAGCATGATGACGTGAGGACCGTCAGGGTCACAGAATCAAACGATAGCTGAATTTATTGACACGCACTTAGTCTTTCGGATTGAAATAACACCCATGGAACGGATCATACGTCTTCCAACTATTCCTGCCTACAAACCGTAAGGATATACCTTCGATCCTCAAAAGGCATGCACTAAATTTCAACGCCTAACTGTGAATAACCTAGATGCTCAGGTTCGTGAACCAAGTGAATATCACCGTCATATCGTCTAACCGTTGACCCTGTTCAGAGTCAGCGATTGAGCACAAAAAATTACAAGAAGATCCCCAAGACAAAAGATCAAACCTTGGTGAACAGAATTTCCACCGACGCGATATCGTAAACCCGGGGATGGCGCTCGCGTGAATTTTGAAGCTGGTCCCAGGCTCATGATTCTCCCAACAAGATCAGACCATTTTTGCGAGAAAGGCTCAGAAAGCTCTCTCGAAAGGTTGACGGTCACAAACATTCAGAAGGCTGTTAAAAATAAATATTCCGAGGGCCTGCAGGGGTCCTTGAAAATGGATGTGCGACTCGGAGGAATGTTGTACAAATAGCGTCTGAATAAAGACTTGATTAGCGCAGGGGTCTCGTGATCAGTGCAAAATTTCTCGAATAACAGGTGCTATGATATAGGTGCCAACAAGGGACTAAAGCCCTAGAGGACACCAAGTTCCGTCAACTCTCTAATAAATCCTTCCATGCGACATGTCGCGTAAGCTAAGTAGTCAAACTCTGGTTTCAATTCTCCTCTTTCCAGACTGTCCTGCGCTTGTACGATACCCCACACAGTCCACATCCCGTGTGATGCAGGACTCCAAATACGAACTTGACGTTCTAGCTGGAAAACTTCTGCTTCAGAGCGCGATGTCGGAAGCGAGGAAGCGCATGTGTCAATGGGACGCGAGTGTGCAATATACGCCCGATAAAAATTTCGACGTTCTTCCATTGTCGGATATCGGATTGGATCCAGAAGATGCGGCGTTGATGAATGATAGTCAGCTGTCCACTCGTGGAAGTGATTAGCAATGTCGAATGCAACTGGATTAGGCGATGCGTATTCAAAATCAACTACGACAATCTACGTCTCAAGTTTGGTAAGGTCCTCTGTGCCCCAGAATGATTGTTGCTCACCTGGTGGTGCTCGGGAGCATCGTGACGAAGTGGGCTAGTTAACCTCAGTATATTGCCACACTGCGTATCATTGTGCGCGAAAACACGTCGGCAACCCCCTTCTACCTTCTCGACATGAGAAACCCAGCGTAAGTAACGCATCCAAAGTTCATAAAAGCGGTCCATGTTAAGTGCTTGACGAGTGGCCTCAGATACACAGGGAAGACCTAAAACCTCTCGTGCAGCTGGCATCCATGCCTTAACATTTTTCTTGACCCCGATCTCCCAACTCTTCCCCTCAAGAGCACTGACGGTAAGTGGACCCTCTACAACACTAACGTCCACAGAATGGAGTTCAGCCATTCGCGAAGCTATCCATTGGCTGGTCTTCCTGTCACGAAGGTCTGATGAAACTAGCGTGACAGACTCGAAGTACTCTTCAATACGACCGTTTGTAAATGTACCATACACACGAGGACCAAAATGGCATCGAGACGATAGAATGTGAAGCATGCGCAGCTCGCGAGAGCGAGAGACGAGAGAACCGGATGATGGACCATAGATGCGCAACAAGAGGGTAGGAACGAGAGCAACGGTAGGGCAAGAGACAAAAAAGATGGCATTGGTGAGCGCACCAGAGACCCTGCGAATGGATAGTAACTCGGGGGTTACCTGCGTCTTGTGCCAACCAGGGACCCGCAAAGCCACCAAAATAGCAAGAAGGTCTCTTGCGAAATCGATGGACTTGTAAGATCTATATGAAAAAAACGGGACGTAAGCTCAAAATGCAATTTGAATAACAAACCCTGCCAAAAGGATAATAAAGAAGCCTGCAGAAAAGAGACAACTAGTATACCTGGCATGTAATTTGGCCTTAGCGTGTGTCAAACCGTCGACAAACTCAACACCAATAGCGACCTTTGGTTGAGATAAGGACACATTTGGAGTTTTCGACGGACTGAGAACTAATCCGCGCAAAGACGAGGATGACGACATGTGTGAAGAAGGAGAAACGGCAACGCTGTCTGCAATCATGCCAGTTGTTTCACATGTAATAGTGTAGTATGATTGTTTGACTGTTCGTCTAGGTCTAGAGAAACGTTAAGTACCGGTAGACGGAGGCCACGGTTACAAGCACACGACCGTTAATTTATGTTTGTGGTCGGACCCCGAACTCCTTCGGAGATTAATTACTAACACATTTATTTAATTATGAAAATGAAAATTTACATACCCCACAAAGATTCAACACTTGAAGCACACGGTTGATCATTAGCAGGCGACTTTGTTGACCTTTGCTCTAGATGTCAACTCTGTTCTTCAGCAAAAGTCAGATCAAGTACCGCAATGCTTTCATAAATTCAACTCCGAGTCGAAGCCTGCAAGGCCGCAAGACTCCTACCATTCAAGACATCAATTCGAATGTCCGGTTTGAGTTCTACTAACTTCTCACTTCCAAAGTGACTTTCTATCAACAGTTGTGGGTCCACCCTGCAAATAAATCCGCGGGGGGAATGCCCGGATCATGATGACGCTGAGTTGCACGAACACTATGTATCAGGCTCAATACCCCTATAATCGCATTCTGCATTGCGGCCTGGAGACTACGCGGTATCGTGTTTAAACAAACCTAACATCTTGATTTTTGCGTTATGTATATGACCTCATTCTGGGTATCATATATGGCGAGAAAAATCATCGATTCACTGAGGAACAAAATGTATGTGTCTGAAATATTTGCATCGTTTTCTTGCTTGTCCGCTCAATTCGGTCACCGCTCAGTTCCCTGAGGGGGACCCTGGAAGCTGTGGGTATTAATGCTCTTTTTGAGTGAATCATCTTTTAAGGTTGGTTGGTCGTGCTTTATCAGACGCTCATAGTTCTGATTTTCCTTAGTGAACAAGTCATGTGTGCTGTGATTCCGCGGGTCGACACTGTCGAGGAAGCGTTTCATTACTAGCTCATCGACATGCAATCAAGTCAGCTAACGCTAGATCACTGCGTCGGCAACGGTCTGAAACTCACCCGACGCTATCCCCCTTTCACACCAGCAGACGACCCTGGATTGTTTGCGCGAGCAAGGCCCGTTAATCCTGGGCTAACTAATCAACTCTAACTAACCTCGGTTGAGGCAGTGGCGAGAGCTAACTAGCTAACATTCGTATCGACACCTTATCCATTAAGTTCTGATCATATGAATACGATAGGCAATCCGAAACTTTGTTTTGAAGTCTACGAATCACGCCCAAACATCTCTTGTGTCGTAAACATTGTCGCGGCCCGCTTGTTAGGACTCGCATCCTTGTAGCCGCGGGTTTACGCGCAGCCAACATATCGCAGTTAGGCTTGTTGGGGAACATGCGTTAGTCTCATAGTAAGCCACGAGGTGCACTGATGTCTTCTGCGCGACCCCACTATATCTCGTCTACATCATGTTGTAGACGAGAGAAGTTGCCGGCATGATCGTTCAGGTCCGGACGTTCTTGCAACTTTTGTAATTCCATTTCTAAGCTGTACAATGTTACCGTCTGAATTCTTTTTCCAGATCAAGTGCTACCCGTGCCAGGCCGTCTAAACCACTTTAACTAACATGGAGGAATACTTAATCATGTGCATGCCGCATTGTATCCATTTGTTAGACGGCATACTCGGCATTGAAAGGTTATGAAGACTGTACCCCAAACCTGATCTCGACTACGTATCGGCCTATCTGCAGCATGGTAGGTTTGCATGCCATAAAGCGTTCAAACACATGCTTCTAATGTACTACGTGACATCAGAACCCCTGATAAAGCCGCTAGATGTGCACACTAAGATGTACACTACTGACTCCTGGCTAGCATCTTTACTCATGTGTGCAAGGAATATTATAACACATAAAACCCTTTAATTTGTAAGAACAACAGAATACTCGTCTAGCAAGTCTATCTATGTACAATAAGAATAGCAATGTTGATCCTCTAAACTTTATTAGGCGGTGAGCTGATACATGACTTTTGGTGTGAAGCTTTTTCGTGGATAGCGTCATGTTGGTTCGCAGTTTCTACCGAAAAGCACTTCACAAACAGCGAGATCTGATTATGCAGATTGGTAAAATCATAGCATCACTTGTAGGAAATCACATACCACCATGGCCAGGCCTAGCAGAGGGGCAGAAACGATCCAGATGTTCTATGATATCATTAGTCGAGAACGGGTAGAACGGAATGACCTAAACTCACCTGAATGGCCAGAGTCACAGCACCCAGGACCTCATTTCTCAATGAGAGCGGCTCAATGAGACTCAGTAATCTCCAATTAATGGAAGATGATCCCTGGATTTGGTAACCAACAGGTAATGCGTGAGATAATCGTCTATCAAAGACCATCCCAGCAACCGCCTTGAAGACATTTAACTTAATGATGCGCAAACGAGGCAGACGGACTTACTAGGCCAATAGTAGCTCCTGTAAATCTTACCAGAAAGAACGCGCTAGTCCCTGTAGCGAGTTCCGAAGGATGCAATGCCTTCACAAAGACCTGATAAGGTGCGTGGAAAAGGAACCCGATTCCAATACCGGCGATAAGGGGGAAAGAAATTTGCGCGAAGTGCGAGGAGGCATCCTTGAGTGTTATCAAGAGACCTGTTACACAACATCAGTGACCGCCCTCAGTATATGTATGTCCGACCTCACTGAAACCCAATGTGGAGATGAGTAATCCACTGACAATCGTCCATTTTTGTCCGCTGGTGTCATTTTTATGCCTCTGGCAGAATCCAATAAACCAGGCAGCTGGCATCGAAGCCAATGATGACCCGAGTGAATATGGCAGCATCTGCACACCTGCTTGCAGTGGGGTCATGCCATTCACAGCCTATGCGAATCATGGAGTCAGAATCAGGTCCACAGACAAGGCACGGGTCGACCTTACTTGGAAGTAGAGTGCAAGGTAAAATGTGCCTGAAGTGAATGCGAAGTTGTGAAGGAATGTGACAGTTAGAATGATCACTACATGATTCATATGAGATATCGAAGAGCCTTCCACGCGATGAATCTTCTTACCAACAGTGAGACTTTTGAATACGGCAGGCGGGAACAATGCCTCGCGTGTGGTGTGCACTTCATAAAACCCACCACAGGCTAGTATCACAGGGCCTAGAGTAACTAGCAAGAGCGTTGAGGGCGATGTCCCTGCATAATGGTGAGTAGAATGTTTGCGTTGAATATGACAGAACCTACATCCATTACTCATAGCAAAACTGAAACCAATGACCAAACAGCAGGTACCCAGCATGAAAAGAAGACTGTATAATAATATGAGCATGACACAAGAAAGCAAAAAACATATCGTACAGTCCGATAAAATCAAACTTCTCGGTGAAGTTTTTCCAGGACGCGTGCTTAGCTTGTCCGAGCGTAACATTCCGCAATGACAATGACAGCAACAAGAATGCGAAAAGGCATACAGGCAAATTCATGTAAACTAGTGACCCGCAATTTGAGATTGGAGCACAGAAAGGAGGCAAATGACATACAAGCCCATCTCCAGTTGATTGTCGTGGAGAAGCCAGCTGCGGGAGTGAAATGAGATTTGGATCTAAGATTCGTTACAGCACTTACTGCTGAATAAGCCTCCGAGTATTGGGCCCGCGATCGCAGAACAGCTCCAAGTGATACTAAGAGCCTGAGACCACTTTGCTCTGTGTTGTGGTTCGACGATTTCTGATGTGATAACCCAAACGGAACTGACAATACCACCGCCACCGAGACCAGCCAATCCACGGAAGACTATCAGTAATATGATGCTCTAGAGATAAAAATCAGGAAATCAAATGCAGAATAATACAAATTCAAACAACCTTTGCGGCCCCGCACAGCAAGGATCCGAGGGCGAAAATCATCATGCTGACATATAAAACGTTCTAGTAATATGGCAAGATGTAAATCCACTCAGCCTACTCCAAGTTTGAAAAAGAACAAACCTTCCGTCCTACCAAATCGGATAGTCTTCCATACAGGGGTTGCCCGGCCGTCTGGGTCAGCATATATGCAACCCCGACCCAGGTATATTGACTCTGGGAGGCCCCGAGTTCGCTAACGATTGTCGGCAGAGAGGTTGATACAATAGTCTATATGCTGGCTTAATGCTTGGCACTCGAAGTTAAAAAGAGGATACGCACAGAATCTGTTGTGGCGAGAAACAGTGTCATCGCGGCCCTGAAATTCGATCACATACTGATAAGCTAACAGCCATTCGAGCAGCGTGAAAGATTACCCGATGTGTACGAAAAGCAGTCGGGACATCGAATGATTCGGGACTTTCTGGATCTCGTCACGAGAATCAAGAGAGGCACAATCGCTGGCGTGTGCTCTGTCCGATGACGCGGACGCATCATCCGAGCACGACGAGCATGAAGGAGGATGAGTAGGCATAGGATGAGCTGCATTGTCTAAAGACATTTGGAACTTGCAATAAGAGAGAGCACAGTAAGAAAGGCTGCTCGAGGTGTAACGTTCTCCTTGTCTTCGTTGCCATTTTATACATACAAGGACCCTTTGGCTAGGTGGTGGCTTCGATGAGATCTGGCATAACCAGACTTCGATAAAAGGACTTCTTTGACCTTGGGACTATCACCCTTTGACTTGCGGTCCGCAGACAGAGCGGTCAATATGCGCTGGCATTAGGCTTTACCAATGATGATATTAAAATTGACCGCATTGTGAAGTCTTTGTAGTAAGAGTCCAGCCCGCATAAAGAAGAGAAGGGGTCTTTGACAGCATGCATTACTGCAGTCAATAGGGTTGAATTTGGAAAAAGATGATGAACCCGGTGTGGGGGAGTCAGTTGGCAAGCACGCTCGAGCCGCCTCGTTGCGCATGCCTTGATGGCATCTATACTTCAGAACTCCCTTGCAAGAAGATCGCTGCGAGATCGCCGTGCGCTAGGTTAATTCTCTTCAGATTCGAAGAGACGAATCGAGAAGTTACCATTAAGTACTTACATTAACTTGAAAGCTCGATTAATGTTAAGTGTTGGCACCGCGGCACCTGCCTACTACAGCCACAAACACGTTTAGACAAAATTACCATTAGGTACAAAGTTACGGCCTCCATGCATTCTCAGGGCAAACACTAAGTTACTCTCTGTTAAGTTCACAGGGCTTGTTCCACGCAAACATCGTATGGTAGTTGCAGGGGAAATTATCCCATTAAAGTGTGTAGTTCACTATGCTTCTATGGATCTTCTCTAAGCCGTAGCCCTCCTCCTGTGCTCACCCTCCGCGTTCTCCGATAGCCCACTACTTTTTGCCATATCCCCAGCATTCAGTTCGTCTGCTGATTGAATTGAGAAGCGACAGGTGGTAGATAACGAAATGTCGTCAGGACGGACCAAAATATGGATAAATCAAGACCCAGTAAGCCCTCGTATCCTGTTCCATATCCGAGACACCCAGCCACCCACGGAAGCCGGTGACGGATGAGAAAATGAAGTCGTACCATTGTTATCACCCGTTAGACTGGTATCCTTCGCATCTCGTGTACTTGACTGAGCACCAGCTGAGGTGCCGGTAGGCGGAACTGGGTCATGTCTTGGACTGTTATGCCGACCCTCGACGTCGTCCGCATATTGCTGCAAAATCTCGCGTTGTCGTTTCGTTAAAGATCTATGGAAAAGTAGATTACGTAGGTGCTAATGAACATCAATTTCGCTCACCTTGGAAGTTGCACGGAGAAAGAAACATAAAGATCCCCTTTATCACCACCGAAAACTGACGGGACACCATGGCTTCTTAGCACCATCTCCTCGCCATGTTGAGTACCATTGGGAACACGAACGTCCACATTCCCATCGAGTGTCGGCACACGAACACGGCCGCCCAAGAGTGCAGTATGCAAAGGTATCCGCACTTCGTGGTGAAGGTTTGCACCTTGCCTACGGAAAACTTTGGAAGGAGCGACATTGACCCTGACAAGCAGGTCGCCGTGACTGCCCTTGCCTGATAATGGCGCATCGCCTGCATTCGGGATGCGGATAGTCATTCCGTCTTCCACCCCTGTACAATATATTAGTTACCGGAGCGAAATCGATGTCCAACTCCTGACCTGGTGGGATATCAACCTTGATTTTTTCCTTCGTTCGCACATGACCCTGGCCACCGCAATCTACACATTGACTTCCACGGGGAATGGTGGAACCAGAGCCAAGGCATGTTCCACAAGTACTTGCCATCTGGAATCCACTATCTATCACAAAAGTTTTTGTACCAGTGCCGTTGCATGACCCGCAAGGTGCACGCTTGGCTCCATGTCTCAAGCCTGTACCAGCACATGTTGAACATGTTGACAGAGCGTTGACATTTACACTTAAAGTGGTTCCTTTGCAGGCATCCAAAAACGAGACGTTGACGCGTGCCTCAATGTCTGCTCCTCTAGTACTTTGGCTGAACCCGGAGCGAGCTCGGCCCCCGAAGGCACCGCCAAACAACTGCGAGAATAGATCGCCTTGACCTGAACTTCCGCCAAATGCCTCGCTGAAATCTTTAAAACCACCATACCCGCTTGCACCTCCTGCAAATGGGTTTCGAGCAAAAGCATTAGGGTCAAAGCCTGGTTGTTGTGACGCAGCGCCATATTGGTCGTATGCAGCCTTCTTTTTCTCGTCTTTCAAAATCTTGCGTTACAATGTAAGACACCAGTACGTATAAATCAATGAAAAGGTAGTAAATGACGTACGTCGTATGCTTCTTGTATCTCCACAAACTTTTCCTGCGCTCCTTTATCAGGATTTGTATCTGGATGATATTTTCGGGCGAGCTGCAGAGAGTTTCGTGATTAGAGCATCAATTGAATAGTTCGGATGCGCACAGAAAAGTACGTTTTCTTGATTTCTGCTGGAGATGCATCTTTCTTGACACCTAAAACCTGATAAGGGTCCTTGGGAGGAGCAGGCAGCGATGCAGACGCATGAAAGGCGCGCTAAAAGATAACAGTCAGTATGACGTGATGACTATAGATCAGACCTTGTGGCAACATAGTGACGAACCCTCTGGTTTCGTGCACAGTGGCCATTGCGGCCAGCTCGGTAAGTTGAGAATGTCCGGGTATTCGGCCTACTTTGTTGTCCAGCACAACCGTAAAAAGAAATGAACGACGAAGCTCCAAGCGACCGCAAGTAAGGGATCATTTACAATTGTGCCTTTCGACCCAAATAGCAGCGAAGCAACACGAGTAAGTTGAAGAGAACACAATATTGTGTTTGCGCCCAATAGAAACGTGACGAATTTTGAATGTACGACTATTTGCCCTGCTGACTAAGATCACTCTGGATGAATGTCTTACTTCCGAACACCGTAGAACAATCGTAGAATCCATATTTGATTCTACTAGTATTATGACAGTCGGAATTTACGCGTCAAGTGAGAGATCGAGGGTCAGAATTTATGAGGCTAGCACGTTGAGGAGAAGCGCGCATACCGAATCAGTATGTGTACACGGGTAGCCTATTCCTGCTTAGAGCTAAAAAATAGCTTAGCAGTCCGATTCACGATTTATAGGTCCAACCTGTTGATCAAATTACAGAAGCACACGTAAATCGCTTGCAAGGAAGGTCATTTCTAACCGTGCTCGGATCCTCTATCAAATCTACCGTTCAAGCTTAGACCATCCAACAATCTGGGCTCCTCTGGACGTATTACCGTTGTTTAGTATCAGTATTCGACCGGAAACAAGGATACGGATGATACGGACCGTGGTTAGCCTGATGTTTTTGATCAAGCGAAATCGGGTAACGCGTCCGTTTGGGTTATTCGGGAGCGCCACCAACTTTTTCCATAGGACACCAAGATCTCATCGCCCTTTTGTATTAGATCTTTGGAACTCCAAATGCTCATCCGTAGTTCGCCTTGCGACGTACGGCGCTCCACAAAAAGAGCATTGGGTTTGCTTCGAATACCACGGTAATCGTTGACAAACCTAGCCTCATTGCCCATAACACTGGCATCCACACCTACATTATCTCCATCCGCTGACCGAAAAAGTGAAAGATCGTAGTCGGAGCTAGCTCTATCCTGGCAATGGACTTCTCCAATATAGTCAATGATATGTGACCCAGGAGGTATCTTTCGAACAGCAAAAAGGCCGTGCTGTCCTCGTGCAGGGTGAGAAGGTTCTGTGATGCACCTCACGCGAACTAGAGATGTCGAAGGAAATTTAATCGGTGTTTGCTGGGGGGCGGGATTAGTGCCACTGATCAGAAGAGAACGCACGGGGCCTGGCACAGAAGAATGATAACGCGGGGCGTTGATGTACTGGATATGAGAGGGCCATGATGGAGGCTGACGCCGAGAGCTGGAAGACATGATATTTTGTTGATGAGGAGTGTCGAATATTTAAGTACTTCAAGCTTCACTGAGGTCTTGTGTCCACTATCAGATCTTAGGCAGAGGGAATAAAGTCATATTCCTTATGGGTCAGCGTCTAAGGAAAACAACACCGTGGGTAAACACGAAAGACTCGCGCCAAACACTGGTGCCAGCCCTCACAAGGGCTTTCAATCATCCATTGGACTGCTGATTCTATTCTCATTCCATGGTGCGACCTCCAACAAAATCTGTGGCACGCATCTATCGCGATGTCAATGCTACCTTTGGTCCTGCATGGCATGAATACGGTCAAAGACCTCAAATCACTTGGCCTTTGTAATGTACTGACGATTTCTGCTCAGACAACCTTCAAGTGCAGTGGGGAACACAAGATCATTACGAGATAGTGCGCAAAGTTGGCAGAGGGAAATATTCAGAAGTAAGATGGTCGTCCTTAGATCGATATAGAAAGTTTGATCACTCCATACAGGTTTTTGAAGGTGTCAATGTAGTTAATGATGAGAAGTGCATCATCAAAGTGCTCAAGCCTGTGAAAAAGAAGAAAATTAAGAGAGAGATCAAGATCCTGCAAAACCTTGCAGGTGGTCCGAACGTCGTGGCCCTCCTCGATGTCGTCCGAGATCCCGCGTCGAAGATCCCCAGCCTAATAACGGAATACGTTGACAACGTCGACTTCAAGGTTTTATATCCTCGTTTCACTGATTACGATGTCCGCTTTTATATGTTCGAGCTTCTCAAGGTATGTGTAAACTGATTTCGAGTAAAATTTTCTACCATAGTCTTTTAGGCATTGGACTTCTGCCACTCAAGAGGAATAATGCATAGAGATGTCAAACCTCATAATGTCATGATTGATCATGAACAGCGCAAAGTATGCATCCTTATCAACCCGCGTAATGGACTGAGCTGGACTTCATAGTGCAGTTGCGGCTGATAGACTGGGGCTTGGCTGAATTCTACCACCCGAAGGTTGAATACAACGTCCGTGTGGCTTCGCGTTACTTTAAAGGACCGGAGCTGTTGGTGGACTTTCAAGAATACGACTACAGCTTGGATATGTGGAGTTATGGTTGTATGTTTGCATCTATGGTATGATTTCTTAGTTTTCCATGGATCATGATTCGACTTGACGCAATCTGCTACAAGATTTTCCGCAAAGAACCGTTTTTTCATGGTCACGACAACTACGACCAGCTGGTCAAAATAGCGAAAGTCCTTGGCACGGACGAGCTCTATACATATATCGACAAGTATGGCATACGGCTGGATCCCCAGTATGATGAACTCCTTGGAAGGTGAGCCTTTCAAATGCGACCGCTGATCATCCAGTAACTCGCTATTAGGTACCCTCGGAAGCCTTGGACTCGGTTCATCACATCCGAAAACCAGCGTTATATATCAAATGAAGCGATCGATTTCTTAGATAAGCTATTGCGATATGATCACCAAGAGAGATTGACTGCTCGTGAAGCCCAAGCACACCCCTACTTCGGTTTGTGAAACTCTTTCTCGGCCACTTGTCAATATTTACCTACCTCACTTACAGAACCCGTCCGCAACCCCGTATCTGGCACTTCTGCTGACGGTGAAAGCGAGGACTCGGGAACATCATCGGCCTGATCTATATCTCACTTCTTTTCATCTCTGACTGCGAAAGTTTTGTACTACTTCCTTTGCATATGATCCTGCCAAAACAACCTTTCCAACCCGATAAGCGTGTCCTCTGGTGCAAAGAAACTGTGTGTCTTCAAGAAATATAGCTTTGCTGAACTCAAACCATTACCAACATTATCGATGCCATGTCTTGACATGTGACAGGTTCGCTTTGCTTTCTCGATCACTCGTGAGTGCGGCAATCGGTCCTTTTCAGGCGCCTCATAGTACCCATCACCCCTTAGTTCCATGATCGACGGTCGCGGCTTTGACGGCATCTGTTCCATTTTATCAGTATATCTTATACTTAAGCTTCATCTGTCACAGGCGACATTAGACGACGTTCTGCCATGGAACCACACGTGCGTAGCGGAACAAGGGTCAGTCATCGGAAATGGAGATCTATGAGTGAGCCAGACAGGTCCGCACTCCGATGTACGTCAAAAAAAAACAAATGTAGTTTTAATCTCAAGAATCACTTTAGGTCGAGATTTACATCGGTATGCCAGCTTCCAGTACAGCCGCGGGATCGGTGACCGTCGCTAATCTGAGTGGCGCTATTGCCGTGCATATGTTTCAAAGCTTCCTATTATTTGGTGGTGTGATGATGCATCTCAAGCATAAGGTGAAGTCGATCCAGACTTCGTCTGGTGCCCCTCTGGCCAAGTTCAAGTAATGACCGTATTCACTTGGCGCATGAGGACACTACCGCCACTGGGTTCACATAATTTCCTATGCTCTGGACCTGACCGGATAAAGTTACCTCTCGGTATCTTATGAGGGTATCTATGTGATATCAGAAGCATCTCTCCAAATACTGACTGCTTGTTAAGGTTGAGCATTGGACAAATTCTGCCCCTAGCAGTGCAAGCCCCCTAGCGGTGCAAGCAATAATGGTAAAGCGAAGTAAATTTAACGCTTGCTACAGTAATGGTATTTGACACGATTGATCTGCAACCCTTTCACTTCAGGGGAGAGTACTGCGCCAATCAGCAATTAATCTTTCGTGCAGTACCCGTTTCCAGCACTACTGCCACCGTGTTCGGTAACCTACAGCGTATTGGCTGCTTGACAAAGCTAGCGTACGCCAAGGACGATCAGCGAGAACGCAGGATGCGCTATACTTACGAGGCCAGGGATGTATGATAGTCCTCTAGCAGTCATCTCTGCACTGCCGTACGGACGGAGGATAAGAATTCAGAAGGCAGGCACGCCCACTGCACGTGTAAAACTTTGTGCAATGCTTCTTGCACTGCAGAGGGTCCTTCGGCACCTGGGCTAATGATGTCCCATGCACAACGTTAACGACTCTCGCAGCTCCGTATGATCACGATCGGGCACGTTGTTCGTCATGCGGTGTGTAAGGTTCGTTTGCCGTGCCTTGGATATATTGTAAATGTTTAACTCGTTATGATATTCTCTTAAGTTGGGGCACAAACCAATATTAAATGCACGGGAAGAAATGTTAATGAGTGTAAGTCGACTATGGGCGCTATCAATACGTTTTCCAAAGTCATCTATGATAGGGTCCGATGTTGCCCGTGATTAAGAAGGGACAATCTATCTTCCTTCCTTCTAATTAGTTCTAGCTGTGAAAGACTATGTACTGCCAACGGGCAGACATCGTCACTTGATAAGTATTTAAAATTTCAGGGTGAGGCATTTCATTCTTCGGGACGCCGTATTCATATAAGTAACATTTGAGAATTTGAAACACAGTATATACATCTAGCATGCCAGAAGGGCAAGTATACCCCAGCTTACTCAACTGTAATGGAAGTAGATAAATGTTTTGTGACATGACCATTCGAGAAGTGAATCTGTTACGGTTATGAAACCAGATATTTCACGAGGATCGCCATTATCACATGTGGGACCAAAAGAACCAACAGCTCACGCCCTAGCCAGACTGAGCAACAGCCCGTACTATTTTGCAACGTTCGCAAAAACCGTAATCCGAAGACCATGATGGGAAGAATAGTTCCTTTCCTGGCATTCTGGTGTGAACCATGTCGTGCTCCTGCCTGGTGCCCATGTTACTGGATGCGCATAGTAACAGAATATTGTGCAGGGTCATAACCACGATTCTTAGGCCGTTGGGTGGAAGTAGGGCGATTACGAGGAGTCCGATGGAAAGCTTCTGCTCGTGAGTTCACGGCAGGTGTAACGGGGACACCGGAAAGTAGAGGACCCTGTGAGTCATTTCTCATACCGATTCTGTCCTGCAAAGAGGATCCAGAAGAGGTTGTGGCTTGACTGACGACACTTGACGTCGGTGCTCTGGGTGTTTTATTTTTCTCTTTTTCCTTCGGTTCCTTGGGAGGAGGCGGTGGACCTGGATCGTAATAAGGGTTGTGGGGAATCCACTGAGAACTGCCGAGGTGATCTAGCACCAAGCCATTCACAACACTGAAGGAGTAGTAATATGGGTCTGTATTGGGCATATCTCGAGCCAATGCAATCAGCCGAGTATAGATAGCATACCCAGCATGCGCATCGTTGGCTGCATCTGCATATTTAAGGGAAGATTTGAGAAAGCACGACATTTGACCACGTTAGCACTCACATTCTTGCTGGACCAAAGAAAGACGGAGCTCCCAATTGCTGCGTTGCACCTTCCCCTTCGCCAAAGAGAAACCCACGTAGGTCTCAAGAAGGCGAGATAATCCAAGTGGGCTGGTGTACTTTCCCTTCCATCGGGCATTATCGACCGAACGGGCAAGAAGGGCTAGCTCTACGCAGTTGTGTGTTGAAACGCCCCAATCCTCATATAACTTCTTGCAATCCCCTGAATACATAATTATAAGATAAGCTGTGGGTTTCCGGACCTTCCATTTGACGCACGTTGGATGCTAACGCCAGTCTTGACTCGCAATGGATCCAAAAGCACTTCCCTCAGTTTCAACGGAAATTCTACGAGTAGAGATATTCTGAATTAAGTTATGGAAGCTCACTGTTCTTTGAAGTCTTGCTCATACCTGACATAGCGCTTATTTGTAGGAGCAATATGGTGTCGAAACCAGCGAGCTGAACAAGTGCTACGGGGTTCTCTCTCCCACCCTTCCTGTAGTTGGGGCGCCATTCTAGGTCAAAACCAAGAGGTCCTATGGCCAAACGAGATAATTCGAAGTCTGCTTCCAGGTGATTTGTGATGTATCGAATGCGTGTGTGAGCAGGGCTTTGGTCTCGCCAAAAGTAGCGCGGTAGCTCTGGGCGTGAGACTGCGGGTTTGACAAAGCCTTCTGCAGTGCCAGACATTATAGTTTATGATATATTGTGAGGTGCTGCAGGGATGAAGTTCGGTGTACGAAAACGCTTTCTTTGACTCGGATAAAACCTTGCGAACATGGACGCTACCCTATACTATATTTGGCCTCAGAATTTGCAATTGTTCCGGATAATACAACTACACAATATTAAAGAAGTAGGATTTAGTACAGACTACTGCCATGTACAACAAATATTGAAATCTGTCAAGGCTACGTTGCCAGAGAAAAGCCAGTGTAACACCAGGCTCCTACCGAGGGCATCGGTAGAATATCGAGTCATCACGTGGTACAAGAAATTTTCAAACCCAGCACAACTTTATCGAGATATTTGAGTTAGACACGGGGTAACACGTCGTCTGCAACGACACCTGCAATCATGCGACCCATTAGCTTAGTGTAAATAAAATTAAACCCCATTAATAGGTTTAAACAAGTTGAATCAACAGTCATGCATTGGCTCAGGTAGGCTTGGCTTAGGGATTAGCATGGGTATATGAAACCCACATAGGTTGTGGGTGTGGGTATGTTGTGGGTGTGGGTTTAGTAAGCAGATATATATTTTACCAACTCCAAAGCTCCAAAGACATACAAATAGTATTGCAAACTCTAACTCTAAACTCTAAATCACGAACACATCCTACTGTCATGCAGCCAAACCCCTTCCATTCTGCCGCTAAACAGATTACCAAACTAACTGGGAAAGCCAAGGCTGCACTTGATGAGAAGCTCGAGGCCAAATCAAAAAAGAGAAAGAATGATGACAGTGCCAGTGTGGACAGCACACGGCCAAAGAAGGTAAAAGCAACCTACTCGTTTCGAATGATTTCTAACATTGATCACAGCTACTTCAGTGGATGTTGAACGGCTCTTCAGCCGTGGCCGCCTCGTCCTGTCGCATGTCCATTCTCGCTTAAATGTGCAGTCCACTCGCGCCCTCTTGTGCTTGAGTTACTGGAGCCAGCTGGGTCTAGTGAAGAACGAAGACATTTTAGCTGTTAGCAACCTCACGGATGTTGTAGGTGACGAGGAGCTGGAACTTGAGGAAGGATGGGACCAAATACAGTTAGGGTAGCTACAATTGCTGTTTTCGTAGTACTAATTCAATGACACCCCCAGGTATACCCTCCATGGGTACGGATATGGGTGTCTATCTTTGGTATCCACGTGAAAACCCACACCCCTGGTATGGGTGTAGGTATATTGGTGGGTGTGGGTGCAGGTGTCAATGCATATACCCCGGGGTATACCCATGCTAATCCCTAGCTACAGTACAAATCCATGTCAAAAATGATTGCAGACAGCCTAATGAAGGCACTGCCTTGCCCCGCAGGAATACAGCATCGAGAGGAGATGGGCTTGTGCTGCCAGAGTATGCTGGGTACTCTGACGAGTGGAAGTGTTGAGAGTTGATCCGTCAGAGCACCCAAGCTAGTATCAGTCTAATATCACATCTGTCATTGCACGTCACTTACCTAGTTATGATTATTTTCCTTTCCCCTCACTTCCCTCGATATTTAAGGCTGATAGATGCCTTCAGCACACCTCAGTCTCTTTCACCATAGACTGAGGTGTGTATGTTCTCATTATTCCTATTACTACCATACTCATTAGCATGTTCTTAGGCTTGCACTATCTTAGGTTTGTACATAGGAATATTTAGTCTCTTTCACCATAGACTAAGGCTTGCACTATCTTAGCTCTCACCTTTGACAAGCCCTAGATCATGCTTTTACAGAAGTTCATAACTATTTTGCCAAAAAAAACAAAAATTAAGCCCTACTACTATCACCTATTGTACTAGTGTTTTATTTTTATCAAGTTTAGGAGGCACAGCTCAAGCTCTACAGAAATGAAAGAACCTCTTTAGATTTGTGGATCTTCCAGTCACTCCAGAGCAAGCAATACATACCAATTTCAAATTGTTTTAGTGAGTTCTCATGATACAAATCATTGACTGTTTCTAAGTATGCAAATATTAAAACTAGATTCATTGTTCATGCCAAATACCATTTTTAGTTGTAGAGAACTCACATCAAGCTCTATAACATTATGTACTCTCATATTCAATTAAAATAGTGAAGTTGCACATGTTCAAATTGAGGACATTGTGTGTCTCAAGGAATGCAAAAGCCTTACATACTTGCTTAATAGGTGGGAGAATAAAATCAGACAAAACTTATATGGTTCTTTGGCTACTAAAGTCAAAAAACCTCTAGATGTCCTGAATCTTGAGGATATGACTGGATACTGAGGTTCTGTAAATAAACTTCTCAAAGTCTCAGTGAGAGCTTTAGAGAGAATGGAGATTGTAAATAAACATAACATAATTGCTGCAATAACTGAAAATCCCATGGTGATATAAGCATTCTGAAGAAGTTTCAAAAGAAATTTTACTAGGTTTTTATAAGATCTGTCACTCATTTAGTCCATGCTTTGTCTATCATGCTTCTATGTGTGTTATGCTGATGTTTGCTAGTTTTCTCTGAGCTTTTATCTGGTGCTTCTTCTTATACTCCTTGTTTTTCTTTTCTGCAGCTTAACATATCATATCCAAAATATGGTCTGGTAGTTTGGGTACATTATTTAAGATTTGTGACCATGTTAGCTTTTTGATATTTGTCCTGAATGTATTTCCAGGAACTAGATTGAGCAGTTCTGCCTTTATCAAATTACTAATAAATTCGGTGTTATTGTGATTGTTAAGAACTGGAAAGGTTCTCTTATATAGACAGATCCAAAAGGGCTTGGCTTCAGCTCGTACACTGTGCTCCTTTCCCGAGTATGGGCCCTAGATTTTGGAATGGAATATCCAATGGAAATCCAGACACCAGGTACAGTCCAGTTCTTGGAAGATGTGTCTGATGGAAATTGAACAGAGTGTGTCTATGCTAATTAGCCTACTACTATGCAAACATTATTCAGAGTAGGTACGGACTGGAAGGGAGAACTACTCGGATGGAGTCCGATGTGGGGTACAACAAGGGGGATGGCTCAGACAATGTCCAAAGTGAAAGTGGGGATGAGGTAGACTACTTGGATGATGTCTGAAGTAGAAAGGAAAAGAGTAAGGCTATCCGGATGATGTCTGAGATAGAAGGAAGATGGTGCGGGGACTAAGTACAGAGTATCTGGAAATAGGGGTAGGAGTGGAGATGGATTAGTCCTTTGGAGACGGAACTCCTAAGGAACTTAGATTTGTGACAAGAGAGTCTATGAAGAAGGGAAACTTAGATGTTGAGTAGCAATTGATAATCTAACTAAAGTACTACAAGTATTTTACAGGTTTATAAGTACTTCAGAAAGTGCTGTACTACTGGTAAGCAGAGTGTAGAACTATGTTCTGGTAGTAGTAAAACATTAGTACAGATGTCACAGAACTTGGGAAATGAGGACAAAGTACAAGTACTAGTGTATAGGGGTTGGACAGCATTCTCAGACAGATATACATAGGTAAACGGAATAAGTGAGACAGAGATATTAGAAATATCGCACATAGCTGATACAAGTTTTAAGTACATATGCAAAGTGGATCTGGAGGTTCAGAAACTAATAGATGAGAGTCAGATGATGGATTTGAACAGGTCCAGAGGTAACAGATAAGGGCGGAAAAGTGTTCCAGACCAGGTTCAGAATACAGTATATGACATTGATGCTCTATGGCACTACAGCAAAAATGTTTTCAAAAACAAAAATCTTTATCTATCATGTCTCTAGCTCCCTTACTCTAGGCCAGATCTTTGTCTTGCTGACCTCCATCAATGACAAGTAATATTTTACATCTCTATTCCAAGTTATGAAGTTTCATATTAGCCTTTTTCTACTTGTGACTTCTGATTCCCTATAAGACTGTCACATGATGGCCTTTAATAATACATAAGTAACTAAACCTTTTACATTAATTCATAATAAATACCAATTATCATAAATAAAATCATCACATTCTCTAATAGCATATTTTTCAGGATCAGATATGAAAATTGAATCATATTGAGGTGCTTGAATGGATCCGAGTGTCCTCACTGATGCTTGGAGTCATCTGCCTGATCCTTTTCAGGAGCAGGAGAGATTCAATCGTTTCCATAAGATATACAACAAAGCTGGAATCCAAATCCAAAGATTTATCTTTCCCCTTTGATTTTTCTACTTTAACAAAATCTATTATACCAAAACTCATATCTGTATCTATATTATGTGCCCTATAGGTTGAAGATTTAGTATCATAGAGCTAAAAATAATTAGAATATAAATTTAAGCATGATAAATGTTAGATACTTACAGAATACTGTGGAGGAGTTGTTATACCTAGGCCTGAAGCTGTGACAGTGGATGTAAATAGCTAACTAAGCTGCTGAAAGAAATCTTGAATTACTAAAGACCATATCAGTAGGAACTTTGAGTTAGAAAATTATTATACATATATGCAAGTAGCCCTTTATCTAAAAAGACAAACTAAGCTAGTACCAGTGCATACATTCTCAGTTGTGCCTCATTGCATCTATAAGCTATGATGACCCAAAATATTATACCTACTAGTATTATTACTAAGATATAGCCAATAATTATGACTGGTCTTAGAATATTAAGTAGAGGCAAGACTGAATTAATCTAGGTTATAATAGTCCACTTTACATCAGAGTTAATTTACCACACTTACCTAAATACAAATCAATCATGTAATAGTAGGAAAGTTTTAGTTGACATTGACAGAGGAAGAGAAACATTGACATACTAAAGACTGTATCCGAATGTGGTAGCACTGTCGATGTTGCGGTCGAACCACAGGCAGTGATTGAGGGAGAAGATAAATAGGAGCCACTTGATATGTTCAACAGCTGGCCCATGATTTGGGGAGGGGTTGAAGTAGTACTTGATATGTCTTCTACTGAGCAATAAGATAAGTGTCGAATTGTCCTCCGGGTAATGAATCAATTGCAACTGTGACACAGCTGTTTCAAACTATTGGAGTAGATTATATCAATACAATGTAAATCACATAAGGATGCCCCAATTCAAGCAGGACATCTGCAACCAATGATTGGATTCATTGGAATCAGAATCACGCAATGGATGGAATTGGTCATGGCAAGGGGTGAAACAGTCCCCTTGCCATGATGAAGCTGCCAACTGGTTTGCCTACTTTGGTCCAATTTTAGGTAAAATCCAATTAAGGAAACATTATTAAGTCGTGTCCCTGGTAGTACTAACTACTAGCCATACGGTACTTGAAAGCTTGATCATCATTGTTGTTGTTATTAAACATATTCTTGACTACCATCATTTATGTACGATGGAACAAGTGAATTTTTTCAAAGCTCCTGTTGAACTCATCATGAGTCAATCAACGAAGATTCCTGTAAATTACTTACTTGATATTAGCTGGGCACTCAACCATCCACGAGTCTACCAGGGCCACTGACCATGTGTGATTCGGCGATCATATGTATACTATTTAAATCACACCATGATACTAACGAATTCTAGACAATCTGGAATGTTGCATCAACGACAGCCCAAGATTGGCTCTAGAACTTTTGTTCGCTGTTGCCACCCAACCCTATCCAGACTACTATGGAGAAAAGATGTTGGTTAATGCTGATGGCACTCCAGAAGGAGCATGAACTTCAAGATTGCTTCAGGAACAACACTAGTATCATAAAATGACCATGAGCTAGGTAGAATGACCATGGACTATGTAGAGTGACCATGACCATGACATTGGAGAACTAAATACAAGATGAAAATGAATCTCGGACTGGGTGCTTACAAGTACACAGAATAAGCAGGAACATAGTGGTGCATAAGACAGATCTAGAGTACCAAGAGATAGGAGAAAAGCTGCAGAAGACATAAGACAGACCCAGAATAGATTCAGTGGATAACAGAAAGGGACAGATTAGATTCTAAAATGAAGGTGGGATAGAGTTAGATAGGACAGAAATGGAATACCAGATTGAATCTGACATGCAGTATATGACAAAATCCAGAGGGTTCAGATAGGAGATATATCATATAACAGTTCTTTAATCAATCCAAATGACACTTCCCTATCTGCTGACTAAAAAGAGTTATATAACTACACCTCTTTGAGTGGAAAAACTTGGTGTGCTTTGTATATATCACTTCTTAGCTCTTTTCTCAGAAGGTATCAGTCAGAGACAAGTTATCACTCTTCCAGCCAAAGCTTACAAGTGTGAGTCTAACCTGAACACAATCTCTAAATTCTCACAGTCATAGAGCGATGGTGAAACTATCCACAGATGAGATGGTTCCACTAAACTCTAGTAGTATGGGCACTTTCTTTGAGCACTTATTGGTTGTTTCAACTGGAGACCACCCTACAAGTCTTTACTGGTAATTGGCTATAGCCCTTTTTCTCAATCATGAGGACTCACCATGGAAGGATGTAGACCTCAATGACCTTGCAGAAACTGTTAAGGACTGTATGACAAATTACTATGTATTTTACTTCAATTTAATGTTGTATTATTGAAAGCTTAAAATTATGTATAGTGGACTACACAAGGCATTCATAAAGCACTGTGATTCAATGTCACAAATTGGTCAGGGATTAATTGATGCTGATCATAAGGATGAGATAACCTTTGGCAGCAAGATTTTTAATGCATGGGATATGATTCAACAAGTGTCTGTGATGTGAGCTCACACCTTTTTCTTATACAGACCAAGTCAAAAATAAGTTTCTATGGTACAAACAGATGAATGCCTTGTATTGCGAGAGTCCTGCTGTGGATCACTCTGCCATGTCTAACAGTGTGTCTCAGCTTGATCTAACTATCCTCAACTGCTCTCAGATGTGTAGTATTATGTTATTCCTTCGAGTATACTTTAGATAATTTCACGATGTTTTGACAGACCATAGATGGTGATGATGAGATACTGATTGAGTGGCCTCACTCACCATCTCCCGAGTATACCTAAGGATGATGACAAATCAAGCACTGTCTTCACTCCTCTCTCGTCACCCTCCAACGAGCCTATGACACCTGCTCCACATGTTAAGTCTGAGTCATCTTCTGTCCGTTGTGCAAGTGACCAGAAGCGAAAGTCAATGCACAGCCATATTGAGGACTTTACCACCTCCCTTGGTGAGTGAAGGATGAAAGTTGCTCAAGTGCAGGAGCGAGAGCATACTCTGTGGATTCAAGTAGAGCAAGATCAAAAAAAGGCTGAGTTTGATTCTCGCCTCCAGTTTAAGGCTGCCAAAGCTGAACGACAATGTACACATGAGCTTGCTGTTGTTACAAGAACATCTAGACGCTTGGACCCCTACCATTTTTCTCCTTATCCTCCTCATCTCAGCCCTTGCATCATACCCTCACCCCGACCTTGCTCTTGTTATCCTCGCCATCCTCAGATTCCCCTTCGCTCTCTACCTGTTGCTCCAGCAGAGCCAGTACATCTGGCTAAACCATTTCTTGGATGAAGCATACCCATACTCCATTTTACCCTGATGACTGATCCTGTGGACAGTCCCCTTAACCCTTACCGTCTGGACAGGTACCCTATGATACAATGCACATTGCATCCCCCTTGCCCTGTTTCTCTTTCTCGTTCTATGACTCAGTGCACAGTCGCACGTTGTACTTATACTTAGATCCACAGTTGCACGATTGTGCCCCTGCCTGTTTCACTTCCTGTTTTTGTTCTGTGACTCACTTCTTATCTGCACATTCCTGGTTCACCTATGACTCACCTCAAACATGCCTTCCTTTTATAGTCTTATCCTTTGACTGTTTCTTCTTCCAGTAGTACAAGTTATCATCCACTAATACGCTTCCTCTCCTCTATATAAACTTGCTACCATGTAACTAGATCCTTAACTTGAATCTACTTGGTTCTTGACCTCCTACTCCTAACAAGAGTGATTCCTTCAGCCTAGCCAGCTGTCTATCTTCTACTCTCTTATCTGCTTATTGCGAATAAGTCTTTAGTCTCGATTTTTACTCATTGACTCTGTTGACGAGCAAAGCCCCTGTTACTAGTCGGACTTCTGTCCTTCTATTAACGCAGATCTTATGATTAACCTTTGGGTGTCATAAGCCTTGGCAGATACACTTATTGTCAAGTGGAGCTTGACATAAGCTACCCGATTTGGACATAGGCATTAAACCTTGCTTGCCGAAGCCTCGCCAAGCAAGACTCCTAACTTTGGGCTAGCCCAGAGACATCCTCGACCATTAACAACATACACTCTGTTTGAGCATCGCCAACAGACACTATCCAAGTCCGTAACAGCCATGCTTGAATAGCAAATTGAACTCAAGCATCTATGAGCTCAATCTAACATTGCTGGTCCCTCACATCAGAGTGGCCCTTCTCATTCTGGACCATCTATTCCATGGGCTATTGATCTATCTCTTAACTAGCTTATCTTCTACTCACATCTCTACCATCCTTTCCTTTTGAGTTCCACTCCTTTCTAAGTATCCAGCCATTTAAGTAATTCCTCTTTCAGAATCACCCATTTAATCTTTGCTTCCAACAGCAGAACTTCACTACTTTCATTCCATACCCTTTCAATATTAGCTGTCATCTCCCTTTGCTTTTATTGCCACTCTCATTCTAATTCTCATTGATCCTTGATGTATTTGACTCCGCTTCTGAAAATTTGATCATTTGTGATATTGCCCTTATCCTTGTGTTGAATTGCAAAGTTGTACAAGTGAATGCAGGCAGTGATCTAGAGTTCAGCATACTGAATCCCCTTTTGACCATCAATATGAACCTGCAAGCCTTTCAACAATGGCCATCAACCTTTGAGAAATCCAACATAATGCTCCAAACATATGCAGACCTTTAAAATATGATAGTTGAATGTGGTGTTCTGTGGTGTGTCTTTCTCAGGCCTAATAATCAACATAATATGTCCTTAACTCTCAAGTACAGAGTCATGTTACTCACTTCTTATATGGTGACTGGCACCGTGTTTGCAGAGGATAAGCTGAATCAGCCCAAACCTATTCACCTTGATTGAGAAGCACATGATGTTCCTGAGGCAAGTATGTCTGCTTCCAAGCTATTGCATCATGCTGACTACCAGGAGACCAACTCCATAGTCAATGATTGATATGTCAAGTGTAGATATAAGCTAATAGGACAATGTCAAATAAACTTCTCAAAGAATAAGAGAACATACTTGAACGTTCATTGAGTAATTAGATTTGCGGTCAAAGAAAACATTACCAAAGAATCCAGGCTGATGTTGTAAAGAGTAAATCTCTACTGGGCTCAGCAGAAATGGTACTACCTAGACAACAATATTTAGGTAGATCTTTTGCACAACCTAGTCTGCTATACTTGCAGAGCAAGTGTGTTCGATCCTAAAGGGATTGCTATATGGTATTAGTAGTATAAATGCATCAGTAATGCAAATAACAAATGTCCGAAGCTATGAAATGATGTCCAATGGTAATCCGATGTTGTCTGAGGGTACTTATCTGATGTCTGAAGCCAAAGTGTGATGTCTGAGATTTCGTACTTTTGGACTTCATGATAATAGGTCAGGAAACTGTATAACAAGTGTTGGATTGCGAGTGGTATGCATGAGTATAATGAGTGACAGAGTATGATAGTGAGTGAACAGTAATATTTTACAATGCAACTAAGAACTACAAAAATATTCTGGGTTATCCGCAGAGTCAGGAAATGGCTCCTAACTACTGGATGATAATTACTATGGGTCACCACAGAGTATTTAAGTAAGTACATAGAAATCCAGAATACTATAGATAGGCAAAGATAGTAGTGATATTTCGGATCTGAGAATCTAGGTAATAAACACAAGGTGCTGCAGACATGTAATAATGTGGTCCGAATGTCAGAAAATGTGCATGAAAGTAACTACACACCTAGAGGGGCTAGTGCAGAAGGACAGGACATGGGATGGACAAGTGCAAGTGAAGTGCGATCGGCCGATGCGATGTCCGAAGGTCCAATGTGCCAGATCTGATGCGGAGTGGCTCACATATGTGCGCATATGTTTCCAGTATTGACATGAGTATGAAAAACTGTAGTTCTGAGCCCAGCACCACAACCATCATTACATTGTACATGCAAGTCAAGGGCCCACACAGGATCAAGCTGGTTTGTGATTCATGGTGCCTATGAAGGCTTGCTAAGACTTGCGGGAGGTATACTGTGCATATGCTGAGACACTGGAGTAGGATTGTCAGACAGCTGAGAAGGGACAAGAGCAAGTGACTTGGATGGGGTAGGGCCAGGAACAGATTTCAAAAGCTTGTGGATTGAAGAAAGGCCTGGAGGTGGAATTAATGGTACTTCAAGACCTTGTTCAGCGAGCAAGACCTGGAGAGCTTGTCGGAGCTCCTCATATCCAAAACCCTTGTTGTCAACAGGGAGCTCATAGTCAGTCCAAGGATATTCAGGCTTGGGTTGCTCTTCCTCATCTGTGGGCTCACAGTTATTGCTCTTCGCCTGGTGGAAGGTACATCCACCTAAAATTTCCACACAGTGCTTGAGACACATCCCACAGATGCAGCACAAAGCATGAGGTTTGCAATAGAATGAACCAAGACATGCTGAACCTTTCTTGCACAACTTCTTTTTGTTCAAAGCAGGTGGCCATGTCAACAAGCCAGGATCCACAAGGAGAGCAGAGGATGAGGGGGTTGGTGACTGGCTGGATGAGGGAATGGTTGCAAGGACATCAGGAAATTTTAGGGGCTCAGGGAAGAACTTAAAAATCAACAGTGCATGTGCTTGAAATGAAATTAGTTCAAGGCAGAGATGAAGCAGTGACTGGCACTTACCAGAGCCATAGGTTTGCCTGCATTTCCATTCTGGTCACTCTGGCATATTGTGAGTGCTACAGCACTACCACAATTTGTGCAATCAACAACTAGGCCAATGGCTGTCATGCGCAATATCATGCCAGGGATGTGAGGCAGTAGGCAGATGAGGACAATGAAGTGCCTGACATGGTGTCCATAGCTTGTGAAGAGCCAGCAGGCAACAAGAGAACTGATGGTAGGTGATAACAACAATGACAGGCAGTAACAGAGATAACAGACTCGATGGCAGGTAATAACAGAGATGGCGGGCACAATAGCAGGATAGGGTGATGAGCGGATGATATAAGATGGCAGGCAGACAGACCTTGGGTGCTGACTGAAAAACTCTTACAAGACTCTGTGGAAACTCCTGACACAGATGTCTGCATCAACTCCACCAGACCTCACACAGGCTGGCCAATTCCCAGACTTTCTGCTAGCATTATTCTCTTCAATATCCTACTATCACTTGCATTGCAAAGGATTACCTTGCTATTCAGGGCTTTGCCATTGCCTTGGAATGAGCTTTTTTGAGTGGGGGCATCACTGGGACTTCACACCATTGTAGAGACTTGCATCTCCACAGACACTTCCCTCTGAATTCTCCCACTTTCCCTACAAACTCCAGCTCTAATCCACAGGATACATCTAGCGCATTAGCACACTGGTTTTATTTCACAGATTTCACATGCGGCCTCTCATGTTTGCGTGCTTTGTGCATCCACACTCGCATTGTCCACATACCCATCTGTCCATCCATCCCACATCCTTAGAAGTTCATTGGTGCATTTTTCCCATCATATTTTCATTTTGCTTAATTGTTTTCCATCACTAATACTCAGCTCTGTGCTTTGCATGTAACTGAGGCCCTGTTACATACTTCACGTACTATTTATAGCCTGTTCAGGCTCGTCACTTTGGACCTGCGCGCCTAGCGGCACTTAGCTATTTTACTTATACCCCTCTATTACTTATGTTCTGGGTTGATTTTCCACCCACTTTCTCTGTGTCCTTAGATACAAGGGAATTTTACTTGTTGATTGCAGTGACTATCTAAGTCTCTCGTATTTGTTGTCAGTCCTTCGCCTTAGCATCAGCCAACCTTAGTTGGGGTGTTAACAGTAGTCTCGCTTTGTCTCTCCTTCATCTCTCTTGCTCATTTGTATTTTGCCTTCGCTTGCACGCACTACCTTTGCATCGTGCATCTCACCCTTCATCTTTCGCACTCGCGCATCCACATATCATTCATTGCATCACTCTCACCTTGTGCTTCACACTTTCCTTAGTCCTATTACCCTATTATTAGTTTGGTGTCCCTCTTTTTATAAGAGAGTGTTGAGTACAACTTCGTCATCTTTGTCATTACCTCATCACTACTCATCATCGCCCATAGAACTTTTCCTTTTTCATATGACATTCCAGACTCTATACTATATCATATATAATATGTCGTGTTCTGTCATTCATACCTCAGCAGTTCTTATCACAACACTGAGGTATGTATCTTATTGTCTGCACGCTGTTCGTTTCTCACCATGTCTTCGTCCATAGACTTGTCATTTAGATTCCATCTCCACAGGTTATGAGCCCCGGCTTTTAGCTAAGCCATCAAACGGAATCTCAACGACAAACTCCACTCACGTCAACTCGCTGCTCGCACATTTCATCACATCACGTTCTTCCCCCCACAGCAGTATCGCCATGGGCAAGTACGATCATATCCCTGAGTTATTAGGATCAGAAAATTATGTCAGCTGGTCAATCAAAATGCAATACGCACTGGCATGTGAGGATCTTTGGTGCCATGTCAACACAACTCCTGACCCTACTGATATTCTCGCAACACTCTCTGTCATACCTGTTGCAGTTGATCTGAATAACATCACACCCGCCGAGCTGACTGCAATGCGCAAATGGTTACTGAATGATGTCAAAGCAAAAGACCTCATTACTCGTCGCCTTAGCCCATCGGTCGGATCATTAGTACCACGTTCTCACACAGTCACTGCTCATAAAGTGTGGCAGATCCTTACAGAACATTCAATCGTATAGACACTAGTGCCCAATATCAGCTGTGCCAGCGACTCAATGCCCTTCGGATGAAGGATTCGGCTGATGCAACTAACTATGTCGGGCAGCATGCCATACTGCATGAACAACTTCATGATTCTGGAGCTTTCTTGCGAGACGCTGATGCTGTCTATAGCCTGCTCATTGGGTTTCCACATACACCCATCTGGCAACAATTCAAGTCAATGTTAGAGCAACACATGCATGATGAGATCATGCTTGCGACTCCCACTTGACCCTCCACCTTCACCATTGAAAGTTGCATGTCTCGCATCACCGCAGAAGCCACCCGACATGTCCACACTCAATCCATTCACTCTGCTCACCCTGGCTCTGAATATGCCAATGCGACCTCTTCTAATTCGAGCGCCAGTAATGTAAATCCTATCACTAGCCTCCGCAAACACAAATACAATCCAGAAGGGATTTTCTGCACTATGCCTGGTTGCCACAAAGGCGACCATGATCACACCCACTGTTACGGGAAGGGCGGTGGAATGGAGGGGCAAGCGCCCTGGATGCGCAATAAGAGGAAGGATGACAAAGCAGCAGTTGCTGCAGCTGTGGTATCTGTGCCCTCTGCGCCTCCTGTAACACCTGTCATTGCTGCTGTTGCCACTGATCTCACCAGTCTTATGCAAGACCTATCATTTGCATCAATTGTGGAGATTCCAGATGAGATCACCTGTGCCAACCTGCCCTTCACGACCATCCTAGACTCTGGCACGACTGTCACACTTGTCAAGGACCAAAGGTTCTTTCATACCTACTCTACTGAGGAACCTGTGTCCATCCTCACCACCAATCATGGAGTCCTCCAAACAACTGGACGGGGCACTTGCATGGTGTGGCTTACCATCAGTCAGCGGCAGCTCCGCATTCACCTGAGCAACTGCCTCCATGCTCCTGGCGCACTATTGAATCTCTTGTCAGTGAGTTGCATGAATGCTAAGGGGTGGGATGTGAATTTTCAGGTGAACATGACCTGCAAACTTGCCTACAAAGGTTCCCTGCTATGTTTCATCCCAGCAACCGGCAAGCTCTATGCCCCACACCTCAAATTTGTACCTTCTGAGGTTCCTCTCCCTGTCTTATCTCACACGCCTGAGCTATCCGCTTTTGCAGAAGTTCCTCTATCCCTAGACCTGTGGCACGTGCACATCAGGCATATCGGCAGAGATGCTGTCATGCGCCTTAATCGGATAGCCAATGGAGTCACCGTCCAGTTGTCCTCTCCATTGTCCCACTGCGAGTCCTGCATCCTCACCAAACATCCACATCAACCCTTCCACTGCTCTGAGACTGAACGCACATCAGCGCCTAGACCTCATACATAGTGATGTCTGTGGACCTATCCCCACCATCACTCCACACAGGAAGCGGTACTTCATCATTTTTCTCAATGACCATATGCATGCCCTCGACCTTCAGCTCATGGCCTCAAAAGATCAGGCTCTCGATGCATGGCGCATACTTCGTGCATGCTGGGAAAATCTCTCTGGGTCACATGTCAAGGTTTTCCGATTGGACAATGGGGGAGAATTCCTCAATGATGCCTTCACTGCAAACCTTGAGGACAGTGGAATAGAGTGCCAGTGTTCCGCCCCCTATGCACATCAACAGAACGGGAAGGCAGAGAGAGTCATGCGCACCATTGAAGGTCGGATGTATGCCATGTTAGACTATGCTCACTTACCACCTAGTCCCTGGGGCGAAGCGGCACTCACGGCCTGCTACTTATTCAATTGCATGGAGTCTCATGCTCTTCCCGCAGGTAAAACACCGTATGAGATGCTTCATGGCATCAAACCTAACCTGTCTCACCTCCGTGTCTTCGGTGCACAGTGCTTTGCATGCATTCCCCCTGAATTACAGCAGAAACTCAGCCCTCGCTCACATGAAGCACTATTCATGGGGTACCCACCTGGTGTGAAGGCATGGTGTTGCCGTGATGTCGCAACTGGCGCGTTCTTTAACTCTCGTGATGTCATCTTCAACAAGACTCTCTCTAATCACCCCTTTCCTGATAGTGACGACAACAACAATGATGCTATGACTGCACCACCAACTCCATCACTCCCAGCACCTCCTACTGCCGCCACACCTCCTCATGCATCCATCATCCATCGTTCTGGTCGCATTCCTGTCCCCACAGAGAAGGGTCAGTTATTTAAGAGCCATCTTACCGCTGACAAGGCTCGTTTAGCCTGTCAATGAGAGCTCCAAACCGCATGCATTAACGGGGTCCCTCCTCCCACTACTGATGTCGACATGCCTGACATACCCATTGCAGATGCACCTGTTCAGATGCTGGATCCTCCTGCTTGCCCTGTGAATGATCCAGAGACGATTCAGGTCAACAATGAGGAGATAGGGTTCCCTCAAGTGCTTGCTAATCTAATTGCAGTTGAAGTTGCCTGCCTCTCTGTTCGGAGCGACACATGGCAGAACCCACTAACACCAGGCTATGACCTCCGCATTCCACCTGCAACTTTCGATGAAGCAATGCAACGAACTGACCATGACCACTGGTTAGCAGCAATGCAGAAGGAGATGAACTTGATGTCCGAAATGAATGTTTACGAGCTGGTACCCCTGCCTTTGGACTGTCGTGCTATAGGCTGCTGCTGGGTGCTTGAATTCAAGCAGGATCTTAAAGGAGGACCTGTTTTCAAAGCCAGACTGGTGGCACAAGGCTTTTCTCAGATTCCAGGTGTTGATTTTGGACGGACCTTCGCACCTGTTGCTAAATCAGCCTCCATTCGAATTATCTCCACCTATTCAGCCACCCACGATTGGGAACTCAATTGCTTCGATGTGAAGCATGCTTTCCTTTGGGGAAAACTACAGGAGAATGTCTATATGCGACAACCTCCCGGCTTCGAATGCACTGGTCCCAACAGCTCTCATCTTGTGGCCCATCTACTCTCCTCTCTTTACGGCCTTAAGCAGGCAGCATACGATTGGTACGAGCTCCTATGAGAAGTTCTTGCATGTCTCGGGTTCCTCCACTGCGAAGCTGACTATGCCGTATTTGTTTTTAATTGTGTCAACAACAAGGGGGTGAGGATAATATGCATTATTGCATGGCACATAGACAATGGACTCGTGGGATCAAACAACTGCCCATTCCTCGATCGCACAAAGGCACAGATCACTGAATGATTCAGGATTACTGACCTTGGGCCAGTGACAAAGTACCTGGGGATCCAGTTCGTCCACAATCATAAGACCTGTGAGTTCTGGATGCATCAGGAAGACTACATCGCATACCTACTAGAGGAGCACGGGATGACCAACTGCAACTCTGTCTCTCTTCCTCTGGACCCATCTTTCCCCTTCAGTCATCCAACCGACATCTTTCCCCAAATCGACAATCTTCAGAGTGAATACCGGAAATTGGTTGGTGAGCTCTTATACCTCGCAATGTACACCTGTCCAGACATCACGCTCACTGTTATGCATCTGGCACAGTACAATGTGTGCGCAGAACTCAAGCATTACTCTGCCGCCAAGCATGTTCTGCAGTACCTGGCCAGCACAATCAATCTTCGCACACATTACAGGGGCAACGGTACCAATCCAAACCTTCATGATTTCTCCAACTCTGACTGGGTGTCTTGTCCCAAAGATTGAATCTCCATCTCTGGCTATGTCTGGTTTTTCAGTGGTGGCCCAATTTCCCATTTGGCAAAGAAACAAACCACACAGGCTCTGTCCTCAACTGAGGCGGAGTACATGGCACTCACCGCCGCCATCCAGGATGGGCTCTGGCTTCAATCTTTCTTCTCCTGCCTCGACATTCCTCTACCCCTTCCCATGCAGCTCTTTGCCAACAATGCAGGTGCCATTGCCCTCTCCAAGGAAGCTGCAAACCACATTCGCACAAAACACATCGACCTTCACTTCCACTTTATCAGACGCCACATTGAATCCAAAATATTCCTACCAGTCTGGGTCTCCACCCACAAAAACACCGCCGATATTTTTACTAAAATCTTGCCTCATCCTGCATTTCTTCATCATCGTTCTGGATTGTCTCTCGTGTCCTGTTGAAAGCATTGCCTCGTTGAGGGAGTGTGTTGAGTACTGTTACAAGAACATCTAGACGCTTGGGCCCCTATCATTTTTCTCCTAATCCTCCTCGTATCAGCCCTTGCATCATACCCTTACCCCGACCTTACCCTGGTCATCCTTGTCATCCTCGCATTCCCCTTCACTCTCTATCTGTTGCTTCAGCAGAGCCAGTACATCTGGCCAGATTCTTTCACTGACGAAGCATACCCATGCTCTGTTCCACCACCTGACTAATCCTGTGGACAGTCTCTTTGCCCTTACCGTCCGGACGGTAACCTATGATATGATGCACGATGCATCCCCTTTGCCCTTTCCCCTTTCTCGATCTTTGACTCAGTGCGCAGTCGCACATGTTACTTATACTTAGCTCCGCAGCTGCACGATCGTGCTCCTGCACGTTTCACTTCTTATTTTGACCTTTGACTCACTTTCTTATCAAGCACGTTCTGGTTCACCCGTGTCTCACCCCGAACGTGCCTTCCTTTTATGGTTATGCCCTTTACCGTTTACTTCACTTGGTAGTATGAGTTATCACCCACTAATACGCCTCCTGTCCTCTATATAAACTCGCTACCATGTACCATATTCCCTAACTTGAATCTACTTGGTTCTTGACCTCCTACTCCCACCAGAGTGATCCCTTCTGCCTAGCCAGCAGTCTATATTCTATCTTCTTATCTGCTCTTCGCGGATAAGCCTATAGTCTCGATCTTTACTCATCGACTTCGTCAACGAGCAAAGCCCCTGTTAAACTAGTCGGACTTCTGTCCTTCTAATTAACGACGATCTTACAATTAACCTTCGGGTGTCGTAAGCCTTGGCAGATACAGCTCATCGTCTAGCACCCGCTTGACGTAAGCTACCCGATTTGGACATAGGCGTCAAATCTTACTTGCCGAAGCCTCACCAAGTAAGACCCCTAACCTTGGGCTAGCCCAAAGACGTCCACGACCGTTGACGACATATGCTCTGTTTGAGCGTCGCCAACAGATACCATCCAAGTCGTAACAAGTACAACTTCGTCATCTTTGTCATCGCCTTGTCACTACTCGTCATTGCCCATAGAACTTTTCCTTTTTCATATGACATTCTGGACTCTATACTATATCATATATAATATGTCATGTTCTGTCATTCATACCTCAGCAGTTCTTATCACAACACTGAGGTATGTATCTTATTGTCTGCACGCTGTTCGTTTCTCACCATGTCTTCGTCCATAGACTTGTCATTTAGGTACTACCAATACTAGCAGTTCTTATCACGATGCTGAGACTTGTCATTTAGATTCCATCTCCACAGAGAGGTTTCCCTTTACCCAGACAGCTGCCCTTGGGTCGATGTTTTCACTCGCACCTGGGTCTATCTGTGTTTGCTTAGCTTAGCACCAACTTTCCCTACAGTTTAGATTCCTCATCTTCACCATAATTGCTTGTTGTCATTAACTTTTGAGGCCCTTCAGCTATTGAAGAGTGGGTATCATCAGGGTCATATTTGTAGAATCTAACAGACAGACATGCTCAGTGTCTGGGAGAGAACAACTAATATTAATATACTGTAGAGATACGCACTTAGCTTCGACATCATCTGGGTGTGACCAACTGAACCTTAGCTTCAAAAATTCGAAGATGGGTGTGACCTGTGACATGTCAAAAATAGCTTCGAATCAGCACCACTACCAGCTGCTGTCAGCAAGAGCTCACAGCTGATGGTGATGAAGAAAATTTTGGTCATGTAAAGCGAGGTGCATGGCAAATAATCAGTACAAGAATTTTTGAGAACATTTTTGCATTTTTTTTCATGTTTTACCGTGTGTCACAATTTACCTTCGATGACTTCAATCTTGTGTGACAGTCACACAAAATAGCTTTGATTCGTCGGACGTGTGATGCTGTGACAAAGCTAAGTGCGTATCTCTACAGTAATACCTAACAGACGGACACGCTGAATAATCTATGATGAGACACAGCGAGATAATGAAAGAGTAGAAAACATACCTCAGTGTCTGGGAGAGAACAACTGAGGTATGAAAGGACAGAACGGAGACAATATATGAACTAACACACGTGACAAAACAGAAAAGGAAATATACATGAGAAGACGATGTCATAACGAGAGTCAACAATATTTCCATGACAGCTCAAGCTGAGTTTGCCGCACCTCATGAATGCTATGTCGTGGATATGGTGTAGTTATTAGTTACTCATCAATTTTTTGAAATTTATATGTTGCATTCAGATGTTCAAACATGTTCTGAACTCAAACTGAACACTTGCAAATGTGTCCATAAGGGTCTGGTCCAGCATTCACTCTCCTTGCCTGAACCAGACCCAAGGTTTGGTTCTAGGTTCAACAAAACACCCTTGAGAACCAGACTGAACCAGACCACAGCAGCACTGGGCCAAAGCCCTGTGTGAGCCATGAATTTTGCCTGGCTTATGGTCCATAGCCAGGCACTAGCCAAAATTTTGGCCAACCTGCATAGGAAAATTAATTTTGAGACCAGTTGCAGACATATTTCACTCCCTGTCAGAAGCTATTCCCAAGTAATGCAGAAATAAATTTGTTTGTCCACAATGTCATGGAAATTAGAATGTCACAAACATTTGGTGCAGATCTTGAGGCTTGATTCTCTTTTTTTTTCTTTTTCAGATAAGATGTAATGTCTATAATTATATTTTTGTCACTGTACATGTGTCAGTTTTGACGTCGAATGTTTAGTCGATCAAGGTTGTTCCGGCAAGCGCCACCAACCGGTGCTAAATAAGGATTAGTCAGAGTACGTCAGCGTCGGCCGTACCTGCATTTGCACAGCAACGACATGGCACCGCCTCCGAGAAAATATTTTAATGTTAGTGTTGGGTAATATTGTAACTAATTATAATGTTCATATATTAGGTGACTCACGGGTGTCACAAGTCACTGACGTGCGACACCAGGGAGCCAAGCTCGAAAGGGTTTACCGTACATTCTTCTCTATCCGATAGCACAGACACATGTTGTAATTCCACGGACCTTACTTAGTACGAATGCAGTACAAGTTGTTTCATCATCCTGGCGCCTTAGGACCAGGCAACAAATTGTCTCACCCAGGTGTCCAACGTGCGTGCGGTGCGAGTAGTTATTTTCGCTTTGCACTGATCAATACCTTTGATTCAAACTCAAAAGCAAAAGGGTCGCACTCCAAAGATAACTGGGCATAAATAAAAATAAAAACAAGTTCTTGGCGTCCCATTATCTTGGTCATTAGTTCCGGCCATATCATCGGACGTGTCATTTCACTGCCATTTGCTGGTACCAATCATAACAGCGGGTCCCACAAGGGGCAGGGAGAGGTGAGAGATTACGAGAGCTTAATCTGACAAACAGTAATGCTAACTAACCATACAACGCAATGAAAACAATAAGTAATGAAACAGACTTGTACAAGCACTACAGTGAAACTCCAGAGGACGTGTGTTGGGTGCCCTCTGAATGATTTTGGGAATCCTCCGGAGCATCTCTGCTAGGACCGGTGGAGAGTAATGACCCTATGGCCATTGATGCTCTGGACCGCGGCGAGTACTCCTCGGAATCGCTCCGAGACGAATAGGGAGAAGGTGGCAAGTCGCGAGAGGATGTGTGAGATGTGCGTAATTCGTAATGTGATGAAGGGGAGTGAGAAGATCGTTGGCGTTTTCGAGGTGGTTGAGAAAGTTGAGGTGGTTCCCTGACCACGGGTAATATTTGAGGGGAGACACGTCCAGTGGTCATGTCAGTTGAATATAGTCCATGTTTTGAGTGAGGTACTGCGGGTGGTGAGGAACGGGAGGGAGGTGGAGGGCTTGGATGCCGAACATCTGCTGCAGACATTTCAAGGAGGGTTCTGTGCAATGAAGCGACAGACGCAAGTCGCTATAAAGGGGTCAACGACAGACAACCGAAGATATACGAGGAGGCCTACCTGGTCTTCGGCGCTCTTTGCATTCAACATGGCAATAAGCATATCTCTGTCACCGTCACCCTTGGATTTGTATGCCCCAAGAATTTCTCTGAGGCTAGGAGGTGGTGCCTGAGTTATTGTGAGCATCTAAGGAATATTATACTTGAGAGTACGCTGACCTGTTCTAGTATTTGTGAACTGGACATGATGAGTCTCCTATAGTCTGCCTCGATTGAATGGTAGGGCAAACGAGAGTAGTCCTGAGTTGGGTAAGGAGGGCCAGAATTCATTTAGGTGGGTTGTTAAGCGTCCTGCAGCGAATGGGTTAGAACGGCGCCAACCGCAGAGTTTTTGTAGGTGAGCCAAGTCCAAAATTCTATCTTTGAACCTGGTATATTTAGAATGCCAAGCCAAGGTGAGGCTCGGATACCCGAAGGGTCCTATATCTGAGCGGGAATTTGACGACGTGGTTGAACATGCAGAAAACACTTGTTTCGTTTCTCAAAAATATTATCTGGCCACATAATTCAACAGGAAAATGCTGAAGGATGAGGACGAGCTCCATTGTACAGCTGTGTGGACACGTGGTGACGAAATAAACGGAGGTACTAATTTTGACAATGGCAGGGTCTTGGCAATATCTATTTATATCAATCTAATTCCGTATATCCCTTCCAGGAGGCAACCGGAAGGCGATAATTTCGTCTAGACTCTAAAAAAACACGTTGTTCACATCCCCATACCTGGGAGCATCTAAAATATTTATATATATTTCTGGTCTAATTTCTCCGCTTGCGAGAAAAAAAAAAAAGAAAAAAAAAACTTTGATGCAGATGCAGCCAGCGCGGCAGCCCTGGGTGAAAAGGGAATAACTATGTTAAACTATCTATGGTTGCCAACAAGGCGATCGGGTGCACGTGATCACATCACGTGCGGTTCTGCTCGAGCTCGAGCCCATCCAAGGTCCTTTGATTTCACCAATGCCACAACAACCTGCAGATAGCGATGATGAATTTCCAGATGACATCGGACAACTGGACTTGAGCAACGTTCCAGGTCTTCAGGAGATTCCGCTCACAGCTTCGGTCAGGCCTCAATTGTACGATCCTCCTCCCAACGTGATCGTACCAGCGCCGCCATTGCAATCATCTACATCACCCCTAATTTCCGAGTACGACTGCGACGATGAAATAGATGAGTCAACCATCGCCGCTCTAGATGCTCTAGAAGCACAGTTCGCACATGGTCAACCTCGACCCGGGGGTAAGTCAAACCTTCACTAATGGTACAACCCCTATGTTCAACTCGACGCATACAGCTTCTCTTTTCACTGCTCAGTCGTCGATTGCTAGTGGGTTCCACACATTCTTCAACCTTTGCATATTTAAAGATGATATTGACTCAACAGCCCGCGCTGGTACGTTTCGTTGAAAGCCGACCATGGTCTAACCTCTTATGTATCCATTGCGCCATCTACACGGTGTCTGAAACCCACTATCATTCATATTGTGAGTATGATAGAGTTTGATAGTACAACGTGAGCCAACACAGCTCGTACGCATGAACAGCTATTCCCGGTTTAGATGACCGCAAGCGCGGACTGTCGTCACCGCAAACATCGCCCGCCAGCAAAAAAGGCAAGACAAGTGCCGAAGACAGTTGTGACACAGCAAACAAAATACTAGAGGGTCTCGAGAACGAGATCATGTGTCCAATGTGCGTACTCATACCTGGTGTACTCGCCTGCGAAATGATATCTCAATACCTGTAGATGCTTTGATATCATGTGAGTGTTTCATACTGCATCGCACTATTTTATAACAAAAACCTTGTTCTTCTTTAGGGTCGCAGCACACCTATGCAATCCTTGCGGCCACAGCTGCTGCGGAGAATGCGCTCAAGGCTGGATATCCCAGAATGTAAGATATTCTATTTCAGGACAAGTTAGGGTTCATGAGCCCCACTGCAGAAAACGTCTCCAGCATGTGCAGTGTGTCGCGCTGCGTTGTCTACGACCAAACCACTTCTTCTCAATTATTCCCTGGATGCCGTAATTCAGCAATATATCCGCGCTCTTGCCATCAGCGGACGATTAGAATGGCAGGAGAAGGGAGACAGGTTAGCGGAGTGGAGGAAGCGTCATGAGTAAGCTCTCAAGTCCATTCAGTTAATTGCATCGACTCATTTGCGTAATTTTATTACAGCAAATGGACGAAAATCGCCCAAGCGAATGCGGTAAAGGCAAAAGAAACTGCATATCGTAGAAGGCGCTATCAAGACCTTGTCGTTTCCTACCAGCCACCAGTTTATGAAGCTCTCGGATCGTATGACGATGAAGACGATGAGGTTGTGCAGATTTTACCTCGCCGAAGAATAGGGAGACGGTAATCAATGTTTGTTCCATAGCCTATATTCTTCAACGGACCTCTCATTCAATATTTCCTATCGTAATTGTTACTTTAGTATCGTAATCGCAGTTCACGTTCAGCCAATAGATTCTTGCAGCCAATATACACGTACCACTTTCGAGACGAATCGCGGCTTATCTGCTTATCTTACACGTCACATCAACGTCTAACACGTAAATTGACCTGCAGTGATAATTGATGGCATCAGAACGACACACTCACTGCAGCTCGGTCGCTCATAATTCACAAAGGCCGCCGTCTTTCAGAGCTCCCAGGGTACCACGCACGAGGCTTTCCCCAATACAGAATTTGAACAAATTTCAAGCTTCAAAACGGAACAATATATTATTCGGGCGACTTTTAAGTGGCCGAAAAGAAATTTCAGGAATCCACAGTACGGATGGGCCCCAGGCATTCAACTTGATGGTAATCGCAACCCACGAGGTCTGGGAGGATAACGACTAGCCCTGCGCTGACTGTGCACAAAGCTGTTTTCTCTGTGCATCCAATCATCACCACTGCTAATGCGGTGTCTCATACTCAGACAATCGCAATGCGTCCTCAAACAGTGAAAGTGAGTTTCAAGCTAAAATTACTTTCAGGCTCTAGGTGAAATCCATGCTGCCCACGTGTCACATAATTATTTTTAAAGTGGGCGACTTATGGTATCATGTGGCTAACTTAGGTTCAGTTGCTAGAGCTGCGCCAGGCTGCTGGTGGGTGTACATGTGTATACTACTCATTTCGTTTCGCCCCCACCAGGCATTCGACTGTTGCATCAATTTCGAAGTTGTGGTGAAAACTCTCATTAAACGCCTTTTCAACTGATTTTGATGTCCTACTACTAGGTCTCATTGACCCGGGGGGAAGATCATGGGGATATGCCCGATGCTTGTTCGATCTCCCATTTATCAACGTTCTAGTAATCGCTATCAGTCTATGAAAGACTTTTTCTAACCACTCTTGTGGATTCATTCGCTCCGCAAGTGCAAGTACACTCAGACCGAGAGCACTCGGTTCAGTAGATCCGAACCTTCAGTGCTTACCGCCATATCAAGCGGCATCATGTAAGGCTAGCCTTCGCTATTCTCAGGTAATTTACTCACTGGCACTGCCTTGACTTTGATTACATTTTGCAGGGCTCGATGTATTTGGAGCGATCGATTGTATCGAACCACTCCTTGCACAGGCACTGCTTCTGATAATAACACAAGGTCTACTTTTAATACGGACCTGGGCTCTGTTGGGGCGCGTTCTAGCGTGTCTCATCTGGCTTGCTTGCTGCAGTATATTCTAACGTTCTCTCCAATTCCCATTCTCATGAATATTGCCCAGGCGTGCACAGCCGGGAGTGGCGTTGTGGGTGCCACAGTCTTGCGATCAATGAAATGTCCGTTCGCTCGATTGTTTCGTCCGCCGCATATATTCACTGATCGGTTAATCTCATGGTCGCGCCACCCCCCTATCAACTACGGGACGCTACGAAGCGCTTCGCCTTACGTATGGGATTATGTTATTCTGGTGTATGAGGATGACTGAGCACCCATAATAATTCCGAACGCGTGTGGACTCATTGCAAGCTCATTGCACGCCACGGTCGGGACATCCATGAAGTCGTCATGCTTCCAACCGATTAACAAGCGAATCACGCACAGAACATTGTTCGGTCTGTATCTTGCCATCTATGCAATGTGTACATTAGGCAAGATCATTTCGCACATCAGATCTATCTGCCGTTGTTGATCGCAGAAAACAATGTAGCTATTTCCTCGTTGAACGTCCCAGTACTCGATGTGGAATGGTGCTTGCGCACGATTTCACATTTCAGGGGGTTTCTGACTCTTGGATCTGAGAGTATTCTGGAAAATTTGATACCTGTCGTTGGTCACGAGATCTTACCACAAACGCCACGCCGCGAAGAACAAAAGCTGTTGCATATGGCAATATTGTATCTTCACAGCTGCTATTCAACATAGGAAATGCCATAGACAAACGGAATGACGTTAGTGTGTTGACCCGGGGATGAGATCGGGCCAAACTACGGTGTTTGACATTTCTTGTGTAGTACATATATAGGGGGAAATCTGAGTGCAATTGGCATATAAATTTGTAGACTGCCCAAGTTCGTATTAGTATTGTGACTGCCAAACAAAATTCCTATATTAAATCTCATCCTCATAATCATCTCCGCTCCGAACGTCTCTTTGACCAGGTCTGGATTTCGCATTGGTAGTAGAACTGAAAGTCGAGATCGACTGTGCAATGAGGTCATCCAGCATATCAGGGGGGATGTCGTATTCAGATCCTCGGACCACGATGGCATACACCGCTGGGATAGTTTTCAGTACTCGTTCACGAATGCCAGGTGATAGGGAAAACGCTACCGTCCTCAATCTTTTCCAGAGATTGTGAGGTTACAGCCTGTTTCTTGGATAACTCCCTCACGTACGGAGTAAAGCGTTCGAAATCTACTTATCCGCAATCACACCTTGGCATTGTAAGGATTCCATATCCTCTACACCCCGACTAAGGCTTCATAATAAGATTCAAGGACTTACGTCTCGACATCCGCGTGACTCACTGATGCGAAGAAGCATCACGCTTCGCGTCCGAGTCACGCGGACACATTCTCTTTCCTTACCCTCATCTTCTCGTTATTCTCAACGACCAGCTCGGTCCTTCACCCTCATTCATACTATACCCTGGACTCATCACCTAACTCTCTCTCGTCATTCTTTTAGTTTCACTCCTTTCGTCCCAAAAAGCAGTCAAAAACCTAACAGCTCTCGTCATTCCTGTGCACGGCGAGCTCCCTATTACTACCTTCATTCAAAAACTAACATACTTTAACTCATTTCCGTTACTCCTACCCTGTCAGGCTCAACGCCACCACTCTCCGTCTCATCAAACTCTCCCTTTCGTAATAACCAAGACCCTTACCTTTTCATAGATAAAATACGGCCTTGTAGACTCGTTTTGAACGTTGGTTGATTTCCCCGCTACAAGCTCGCGTCCGATCCTAAGAACAATCCTATCGCTTTGAGTTACGCCATTCCCTTATCGAACTCAATAGCAGCACTACACATTGGAGCCCACCGCGAGGGGAATTGTCTTAACACCCCTTCGCACTTCGAGTCGGATTCGCTGATCTTCACTGATCTTCTAGTCTGACTCGTCCCATACCCGGTCTCTGGACCACGCTTATCATAATTATTTCAAAGTATTATCACCCTAACGCGCAAATTCGCCTCGAGAAGCAGCCAACTGCGCTGGCTCCCAAGAAGAACAGATCCCGCGCAAACACCATTGACTCTCCTTCCGCCCCATCCTTAGCACAACCGACGATTCTCACCCTTCCCCAGACCCCAGTTCGCCACAGATCCGTTCATACAAACGCAGATACTTCGGAAGGACCAACTGAATCTTCACTATCGGACGACGATACTGTGGGACGACTCCTCCAAACAAATTCCCCATTCCCCGCCATCCCTCAGCCGACTTTCACCTTAAGACCAGCCGTATTCGAAGCAGAAACGCCCACTGCCCCTTCCCCGAACGAAGGCGCACCCCCAGCGAAATCCCTCCCTCCTATTCCCAGACCTGACTTCCTTCGCGCTCCAGTACCTCCGCCAAACACTCCCATCGCCAAAACCACCACGCTCCCTAGCGTCCAAAACACAGTCCCTACCGCAGCACCTCCCGCCTTACCGAATCCCTTTGCACATCCCGTTCCTAGCACCATTACCCTTCCTATCACCCAGGTCATAGCCCCTGCTGCACTCGTACCATCGCAACCATCACACATCACCATCTCCGCAGCACCTCCCACCTTATCGCACCCTTTTGCGCATCGTTTTCCCGCTACCTCGGTACTATCAAGCATGTCTAACCCGTCCAAAGGCATTAATGCCATGCCAGGGGCCAATTCTAGCAAAGCCCCCTCATTCAATGGTGAAACGTCAGAATTGTTGGAGTTCTTCGAGCTCTTCGAGGACTTAGCGGATGCTTGTGCACTTACTCCCGCAGAGAAGTGCAAAACTATCGTGCGATACGTCGACATTCCAACAAAACGATTCTGGGTGACACTGACAGGCTACGAGAGCAAAGACTTCGACGTTTTCAAGACCAGTATCTTAGCACAGTATTCGGGTGCTGCAAAGGGCCAACGCTACACTATACGCGATTTAGAGCGAATAGTGATCAGTAATGTCGACAATGATATTTCAACCGAGACGGAACTCCTACAATACTATAGGCAGTTCCGTCCCATAGCTCACTGGCTCGTCGTCAACGGGAAGATCTCAACACGGGAACGAGATCGATACTTTTGGCAAGGACTCCCTATGGTCACTCGGCGAGCTATCGACCGACGACTTGAGCTCAAGGACCCCAATTACTCGAGGACGGAGGCCACAGATTTTGAAGAAGTTCTCAAAGCAGGGCGTTTCGTATTCTCAGATGACGCTTTTGACGCAGACCTCAATGAGCCTATAGCGACCAGAATACGAACAATACGAGAAGGACGCACCGTACGAGCCAAGCCCTCGGCACTATGGGACTCAGACGAAGAAGAAGAGAGGAAGGAGATACGGAAGGAAGTACAGACGAAGCGAGTAGCATTCACGTCTCCTCCGAATCCTCCTGCCCCTGCTAAAACCACGATTGACGAAGTAGAAGCGCTAGCACGGAAGATGCACGGTCTCGACATCGGAGATGTTGCCTATTCAGGGTGTTACACCCGTCTCGTATGTCTAGCTCCCGCAGCAGCGCAGGCATGGGCCCCTCCCAAGTCACGACAGAACCTTGCCAACACGTCCGCACAACCTGCCTTATCGTACCTTCCGCTCCCACCCCTTCATTCGTCCTCAGGAAATTCGTCAACTCCAACGTGTTTTTTTTGCGGAGGACCGCACGTTATGCGCACTTGCTCGATAGCAGGAGAATATTTACGGGCAGGAAGAATCATCCGCGACGGACCATACTTTGCGTACCCAGATCGCTCGCGCATACGACGCTTCGGAAACGAGACTTTCAAACAAGTAATCGACTCTAGGTATGCTTCAGCACGCTCTCCTACTCCTGCGACAGGATCCAACTCCATTCCCCTTGAAACTCCTCACCAAGACCCCAAACCTCAAATCACTCCGTCAGAAATTCCTAGCTCAGCCTTCATCACTGAGTCGTATTTCTTGCAGTGTCACCCAGTGGTCGAGAACCATGCTGTGATAGTAACGGTCGAAGAAGAAACGGATGAGCAAGCAGCGGAAACACTTGCCATAACAAGGTCCAAGTCCAAAGCAGCAATCAACCCAGAAACTCAATCTATCACACCCCCTTCGTCATCGCACTCTGCTTCGATTCCGGCCTCCGCACAATCTACCAACCCTTCGTCCTCATCACGCGTCGCACCAATGGAAACTGTCAAAACCGCTACTAGTGAGACAAAGAAAGAACCGGCATTCAAGTACGAATCAAAGGCCGCTTCACCGGATGCAGCCAAACGTCTCTATGAAGCGATCCTCAATATGCCTGTCCAACACTTAACGGTATCCGATCTTCTGTCGATTAGTCCAGATCTGAGGAAGGAGGCAGTCGAGTACTCACGCACCCAACGAGTGCCAACGCCCGCGGCCGCGCGCCCTGAAAACGTGGTCACAACTAGTCTAACCAGCCCCCCACCCCTCCAAATCGAGCACGCAACACCCTTACGAGAAATTCGCGTCACGTTGAACGGGACACACTCTGAGTTAGGGTTGCTGGACGAAGGGTCAGAGATTGTCGTCATTCGAGAGGATGTCTGGAGGAAAACGAACGCGCCTATCAATCAAGACGTTCGCATGCACATGCAAACGGCAAATGGAGGATCTCAGGAGATGGCTGGATGCTTAGAGATGTTGGAAATAGACGTCGAGGGAATTAAGACATGGGCCCACGCGTATGTAGTACCAGACACTCCTTATCGATTACTCTTGGGACGACCATGGCAACGATTAGTCCGCCTCTCAAAAGCCGAGGACACTAATAATGTTCATGTCTCGGTGCACGATCCTATGGACCCGAATATCACCAGGACCGTCAAAACCACCCCTCGTCCTTGGCCTCATCCCTCCCTTGCCTTAACAGCGGCAGCACTTCTTTCCATACCCCCCCACTCATCCTCATCGGCCCTGCCTACCTCTTACTCCCCTCTAACCAGCTCGACGAACATTTACCATGCCATCAAATCGTTTGGTGACGTTATCGCTGGTTTCCCAACACAGCGTGGCCGAGAGAACAAGATCGAGAGAGCCAATGACCAGTATTGTGCGAATCTCGGCATGAAGATCAATGCCAAACTTGGAGGCGTTAATTCACTGCCAAATCCGAAGCTGGCTATCCTGCCGACCAATTCGACGGACATTTACCATGCTATCCCCGAATCTCGTCTCACCTTCTCCTCCTTCGCCGAATTCCTCCTCCAAGCGCATTTCGATATAGATCCCCTTCGCCGCTCCTTTGCCTATAAGAAAGTCGCTAACAAGGTCAGACCCGTCCCTACCACCATGCCAGCGCATGCGCGCATCATCCGTACCTTTCCAGAAGACCCTCTCTTGTCCCTTCCTCCCCTCACCCCCACACCCTCAGCATTCACTCCTGGCAAACGCCTCACGAAAGAACGTATGGACGACCTTGGCGTATTCTCAAACGAGTTCTTGTGGCCGGAAGAACGAAACCTCGCCGCGCAAGTCCTATCCAACAACGAGGTAGCTCTCGCTTGGGACGAAACGGAGAAAGGACGTTTCCGTGACGACTACTTCCCACCTGTCATTATTCCAACCATCGAACACACTCCCTGGGTTCATCGACAACCACCCATTCCCCCCGGCATTCGCGAAGAGGTCGTCAAACTCATTCAGTCGAAGATAGCGTCGGGAGTTTACGAAGCATCCAATAGCTCATATCAGTCGAGGTGGTTCTGCGTCGCAAAGAAAAATGGATCCGTACGTATTGTGCATGATCTTCAGCCCTTGAACGCAGTGACTGTCAAGGATGCCGCAACCATGCCCTATGTAGAATTATTCGCAGAGCAATGTGCAGGGCGCGCTATATATTCGATGATGGATCTCTTCGTTGGCTTCGACCACCGCGCGCTCGCCGAAGAATCGCGCGACATCACCACTTTCCAGACCCCCCTCGGCACCTTTCGTCTTACAGTGCTCCCTCAAGGTTGGACCGACTCTCCCGCTGTATTCCAAAACGACGTAGCATTTATTCTACAGGATGAGATAGAGATCGCCCCCAACTTTCAAGACGACGTGAACGTCTTAGGTCCTCGAACTCGATACGAAATGCCTGATGGATCCTACGAAGTCCTCCCACAGAACCCAGGTATCCGCAGATTCGTCTGGGAACATTGCCTTGACGCCAACAGAGTCCTCCATCGTCTCAAACATGCCGGCGCGACTGTCTCAGCAAAGAAACTATTCCTTTGCGTCCCACAAGTACTCGTTGTGGGGCAACTCTGTTCTTACAAAGGTCGCACCCCAGATACTGCGAAGATCGCCAAAATTCAACATTGGCCGCCTTGCAAAACCCGCACAGAAGTTCGAGCATTCCTGGGCACAGCGGGAACCATTCGCACCTGGATTAGAGACTACGCACGTATTACCCATCCCCTAACCAACCTCACTCGCGCAAACGTCCCTTTTGCATGGACTCCCGAGACGCAAGAGGCCATGGACGAGCTCAAATCAGCCATAATTGCTTCCCCCGCTATCCAACCTCTCGATTATCACTCTCCTAACGAAGTCATACTTGCGGTTGATTCCTCACACATCGCATGCGGTTGGATATTGTTGCAACTCGACAATGAAGGCCGTCGTCGTCCTGCTCGTTTCGGTTCAGTCACCTGGAACGAGCGAGAAAGCCGTTATTCACAGGCGAAAGTTGAGCTATATGGCCTATTTCGCGCCTTGCGTGCGGCCAAAGTATGGCTGATCGGACTCAGAACGTTCACAGTGGAAGTCGACGCCAAATATATTAAGGGTATGTTGAGTAACCCGGATGTTCACCCCAACGCCGCAATCAACAGGTGGATCGCGGGAATCTCCCTCTTCGATTTCAAACTCCGTCATGTTCCTGGAAAACGACATGCTGGTCCAGACGGTCTGTCTCGACGACCACGAGCAGATGAAGACCCCGACGAGGAAGCTTCGGAGGAGATAGATGAGAGCATCGATGAGACTCTGGACAGTGGGATATGGGTGGCAAAGGGAGTTGAGGAAGGAATTGTAGAGACGATAAAGAAAACGCTAGCCTTCACGACTCTAGTTCCCCCATCTATCGACACCAGGATCCCTTCAGACGACACCTCTCTACAGCGTGATAAAGATCTTCGCATCATCCTCTCATTCCTCGAGAATCTCTCGTTCCCCTCTACCTTATCAAATTCCGAACGCTCTCGACTCACCAAGCGTGCGCACCAGTTTTTCGCGCAAGGACATCGACTATGGCGGAAAGAATCTAATGGACGTCATCAGCTTGTGCTGTTTGACTCCGACCGTTTACGCATCCTCCACGACACTCACGATACACTCGGACACAAGGGTTTCTATTCTACTCGACGGACGATAGCAGACCGTTTTTGGTGGCCCTCTCTCGATACCGATCTCGCCTGGTATCTGAAAACTTGCCATCAATGTCAAATTCGGTCAAACGAGAAGGTCGTGCTCCCTCCTACTGTGTCAATCCCCGCTCCTCTCTTTCGCAAAGTTTTCACCGACTCTATGCACATGCCACCATCTCACGGCTATTCGTATGTCGTCCAAGCACGCTGTTCATTGACGAATTGGCCAGAGTTCCGGATGTTGAGGAAAGAGACGGGACGCACCTTGGGTGCATTCATCTTTGAAGAGATCTTATGCAGATGGGGAGGACTCGAGGAGATAGTAACTGATAACGGGACGCCCTTTGTCGCCGCGCTCGACTGGCTCGCTCAAAAGTACCATATCCGGCACATTCGGATTTCGGCATACAATTCAAAGGCCAACGGCGTTGTTGAACGGTCGCATCGTACCATACGCGATTCACTTGTCAAGGCCTGTAACGGTGACATTACTGAATGGCCCACTCTAGCTCACCACGTTTTTTGGGCTGATCGAGTCACCACGCGAAAATCCACAGGTCACAGCCCGTTTTTTATGGCACACGGCATCGAGCCTCTCCTTCCTTTCGATATCACCGAAGCTACTTTTCTCCTCCCCGATATCACATCTCAACTCTCCTCGGCAGATCTGATAGCCATACGCGGCCGTCAACTGGCCAAACGAGATAAAGATTTAGCCGTCATGCATGCTCGAGTACTCAAAAGTCGCATCGCATCTATCCGAAACTTCGAGCGTCGCTTTGCAAACACTATCCATGACTACGCATTCAAGCGTGGTGATCTCGTACTTATCCTCAACAAGAAGATCGAAGCGGCGTCGAACGCCAAGTGCAAACCACGGTACTTTGGACCAATGGTCGTCGTCTCGCGCTCCCAAGGAAGCTCGTACCAGCTTGCAGAGCTCGACGGCAGCATATCCAAACTCAAGTTCGCCGCCTTTCGTCTCATCCCATATCACCCTCGCTCCCCCTCATCCATTGAAGTCACGCAGTTCATCGACCCTCAAGCCCTCGCAGGAGTCAATGACGAGCAGTCTTAGATGCGTTCTTTCTATTTTTCTGCTCCCTCTCTCATTTTTTCTCTCTCCTTGAACCGTTCTATCTTATTACACATATTTTAGTTTTATTGTTGGAAGATCGACCGAGGGCGGTCGATATTCAAAGTAAGGAGGGGATGTAAGGATTCCATATCCTCTACACCCCGACTAAGGCTTCATAATAAGATTCAAGGACTTACGTCTCGACATCCGCGTGACTCACTGATGCGAAGAAGCATCACGCTTCGCGTCCGAGTCACGCGGACACATTCTCTTTCCTTACCCTCATCTTCTCGTTATTCTCAACGACCAGCTCGGTCCTTCACCCTCATTCATACTATACCCTGGACTCATCACCTAACTCTCTCTCGTCATTCTTTTAGTTTCACTCCTTTCGTCCCAAAAAGCAGTCAAAAACCTAACAGCTCTCGTCATTCCTGTGCACGGCGAGCTCCCTATTACTACCTTCATTCAAAAACTAACATACTTTAACTCATTTCCGTTACTCCTACCCTGTCAGGCTCAACGCCACCACTCTCCGTCTCATCAAACTCTCCCTTTCGTAATAACCAAGACCCTTACCTTTTCATAGATAAAATACGGCCTTGTAGACTCGTTTTGAACGTTGGTTGATTTCCCCGCTACAAGCTCGCGTCCGATCCTAAGAACAATCCTATCGCTTTGAGTTACGCCATTCCCTTATCGAACTCAATAGCAGCACTACAGCATGCTATTGTTAAGCTGATTGACTTGCCTGCTTTACATTGCCGGACGAATGCACACACTTCCCTGGCTCTGACGCGACCGCCCTTCTGAGCTATGCCAGATATTGCAAACCGCATGAGTTCGCCAGTGACATCAGACAAGCCCAGCAAGTAATCTTCCTTTGGAAGTGTAAAATACTAGGGTCATACCGTAGGGTGCAAATTTCAGCCATCCGGATATCATTCAGGTGTAGCATACGCACAGGTATGCCGTTCTCGTCAGAAAGGGAAAGTTGAACTTCCTCGTATGACACCAGAGTGCCATGCTCGAGGTAGTGAGCAAAACCCAGTGCTTCGATATACCTGAAGTCAAAGGCGTTCAACATATATGTCAACCAGTTTGTCATTTTAGAGCCCACTCTTGGAGGCCAGGTGATACTGCTCTTTGGTAGTGCCAGAACCGCTCGGCTTGTACCTCGAGCCTTATTTGCGCATATAACGCTTGCACTTCCTGAAGCTTTTCACGACCACGACGGACTACTCGTAGAGAGGGATTAGAATCATCATTAAATTCTTCTGTCATTGCTCGGTGGAGCAGGAAGATGACTTTCTTCGAAAGGTTTGTTGCATCTCGGCTGATCTACTGGAGTGGTCAGAATATTCAGCGAGACAGTTGATTCTTAAAGCCTAGAACCTTGATAAGTCGTTCTCTCCGGTCATGATGCTCATCTATCTCTTGTCGGAACTCATCAAACGCTTCAACGACACTTTCTCGATGGGTTCCCATTTAGAAAGTGTGACAATAAGGTGGGGAGGGCGGTCGAGCTCGAAGAATAAGGTTTAGCACATGATCGTAAAATAGGCAATTTGTGGTTGCAATGAGGTATTCTTAAACCGAATTTATATTGGCAACGTTGTCTGCCGTACCTAGGAACCACTGGCACAAATCTTGAGAAATAAATAAATATTTAATAATAATTCCAAGGCTCGGAGCTTGAATAAGTACGACCTTGCCAATGCATAATTAGTCATTGTTCATTGGCGCTCTTATCTTCGTACTTGATGGCTTTTGTACCAAAGCCTGGATGTCCTATGTGTGGGATCGTGGCCACTGCATTGGTGCATGCCCCCGGACAGTCCCCACGTTCACCCACTTCTCCAGACGCCCCAGCAGAGCCAGAAATACTCTGGAGAGACGAAAATTTCACAGCATACCGGGAGAAAGCTCATCCAGTATCTTCCACCGGTCATATAATCATAGCGTTTAAGTAAGTCTTCTATCTTCTATATCAGATGCCTCAAGCATTTTACCCTGATGGAATACCCCAGTCTTCACGTTCCATCGATATACACTCTGGTACGTAAATCTTTACTCCCCCGCGGCGAAGAGTCTGACCTGTTGGTTAGTCTTCCAGTGACTTGCCCCTTCTTGTCAATGTTAGAAACCTTGGCAGGAGGCTTTTGAGCATGTCGTCGCCGCCCTCTTCCCCTTTCTCACCGGTCAATAATTCCGCACCCTCGGCACCTCTACAACATGCTGAATCCCAATTTCGGATCGGCTTCATCACTCCACCTTTCAAGGACAACAAGATTCCTATCATAGATCATCTTCATGCACATGCCTATCTAGCCCCTGCCGATCTGCTTGGCTGGTGGAGAGGTGTTGCGTACGGTCCTCTCGCTTGGTATGCTATCGATGATTTGATTGCTGAAATTCGGTTGGATTTCTTTTTACGTATCGTGCCTCTTTCAAACTGATTATTTGCATTATTAGGGAGTCGGTCTCGAACAATCGCGTGAAATCTGGTTACGATAATCGGATAAATGCCCCGATAGACACGGTTCCCGAGGCAGGTGCGCGAACTGGTGCAGCCAATGGCGACGAATATGCCCCTTCGAGTCTGGCTATCCCTGACCTTGAGGATGGCCTCACGTCCCCAAATTCTTCTAATACATCCTTTCCCTTTAGTTCCAGCGGTCATATACCCCATTTGCCCGTATGATAGATCCTGAAGTGCTGGATACATAGCAAGTCCTCGGACTATAGTCACCCATCACAAACAATTGAACTTTTTGTATATCAAGTATTGTCATTGCTTTCTTTAGCCTACTTCTATACAACTCAATGTGTAAATATTCAATATCAACAGAGTGGCATGATCTGCAAAATAAATTTGGATTTCAAAGATCAAGCATCTGACAAGACATCATGATTGATGGAAATGCACGGATGAACAATAATCTGCACTTACAATACGATGATCCAGTCAGTAATGTCGACAGAGCTGCCAGCTGATCATCGGTAAATCGCCGGGAGTCTTCGTGCCAAGTGTCTTGATGGGTTTTCCTAAAATTGCTCGCGCACCTGTGGATAGTTGTCGAAATTGGAATCTGGAACGCTGAAGATCAACATATGCAGTCAAGCAAGTGAAGATTTGCTCACAGGATCATGTGTATGTTCCAGCATCACTGTCGTCAAGAGCCCTGGCATCCATTTCTCAATGGTGTACGGGAAACTGTCAATGAGGGCACATATGCCAATGATAGCGGCGTGCCGCTGACGAACAGCAGCATTGTAAACTAGCGATGTGCGATCGGGGAGTTGAACCTTTCCCGCCAGTTTGACGAATCGGTCCTAGACCAAAGAGTAGATAAAAATCGAAAGATGATGTGACTGCTGACCAACCTTCAAGGTCACAACACTGCGCCTCGGAGACAGTCGAAGTATTCCCGACAAGGTGCTGAACAAGAGTTAGAAGCGCTTTAAAGACAGGTTCTGAGACTCACGTCCCAACCATCTCTCGCACCTCCACGACTTCGTCGTCCAAGCATTGACACAATACCTGCAATTAGTTAGTGCAGGCGGGAGATAGATCAATAGAACTACTTACGTCCAGAATGTCATTGACTTCGCTTTCACTAATCAGAGGAAGTTGTCGAAAGTACAGAACTGGGTAATGTGATATCGTCAAGCACCAGACCAAAGTAGCAGCAACTCACCCTGTAGAATTGGTAGGGCCTTCAAGCGAACCTTCCACGACTACAAGAGTAAGTCTAGCACAGTTACGGCGTTGGTAGATGTCTTACTGGTGACGTCTGAATGGCGGAGAATATAGCACTCAATAAGGAGCCGATCATTGATCTTGGAGGGGCGACTCCGCACATGCGAACAAGGAGGACATTAGCGTGCCTTACTAGCTCCTCGTTATCATGCACTAAGGGGATGTTTTTAACATCGACTGGCATGTATCATCTACAACCGTACCTTCAGTGAAACGGAAAAGTTCAGGCTGAAAGAACCATAAATCATGACTTCCTCAGCAGCTGGTGATAGACTACGCACCATAAGAGGCAAAATATAGTCGAATGCAGATATAGCATCAGTACTGTGTACTGACAGGAATAACCATCGGCAAACGACGATCCCAACTCTGAGAATATTCAGCGGTCGCTTTGAAGAAGTGCACAACATCCCTTACCTGTCATAGGTTGACTGATAGGCTCTCACACCTGGTAGCCGCTCTTCTCTCCATACTCTGAAGTTGTCCACGAGTTCGAGAACTCTGCTTGTGTGATAGGTGCCACGTATGCCCATGATGTCTGCATCATCAGTCATTTCTCGACATGCCCGTACGAAAGCTTCGACATCGAGAGACGCTGGTTTGGGTTGCCACTATCCATCAAAGTCAGTGACCTATATATATAGCGGGATGTAGAAATCGCCAACCTTGATACCGTTGCAGAATGCCATCATCTCAGCAACATGAGATCTTACCTATTAGTACCCATTAGAATGCGTCAGTGAATCACAAATTAGAATGTGAAAGCACTGACATCATCGTGTTCACTGTGCACCTCGCGCCAAAATCGTTCCATGGTGCTGTCCGACCAAGATATGAATTTCCACTCTAATTCAGTGTAGAATGCCCGAAATAATGCTAGAACTTTGACGGATTCCAGGGATGATGGTCCGCTGTAGTCCATGCTCCTGAATTGTTCAACGATATGCTCAACAAGTGGTTGGAGTCGCCGCGGGTCTTTGTGATGGAACATGTACTAAAAGTCATTTAAATAGATGCACAAAGTTATAACCTCTCGGTCACACACCCCAATAAAGGAAGTCCAGATGGGTACAGTCTCTGTCTTCATGCTTTGACCTAGTGTCTTCTTGATGTAGGGAGTGAACCATTGCCAGATTCGATCTTGGGCCTCTTGTGGCCAGTGTTTAGAACCTGCAACAGTCAGCATACAAAAATTTACATCGGTAAGCTGCTCACCGTTCAAAACACCAGCCGCAAGTTCTGCCGCAGCCCTTTGCTTGTTCTTATCTTCGTCAGCTAGTAACATTTCTAGTTTGGGCTTCAACAGGTCCCAGGGCTCGTCACCCAATACTTGGACTATCTCGAAATTATGGAGGTTGATTGTGGACTAAGATCGGACTTACATATTGACTTGACACATGATATATGGTCTTGTACCACAGTGCTCTCATGGTTCTCTTCGGCGAAGTGTCCGGAAAGTTTCTTCCAGAAATCTGCATCAACTGTGATTTCACGTAGGCAAGATAAAGCCTCTGCGCTCGATGACTCCCATTCGAAGGTGCTTTCCGACTTATGAGGTGCTTTGTATGCTGCCAGTGTACCACTCCAGGAGAGCCACCCTTGGTGTAGTGTATCGCAATATATACTTCGATGGGGTGAGTACTTTTTAGCGCAACTCTACAAGGACCCACCTGTCGAGATCAAGAGTCTCCGAAGATCTAATAGGGACCCGTGACCTGAAATTGTTGAGTATCTCAGCGGTCGTCAGATATGACCCTTCAATAGGAATATTGCATCGTAGTGGGTTGATTGGGGAGAATAAAGCCAAAGCCGCCGGATTTCGACAGTACGATCGAAGCTTGATGTATCTGAGTGCTTTCATGATACCTCTTTGCGCATACTGGTACGTAGAGCAAGTCAGTTCGTGACTAATTCGATGTCAGTCATGGTCTCACATAACGCTAATATTCACAAAATGTCAGCGTCCTTACAAGGTCCTGGTAAACCACAGAAACGCACCATAGTAGGATTACTGTCACATACTTTCTCCAGGAAAAGACGAAGGTGACCAGGCGAAGTTGGGGTATCCCGGCGCAGCAGAGTGCGGAGGACCCTAACTGCCACTATCGCATAGCGCCAATGTGTGGTGGTGTCATCGGCAGTTTCGAGAACCGTTTGAGTCTGCTCAAGGCTTGGTGGTGAGACATATCGATAGGGATAGTATGTTACCTACCGCGAGATTATATCCTTGGTTCATCAAATGCACACGCTCGATGCGCTTCTCATGGGCCCGGACAGTGATGGAATCCTCTGACTTGCCAAACGACAAGCAGGCCTTCAAAGCAAATAAGGCTTCATCGAGGGCGTTATTCTTAACGTCATAGATGAGATTGCAAGGCTCCGAGAAACTAGCCAGACCTCGAAGTAGCTTAGAAAGATAACAAGAAGAGAAAGTGGTTTTCTTACATGTATCTGTTACAGTAGACACACAATTTTGGATAGAAGGCTACAAGAAGCTGTCACCCAGTTTGAAGAAGATCAAGAGGAAAAGTACCTTTTCATTATGATGGCACCCGAGGAGCTGCTGGATAAATTCTGGCACTAACGTCGGTTCTGAGACAGAATGGGTCTAGGTACTTCAAAAAAGACGTCCATATTACTCACCCGATATCGCAAATCGCCCTGAGAAGATGATTAGATGAAATTTATCACTGTCAAGAGGCATGGCTCACCAAATGATGATATATTCAATGTCCACAACGCTCCTTTCATGCGATCGTCATCAGTACCAGGCTGTAGGGCTTTGTACAATGCCGGAAGAGCTCGAAGACGAAGACCATCGTACACCTGCACACGTGACAATTATACGCCCGTGGTACCATTGAAATATATAGACACCTACTGAAGTTAAAGATTCAAGAAGGGACTGGCTTGATCTTAAACAAAAGGCTGAATCTTCATCAAGAGAAATGAACTAGAGTTCACTCACTGCCGCACTGTAGGTATGTGAGATTAATCAGAAGTATTCATGAAACATGAAACCAAGAACGATTGATTACCTGATGGATAATGCCACATTGACCATTCAACGACATCGTCCAGCAAGGAGTTCTCAAGCGGACCTCTAGCTCGCTCAATGGAGTTCCAGAATAGTCGAGAGGAATGATAAAATCTAGCACATATGCAGAATTAGGAAATCGAAGCAAGAAAGAAAAGTGAATAGAAGTTTACCGAGCTCTTCGAACAAACACTGCGCGCGGCCAAACCTTCTGTCCTGAATATTGACGAGCTACATCGATCTCCGAGTTGTATTGGTCGGAGTTTACATAGTAGCTGTGTGAAATGTTTGATAACGTCCACACAAGTAAAGTCACATTACAAACCTGTCCTTGCTGTCGCCGTACTCAAGCAAGTAAGTGCGAATTGAGCTGATCTTTAGAAGTGTGAAAAGTAAGTCATGAGATATTATAAGAGTACGTACAAGCATCTGTACAGCATCAACTGTGTTCTCCTCGCCTTGTCTTTGCAAAGACAGGGACGCTGTGTGCAAAAACTCCCCGAATCGACGCCGGAGTTTAGTAATGTACTTATACCGTGCATCTTGCGGGTCTGTGAGGCAGAAGCCAGAAGCCAGAGGCTCGACTGATGCAATCATTTCGGGAATTTCATTACTGCAGACAGGTTAGATAAACACAACATGCCACGGGTGCTAACATGACGTACATAATGTCACTTGAGGCGAGCATGGATTGCAACACGTCTGGTGATATAAACTCCTTAAAGAGCGTTGGAATTCCGGAGAACGCTTCTCGGACAAAACTGAGATAACTACTCGAGGGTATCAGTTTGTGGTTGATCGATTAGTCGCTGTAAACGCACCGACAAAAGTCATTCCTCCAAATGGCATCTCGAGACGCTTTGCTGCTTTTCAGTATAAGTTTAAAAGATGCTGCACAAACCCACAGGTTTCAAGCAACGAATCAAGCCGAGTCATCGCAGGTTCCACCAACTCGCGGAATAGTTGAAGCGAAAAGTCGATCTCTTCGGCACTTGGGACATGCCATGTGATCTACAGTGCTGAGTATATCATACCCTTCCAATTGTCAAATGTTGCGCACCTTGATCTCACCGGGCTCAAATAACTTCCCCCAGTATAAGTGATGGTTTCTCTGAAATTCTGCAGGTACTCAGCCAACGCATCTTGAAGAACAAGATGCGAACCTTCATCATTCCACTGTTCGGGGTTGACAAACTTGTTTTCGATCGGGTAAGTGTGAGTGAGTGTGATTAATGCGCTGGAGAGTAGCTTCCCACTCCAATTATACCCCCGTTTCGAGAAAGTTTTGTCGCGTAGCAAAGTTAACAATGACAAGAGTTCGCTCTTGTACGCGAGCAGCTAAAGTGACGTTAACTCACACCCGAGTAGCCGGTTTAGGATCACTAACTGCTGAACCGTCACTGTTCAGGTGTTTGTTAGCGCATACAAAGTACCTAGGAGAGAACACACTTATACACACAACCGCGCAGAATAGCGAGATCTATAATGTAACAATGATATTAGCGCTCGACACTGCTACAGTCAGAATGAAATCCTACTCCAGTGCAGAGTCGCATCCGATGGAAGCGGCAATGACGGAGATGTCGTCCTCACTGAGCTTGCACCATGTTCTATTTCTGTGCGGATGTTTGCCACACAGAATGGCAAGAACTTGGCCAAAGTCTTTTCGGGGTGGGCATTCGCAATGCATTCGACTAACTGGTGTATCGCACGGACAGCATTAGAACGAACATTTGTGCTTGCGTAATCGAAAATCATGTTGAGGACGAGGTCGAAAAGTGGATCGGATAAATGAACACAGATTTGACTGCATGCGCCAGTCACAGCGTCAACCACTTGTACTGAACAAACCTGGTCAGCTAATAGAAACATTTCATGGGAAATCAAGATACCTTCTGTAGTACCTCCGGCTGAACCATTCGGTCCTTCTTCCGGGAGATTCTCAAGTAGTTGGATAACGCGACGTATGAAGCTGGCTACCCAGCTCGCAAAACTGCCAGTGCTGTCTCTGAGAAGCGCATCCTCAGCTTCGTTAGATAACTTCAGTTCGATAGTATCCTCCACGCCATCATCTAGAGTAATTTGACCAGGGGAAATATCCATGTCAGAAGCATCTGAACCCTCCAAGGATGTTACGTCCCCAAACATGATATACTGTGACACTTCCGATAGAAATGTCGTCGTGCAAAGCTTATACATAAGGCATTAGACAGGGGAAGCATTTAGAGGGTTTAAATACCGTTTTAGTTGGGTCGTTCTGCATTTGACGAGAGTGAAAAAGTAGCGTTCAGATGAGACTAGGTACTTACGAGATCGATACCAGGTATAAGCAACTGCAAAATGGTGATCAAATGCTTAGCACCTGGATAATAAATATCTCGAGAAACGATTGCAGGAACAATAGAGCTCAGTGCTTTAATCACTGACAAGGTACGCTGGGTCTAAGGAACTGTGAGAAAGAAACAATCGATGACGGGAGCAGCGGTACCTCAACGAGAGCCTCTAGCGAAGGGATAGCTCGTTCCAGAATTGGCTGGAATACTAGGTCAGGCTCCATGCACGACATGGACTTCAGAGCGCTCTGGACATTTGAAACAGTGGAACTGTCCTGGGAGAAGACGGCAAGTAACACAACTGTCCGGAGGCACTTGACCAGTTCTCTTTTCATCTCTCGCGTGAGCCGGCGAGTCTGATCGGTAACCTAAATTTCTTCACTGATTAAAGAAATACAAATTACGTACCAGAGGTACCTTGCAGTCGGACAGTTGTTCTTCGTGCCAACCTTGCAACTTGTATGTTAGCATCACACTAATGAGCACTTGAACCTAAAAGGGACTCACGTTTGTTGAACTCGTACACAATGTACTTGACGAAGGCAGTGAGCTATATGACATGGTCAACAATTGCGGTGTCAACCAATAACTTAGCGGAAATTCAAGCCCGATGTGAATGAACGACGAACATCGGATGTCCAACTTCCAGAGTTGGTGGGGTGGAAAAAGTGCTCCGTAGAGGCAATGAGACGTGCAAGCGAATCCAGAGCTTTAGAACCACCTAAATATAGCTTCGATGGCTCCCACTTATGGAGCGGCACTGTGAGATATTCGCCTACAGGACCGCTGACATGGGGCGTGCTAACACCTGAAGTCACTGGTGTACACCACGGCGTAGACGCAGTAGAAGGAGGTGCAGAAGGACCATCAGGAGCCATAGAGTACACGATAAGTTTGGCAAGAGATGCTAAATGAGATGTCAGCGGAGCTGTTTCTGCTAGGGAAACCTTCTTACGGATACGCCAGTTTGCTTTGGGCAGCCTTCCAATTTCAAAACTGGAAGAAGTGTCGGCTGTAGGTCCCGTGGTGAGCGACCCAGCATCCTTCAGTGGAATTGCTACAAAAGGCACCGATAGTCAGTCAGCCTTGATTGAAGACGTAAATTATCAATAGCTGCCCACCCATCGAGGCAAGGCATTTGCACATAATAAGATGCCATTCGTGCTCAGTGAATATTCCAACTTCCTTATAGAGGCCAGACCACGTCTGTCCTGCATGGTAATCATCTTGTTTCCACTTCGGTCTGCCCTCATCTTCAGACTTTTCATCATCGAGAATATTATAAATGTGAGCAGGATCACTGATAGTTGGGTCCACATGCATTTCTGCGAGGCGTGACAGGAATTGCAACATCCTTTCATCGTACATGTAGGAGTTGATAGACTCCCACAAACGACATAACATAGGGAGATACGATTGAGGATGTGTCAATGGTAAGAAGGTCAGAAGATAGTACTGTGACGAAAGAACGCTCTGCAGGAAAGCTAAGGAACGTGTAGCTGTTTCTGTTGAAAAGTACTCACGTCTAGATTGGTCCCATTAAACCCTGGCAGGAAAGTGCTCAGCATCTCTTCAATGGCCGCGGGGTGGAAGAACCTCCTCGATATATCAGCGATGTAGCCCATACACCACGAGAGTTGGCTACGTTGACTGTTAGATAACACAAACATCGAAGAGTAAGCGTGACCTGCCTGTACTCGAATTGACGCCGAGTTAAAAACAAGTCTTCCCGAAGGATATCATAGATGGGCTTCCATGGAAGTCTCATGTCGTCAATGCTCAATTTATTTTTCGAATGAGTCAAATGTGCCAACCCATCCGCGCAGATGGCCATGACTTGCGTGGGCATACCAGGGGTCGTTGCAACATGAAAATACAGCTTCGCAAGACGAATGCGCTTCTCCTTCGGAAATGGATACTTGAGCATTTTCCAACTGCAATACCCGTAAGAAAATTTGTATTCCTGGGTTGATGATTACTGGCGCTCACTAAGTGATCATGCTGTCCCACTGGACAAGACCCGGTTCGAAGTCCTTTGCCTCTACGCATTGCGTTATACGCCTCAGGATAAAATCCAACATGTCCTGCATCCGAGCATTTGATTCAATTGCATATGGGAGGGAAGTCGCATAAAGCTTGAGCTTCTGCATATACCGGTCAGTTGCATGATTAATGTCGTCTGGAATTTCTGTCTGGCATATCTCAGGACCTGGATCATCCAAGGCCAGGCGAGAGATGTCTGGAATGATAGTCATAGTGTTCTGTTAACAATGTCAATGAAAGTAAATCGGAAGAGAAATAGTTGCCCGTTCAGAGAATGGAGAAATAAGAATTAGTCAGGGTTTGATCCATAACCGACGGTGTGCCAGTCCGCCGGATGTGCGACATTATCGCACCTTTCTCTGAACAGCACAAAATGTTTGATTGGTTTTAAGTGCGGGATAGGATAGCGGTAACGATGGATGTTATTATTACTGATGCTCAGGGCACATCTCTGATACAATAGAACTGCGACCGCTCGTCGTGATGTCGATCAGCATCAGTCCACAGCGACGCTAAAGGCCGCATCCTGAAATTCCTTCACAGCCTTTTCCCGCACCATCTCCCAGATGATATTCCGTTGTGCTCGAGTATCTCCAAGACCCTCCCTAATTTCCTGAAGACGCTCGACATACTCCCTCCCATCGTCTTGTAGCTCCCGCAAAGTTGCTAGAGACTTTTCTAGACTATCCTGCTGCATCTCCGGGGAAGCGAAATTGTGACGGATCAATCACAGGTGGACCATTGTCGGCATACGAAACCAGGAAAAGTTTATGAGCTGTTGGGGTAAGATCTGGAGCGCGTGCCACCCTACGTTCCTGCTCGTCTTCTTCGTCTTCGATATCTTCCTGCTCTTCCTGTTTCGGAATCACACGCTCCTCATCCAATTGTTTGTCCGGGTCTTCGCTGATAACTTGCCAGAGCCGCCCAAGAGCACGTCTCATGACCGCTTCTCCTTCAATAAGACTATTGGTAGCATATTCCAGTTCATCCAACAAACTTGACCGGAACGAATGCGTCACAGACTTATCCATGACAAATGAGGCGAAACTGAAATGCTGACTGATAGGCGGTGGATAGGGAGCAAGAAATGGTGGTGAAGGCGACCGCATATGGGGAAGGCAAGGTGGGGAGGGCGATCTTCTTTCGGGTAACAGACATTTAATGCGTTTACGGGCACGATCCTCAGCCTGTTTAGAGGTTAAGAGTGTCTAGAGTAAATAGCTTAGCTCACCTCCCAGTCGTCCATGCCAGGGCCCCACGCAGCCATTTTTCCTTTGCGAACCCATCTACTGTTTTTCCTCATCTTGTTTCCCCAGTTTCCGCCCACTATGCTGACTGTCAGGTCTTCATCATCTGAACTTACGCCTTGCGAGGGGTAATACCACGCGTTGTGATCATTGAGGACCAGCAGACTAAACAGGTCGTGAGAGCTCTAAAATGCACGCGTATTCGGGGCTAACCTCATTTCTTCATGAGCTCTTTTCGGTGCGCTTTGCATAGTATCTGCCGAACGTTGTGATAATAAACCAATATCATAAAATACTCTGGAGATTCGACAACAGCTTCGTCACGTGCAAGACGTGACTTGTCACGCTCAGTGTCACAGCTTCGGAAAGCTCCTCTGAATCTCTGATCATGAAGTCCGACGGCCCGCCTTGGCTTCATACGTAAAAAACTGTATAGTCCCTGGTCTTGAGGAGGGCTTCCGACTTCTGCGACAGGGAATGCAGATGCAGCACACTCCCCAAGGAATGAGAAGGACTATGTTATAACAACGGCTGTACCTGAGTGATATTCGCGCGAACGGTTTCATTTGGGAATCATCGCTGCTGAGTGTGCGCCGTGGTCACAAAATATGTAGATGTACATACATACATACACACACTACCAGCCTATCAACAAAGCGAAATCATGTCTCTTGCTTGTATCTCGTAATGAATGGAAAATTTGCCTGGGATTGTAGGATGACTCCGCTTACGACTCTGAGATTGTTCTCGTGCTTTGCGATCCTAGCGCAGCACCTTCCTTCCTTGCGACGCTTGCTTGCTCGAAGCTTTGCATTCCCTCTAGACCCCACCTAGACATCATTGCCTTGTCCTGCAGCAAGGTTGGCTGTCGTCAGCTACATGCAAACCTGAAAAATCAGAGATTTACCTCATCCCATGGAGAACCTTTGTCAATCATCAGCTAGCTGTTTGCACGTGAATTAAAGACACGTACATGGAGTGGTCAACATCTGTTCTCCCGTGAACACAGCATTAGCGCCAGCCATGAAACACATGGCCTGCTCAGATTCACTAAGCGTGTTTCTTCCCGCTGCAAGTCTGATTATTGTTCCTGGGAGAACAATACGCGCGGTGGCGATCGTCCGCAGTAAAGTATGATGAGCAACCCGCTTTAAAAATACGTCAGATGAAACATAGACACAAATGAAAGAAGCGCACTTCATTTCCTTCGAGTGGAGTGCCTGGTATTGGTACGAGTGCATTTACAGGAAAGGATTCTGGGTGTTCTGGCATACTTGTAGAAAAAAATCAAAAAGGTTATGAGTGACGGTCGAGGGGTCGAGCACGAACATACTTGGCAACTTCCTGAATCAAGCCGATGCGATCCGCATCCGACTCTCCAAGACCTAATATACCGCCGGAGCAGACACTTATTCCAGCATCTCGAACTGCACTAATCGTGCCCAGGCGCTCATCGTATGACCGCGTCGTGATGACCTAAGAAAGATGAAGGCAACAACTCCAAAAGATAATATTATGCACCAAACCTGCGGATAAAATTCACGCGACGTATCAAGATTATGATTGTATGCAGTGAGGCCGCTAGTCCATACAAATGTGAGATGAGTTGAACCTGAGAGATAGCAAATACATACGCCTCTTTCAACTGTTTTGCTTGCTCTGCAGTAAGCATGCCAAGAGTCGTGCAGACTTCCATCCCCATGCCCCGGACCTCTCGGACCATTTGAAGAATTCTTTCAAATCCTCTCTTGCGTCCTGCGAGGTCCCTCCATGCTGCACCCATACAAAACCTTGTGCTTCCATTCTCTTTGGCCTTTCGTGCTGCTTCGATGACAGGTTCGATATCAAGCAAACGTGAAGCCTTCGTCGGAGTGGAATATCTGGATGACTGAGAACAGTACGAGCCTGAGTAAATAGGTTAGACGAATGCAGCTTTATTATTCGATATCATAAGCTCCCTACAGTCCTCAGAACATCCACCAGCTATAATCTGACATTCAGTACACTGATAAAGGTGATAGAGCGGGAACAAAGCGCACTCTTGATATTCATAAGTGTGCATAGCTGGATCTTGCTAGGGTCATGATTCTGACGGTGGATGCTGCTCGCGCGGAAGACAAGGTCTAACAGAGGACTGTCGTAAATCTTTTGGATTTCTTGTCGCGTCCAGTCATGTCTTTGTGGTGCCGAACGGGATGTATGGGATACAGTTGCAAGCGATCTGCTGAATCTGGGAGCAGATAGCCGAAGAAATCCAGCACTGAAGTTCATGATGGATCGAAGGCAATTCGAGGGCAGGCCTAACTCGGAGGCGATGTATGTAGATTATCACGCGTATCGGTCTAGAGTTTGTTATCACCGAGACTCCACTATATGGGGAACTAGCATTCACCATTACATACTTTCAAGACACAGGACGATAATGACGTGTTAATATTGTTACAAGTTCGTGGCATAACGGACATGAGTGCCAGTGCGATACAAGTGATGCAGATTTTATAAAATATAAAGATATTTGGCTAGGTATCAGGGAGAAACATGTGTGAAGCTTGTGCAAAGCTGATTATTTGGAGATGGGGGTTGAAACGTTGAAACCTGCTTGGTTTCAGATACCATCGCGGTATCACTGACGTCGAGCTCACCAGAAGAGTCAAATTAGTATGTGGGGTTGACTCGGACGAGCTTCCAAGTTCCAGCGGAGGATTTCTGAACTTTTAAACGCCTCTGAGTCTTCACGGTCGTGCTTTATTTCACTGGCAGACTCTCCGTCTGATGGTCAGGAGCTCTAACTGATGAAGTAGTACGCCTAGTGTCCTTCTGTGCGATTAAAGGTCCAGGGGAAGCCAACAAAATGGCCTGCGTAGCATCGGCCAAGCACGCATCCAAATTTTGCGCATCAATTGTTTTCCGTACCGCAGTCCGCTGCCGGAGTGTGTACGCCGCTAATTCACGGGAGTAGAGTGATTTCTTTTGTTCCAAGGATTGGGTCGGCATGCCTGAAAGAATTGATGGGACTATATAGAATGACAAAGACTAGGCCCGGGAGTGAGATTTTGAGAAATGAAAGGTAGCCAGGAGATCAGCCTTATATAGCTCGTGACCGAGAAATCCGTGTTGACTGTGACTTTGCAGGTTCATCGGGGTCAGCATGACGTTTTTGGAGTTGCGCATCGGTGTCAACCCGACACTAGTACTGGTATTTGATTTGACTCAAGAAAGGCTCCGCTGAAGGCCCAAGTAGGTCATACGAAACTCAGAATGCTACACGCTTAGCGCTATACAATTATAATACAGCTATAGTACCGAGAATGTAACACGACAGGAAATCGATGGTCAATGAAAGTGCAAAAAGAAGAGCGAGAATGCTACACACTCAATCTAAATCAAAGCTACGAAAACAAAGTAATAAAAGCAATGCAAATGGTATGATAGACGTTAAACGGTGTGGTATGGTAGAGCATTGTCCGGATTATCGTTCGTGGTTGTTTGGGCATGAATAGGCGTACAGAGAAACGGTGCGATCTCGTTTAAAACATCATCAGCGGCGAGTGATTGAGGCAGACTGGTAGCCACTCTTGCCCTTGGGAGGTGCACCAAGCATCACACCACCGGTGAGAACCGTAGTCTTGCCACCGTCGTAAGGTGTGACTTCAGTCTTGGAAGTGTCAATGAAGACACGAGCCTGCCTGGCTTTCTCGCGACGGGAGAGTATGGATGAATGACTGTCGCTTTGAGAGGACAATGTAGAGGCGGTCGTCACAGAGAAACAGGAGTCCGAGTCGGACGAGCGATAGCTGGAGGATGAATCGGTAGATATAGCAGACAACGGTGATTCAGAACGCGAAGGAACAGGGAAACGGTCGGTGACAGGGGTCATCCAAGTGGGCGCACTGACTTCGTCAGCGATCAAGGCGAAAAGTTCATCGTCATCTGTGCAGTCATTCTCCAAGAGTTGCTGGGCAAATGTCTTAGATTTGGATGGCAGGTGACTGAAATGCGTATGAGGTGGCACGAAAATGGTCTGAGCCATCAGCTCCTCTGACCAGATTGTGATGAGCTTAGCGCCCTTGCCGAAACGCACAGAAATGCATCCTGGATCGACAAAGAAGTCGAACTCACGTCCACCCATGACTGCAATCCAGTCGAACCATTGGACACTGGATGCAAGGCACGCAGCATAGACGGCACGTGGAGGGAGGCAAGTAGGGGAGAGGGTGAGGCAACGGCGGCCAGAGCCACGAAGGGGTTCCCTGGGATCCCAAGAAGGGGCAAATAGCGCAGTTAAGTTTGCCTCGAGGGCGAGCTGAAGCCTGATGATTGTTGCAGCAGGGTGCGTAAGAATAAGAGGACGAGTGAGGTAGGCAATGGCCTGGGCGAGAGTGACGGAAAGGCTGGATGCAGTAGTCATGATTGTAAACAATAAAGTGATTGGAAAGATTGAATGGGTGGTAATAACAGAAATCGCCCTGCGATGATAGATGCGGGAGTGAAGCACGCTGAAAAGATACTTGAGAGTGTGATACAGTCTTCAAGTAGTACTGAGTTTTGATTCAGACGGAGAGATCGAACGTCTGAAATGATATTAATTGGGATCTTCTGAAGCAAAACTAAAGAGCTGGCTCACCTAACAGACTAGAGGAAGAGGCCATAGAGCGGTTAGTTGAAAACGAAACGACATTCGAAGAAGTGCATAACGAACCTGGCTGCAAGGATAGAAAGTTATGATGACTGGATTATCAAAACCCGGATGGAGAGTATGGGAGGTATGGGGCTAAGCTTTATATGTATGAAATGCCAAGAACGAGCGCCTGGCGTAAACAAAGACATGCTGCTGGCAGAGCGCCCCTCCATAATGGTCGCGAAGTGAGAACAAAAGGACCATGAATAATTTCCTTTTCTGACAACAATAGTGGGCACACGTGCTGCCGCTACCGCTAGCGATCTCGACAAAAACAAGTTTACGCCCGACCTTTACGTCTCGTAATAGGTCGAGGATGCTATTGTTTTCTCTGGGAGGAAGCGTATCTTTGCATCATTTCCTTGGTCGTCGTTAGCAACACCGTTGATGATCTTTGAATTGAAAGCGCAGGAAGATGTCCCAGACGAGGTCGAGCGGGCGGTTCCGCAAGCTTAGTCATATTGACTCTACCATATCGCCGTCGAGCTTTCTCTCATCTTCGATCAACAGCGTATCGCTTGACCTGCCGCCTCAAATTTAACCACGAAATCACCCTGAAATCTTGTCAAAAATGGTATGTATGGCATCTGCGTATCCGTTTATTTGTGCGGGATACTCACAGAATCCGATCAGCCTTTGGCTGTCGATCTATTGAACCCCTCTGCAGAACATGAGCGCAAGCAGCACAAACTCAAGCGTCTCGTGCAATCCCCCGACTCTTATTTTATGGATGTAAAATGCCCAGGTGTGTCCTGTCCCGTCAGATCTGATAACATTAATCTCACATCATTGTTTGCTAGGATGCTTTGCCATTACTACTGTATTCTCACATGCACAATCAGTCGTGCTTTGCGGCTCGTGTGCGAGTGTCCTCTGCCAACCTACGGGTGGTAAGGCAAGACTGACTGAGGGTATGTTATTGAATTGCGATGTTCGTCTGCCACTAACGTCACTTTTATAGGCAGTTCTTTCCGTCGGAAGAATTAGATACTACAATCTTTCACACTCACGTCACGCTTCGCACCCATCTTCCCAAAAAGTCATATGATGTGGTACTGGTTTTGAATTGTTACACCTTCTCTCGCAAAATCTGAGATCTAACTTGTCGTTCGTGTACTTTCTCATCGGAAGGCGCACACAATACATACCATTCTTCAGCCCTACAATTACCTCAATAGCATGTCATGCGCAGGCGAGTGATCGCCGTCATGGCTGTACACGTTCTGCCAGCGGGGCTAGAACTGACGCTCGGCTACCTTATTACCCATCGACTAGAAATGTCTTTGTTGAAGCAAGCCTAGTGATAAATACTCGCTGCGTCCAATACAACTGCCCAGCACTCTCGAAGGTCTTTGCATATCACGCACTACTTTTTATTTCAAGCCCAAACATAGCAGTTAGCTGACAGGATAGCTTACCTTCCGCTTAGTATTATACAGGCACACCATGGTATCTTACGTCCACTACTAGTAAGTACATCAACTTGAAGTGTTGGCGCTGCGCGGTCGTAAGGGTTGATTGTGTTAGGGCAGGTTTAGCGATACAGTACATGCCACATGGTACCAGCTGGTGCTCGGATCCTGGGCGGTATTGAGCATAGCCCTCGGTGATCGATGATAGGTCGCCATTTACCAGTGCATGTCGTTCATTACAACTTTCTTGGCAGAACTAAACCTTATTAAGACGTCCTCGATGATGATCACGGTCAACTTCCGTGAGCCGTGTCAAACGACCCAGGGCAAACCCAGGGTACTGCCAGGCTAATATTCACGCAGATACAGCCAATGTCGATTCGCACTGAAAATCAAGATTTACTCATAGGTGTGAAAGACCATTGAAATTTTAGACGTGCGGTTGACTCGGAAGGGTCGCCTTGTGTCCGAAACTCAATGGTCTGCTAACGGCAGCACGTTTACCTTTTGATGGTCGCATGGTCCGTCACGCCTTACAACAGTTAGCCTTGGTGATGGTATTTCAACTTATCTCCCCTCAACTCCACACTTCATGTGACAATGTTTGCTTCTCCGAATCGACTAAAGCAGAATTCAGGAACCAAACGCTGGACTATATCTACCACAAACGCTTTAACCTTTCATCATCTGTCCTCCAAGCTTACCGCTCGCCCTCTAACAAAATGCCTATAGTCTCAGATGATCCCTCTTGGTGGCCGACCATTAATGCAAGCATGATTTCTAGCTATTTTATAGGTTCGTGGAGTCTGTCAGTTGATGCCCCAGTGATATTCCAGTAACTTTGGCTGCGGATTTACAGTGGCTGCCTCTGTTGGAGTGGGGTACGATTGGGGTGAGCGGGATGGTGTTTAAGACCTGCTGAAATCCTTAATAATAATAATAATAATATCTCCAGCACTGACGTTAGCACAAGAGGTAAGTTGATGCCATTTTTGAGGCAATCATCTCTCTAAGAATAAAATGACTTTACAGGTCGAATTGATCTGGGTGAGTGAAGTCCCATGTCAGGAGAGCACAACCATTGATTTATGACAGAGGCAACGTTGGTCCCTGATGACTGCTTTGTATCTATGTGTATGTACCTTGGATTATAATTGTGGTCGGCAGTTCGCGCTTACTTGAAAATCTTTCAGCTGCGCTATATTGGACTAGCATTTGCCGTGTATGTTCAAAAGGTTCAACATTGTCACCGTGCTAATGTACCAATTCTTACGATCAGCGTCAGCATATTGTGTATGTCTCCTCGCATGCGCTATGTTTATTTCTTCTGACCGGCAGCATACAGCTCAAGTCCCGACAATTTCGTTGACAGATACAGTGAGTATTTTGCACTGATGCCTGCCATTCCCGTGTATTCATTCAACTGCACCCTCATGTAGGGGTGAGTGAGCTTGTTGACCAGCTTGTTGCCTCAATGTAATGATTGCCACAGCTGTAAGTTGATTGAGAATGTATGATCCTCAAGGCTGGTCACTAACTGGATTTTAGGCCATATTTACTTTATCGCAATAAATTGGATGACTTTTGTTTTGACTGGAATGCTAAGTGGTGAGCCTTACGACTGCGACGCGTTGATCAGTGACACTGACTTGACTGAACAATCCAAGTCATCATGATCGTTCGATTATATGCCATGTATCAGCGATCTAGAAAAGTGCTGATACCTCTCGTCGTCATCTTCCTGGTTCTTAACATCATCAGTGTGACGATTGCCGGAAAAGTAACCAAAAATAGTTCAGCGGGCAAGTATTCATTATGGATAAAAAATGGATTCTTTCACGCTCATTGGGAAACACCAGTGGTACTCGTTCTCTCTGGCAACTACTATGTGTGCTCCCCGAGTTTTGACGGAATTGGCGTACTTCTAGTTGACATCACTTGGATAATCAGTATTGCATGGGAAGTCCTCGCACTGTGTCTTGCAATCTTGGTTGCTGTAAAACACATCCGTGAACTGCGACAATCATCAGCAGGACGGATTGTCGAGGACTGTTTCACAGTGCTGATAAAAACTCACGTGGCTTACTTTACGAGGTGAGTTCATGATGTTTATGCGGTTCTCTTTTTTGTTCGCTAAAGTTTTGAACCTGCTAGCTTTCTTGCTGTGTCTTGCTTCGAGATCGGTTATTTGTCTCCGATGCTGTCAGCGGTATGTCGATCCAACATTCATGTCTCTATGCAAGCAAGATTCATCGTCTTTATAGAACCCATATTCCTTGGAGACTCAGATATATCTTGGCTTTTCCCAGATTTTCCTACTCGTACAGATGGCCGTGATGGGACCCCGCCTGATCCTTGGTGTTCGAGAATTTAATGCTGCCCTCTCGGCCGACTCCGATGCAGAAACCGCTATGACTACGATCGCTTTCCAGGAGCGCGTGCATGTAACAACTGGCAGTGGTGTGTAGCCGAGAAATGTTCAACGTGATTAAAACTTGTCGGATACTCGGCAAGGGGCGGGACAATTTACTTTTTGTTTTCAAGTTTCGTTGTGGTACTTACTAACTATGGACATTAGCTACATTTGTCGCTGTCGCGTTCAATAAGTCTTGAAGACGCCGTCGTAATTCAACATTTAAATACCAAATTCCGTTTGTATCTTCAAGTGTCAAATAGATAACACTCTACAGCTTTGCCTTGTTTTCGGTAGGACCTCGTATGTTAGCCCGCACCACGCCCTCTTGACATGTGACCGCAACCAGGTTGCCAGCTCGCGAGTACAACTTAGATAGCGTCAGAAATTCTGAAAAGGCTGTGACAAATATAAACATCACACACCCTGCCATGAACCACTGCTCGACCGGATGCAGCTCGAGGACAGATTACCTACATAAGGAAATATATCAACAGGAATGACTTTTCTTATAATGATACGACACCTACCACGTAGAGTAAACCATCTTCACAACAAAAATTGTCGCTAGCAGCAGTTGAGAACATAACAGGTCAAGGAATGGAGAAGAAACATACTCATAGTACCATATGGAATGATCTAGTGAAGACTGGGTAAAGTCTGTAAGCAGGTTCGAAGGTACAAAACGCCACCGTACTCACAGTCAGAGAATGACCGTCAGGACCATTTGAAAAATTCTTGAGTTTAAGAGCATCAGCCGCAGCGCCGATGCTAGACATAGCGGAACATAAGAATATCACCCGTCAGTCGAAGGCTGCTTACAAGTTGAGGTCCGAAAGGTATGCTAGAATACACTGATGATGTGGATTAGACGGGAATCAACTAACCATGGACTAAATCCTACCTTCTGGTAAGGTGCTCCATAATGTGATGCTTGACCTGTTCGAGCTTGCATCCAATACATGAATGTTTGTGTATCATTCTCGACAGTGAATCCAGCCCTTCTAACTGAAATCGGACCATTTTCTTTTTCCTAAAGCTAAGGTAAGCTGGATTGCGGACTTGAGCAGTAGAGCAGACATTACAATTGCATGGGACAAGAACAGGTCCCGAACTTTCGGAGGAAGGTCCTCCGTCGTAGCCCGACGTCTGAACCGCACCTCCTCAAGCTCGCACTCCTCAAGTGGGGGCACCTCGGGCATGGCCCATTGGTATGTAGGCTGCCATGGTTCTGGCTTGTGGTAGGAACACATTAGCTGGAATATCACCTTTCCATTCTGGACTGCTTTGACGCTCCGGGTAGTGTATGACCGCCCTTCGCGTAGCCGCTCGACGAAATATATGATAGGGATGGCAGGAGATGCACTTAGAAGAAAGTAACACTAGATGCAATTGAGTTTTGTCGCTCAAGAAGTTATACACGTGCGGCTCACATGCAAAGACTAGTGGGTGACAGCGTTCCATTAACTTTCGGCACTGGATATGAAGAAGTGTGCCCTTACATGCAACCCAAACACAGGATCGACACAATTAGTAGCGGCGACTATTGCTTGTGAGATGACCTGCCCTCCGAAAACTCCTCGAGCCCTCGTCGGTTTGAATAAAGTCTTTGACCGAAAGAGATTTACTTCGATCTGCTCAATCTCCAAAGAGGTGGAAATTTTGGAGCTTTCGGCTTGGTTTGGATCATCCATAGTAAATGCCTGGGCTGCGGCAAAATAGTGTGGCCTGGGAGACTACTGCGGTCTTCGAGAAGTCTCAGGCTAATAGTGGTACTTCAAATAGATCCGCCGTAACCAGTGAGGTGTTCTGGAGTGAGTACCAGTAATTCCAAATAAGCTGTCAATGTTAGTATGAGACTGAAAGCAGATGAATTGCACCGACTGGATCACCCGCTGGATGGGAATGGATGGGGCGACGACAACTCAGCTTAGTACCCATCAATAACCGGTTGAGTTCACCCATGAGCATGTGAACGGGACGGTGATCGGAACCTTTTGACCCGGCTATATAGCCCAAGTAAAAATCCCAGGCTCGGGCGCTGCGTATACTGGCAAATTCAAAATGTGCAAAGCGAGTATATGATATTTATGGTTGGATACAATTCTAAGTCCTGGATTAAGTTATGCGAATTCACAGGTGAGTAAGTGCTTAAAAGACCTCGACGTCGATGGTGAATCCACATTCATGGCAAACTTGCCGACCCATGCCATCCCCAAGGTCTTCTGTTACTCCGAAAGCATGTTTATGCTCCTGGTCTTTTCGTCTTTGCCACACGCCTTCTCTAGTCCGTCTGCGCAAGTCTCGAAGTCCTTCCTCGAACTTCTTGTTTTTCTTTTTCTTCTTCTCCTCCGTTCGACGCTCCCATTCAGCATCTAGAGCTTCTGCTGAACCCCATTTCTTCCACGCAAAATCTTCGACTTGACATCGCAAAAAGAGCATCATATTCGCAAACGTTGACTTATGAGGATTAGCTTTCAGTAGATGTGGTAACAGCTCTCGATCCCGAAGTTCGGCTGGACCCCATCAGTATATGCACTACGACCAAGTCAACAACTCACGGTCGGTTAAGAGGTAATCCTGATAATCTGTTAGAGAGGACAAAAGTGTAGGAGAATCGAGGACATACTTCTTTGCATTCGGTCTTTGTCAACAAACTGTATTTTTCTGGGTATTCATCCTTGCATTTGTTACATACCAGGCATCCAAATATCTTCTTGTACGTGTAATCAATGTCGATAGATTGGCATTCTCTGCACTTTGGATTCAGGCTCGGATCCAAGTACATTGCTGTGAAACCACTATCATTAGGACCTCAAAAGAGAGGACAAAATAAGGCTCACGTGGTTCCAAGTTCTGCTTGGCTCGTTGTCTTTCTCGTTCTCGCTCCTTCGCCCTTGAATCTTCGTCCACCTCCTTCCCATCCTCAACCAAAAATCCACCTTTTGAGTTGACCATCTTAGACAGGTCATACTCAAAGTACTTGCCGAGGCGTGAATCACGCTTCAGTGGCTTAGGAGCCGTCGGTGAAGTGGACACTGCTGGGATCACTTCGAGAGGGCGTTTTTGATTCGGATTTGGCGCAGATGACGGGCCTGCCTCTTGTTCTCGTTGTCTTTGCCTTGCTTTTGCTGTGGTAGAACTGCGTTTAGCTGAAATATGAACTGGAAGGTGGGCACCCCCGTGACATTACCCATGTACCTTTGAGGCGGTTCAGCTCAATGCGCTTGACTTGCTCAGGGGTCAGAAGCGACTTCTCGGCAGTTGAAGGTAAAGGATGAGTATCCCGTCCTTCCGACATCATTAATGTTCGACCTTGAGTTATTGGCAACTAGACTAGGAAGGGTTGGAGACGGTTGTTTCAAGTTCCTTTGCATATGACAAAGACTTCACTTGTACGGATTAGGAAGTTGGGTATCTTTGCCACTGATGAATGAGCGACTGAACAGAGCCGCTGAGCAACCGCTGGCACACACTATCTGCCAGCTCTTTCCTGGTGTTCGATTAATATATCGGTAGCATAATGACAGCAATGATAGCAAGATACAAAGTGATCAGTTGAAGCAAGCTATCAACTTTCTACACTTGTTGTCGTAGTGTCGTTCGGTTTTGGCGACTTATCGCCTGAAGCATGATCTGTCGTGCCATTAGCAACGACTGGTTCGATAGGTGTAGGCCCGCTTTCTGTGGTCGTTGGAGTGTCGACTTCCATCGGCAAATGCCCACTCAACACGGGGCGAACCATCGTGGTGTGTCCACTGGGACCAGCACCATGTGTCGAGCCTGCAGCACCCGAACTCAATATGCCTACACCGATACCAAACCTCCTTCCACCAGCAATGTCAGCCTCGCTCGAGCGGCTTCTCGGTTCGCTGTCACGATCCTGATGCTGTGCATGATCTCTACGCCCCCCCTCTCCCTCATCATCCGAGTCAGACAATTCTCCGTCTGCTTGGATGCGAGAGTCCAATAGCCGTCGATGTCTCCTGGTATCAGGTGGAATCAAGTCTTCGTCCTGATCAAGGTCATCCATGTCGTCGTCTATCGGCATTTTTGGGAGATCTAGTAGTTTGATGAACATTCCAGCACCACCTTTCAAATACCTTTGGAATCCATACCTGACATCTGAATACTGGGGGGCCCTCCCAAATGTCGCAGATTGTCGAGTACGATATTCTTGACACGTTCCAAGTACTCCGGTGTATTCATATCTTCTGTATTTGAGGACCTTACGTCTAATTCGTAGTCAGGTCCAAAATACTCGTAGTATTCATTCACGGGTATTTCTACATCATGTCAGTACAATGTGAGAGAACTGTACTGAAAGAAGGCCAACCTGGTGCCAGTTCAACGCCAGCTGCAAGACCGGTTTCATATGCCCATGCCCGACTGACATTGCGCATCGTATAACCCCCGCCTCCAAGCAATAGTAGAGGCTTGTTGAAGGACTTTACAAATTTGACACAATTGGCATGCCCTGGATAGAAGTTCAGATAAATTAAGGGTAACAATTTTGGTCATACCTCGCATAGACAAGTTGAGGCAGCCGAGTTTATCCCCCGACAACGAGTCTGTTCCACACTGAAGAACAATGGCTGATGGGTCATACGATTCCATAACCTCACGGATCACCTGTATTGCAAACTCGTAGACGCTAGCTGGAAAAGAAAACTCCACTCACAGGTTCGAACACCGATTTATAGTTTTCGTCCGA